TGCACACGATTCGGCTCGGCGCCCTCTTCCACCTCTCGAGGTTCCGCCATGGGAAAGTCTACCTGTGGCGCACCATAGGACTGAGGCATAGACGGTCGAGTCACAGCCACGTGGCTGTAGCTGCTTTGTTCGGGTTGCGAAGTCATGTACTGAGCAGGGGCGGAGCCCAGAGTCGCTCCGGGATGCTCGCTGGGAGCCATGAACTGCGGGACTGCGAATCGGCTCGACATCACGTCAATTGCCGTCTGCGACGGTTGATACGCAATGTTCTCGTAAAGGGATTGCGGGCCAACCGGCGGAAGCATCGCAGAGGGCGCGTACTGCGCATATTGCTGCTGTTGTTGGGGAGAGGCCTGCACCTGCTGCTGCCTGGACGCCTCAGACATGAACGCTGGCGAATACTGCATCTCCACTCCTTGCATTGGGCTACTGCTTTGCATCTGCGAACCACCATAGGGTTGCTCTTGGTAGCCATAACCCGAGTAGCTAGACAAATAGGGGCGTGCCATTGAAGATCTGCCGATATCTGTTCTCGCTGGCGTCGTGGGTTGCGCGAATCTATCAGTCGAAGGTGGTCCCATTGCCTGTCCAGGCAGAGCACGCGAGGGTGCCTGTGGTTGGTATGGAGGTCCATACTGGGAGCGCCGACGGTCATTGCCGTCCATTTAAGGGAGGCGGATCTCGGCCGTCGACGCCAGAATGACCGCGTTAGTCTCGCGTCCTTCGAACCCCGTATGCCGCGATATGGTATGAAGCGTTGGAAAGAGTAGCCACCTCCTGAACCACTGATGCCTCTCCGGTACCACCCCCTGATCTTGGAATCCTCATGCAATCGATCCAAGGCAGAAACGTGAAAGAGCGATAATACCGCAGCCGACGCTATGAGCGTTCGCCGAGTCCGGCAGAGTGTGCAGTCCTCACAAGCGTTGTGGGCGGTGGGAGACTCGATGGGACACTGGCACCACCGTTATCGCTGCGAGAAGATCCAAAAAAGGCAGCTAAAGCGCGCAAGACAATGTCGGATGGCCGCCTGCTCCGAATACTGTACTGAATCGACTGACAATGTGAGTTTTTCGCGGTGGACTCTGGGACCGCAATCTGATTCCCGCGAGCCGAGTGTTGGAAGCGCACGCCACCGAATTGGGTACCAGAAATACACCCGGACGCCTTCCCTTATATAAATCGTGTGAATCGTCTCAAGAACTCCTCGTCCGGAACAGCAATCGAAGACGAAACCCCGTGCAGAAAATTCGTTCGAGCGTGCGTGACCGGATTGTCGAAGGAAAGCAAGGGTAGTGGGGTTAGTGGAATCCGAGGGTGGAGGGACGGAACGGTTCGATGGTCAAGACACGAACGCGAGCACATTGAGGACAGGCTCGTAGGAAAGAGATAAAAAGAGCGTTGGGTAGCCTAGGCAAGGAGGGAGAAGACCCAGGTACCTTGGAGTCGTGGAAGGACCCAATGTATACAAGAGGCCTGAAGTGCAGATGCCGTGGCAGGCGGAAATGCGCACGACGCAAATCAATAAACACTTGACTCAAGGACGAGTCGATGGGGAATGGCGCAAATACCGCATGGCAGTAACGGATGGGTCACTCGTCCTGGTACGCTGAGGCCCAGCTGCTCCCAAACGCGGCCGATGATATCGTTTTCAGCAGGTCCCAGCAAAGCAAGCAAGGCGTTTCTTGCCGGCTCGAAAAGTCTTTTGAAGTGGACAGCGCCACAGGAGGGACAGGATGCCCACCGTGCTGGGGGTCGTATGCAGAGGCTCCATTGGAAAGTGGTCAGCTTGGTTCTCGGGCGTCAAGGCCAGCAGTGCGCAATTCCCGGTCGGCCGGTCGGTTGTCGCACCCGTAAAGAGCGTCGAACCAAGCTGTTACTGCGCCGTACGGATACGCTGCCCAAGGTTCATGGATGCTGTCTGAAGGAAGAAAGGACCCCAGTGTGCCAGGGCCAGCGCAGGCCGAGGACGAGGTGAATGGGAATGGGAATGGCCTTGGAACGCTACGAGCATCCCCGCTAGTGGAGCCGCGCCTGCCTGCAGCAACTTCTTGGTGCTTCCAGGACCTCGCCAGGGTTTCGCTAAGGACCTCTCCAGGCGCAAGGGAGCTGAACTAGCCACTGGTCTGACGAGGCTTGCATCTTTAGTCTGCCACTGGCCTCCACCTGCCGCAGCGCCAGGCGAGATTTATAGTGTGGCGCCCTAAGGGACGTCAAGCAGGGGGGAGATCAACATCTGCGTTTCTGGTCTTCTTCGGCTTCGTGCCTGGCACATCGCAGCTGAACCGCTAGCATTTCACGCCACGGATTGGCTGCCTTGTCGCGACTATTGATCGCCGAGCGATGCTCGAGACGCACACATCATCCAGCAATCCGATGCTTAACCTCAGCAGCACCGGCTCGCGGCTACAGGCACAGCTCGCATCAGCGCCGATGTTCAAGTAACAGATATGCCATAAGTCCCAGTTGGGGATGTCCGTGTGACTCTGTGTGGTGGGAAGGGGTGCCACACTGGATTTGGCGGGTGCCACGATCGCCAGAGTTGCACACTGTGCAGACACGTAGCGAACCGCCGTCTGGCCTCAATCCTTTCTCAATAGCATTACGCTGTTCTCAGATATTTGCCTTATTCCAACTCATATCAGATGTCCGCTTGTTTGCACAAGGGAAGTGTGGCTGGTAGACGTGGCTATTCTGGTTGGGTCATCTTCCAACTTCCCAGTTGGAGCTGCGTGTTGTGGCCAAAGCCCTCGGAACTGGCTCCATGTAATCTCGCAGAAGGGAATGCTGGCTTGGCCCGCCGGAGCATCGACTGTTCCTGGCAAGCACAGCAGGTGTCAGGATTTGGGCATGCCAAAGATTCGCAGCACGCACGCCGGAGCATCGGTGCAACTAGCACAAGTACATTGGCACGTCTACAGGCTTTCACAGTGGTTGTTCGACTTCAGGTAACATCGAGACAGAATAAAGTGCATCGCACTCGATCGGAAGGCGGTGCCTGTCAGAAGTCAAGCGGACCTTCTGTAGCCAGTCGGATTCCGGCAAAGGTTGGCATCGACCCAAAGATCTGGCAGAGGTGCCAAATGGCGATGTGATGTGCTTGTGTCGGACGTGGCTGCTTTCGAGATCTCCACGCCTGCCCTGTCATCTGCTACTCGTACGGGTTAGTCTAAGGTCGGAATCTACAAGGTTTGCTGCTACGAGGATGCATTTCGTCCGATTTGGCCGGTCGTGTCATAGACTTCGATTTGCGTGGTTCTTGCTTCCGGTTTTCACTAATCTCGCGTTCATGCAAACAACGCGAATATGCGCCACGTATTGCTCGCCCGCCCCTCGGCCTTGGGCTTGGGCTGCATGTGCAGTAGTTAGCTACGTCTCCCACCAACCAGTCAGACCGGGGGAAAGCGTCACTGTACACCCGCCAATGGGACCCTTGACATAATCTCAAAAGCCATCGCTGTGCAACCGCGGTCGGAGTGGAAACAAGGATTTCTGCCGCATGCATGCAGCTGCGTAGGTTTCACATCTGGGTCCGTGGTTTATTTAGCACTTAGACCTCCGTCTCATCCCGCCGCAGAGAGCAGACGAGCGACGTTCGATTGTGAGAGCCGTACGGAGTACTCCGTACAGAGTACACATGTAGATTGACCAGTTGCTGAGACTGATGGAAGATTTACTCGAACACGACAACCCTGTTAGGCACAAGACTCGGTCAAATCGTGAAGCGAGTCGACCATGCGCTTGCGTGCTGTCCTAGCGCTGCTGGTGGTGACCTCGATCTGCTTAGACTTGAGGCTTCGCTTACGCTGTGGCTTTAAACGCGTGTTTCAGGTGCTCGTTTCAGGTTGCTGTGGCTCGGTCCTTGAGAACTCGTAAATCAATAATTGTGTCACACCACGAATCGAGCACAGGCATCGTTGGGATGGACAGCTCTGGCTGCTTCCACCTGGCTTCAAGGGATCCGTTGGATGTGTTGGAAAAAGCCTGTGTTGTCACTGCATGCGCCGTTGCCAGTTCTGCATTGGGGTGGACTTCTAAAGCCTACCGGACAGTCGACGCTCATTGCGGCGTGCGTACTATGAACTCCTCAGTGAGGTGCTCAAGCTCGAAACTATGTTCGCAAGTGTACAGTAAGATTTTAAGCACGGGTTTCGTGCCTTGTTTGAGGAAGACAAGTCCGGAGGAATGTTAGAGTGTCGAGCCGCGACCATATCCACTGACCGGGGGTGCAGCAATTTAATTCCCTGGGGATTCGCGCGCACAATGGCACCTATGGTGGAGTTAAACGTTGAGGAATGATGCGAATCATTGGCCTGGGAAGCCTGATCAGGCAGGAGCTTTCCGCCAGGATATGAGCATGTTGCAGGCTCTCGATCACCTTGTATCGAGTACAAGTCCTTGGGTCTCTACTCCGTACGCGGCGCAAGAATATATCATTGGTATCTCGCTTAGAGATCCCCTTGACTGTCCTAGATGCGGGGCTGCTGTGATGCGTCGACATCTCTTTTGGTTACAGTGCGATGGGCAGGCAAGATCAAAGTGTGCTGTCCTGGTTCAACAGATTGTGCGACGCAAAATGCCGGGTGTGAGTCTGGGTTGACCAGCGCCGCCATGCGCTGTATCAGACCGTGCACGTGAGCTGGCTCAACGGAACTGGACCCGTCAAGCTCTCAACGGGTGCTTGTGCAATACTGCCACAAGGCTGACATGCCCTTTGGCTCCTACTGCGCGCGGACCGTTGTTTCTGTTTCGCACGATGATATGAGAGACATCGATCTTACATCCTAGTGGGCCACCAACAAGGAGAGGCAACGTGGAGAATGACATGCGCGTTCCGAAAAGACGTCCGAGCCACCAGCGATTGTCGCACACTACGGAGAATCATGTCGAGTCGCACAAACACCCGAGCTTAATCTTGAACCAAGTGTTGTTCACCAGAGACATCGATACATGTGATGTACAGAAGGGTACCACCGGTCTACCTCGAGTCCTCGAACCTCTCACCGTTTGACCCACGTAGGTCTCTTTCGGGCCTTGAGGCGACCAGGCTTCTTCCGCTCGACACGTCTGGGATCCGAAGTAACACAGCCGGCTGGATTGTGAATTAGCGACCAACCGTGAACGCGGCCGGGACCAAATGTACTTACCTCGTCGTAGAGCCGGTTTGAGAGCCGGTTCGTGTACCAGCAGTGCCTTGGCAAGGGCCAATGTGACGGATTCGGCCTGGCCCGTAACTCCGCCACCAGATACCAACGCAAAGACGTTGTACTTGTCCATCCGTTGTGTGATCTTCAACGCCCATAATGCGCTCTCCCTATCATGGACCCGCGGGAACGCCTGCACGATACTGTTTCCATTGACTAGCACTTCTCCCGTGCCCTCCACTAGATAGACCTTTGCGGAAGACTCCTTTCTCCTTCCTATACCCGTCGACCTTCCATATTCATCGATTGTTCCAGGCTTGGCTTTCTGTATCGCTTCTGATCCGGGCCGCCTGAAGCGAGAAAGTATTTGCTTGACTTCTTTGGGGCAGATTCTGGGGTGTATCTTGTTCAGCCGCGTTAAGAGAAGCAGCACCTTGGAGTACTTCGAGGCAGCCACTTGCTCTCCAGTCGAGCTTCGATATTGGTTCAACCTCAACCACACAGGACGGGGTATCTGATCCGGAGGAGCAGTAGGTAGCGATGCATGCTTCTTGACAAGAGATTGTAGCATCAAAAGGTGATCGTTGAAAACCGGAGATGCTGTGAAATAGGAGGGCGAGCGTGGGAGGATCCGAGCCGGTATTGATTGAGACTCATCGAGGTCTATCTCCGGCGCGGCACGGATCTGAGTCTCAACAGACAGCTTTTTCGTCGTGATGAACGTTTGACGCTGTATCGTCGGTTGGAGCCATTGAGGGTGAGCTCGCGCCAGAATCTTCTGAGTCCGACATTGGCGACATATCCGCGAAATCGTGGGAGGCAACGCCTGCACTGAAGGGCGTGCCATGGATGCTAGCAGGCGCCTGTTACCTCTTGCAAGGAAGCATTGAGAGACGCTACTCTCTGGGGGTGTGAAGGGGATGGGAAAGTTGAAGGCGCAAGCTAATCGCAGGACCTGAGCTGCCAAGCTTTTACGGTGGACCAATGGCAGTGCTAGTGACATGGCCGCAAACTGAGTCAAAATTTATTTCATTGACACGACTCCGACTTTGCTTGAAGACAAATCTACAGCCAATCTCCCAGTATCTCCATTCTACCACCCAAGATGTCGTTCGGAAAGCTTTATGGCTTCAAGGTACGCTCCGTGCAAAGCCAGCACCGCCCTCTGTGGACAGCCGATATTGATTCTCACCCTCTAGGAAAATGCCCGCAGCACTGCCCTCCTAGCAGTTGCGAAGGAGAACAACCTGGACCTCGAGCTCGTTGAGACGAGACCTCCCATCACCGACACAGAGTACCTCAAGCTCAACCCGCTCGGACGAGTTCCTACGTTCGTTGGCGCCAACGGTTTCATCCTGACGGAGTCACTCGCGATCGCCATCTATTGTGAGTGTTTGCCCCGCCTTTGTCCTTCGAACAAGTCTAGGATGAGCCATATTATCACATTCAGTTATCCCTGTCTGAATATTCCTTGTTGACTATATTGAACTCTGAGCAACACCTTCGCATTTGTCACTCTTTGCTTCCTTTTAAATGTCAAATCCACAAAGCCATCGCTGACGGTTGGTGACAGTCGCCTCGCAGAACGACAAGACCACCCTTCTTGGAAAGACAAAGCAGGACTACGCCTCGATTGTGCGATGGATGTCCTTTTCCAACTCCGAAGTCCTCCCCAACCTCTCTGGCTGGTTCAGCCCGCTCACCGGCAGGGCTCCCTACAACAAGAAGTCGGTCGACGATTTCAAGAAGGCTGCACTTGATGCTATCCACGTGCTTGAGCAGCACTTCCTCGTCCACACCTTCCTTGTTGGGGAGCGCATTACCCTCGCCGACCTCTATGTCACCTCTCAAATGTCTCGCGGCTTCCAATACGTCCTTGACAAGGAATGGCGCTCTGAGAACCCCAACACTACCCGTTGGTTCGAGACTGTGGTCAACCAGCCAATCTGGAAGGCCATCATTGAGAACCCAATCTTCATTGAAGAGGCCCTCAAGTACACTCCTCCCAAGAAAGAGGCAAAGCCTGCGAAGGCCCCTGCCGCTGCGCCCGAGAAGAAGGCCGAGAAGAAGCCAGAGAAGGACGAGGAGGAAGAGGACGAGCCCAAGCCCGAGGTCAAGGCCAAGCATCCTCTTGAGTCCCTGCCTAAGCCTACCCTCATCCTCGATGACTGGAAGCGAAAGTACTCCAACGAGGATACCCGCGAGGTGGCACTTCCCTGGTTCTGGGAACACTACAAGCCAGAGGATTACTCACTGTGGAAACTCGACTACAAGTACAACGACGAGTTGACCCTGACATTCATGTCATCCAACCTGATTGGTAAGTCCCGACCTAGTTTGGTATTCACTCAGGTCTCGGCCGATACTGATTTCTCCCTTCAGGTGGATTCTTCAACCGTCTCGAGGCGTCCCGCAAATACCTTTTCGGCGCTGCCTCCGTGTACGGCCAGTCCAATGACTCGATCATCCAGGGTGCCTTTATGGTCCGCGGTGACGAGGCTCTGCCAGCCTTCGACGTCGCCCCCGACTGGGAGAGCTACGAGTTCACCAAGCTCGACCCCAGCAAGCCCGAGGACAAGCAGTTCGTCGAGGACCAATGGTCTTGGGACAAGCCGATCACCGTCAACGGCAAGACCTACGAGTGGGCTGACGGCAAGGTCTTCAAGTAGAGTGGTGCATGCTTTTGACCACCCTTCGACGAGACCATGCCTAGGCACCGTACCAGTTGGTGACTCATGACTTGGACGGTGATTGACGAGCACGACGTGAGAAAAATGCCATGACGAGCGAACGGGACATGATTGATTGAATCCCAAGAGACGACAAATCCTCACAGTAGCATGAAAAGCAGCAATAGACATTTGTCCGAACCTGCAGGCACCTCTCTGCCGCGCATGTCATAGATCAAGCAAGAGACAATGATGATTCAGACGCACATTCCCGCTTCCACTCTTTAGCCCTCTCGGTCTCCGAGTCTTCTGCTGTAGTCGAGCTCTCAGGGCGACCCCCCGCGTCTGGCCATATCAGCGAACCAGACCATGTCCCCTGCCCTTTTACGACACGAGAAACCGTGCAGTGCTACTGATCAGTGTGGTAGCGTAGAATGAGCTCCACGGTTCCGTCTGCCAATATCGCCCTTGTGGAGTATCTACATGTCCTCAACGCCAGCAGGGCCATGGTGTCGACCTTGTCGAGGACAAAGCATTACCCGATATTGACAGAATAGTCAAACCCAATTCATATCCCTCGCCAAGTTCACGTTGTCTGATATCATGACCGACCGCTGCGCCACTCTGGTGTGTAGATAATTGGAGACATTGATACCTGGTGCTCTGAACGCTGGCCAGCTTCAGCTGTATGACCCAACCTCGCTCCCTGCACGAATTTAGTGACCAGCAGCTCTATCTCAGCTGCAGGAAGTCTTCTCCTTCCTCCTTCCTCTCCAGAGCATTGCACAAGCAGATAACAGTGACGCAAAAGTGAGCATGCTGATGGTAAGCTATGCTCGTGCGTGAATGACATGGGGTAAGGCCAAGGGATGCATGACTTGCACATTGAACTCAGGGTGATCCACCTCTTGGTGGCTTGTCTTCCCAGAGTCGTCACGAAATGTTGCTTCACCGGCTGCTCTGCCAGATCCACCGCTGGGGGAACATCAGTAAGTGCCGCCAAAGTGGCCCAATGAAAGGACAAGATCTGTCAGGCTCGTCGCAAGCCGCGACCGTAGAAGTTGCTGTTCTTGATGCAGCAATTGAAAACGTGCTGTAGACAGATCGCAATGTGGTGATTACCATGAATGGAGAGCAGACGCCTTCAGATCATGTCGAGTATGGTGTACCAGTGGCAGAGCGAGAAATCCTTCTTGAATACGCCCGACAGGGATTGGGCGCCTGGATCAGTATCCTACGGTCGGTCTGAAGTGTTGGCTTAAGATCTGTGTTTGAAGGCGAACCGCCCGATGCGTAGACTGCCACACTGCCAACACATCTTAGCCTCAGTACTGTAGCCAACCCAGCCTTGTCCCATCATGTGATCAATACCCAAGTGAAGAGCCAGTGAAGAGCAGTGAAGAGCAGTGTCTTTATATATTTCGTTGGCGCAAAAGTTCCCAACAATCACAGGGCCTGAAGTACAGATCAAGTTTGCAGCTATCCTACGAATCGTCTGGAGATGTCTGCAATGCTGTAGTTCGACCTGGATTCCCTCTTCGCCAAAGATGTTGTATGACCATTCTGTATGAAATGAATTCGTTGTATCAACTCTGCTGGGGAAGATGGGTCGATCTTGAGTGTCTTCGGGCTCAAGACGGGTTGCAGGACCGAAGGTCGACACGAGACCATGCGGGAAAAACCAGCTTCAAAAGGGTGAGTTTTACCTTGCAGTGAACCAGCTCTTCGAGAGCTGCTTCAAATGCAAGTTTTTGCACTTTTTGTGTCTCGGAGGTAAGTTGACTTTTTCGTTGTGGGAGAGAAGCTGGGCCGCCGGGTAGTGATGAAGTACTGTAGATATAAAGCGCGACAGCTTCCTCAAGCCATACAACCAGAAACGAAGCCGCAGCATCGCCCTGTCGTTGTCGCCTTATCCACGAATGTTGGGACGGACAGCTGATAGGATTTTCGTTGAAAGACCTATATCTTGAATATAGTAGTTCAGTCTAACTCCTAAGCTCGTGACCAGATCGCGTGGAGCATGTATGCAGAGACACGGGTCTGCGTTGAAACCCCCTCTTTTACCTGGATACAGTGTGCGGAAGTCGAACAATCCATGGTAGATCGAGTCACCTATCAAGTACGTGATCTTGATCAATGGTCGGAGCCAGGGGATTACGGATGTTTACCAGTAATGGGTGAGCTGACCAATTCCAGAATCATTTATTTGCATTATGATCCCGAGCTCGCTCATCGAACTTCGCCTGGTCGAGCCGCTGCCGCTGCGACGTCGCCATCAATATTCCGAACACCGGTCTCTGCTCGTCGACCTTCCCAAAGGCGTACCCAAAAGTCAGGTGGATCCATCGGCCGTGAGCCCTCATGCAGCCCTGGCCAGACATCGGCCAAAAAGTAGTAGACATGGCCAACAATCACACCTAGGATTTCGTCCTTTGGCACGGTGCCGTGCATGAACATGTGGAAAGCCATCAAAACCCATGGAAGATATGGGGCGGTGAAGACAAGAACCCCAAGGAAGCTGAGCCTAGTGTCCGGATTCCTCCTTGACCAGATGTAAACCAAAGTACTTGATAGCGCTGACCCAAGGAACGGGATGGAGGTCGTCAGAGAACTCAAAACCAGCAGCGACGTGCATGCATAGAGCAGCAGCCAGGAGAAGACGGCAGGTGACGGACCAGAGCCTTGTTCAAGAAGCCGAGAGTACCTCTGGAGAAAGAAGACATGGAATGCAAGGTCCAATGATGGTGGGCCGAAGTATATAAATGTGGTTATCAATCGCCAATACTGGGTAGTGTCAGAAAGGTCCCTATAGTCCGCCTGAGGTCAACATACCTGGGACTTGTAGTACACTGCTCGCCACGAATAGAAGAGTTGGAATGGAGTGATAACTTTGCACTGCAGCAACACCGATGTTATGACGGTCGCAGTCGTCCAGTATCGGGTACAAGGTGGCATTTCAAAGAACCACTGTTCGAGAGGAAATTGACCAAGCTGCCCCATTCCCTCGTCACCCCCTCCACCAAGTATTGCAGCCATGATCCAAGGCAGCAGGTCGAAGAGTGGACGGAGCGTGCGCGAAAAGTCGAAGAGGAACTCAGGCGTCTGGACGATGGGGTAGATTGGAGATAGCACCGACTGTGTCAGGATCGGAGAGCGCAGGTCAGAGTAATCATCGCAAAATTCGTCTGGAGGCGGTACCGAAGACAAGATCGGGAAGGACAGGTTCATATAGCGATCGAAGACTTGTTGTTAGGTGGCCTCTTCAACCACCAGGAATGAGGGCTTGCGGCGGCGGCATGAAGACGTTATCGGGAGACGTAGAATGATGTCGAAAGCCAAATGCACAGTTCGGAGTCGTCCCGAACAAAGGACGGATGAATACGGAAGGTGCACGACGCCTACGGTGGGATTTAGGCCCGGTCCAGGGTCGCCGAAAGGGTCGTGCTGCTGTACCCAGTAAAGCGCGCGTTGGCTCAGATCTTCACGTCGCGACCAACGCGTCTTCGAACCTGCAAGGCTTACAAAACTCCCACTCACAGGCATCTGGGGCGCATCAAGATACAAAGTGCGCCGAGGTGCCTTTTCGACTTTCTTTCCACTCTCGACAATCCAGTGGTGGTACGGAGCACGTCCTTGGTGGCATTTGCACATCCCAGCCATCGACTTCTCCACTTTAGAAAGACGGCGCATATCCTAACTCGAATCGACCGAACTTCCAGCGCTTGTTGACACCCCAATACCATTCTGCATGACATGCCCGTGGTAACTTGAGCGCGACTCTATCAATACATGGCCCAGACGAAAAACATCCGGCGGCGCTCTGGGCTGACCACTCCCAAGAGAGGGCAGGCCCAACGGAGCAACCCTTCTCCCAGAGTCACAGCAGGGAAGCGCCCTCGAACACAGCGTGAGTGGCAGCCGTGCCGACACACCCGAGACGTATACTGATATGATCTTACAGCCGGCGATCCTGTACCGATACGAAAACCGCGACGTTACAAGCCAGGCACCCTTGCGCTCAGAGAAATTCGGAGATACCAGCAATCAACAGAACTTCTCATCCTCAAATTACCGTTTGCGCGCCTCGTCAGAGAAATCGCCCAGAGCGTCCTCCCATTCCACGCAGCGCAAGAGCTGCGGTGGCAGAGTCAGGCCATTCAGGCATTGCAGGAAGCAAGTGAAGCGTTTCTGGTGCATTTGTTCGAAGACACGAATCTGTGCGCAATCCATGCGAAGCGCGTAACAATCATGCAGAAGGACATTCAATTGGCGAGGAGAATTCGTGGGGCTTGGGGCGGGTTAGGATGACGACCCTTGTACTCAAGCACGGTTTACGCTTTATGATTTTGGACAGAGGACCCGGCGTGTTGGATGCATTATCGGATACCACAGGAAAGGTATGGAGTTTGGGCCGGTGTACACAGGCTGTCTGGGCTTGGAGAATTTCGAGCGCATTTATATGCGCCTATGCTCTACCTGAACAAGCTTGAGCTGTATTGATTTGCGGAGCCCCGAGTTGGCTCATTTTTGTCCAGTCTACCGACCAGAGAAGCAGAAGACGCGCATGACGGATTGCACAGAAATTGGACAAGCCGTCAGCTTTACCCGTTGACACTTGAGCCAAGAACGCCCTTTGTACTCGTCACGTCCCCAGCACCGACAGTGCCTTCTGCTCTTCTCTCACAAGCGATTCTGCATGCCACGGCAAGCGCCTTGAACGCACTCTCTGCCCTGTGGTGGTTGTTGTGTCCGTACACGCACTTCACATGCATCGTCACACTTGCGGCCTGTGCGAAACTCTCCAATCCATGAGTCAGCATCTCCGTGCTGAGGTCGCCGATTTTTTCCCTGGTGAACCCAAGGTCAATGACGCTATAGGGCCTATTCGACAGATCAATGACGGCCCATGAGAGGGCTTCGTCAAGCGGTGCGTCGCCCCTGCCAAAGCGGACGAGAGAGGCTCGTTTGCCCAACGCAGCGTTGAATGCCGAGCCAAGCGCGAGAAAGACGTCTTCGGCAGTATGGTGGTCGTCAACTATCAGATCTCCGCTTGCTCGAATGGCTAGCGACCAGCCAGCGTGTTTTGCCAGGGCGTGGAGCATGTGGTCTAGAAAGCCAATGCCGGTTGAAATGGCGATTTGCTGGCTCGGCGTTATTTGTGTTGCATGGTGGGAAGTGGGCAGAGGTACTAGGACGTCCGGCTGCGCTTGTTTCTGAGCTTGAGGTATTGATGACGAGAAATGTTGCGACTCTTCGTATGCCAGTAGTGAGCCTCCATCCAGCGACAACGAGACTTGAATTTTCGTCTCATTAGTGATGCGCGACAATGTATGAACCCTCCTCGGCAATGAGACGGGCACGACTCGCTCGATTGATCCCATAATGGCCAACAAAAACCAGATGTGCAAGTGCTTGTTGTTCTGAGATTGTGCTTGTTGTCAGAAAACATTTGGCCTGATGATTTTCGAAGTCGGAGAGGTGACGCCAACCAGCTGCGGCCGAGCTCCACTCGTGGAACTTCGACTTCGACATCAACCCTCGCTCCCTCACATTTGACCGCGCGCAAAGCTTCCCACAACCCTGTCCGAGCTCTATGTGAGCGCCGAAATTCACCATGGTCATCAATCCCACCTATCTAGCGCAGCGGTCGCGGTCGTGTACGTCCACCTTTTGAGTAGAGATCCCTCGGTTAGGCAAGGCAACTGACCAATCCACAGCAATCAATTGGGGCGATGCGCGACGACGAGTGTTGAAGGGCTATAGGGAATGGCTGCGAGCTGTACGTTGCTAGACACTGGCTGTGTTCCGGTCATGAAAAGAGAGAATGCTAAGAGGACGCACACAGGGGCCCGAAATCCAACAACTTTACTCCCTTAACATGCCCGTCTCCCGCATCCGAACGAAAGTCAGAGAAGAATTCGAGAAGCACAGATACGTCAACAATCTATCGGCAGTCGATGTGCTATTACAACAAAGCCATACGGAGTTTCAGGTGGGTAAAGATCTTGGACAGACCTTGGGCTGTAATAACACAGATACTGATCGCTGGCTGTCCACATAGGAATTGATGAACTACTGGAAACAGACTACCCATGTGATGAAGTACTTCAGGCAGGATGAAGACGAGAATGCAAGGTTGCCCAAGAACTTTATACAAGGCTTCCTCGAGGTATGTGCTCGCAACGCCTTCCAGATGAACACCCGGGGTCGCTGTTCTCCATGGCTAATTCGTGTTTGTCACCTTTTTTAGGGACGGAATTGAAGCGACAATCCACCCCGACACAGATCAAACCAAGATGTACATAGCCTGAAAAAGACAGACAAGGGGACAGAGACTTCCAAGCGCCACCGCCATGCAATCGATACAATCCCCAGCAGCCATCCAGAGTGATGCCTTCGGAATCGTCATGACGCCTTCGCGTCGAACTCGTCCCGTGCATCATGGAACTTCTCCGAGATCACGTCGCATGCTTCGATCATATCTTCCAGTCCCTTCCTCAGTGCGTCAGTTGCTGTTGTCTTGGTGTCCTCTGCATTTCAGTCAGCCAGTCAGCCATGTGACCCTCCAGCCAAGAGATTTCTGCTCGTGAAATCACAAGCTTTCTCGCTTACCCCAAGTCTGTATCCGAATGTTCATCTTCGTCTCTGAAGGATGCGGAATGGTATACCCGCAGAACTCGACATCAGGACTGTCGCAGTATCAATCAGCCTCGGCCAAGTCGATAAATCTGGGCTGCCAAGAACATACTTCTTGTTGACGAAATACCGCAGCGCATTCCCAAGCGTGTGATCTTCCTTCTCGATCTGAAAGGACGCGGCGTGCGAAGAAGCCCCAGGAAGCTATAGGTCGAGTCCGTCAGTATCTGTTGTCGAGCAGTGCCCTCGTCTTTCGCCTCTGAAGCAAAATTTCCCCATTCCACCTACCACGACTAACTTCGGTGCGCCTCCCAGCCACAGTTCTTCAGCCTGTTCCCATTTCCTTTCTGTTTCGTCCTGAGAGTATGGGTCTTCGTCTGACATCTTGGTGGTCGAGTTACTGTATAAAATCAAGGATCCTGGGGTGAAAAGATTTGAAGACGCTCTAAATCGTACGGAGTATGGAGTAGAGAAACATTAGAAAGGCAAATACTCCGAAATAAGTCTAGCTTGAACCGGGAACTGTAGCCTATCGGATTAATCTTTTCCCAGCTTCTCGCCCAACGCAAGGATAAATGAACATATATTTGAGAGGAATGAGTTTTCGACGAGCGAACCGATCCATGCGAAGTGTAAGATTTTTCTGAGCTATCCATCATCTACCCAGACGGATTCGAAGCCAGAAACCAGTTTACAACAGCAGCCTCAGTGCTACAGCGATCATAGCGGAAGCAGATGGGTGCCAGCAAGCTCGGTGTTGACCCATCATCTCTTTCATGAATGGCTCTCCAGTCTGGTGGAATATTCCCCTAACGTCGACTTTTTCATTGCCTTGTATTCGCGTCCGTTCTTGTTTTCGGACGAGCATGAGTTGGCTAGGTAGTGTATGCTCGTGCTGGTCTGCCAACAGAACCCTGTCGGGCACGGGAGGCAACATATCCAACAGAGACTTGTGTCTGAGAGAGTACCTTTTCAGTATGCAGGACATGTACCTCGGAGACTGCAATAATGTCCCCTTCGATAGACGAAACCGAGGATGATGAATCCCTTTTGAGTAACGAATCACCTGGCATTAACTGGTACCTGAAGACGGAGTTACAAGGGCAAAGGATGGTTCGTGCTGGACCATTGGCTCAGTGGGATGCGGTAAGTGATTTGACATCGATTAAGTCGAAAGCTCTGATGGCAAGTAAAACTCGACGTCGCCACTTTTCCTTACCGTGTACTCCGTACCTACACACATCAGTAAGGAGGGGTCGGCAGCATGGCAGATATCTCATGCGGACGCTTATCGAATGCGGTTCTGCTATGCGACGGGTTGCGCTTAAAGCGGTGTACATGATGCCTAGTGGGCAATAGGCGTCGCGAAGACGCGCTCCGGGTTTTATGTTCACGTCAACTACTCCGTACATATCGATAACAGTTCAGTTAGGGATTAGATTCCCAGCATGCAGCAAAGACAGGGGCGGTGGGGCCGCTCTCGCCGCTAATTGATACCTCAATCCCACCAGCGTTTCAAAGTGTTTCGTCATTCGCTCGTCTGCACGACAGAGTTGGGCTGCCTCGTGGCTCAGCTGGTCGCCCGAGCTTCGGGAGCCAGGCAGGCCTGAAACTAGCGACATCATGTGAGCAGAAGTACTTGTACTGAGTCAACACCCGACATTGAATGATTGATCCTACGCAGAGGAGAAACGCCTCGATACATTTCTGGTCTGATGAGCGAACCCACGCGACAGTGGCACTGGGTGTCCAAGTTGTTTGAAATCTGTCGACAGGCCAGGCTATTTGTAGCCTCGGCACTTGAGAGGCATCACCAGCACCAGCACAGCAGCACCGTCGTCATCAGCTGCCAGCACATTGGTGTTTCTGGTCAATTTTTTCAGCAGAACGATCGTCCACCGTAGTAGGATCGACCACTAAGCGCGTTTCAGACGCTCTCTTGCGCATCATGGCCCCTCATTTAATCACTACGCCCAAGATCGGACAGTTAAGCAGGAAATCAGTCACACGTCGCCGCCATGGAGCCGCTGAATTAAGCGTTCTTTTGTGGCAAAGAAGAGCACGCCAGCTTTTCACTCGGCCTACTGATGCATGTTGGAAATAATGCACACTGAGTAACCTTCGCTTCGACTTCTGGTAGGGCTTGGAAGGTTGCAAGCACCAATAAGACCGCCTCTAGGCTGGTTTGGCGGGCGGTAAGCTGCACGAAACTGAGACCCCGTCCAATATGCTTTCAGGCCTGATGCCGATTGCAACGTGTGACATGCATCAGCAAGAGGCTGATGTTGGACAGCCGTCCGAATCCGCCATTTCGGGTCACCCACTTTCTCCGGCGTGTTTCGTGCAGCTGGCTATTAGTTTCTCCCTGATCGATCAGACGAAGACGATGATGTTGATAGCCACAAATGTAGTCGCCTGCATCCGTGGCAGGTCGCCACGACAGTGCAACATATAAGACTGGTTGCAGGAACAAACCTCCTTCTCCAAAGCCCATACCCCGTACGCCGTAGCACAACTTCTGGGGGAGATTGACGCAAACTATGGCGAGATGAAACACGATTTGCCGCAATGTGCGAATGGCGAGAGGTCCAAGGTGCGCGACTAAACCTTAGCGTTCGAAGAAGGTCGCCTAAGTGTCGCGTCCGACCGGTTGATCGCAAAGCACGATTGGCTGCGCTTCCGCGTGTTGGCTTCGCTAAAGAACAACTAATGAAGTTCGAAACGATAGCGATAGCAACCCACGGGGTCATGATGCATGAATTTGAGTATCAGAATGGGAAAATGTTGAGCAGCAGCGATCACCAGGCAAATCATGAGTTTTCCAAGAGCACTGTGGCTCGGGCTTTTGGGCCTCCTGGTCGGCATGCCTGTGAGATGCACCTCCCCTGGGCCCTGAGCCTGGAATCCCGGGAGGCGTCTAACTCTGGGTTATTCATCGCTAGGCCCGACTCGGCTAACGGGCTCTGACGACAAGGACTCCAGGCCCGAGCAATCCACCCTTTCTCAGACACATGGCAGGCCGAAGAAAGAATCAACAGCCGGGAACCCCAGTGCCACCGAAGCCGCCACTGGCCACCGGAAGCCACCAGCAGCTCAGTTCGACACGTCCCTAGCCTCGGACTAGCATCAGAGGGGACTAGAAGCCTGCATCTGATATGTTCTGTTCCCAATTCTGAATCTCTAGGGGCAGCCCACTTCGTCGCGACAAGGGGACTGGCGAGACTCGAGCCTGTCATGTCTCTCCCGCGTGTTTCATTTGCGCCTGCCCTTGCCCGTCGCACCCCTCCTGCAGCCCGCCTTTACCTTTCTTCGCATCCTTCTTTTCCCTTTCCCTCATTCATCAGTTCACCATCACCTGCGAGGTTCGTCTTCAGCACGACCTAGCCGCTCGTTGCTTGCTCATCCTGCACTTCATCATCGAAGCCGCCCTTGCACAAAATTCACTCATCGAGTCTTTCGATCACTTTCGTCGCTACAACCGTCACTCGCTTGCACACAGGGTGGTGTTCGGCTCATCGTCAAATCGCTGTCCTCGATCTCGCGCTGTTCCTGGCGAGGCCACTCATTTAGCCTCCACAATTTCTCAGACACCTCAACACCGACACAGCTGAGGGCTTGAGGGCTGAATTAAGTCCACATTGAAGAATTATCCCAAGTGCAAGTGGTGTCGCGAGGTCGTGCGTTGGACAACCATAGTACTCAGCCGCCCGCCCCGGCCCAGCTTCCACTGTCACCCTTGCCATGTCGACCGCTGTCGCTCCAGCAGTGGTTGCGACACTGCCACCTTTGGATCGAAATACAAGCCCAAGAAGCTACCCGCCTTTGGCGCCTTCGATCAATGCGACGCCCAGCTCCAGAAACTCGGAGTTTACGACTACACCAGAGGTGAACAACGGGATGAATGTGAATGAGAGAACACCCGGTGACGGGAAAAAGTCTCCAAGGTCGTAGGTACCGCCCCGGGCTGTAGACGCCGAGGCACAGTCAACTGACCATTTTGTGAATGCAGAAGGAGCGGCGGAAACCCAAAGATCGTGGTGAAGAAGGAGCCTCCAACGTCACCTTCGCTCCAACCCAGTACCCGTCACCGACCGAAAAAATTGGATCTGAACACGAACACGGCAATTTCTAACGGTCTCAATTCACGACCTTCCGCGACGCCTTTAACTGCACGGGACGGCCTGGTATTGCACGATGTCGGTTTGGCCTGCTTGTCACCAGGGTTTCAGACTCAGGACCCTGCGATGCGAGAACAATTGGAGCGAAGCATATCCGTCCGGGATCAACAAAGGTCGATCATTCAGGCAAGACTGCTCAAATCTGCTCGGGGGGATGGACCAGACTCGGGAAAAACCAGTGAACCTGCTGGCCCAACGTCTGGCAAAATGCTCGCGGCCAATTCCAAGAAGAGACCTCCACCTGGTCTATCCATTGTACCACCTCCCGCTGAGCGATTCGCCAATGAACGCGTGATCCAATCTGCACCCCTCAACCAGACCTTTACTGGCCGGCACGACCCTCCACAACATTCCAGACAGCTCAACAACCAGCCCACGGCGAACGCACAGCACGCCAACATCTCACACATGCCTGCTATTCAAACCAACAATCGGCTGCCCCCTATTGCAGACGTCTTCGGACCCAATGAACTCAACTCGGGCGCGACTCGCCCACCCTTCCTGCATGCAAACTCGACTCCATCTCAAATGCATGGTCCTCCTCTTCCATCTCCTGGTTTCCCTCCGCAGACCGCTCATCCAACCTCTCAGCCTCAGCCTCCGAGCTTCGATCGACCTAGGGATTACAGATCTGCTGAAGAGGCTGTCCACGAGATGACTGGAGGTCGAGAGGACCTGTTGCCGAAGATTGTCCATTACGGGGGCCACCAACCTCCCACGCCGCCCTCGCCACACCCCGGGCACCACAGGGATAATCTCACACCACACAAGTATCAGCCCAACCATCAGCCTACCAGCAGACGGAGGAGTCGCAACGAATATGAAGAGGGCAGCAGTCCTCCATTGGGTTCTGGGCCAGACCGAATCCGATACCATGGTCCCTTTGGTGAAGGTAGAGACAGTCCTGCTACTCAAAGAGCGAAGAAGGAGGAGTTTCTGAGTCTGTGCTCGAGAGCTTGGGATCTCTTCCATTCTTGACATGGAATTGTTGATGCCTCTCGTTATCTCTGTCTATATTGTTTTCAGTTTCCGCGTTGCAAGGCGTTTTAATGGTGCCACGAGCCTACGGGCTCGCGAGCAGGTTGCACTGGGATGTCGGGCTGGTTGGCCTGCTGGCGAAAGGGCAAATGCATTTTTGATGTTGCGTCGATTTCCTAGCTGACGAATTTTGAAAAGGAGGATCGCCCTATAATGATGAACAAGGACTGGCTGGACTGGGACTATTGCTTAATGGCACTTATCGACTTCAGGTAGCGATGGATGGAGTGGGAGATGCGGGATTCGGGAAGAGTTCATGGGTGGTCAGGTGTTCTCACGCTATCAAGGACAGGCTGATGATTATCACGCATTGGTTTCGTACTCAACGGATCGCTGAAAAGGGTATACCAACATGATTGGGTATGACAGGCAGGAAAATCGACTCAAATGTTCCAAAACGTCTTCTCCATTCCTCATAAGAGCGTCGTGCGCTCAGATAAGTGGTAATTGCCCTAGTAAAAACTCATCCCGTGTATAAGCAGGTAATTTATAGCCGACGCAAGATGTCAAAGCCAGTCCTGTTGCCCCCGTCTTTGCCGCAGTCTTACCGACTCTTCATCAACTGTCCTGGCCATCTACTCTTCGTGTCTGTACATACTCCAACTTGGAGATCTCCAAACCCCCACTATTGTCGCGAGGCTGATGAGTCCTTTTCTCCAACGAATATACCGAGCGACGGAGTTTCTCGTTCACGTCGGCCTCCCATCCATTCTTGGTGAGCTTCAAGGTTGGTTTTCTCCAGCGTGCGTGATTCCAGTGTCAACCGAAGCAACCGTGGCCTCGAAAAATCCAGCGAGGAAAATCACACCCGTCCCGTGAACCGAAGTCGTCTTCTCCGGCCAGTAGTACCCCGAGGTGGGGAAGGAGTGCAAGGTGCGACGTACGCTTTACCACGAGAGCGACGTCGCTGATTTTGAGTCTGCGGGCTTCTGGAAATCACAAGAAGCACGAGCAACAGCAGCCAGACCGAGCGTGCGACAAGGTCATCACGGCACCGATAGATCATCTGCTACGTTGTGGCGTGCGTCGAGCTGGCAGTTGTCGCTCGCCAGGATCCCTGGGACGGGCGACAGGACAGACGTTGTCATTCTGGAGAGCTGGGAGACGTCCTTTTTCGAGACACTGTTTATCCCACACGCATACATTCGAGGACGGTCCAGCGGGTGGGGAGCGCAATCAAGCAGCGTTTGTAGGCGACCGCTACGGCTACGGCTGCAGGATTGTTCGAACGGAGGACACCAACAACATCGCTAGTACTGGTGCTACTACCACCACCTCCACCATCACCAGCAGCGCGGCCCCCTATTCTTGCTCTTCAAAGACCAACGACACAAGTTCTAGCGCCCCCATCAAAATGCGCGCCCAAATCCTGGAATCCTTCAACAAACCGTACACCTTCAAATCCGACCACCCTGCGCCTCCGGCACCACAAGGCTATGAGCTCCTCATCCGAGTCCAGGCCGCGTCATACTGCCATACGGACGCGGTCTTCGCGTCGGGCGCCATGCAGCAGGGCCTGCCGCGCATTGGCAGCCATGAATTTTCTGGGATTATCGACTCGCTCGGTCCGGAGGCGGAGAAAGTTGCAGAGAAAAGGGGCTTGAAGAAGGGAGATCTGGTCGGCGTGCCGGGACGAGCGTTCAACCCGTGCGGAGAATGTTCCGAGTGCGTGCACAACGACGGCGACATGCCCGGGTATGGCGTCTGGTGCACACGCGCGCGCAACCTCGGGCTGACCCGGGACGGGGGCTTCCAGGACTGGTGTCTCGTTGATAGTCGGCAGGTTGCGCGGGTACCGGAGACTGGGGGCATGAGGGCCGTGGACATTGCGCCGTTGATGTGTGCGGGCGTGACGGTGTGGAATTCGCTCGAGGCGGCGGGCGTGCAGACGGCCGAAGGTCAGGCAAATGGAGAGGGCAAGTATGTCGCGATCTTGGGCGCAGGGGGTGGGCTGGGCCACCTGGGCGTGCAGTTTGCGGCGAAGCTGGGGTGGAATGTCGTCGCCGTGGATACGACGCCGGCGATGGGGATGTTGGACGACGTGGTCAAGGAGCTCGGCGAGGACGGCAAGCGGGTCCACGTCGTGGACGCGCTCAAGGAGTCCGTGGAGGACGTCAAGAACCGCATCTTCGGCGCGGCGGCGCAGGGCCTCGAGGGCGAAAAGGGCTGCGACTCGTCCATCATCCTGCCGGAGTCGCAGGCCGCGTTTGACTTTGGCATGGCCGTGCTGAAGAACCACGGCACCTGCGTGGCGGTGAGTTTCCCCAAGGATGGCTGGAAGTTCAAGCCCGGCGATCTCGTCTTTCGACACATCAAGTTGGTGGGCGTCTTGACCGGGAGGAATCGCCAGTTGCAGGCCATGGTGGATTTTGCGGCCAAGCACGGAGTCAGGGCCAGGATCCGGACGTATCCACTGGAGCAGTTGAACGGGTTGGTGGAGGACTATCATAAAGGGGTCGGTGGGAAGTTGGTGGTTGATATGCAGTTGAAACCATAGTAGACAGTGTCTTCGGTACTGGTGTAGATGCATCTGCAACTGCGACGCACTTTGCTACCGTTCTCGTCTCACTTTCGGCATGTCTCGGGCTTCTTTACCCTTCTCCCTCTTCAGGCGTCTCTTCTCAGCCTTGTCACGGACTTTCTTGCCCATGCTCTCGAATCGTTCTTGTTTGGCGAGTCTCTTGACGTCTGCTTCCTTCAAGAAGTAGGGCTTTGATTTCTGGCCCGACCGGAGCGCCTCCTTTTCCTTCTCCTTGTGTTTCTTCCGGATCTCGGCTTCTCGCTGTCTGCTCTGCGCACTCCGCACCTTCGACTCCATCGACATGACTTGTCGTTTGAGATCCTCGACTACATCGGGGTCCTTGGCCTTCTTGATCTGGGTTTTCACTTGCAATATCTCTTCCGCTTGGTACTGCGACAGGAAAGAGTAGTTCTTGTTGGCTTTCTCCGCGGCGCTGGGAGCGCGGTTGCTAGACATGACAGTGGGATCGAAACGAGGGTCTCGCGACTTCGCCGACGGTGGAGGCTCGAATATCGTTCTTTTGCGGGAGACGGGTTTTCGCGCGGACTCGATGGTCGGCGCATGCTTGGATGTTCGCTTTGGAGCGTCGAGCCGTGCTTCCTTTGCTCGCCTGCGGGTGTCAAATGTCTCGCCTCCGTCTCGGCCGTCATCGGGTGCCGCGGGCTCTTCTCGAGTCTCGCCAAGCTTCCGTTTTCGAGGCTTGGGGTTGAATGTCTCTTGTGCTTTTGCGAGTGCACCAAAACTTATATCTGCCAACGAGGTTTGTTCATCTTCTGCCTTCTCATCGTCGTCTTCGTCCGCGCCGGATGAGGGAGCTGTGTCCTCGCCCTCTGACTGCGAGTCGCTTCCAACCGAGTTCCCTCCATCCGATTGTGCCTCGTCGCTGATATCCTCGTTGGACAGCCCAAGCTCTTCTTCCTCTTCGTAGGCGTGTCTTAGCTGGACAGGTCGATCCGCGAGCCGGAGTGGCGCCATGGATTCTGTTGCAGAAATAGTGACTGCCGCGGTAGAATTCGGGTCTCATACAGACGCAGTCGTGTACGAAACTTTTTGAAAAAGCGGCGAGGACTAAGGGTCATTCCGGGGCGATCGGTAACCTTGATTGAGATAAGCTTATTTGGGACACCATGCGGAAACAGGCAGGGTCATCCCCGCGCAAATGCTACTTTCTCGGCCTCTTTAAGATTTTGGCTAGAGGTCTGCCTGTTGGATGAACTTCACTTCACCTTCACATTGCTGTGAATTAGTCGCTAGTACTTCGCGAGCCACCCAACGCGCTCCCAACCTGGCATTGCTGCGCAGGGAAGCTGCCCTCTGCCGCACTCTGTCAACAAAAGTCCGCTTCACCCTCAAGTCTTTCTAATCCATCTCATTGTGGCTACTAGCTAACACTTTATTCTCAGTGGCACCGCACATCCCACCTGTTCCGAACACCTCTTTACTCTCTCCCTTCGCCACCTCATCCTCCTGCGCTACGCACCATGGGTAAGAAGAAAGGCGGCGCCAAAGCGGCGCAACATGCGCACCATGGTCAGCAGCAAGGGAGCCGATCATCAGACACAGCAAAGCAGGTGCCATTCAACAGAGATACTGGCAACTTCTCGTTACCAGATCGACTGGCTCAGGTCCACCAAGGTGAATACCATGACTTCTTCCGGTACTGCCAGAACAGAGTTGACATATATGCTGCAGTGGACGCCTGGAGATCTTACAGAGATGGCACAAACAATCTTCAGACAGCCGCTGATTTTCAACCTTTCTTCCAATCTCATCCCACCCTTTTCGGCAGCGGCCAGCAGCACGTTCCTTCTTGGGCTCCGCTAGGTCACAATGCAGGCCTAGAGGCACCACAAGGGCAACAAATGTACACCCCGCCGCAGCTTGGACAGCAGGCATATCCTCTCGCTCCACAAGCAGTGAACCACAGTATACCGCCCTTCCAACGTCCAGCACCTGTCGAACATTCGCATTTCAAGCCATACCAGCCTCTAAGGTTAGTTCACAGCTACGCTCGGTATCCTTCGTATCGAGTTAATAAACCTTACAGGGTGTCCAATGGTACAGTTGAGAGACAGGTCATACAGCAGGCAAGTAGTGCCTTGCAGGGTCAATCTCGAGCTCAAACGCAGGATCCACGTCGTCGATCTAAAGCTCGCCAGATACCCGCACCAACTGTGCAGGCTCCGCCAAAAACGAGAAGCGGGCGCTATCCACTGCGCAGTAGGAGACCCGATCAGATTGCCCCCTTCAGTACTGGCGTCGCAGACAAGTTTCTCAAGTCAGTCACGACTTCGAGTAGCTCTGCTCTCCCAGGAGGACCGGCAGCCCAGAGAACCTCTCGGCACCCCAGCCTGGATCCTGCCGGGGAGGCCCCACGTCCGACGGAAGAGTACGGGAGAAATGCTGCGCTCAATCCTGCCACCAGAGACAGACCACAAAAGCTCTTGGTCATCCTCGACCTCAATGGCACTGTGCTTGTTAGACCAAACAAGAGCAGACCTAAGAACGTCATTGTGAGGCCTGGTATTCCTTCATTACTGGATTACCTCTTCCGGAATCATGTGGTCATGGTATATACTTCGGCGAGGCCTGAGAACTGCGCTGCCATGGTGGAGAAGTTCTTTCGTCCAGACCAGCAGGCGGCATTGGCCGCTGTGTGGGCCAGGGACAAATTAGGCTTGACTCGGGAGCAGTATTACAATAAGGTCCAGGTATACAAGCGATTGGAGCCGGTCTGGCAAGATGAGACCATCCAGAGGAAGGCAGATCCGGGCAAGCGCTGGGATCAAAGCAATACTGTGCTCGTGGATGACAGTCAAGTTAAAGCGCTGGCACAACCGCACAATCTGCTGCAGATCCCAGAATTCCTCAACAACGAGCCCAAAACTGGAATAAAAGCGAAACTAGCCTGGCGCGTTGCCGAAGAAGCTACTGTGCAGTCTGTACAGCAGAAGCTGGAAGAACTCACGTGGCAGGTGGACGTGTCCAGGTTGATTCGGGAATGGCAAACCGGCAAACGACAAGCACCCGGTGTTGTGGACGAAACTGTTGATCAAAAAGCACTACAGAACGCCGGAGACCGTGCATCGTCTCCCACACCCGACCCGAGCATTGGCGACCGAGAGTCGTCTTATCAACCAGAGCAGCTACAGACGCCGAGGGAATCTCCAATGCCTGTGTCCGGAAAAGACCTGCCACAATACAAGCCAGTAGAAGTCGAAATGGACGATGGAGTAAGTCGCGATGACGATGGCGGCACCACCCTGGACGATCTGCAAGCCCAAATTAACCGGAGTCTCAGTCTGAATCAGAGCCTATCAACCCAGAATCAAAGCCAACATCAACATCAACTGACCGCTGGTGCTGCTACGGGTGCTGGTGCCGTGGCTACTATTGATGGGATTAAGAAACCAAGGCGCAGTGAGTCATCTGCTCGTGGGGGTGATTTGGCTGACGCTGTCAGAGAAACTCAAGAGGAGCCCCGAGTCTCTGGCCAGACTTCAGGCACGAGCACAGTACCGGCACGAGAACAGGCGGGCAATACGAATGGCGCGAAAGGCAAAAAGGCGAGCAAAGGACACGGCATCCAAGGCAGCACGACAAGCGCAACACGCCGCCATGACAAAGATGAAGAAATAGAGGCCTCTTGTCGAAACACAAGAAATGACGGCGCCGAAGGAGGGAACGTAAACCTCAACGAAACGACAGTTCATGAGCCAATGACACCTGAGAGTCTAGGTGCTTGAGACACAATAGTAAATGGGCTCGGGCTCGGACTGCTGCTTTGCTGTTACAGTACGGTAGTCTATGAGACGCGCAACACCTCTCTGCCCGAGCGGCAGTAATCAGGCTTTGCTGCACCACAACTTATGCTACTGTAGCTGACTGCTCGTACTTGAGCTCCACGAGCTGAGATTGTCCCGTCCATATGCTTTATAGGCCCTGAGCTTTCAGAAGCACACAGGACCGGCTGCCGTCTAATTAGGCTGGCCCCTAACTCGCGGCATTTGCGCAGCAGGATAATGCGTTATTGGATGATGGGTTTCTGGCTTCTCTCCACTCTTGAGATTGAATGACGACGAGCTCACGAAGTCGTGAGACCATACAGGGTTCAGAGATGAACAACGGTCCCTAGTACAACTGTCGTCGTATCATTTCGATGGTCGGTCCACCTCGCCGTCGTACCGGCCCTTCGTAGTCTTCGAATGTTTTGCTTTCAGAAGGTAGAATTACAGTCCTGTACAGGCCACTCCCTGTCAACGGCACGCGACATATCAGGTAGACTAATGAATCATCAATCATCCTTGCTTTGAATGTTTTTTGGCACGCTTTGACTCCTGAAGAGATGCAGGGAAAATCAAAATCAAACGGCCATGCCGCTGCTGATAGCTGAAGCGCTCTTGATAGCCTCTGGCAAGATCTCCCACCCGGCCTCGCCTTCCTGTTTCCTCCTTTTTGCCTCGTCTTCATACCCATTGATATCGAGCGCCCGGGCCTCCAAACCCGCAGTGACGTGCATCCACATCGGCGAGCCCCACCTCCTGGTCTGCTGGCTCGCGGCCTTTGCGCACTTGAGTGCCTGCTCATCAACCACGCCCTTGAAGAGTTTCTCTTGCATGTAGATGAGCGCGAGGGCCGTGGTCTGCGCGCTGCCGATAGCTTTGCCGGCCTCCATGGCGGATTTGAGGTATTGCTTCACCGTGAGGGTCGTGCCGGAGAGGACGGCGACGAGGAGGGAGAAATGGGCTTGGATGTATTTGTTCGCGCATGTTTGGACGGCGCCGTCGAGGCTTTTAATCAGCGAGGACAGGCGGTTATGTTGGGGGTGATTCGAAGCTTGGATGATAAAGGCGGAATTCATCGCTGCCAGGATGGAGAAGTTGCGTGTGACGTCCGAGTCTGGAAAGCACGAGCTTGTCTTTCGGTTAGATGCGCTTGAGACAGCCGAAGATGCAGATTGTTGTGGTGTGAGGTTGAAGAGAGGCGACTGGTAGACTTGCAGGGCAGTAACGAGGTCTCCGGTTCCTTGGAGGATGACTCCTCTTAGGTAAAGCACCGCATATCTCATGTTGAGTGGGAAAGCGTCACCAACGGCTTCGGAGATCGTGCTAACTTTGCCCAAGCCTCTGTTTGCCTCGTCGTATTGACCTTTCGAGCACTGCAGGAAGCTGAGCAACAACAAGAACTCGGCTTCCAACAGCTTCTGGAAGGCGTGAACTCTCTCAGAGTGTCGGTAACCCGCGGTGAGACTAGGCTTTGCCAGCGCTCGAACCCCTGATAAGCCTTCCGTTGCAAAGATCTCCGCCTTTCCACCATCTATGCCGTTTTTGTACGCTGAGCTGTCAGCGGAAAACAAGTACGCTAGAGCCTCGACTTCCTCCATCCCTAACCACGAGAACACAAGATAATACTTCCCGTCTCTCTCGACGACATGTTTATGAGCTTGCAGCTGAATCCCCCCGACAGTTTGTTTCGACATCGGGATATAGATCGAGCCGTCATCTCTCCAGCTGTTGTCTTTGGCTATCTGGTCGAGGACCTCAACCATGACCTTCCGCTTGGCATTGCTTTGTGCAATGTTGGATTCCCGTACGCTGCATGCAAGATCGATGAACTCCAGCAGGATGGTCATCTTTGGGTTGGACTCGACGTCTGGATTTAATTGCATAGCCCTGGCCTTTGCTAAAGCCGTTTGTGTGGCCGTGACCGCTTCATGACTCGAGCTCGACAGGTGTAGGAGAGCTTCTAGCGTCGCCGCAAAAGCAAGGACCCCGGCGTCCGAATTCTGCTTGGCTAGGACAGAAATCCTCTCCAGCTGCACGATAGCACTGTGGAATTCGCCAGGAGCGGAAGATGCCAATGAAAACATGGCGTGCTGAAAGCGAAAGATATACAACCAAACAGTGTGGCGGTAGGCTTCGATGTCTTCGATCATCCTCTGAATATCTCTTAGAGCGGCTTTCGGCTTTGATTCGTAAAGGACTTTGGAAAGAAGAAGCTGCATCTCGTATTTCAGATCGAGGAACTTGTGTCGTTCACATAGCTCTATTGATTTCGTCAGGGTCGTCTCAGCTTCGTCGTAATTTTCGGTTTCGTCATACAGTATTCGAGAGTAGCGCAAAGAGATCTGTGCTTCCTGCAGCGGAGGTAGCTTGAAATTGGCAAGGGCGGACTCAAGACAGCCGAGAGCCTTGGAGATCAAGGTATAATACCTTTCAGTTAGAGCTGGCAATTTGCGAGCTTCATCGAAATAGTCATCGGCAAGGACACAAAGGAGAGTGGGGTAATCTGGCTCTTGTTCTTCGAACTCCGTGGCCATGGCACGTGGAGGGGGTGGTTTCGATGCCGTCGGCGGGCTCTTGACTTTGACCTCGACCGATTGCAAGGCGCCGTTGTGGCTCTGTTGAGTGGATCTTTGAGGAGTTACGGCGGTAGAGGTGGAAGTCCGGTGTGAGCTGCCATTCGCAAACTTTTTCTGCGGCATGGTAGGTTTGGGTACTTCGATCACCATTCGTGGCGGCTCAGCTTGTCTCATGCGGTCCTGAGGTGATTGTGATACATGGCGATACTGCTGCTGCTGCTGTTGCTGTTGCTGTGGCGGTTGTGGCTGTTGCTGCTTTGGTTGCGGAGTCCAGTGGTACGACGATTCGACCGCCGCTGGTGGCTGAAATTGGGCTTGGAAGCTGGACCGAAGCTGTTGAGGTTGCTGAGGCTGCTGCTTCGGTGGGGCGGAGTGAATGGGATGACGGGGCACGATGACTTCTATCTCGGACTGGGGGAGCACTGGAGGCAATATGGGTTGGGTTGGAGGATGACTGTGATAGAAGTGGTGTGAAGGCTGCTGGAATTGGAACTGATATTGTTGCGCTTGATTACTGTAGTACTGAGGATAGTTTTGCTGGACAGGCTGGGAATACGATGATTGATGGTAAGGCTGGGCGTTGGAATTGGGAGCCTCCTGTGAATACGGATTGACTGCGAATCCAGGTTGAGAATAGTTGCCGTTGGATTGGTAAGTGAAGTTGCCATTCCAATTGGCATTGTTGTAACAGTAGTTGTGATCCATGTTGTAGGCGGGATTGCAAGCTGTCGCGCCCTCTTTTCATTGATATCTCTCTTTACTCCCTCACTGCCCAGCACGCGTCTAAATCTGACAGGACCTCATACAGTGGGAGGACATTTGTACGGGTTCCTTGCTCGACATTCCCGGCTCATCCGACCCAGCATATGCCATCTGCCTTTGCATGGGCCCGTTTTGACAACGGTGTTTGACGGCGATATCACATCGCGCTCATACAGCCCTCTCCGCCGTCAGGGCTGCACTAGTCTGCCAAGAAGGCCTAGCCCGATTTGTCGTCATCCTAATCGGTTCGCAGTAGTGTAGACAGTACTGTGTATGCCTTGGTTGCTACGTACTTGGGAAACGTGAGTATCGTCTACACTGATTTACGCACAATATTTATAGAAACTCCCTTAGTTCGACAGCTCTCTCTACAACAAGCTGCCTATCGACAGGATGAGGATGGCATAGGACGGCCGACTTGCGGCAGAATCAGCATGGACCTGATTCAAACATCTGTCTCTCAAGCGCAGGACCATCCATTCCTTAGCACGTTCGTCGGCTTCACGCTCCTGGCTGCTGTTGCCCTCGTTCCAAGCCACGCACTAAGAATGGTGAAACCACGATACTGGCATTCTACGAAATCACTGGTCCTAAAGACGAAAGACGGCAAGACGACCTCATTTGCGGATCTATGCAAAACACTCATTCCACCATGCCGACTCAATCCGTTCCTATTCAATGGCCATTTGCAGACTATATGGACGACTTTGACGAAACAATCTGTCCCCATCTACTACAAGCGCCGGATCTTTGAGAACGAAGATCCAGTATACACAGGTCAATTCTCTGTTGATTTCGTCACCGCGCCCAACGAAAAGCACGACCCAGGTCTACCACCGCGCACTAGCTATTTTACTGAGCAGGAGCTTCAGGATATTGGTTCGTTGGATAGCAAGCCGATGCTAGTGATGCTACATGGTTTAAGTGGAGGGTCGCATGAGCTCTACCTCCGCCATGCGCTTGCACCTCTGGTAGGCGACGGTGGGTGGGAAGCATGTGTGGTGATCTCGCGAGGTTGCTCCGGGACGAAGATCACCACCAGTGTGCTGTACAATGCACGGGCCACTTGGGACGTGAAGCAGGTAGTCCAATGGCTTAGGAAGACATTTCCTAACCGTCCACTGTTTGGCATGGGCTTCAGTCTCGGTGCCAACATCATGACGAACGTAGGCACATGATTCTTTGCGATCCCTTCCCTGTCCGCCTGCTGATGAGCTTAGTACCTGGCCGAAGAGGGCAGTGAGTGCGCGTTAAAAGCGGCCATCATCCTCTCCAACCCCTGGGATCTCATGGCAGGCAGCCTAGCCCTGCAGAGGACCTGGTTCAACCGCAACGCCTACTCTGCCACTATGGGCAAGAGCATGAAGAGACTTTTCGAGCAGCACGTCGAACACATCTCGAAAAATCCCATGATCAACGTCGACGCCGTGCGGAAGATCAAGTACCTCCACGAATTCGACCGGCATGTCCAAGGTCCCACCTGGGGATATCCCACAGAAGGAGCATATTATCGCGATGCTTCTTCTGTCGATTCTGTGATGGCCATCAGAATCCCTTTTCTGGCTATCCATGCTGAAGACGACCCGGTAAGCCGACCTTTCGCCGTTCCCCTGGTGCTCCGAAGCTGATGGAGGGCAGGTAACCGCGAGCGAAGCGCTGCCGCGAGAAGAAGTCAAGCAGACTCCGTACGGCGTGCTGTGTACGACCCCGGGTGGTGGTCATTTGAGTTGGTTCGAGCTCGGTGGCAGACGGTGGTTTGAGAGAGCTGTACGTATTGCCCACATAACTGTGACTTGTCCCCCTCCAGCTGACCCTTCTTCAGTCGACAGCATTCTTCCAGGCCATGGCCAGCGACATCGACTTGGACTCCATCTCCAAGACAGACGTCAGCGACGCTCAGCTCGAAGGTCAGATATCCCGCGCAGAGCGAGAGCCTCTGAAACCAGTCTTTGAGCCGATGCGGCGGAAGATGCACATCCCAGGATTATGAGTTCCCGTGTAGAGTGTGAAAACGCACACCACTCCAGTCATAGACACTCATAGAAGCATAGAGTGCGTAGACGAGCATAGAGGTGACCCGATCACTGTCCACGCCCTCAAGCAAACGAAACCCTCTTCTTGTTCTTCTTTACGCCCTCTTTCTCACTTTTGGCCACCTCAGCATCACCAGCATTCCCATCTCTCCGCTTCTTGCCTTTCTTCAACTCCTTCTTGACCCCCTCCAGCTCCTCCTTCTTGCCCTCCTTCCGCCTCTCCATCTCCGCCCGTCTCGCCTCCCGAACCTCCTCCAACTGCCGCGCCCTCACCAGTTTACTCTCAATCTGCCCTTCCTTCTCGGCCGTCACCATCGCCAAGATCGTCCTCATCGATTTCTCGTCGTCGATGTAGATTTTATTCTTCTTCTTGCCAGTCCCGCCGCGACGGGCCAGATTCGTGGGATTCTCGGGCGCGGTGACGGGGGTTATCATGTTCAGGGCGGGGAGGTCGAGGTCTTTGGCCGAGTAGGTCTTTTCTTTGCGCTTCGAGGGTTTGCCCGACGAGGAAGCGGCGCCCGAATGCACGCCGGGCTTGGTCTTGATTTGTTTTGGCGGTGGCCGTTTCGTGACCTTGGACTTGGATTTTGAGGGGCCTGCCGTGGTGGACTTGCGGGCTTTGGGGTTCTTCTTGGTGGCGGTCTTCATGGGCGCCATGTTACAACCGGCTCGGTGCCTTTGGATTACGGAGTAGGCGACTGTAGATAGTGACACTGGGAAGTCAGGATTCGACGCGGGCGAGGCTGGCTCGTCGGTGAACTTTTTCCATGTTGCGATCCGAAGTTGGGCCGGTCTCGACTGAGGCCCGCAAAGTCGACGTCATGATCTAGTGAAGATGGAGATCACCCAGAGATGGGGGGATGAGCTTCAGAACTGATCACTGCGAGGTACCTCGTCGTCGTAGCCGACTGACTACACACCTCTTATAGCCTCATGCACTGTCGAACATTGAAAAAGCTGTCATTTACTTTGCTTGCCTCGAGCTACGCTATATACAGGTTCTGTATTGATACCCGCGGGGCACTCTGATCTCTCGCTTCCAGCTGCGCGTAAAGTGTAACACCTATCCACGACAATGCCACCCCCATCGCACATAACGGATATCGCCCCACCCCAAGCCCTCACCCCAATTGCGGCCTCTGGTTTCGCCCAGGGCGCGTTGCGCTTCGGCGTCATTTCCTTCGCCAGTCACTTTCTGCTGAACCGGTACACACCTCTCTACCGCGGTCTTACGGTACAGTTCAAGGTCTTCATCCAGATATCTGCCATGACGCTAGGAGGATGTATCTTTGCAGAGAGGGCAGTTGGAGAGTTCAATGAAGGAGTAAGGCGAAGGAGGCGGGCGTTGGCGAGGAGCGAGAGGGCCTGGGAGGAGGAGAGGGAACTGCGGGAGATGGTCGAGCGGAGGCATCAGGAGGCGGACAAGATGCAGACTCCAGGACGAGGCGATTGAACTTGAAAGTGAGGAAGCAAGGACAAGACACTGCATCCGCTGAGAACTTAGGAGCACGGTTTACTTGGCCGTTCATTTGGTCTGCGTCACAGTCGAGCTCCTTTTTACAAGCGAGGATTTGACCTGCGCGTTGAGGAGGGACTGGCCGTGAGCCACGAGCCGTTCGAGAATCAGGACAAGGAAGTGCTCAGCACAGCCTTTACACTAGTGCACTTGCTGAAGCAGAGATCGAAGAACAGATCCTCTTCGGGTGGGCATTGTTTGCCGCTGCCGAGGAGGACTGGGACACAAGTTCGGTTCGCACAGGGTATGCAGGTGCAGGTTGCCTTTTTCTAGCTCAGGCAGGAAGAATGCCGCAGTCGACGAGCTCTCTGGATGACGAAAGGCGGTCTCTGGAGTGATGGACTGATGGATGATCCTACCGAGCAGGTGCCGGTTCTGAGCAGACTAGATGGACGCAAGGCAGCGTCGTTCGGGTCAAGGAAAGAGAGTATTGCCTTCCAGGTGGAAGCGATGACCCATTCTTGCGGAACAGTCGTTACGTGCTTGCCTTAATCTCCCTGCTTCGAATACCCTGGCACAAGCTGCAGTCGATACCAAGAGCTTTGCTGTCGGGCGATGACAGGGCTGTGCATTTCAACTCCAAACATTGGCGGAGAGCAGGCCACTCACATTGCGTTACTGTATAGCCCTGGTCGCTCGTATGCAGCCATGCATTAGCGTCAGCGGTGGTGGCCTCTGTAACAACCTTTGTCTACTCCGTACAGTAGCTGAGGCTGAGGACTCGATCAACTCCTTCCAACAACTTTGGTAACCCGCCATCATGAGTACCCGTTTGACTCGTCGCAGGGTCTGTCTCACAGCGCAGCCGGCGTCTTATAAGTTGAGGCCTCCCCTTCCCAGAGCCTTCTGACTTCTATGCCTGCGAGTACTCCCGCGAGAGAGCGCAGCAATGGAGCCGCGCAAAAGAAATCATCCCCATACTCGAAGAGAATGGGAGGAGGAGATCCGGCCTACCTTTACGGCGCTCTATCGCGATCAGAATCTCAAGCTGTCAGAGATCGTGGATATCATGAAGGCACAGGGGGTTCGAGCAGAGTAGGTGCATACTCGATCTGCACCCAGCCTTACGCGACTGACCTGGTTCTGAGGGCATGCCATTACAAGACATATATCAAAAATTGGGGACTCGACAAGAGGAACAAGGTAAGTGCTACATGTGCATCGTATGCCCGTGAATGAGGCTGACTCCTTCCTCTCCAGCAATCTGACATGTTATTTGCCTTTCAGAAGCTTCAAGAACGGCATGGGAAGGACACTATCTTCTCGATTCGAGGTCAGAAACGCAGCCGACATGATGTCGAACACTACTGGAAGCGGAGGCGGCTTAATCCAGCAGAATTCTCTCCCGCGACGCCTGGTGGCGCCACATACCGCACCCCAAGCCCATGTCCTGATAGAGATGCTTCTGCGGGCGACACAGAGCATCCTGTGGAAGGAATCCTCAGCTCCACTCTTGTCCGAAGTTCGAGCCCTGATCTCGCCCGGATGAACAGCCAGCTATGGCTCGTAACCTCTCGGCCAACCGGTGTTCGCATACTCAATTCCCCTGACTCACTCAGGCTGCAAGACCAGGCACTTCATTACGCCAGACTGTATTTCCAGGTCTGTGCTGAAGACGTGGCTCACGACGAGAATCTCAGTATCTGGCAAGAGGCAGCCACCATAGTGAGCGAGTTCAGGGTGAGGCTTACGAACCTATTGGTAGCTATGGAGTACCGCCATTCACGGGTCAACGCGGAATCTGCTCGGCTTGACATGGACGAAATCTTGCCCAAACTTGCCATGATTCCGCCTCTGCCTCTGATGGCGGCCATGCTATCTACGGTGGTCCATTGCAACGAATTCGGACAAGAAAAGGTTTCAAATTGGGGTACAGCGCTCAGTCGTCAGATCATGAGCGCAATGGCCGAGCTGCATATTCAAGGCCGTTCCCTGTTCATGGCCCTACAGGCAGCCAGTCGATCATCCAGCGTCGCAAAAGAATTGTCACACCGACTATTGCTGGCGGGGAACGACATCCTAGCCCGTCGTCTTGGTGAGCAGCACGAGGAGAGCTGCCGCCTGCTTTCGGTCATGGTGGAAGCTGCTATCGCTCTTGCAGATAAGAACGCAGCTCTCCGGAGTGCCAAAGACCTCTTTCGGATTCAGTTGTGGAAATACAATACCAATACGACTGAGGATAATCTCATTAACCTCTTGCTGGCCAAGAACTATCTTATCGAATGTCATATCGGGCTCGAAAACTTTAGCGAAGCCCAGAAGCTGATCGGTGACGGCCTCCGCATCTGCATCCACGGTGGGCCTTCAGGCTGGCGGGACGAATTCCAATCGAAGTTCCACTTGGCGCAGTCCGTTGTGGAATTGGGAAAAGATCGCCTGGTAGCAGCAGCTGAGTTCCTGACCAAGGTGCTTACCATGAGGCTGCGATCGCACGGAGCTGGAGATGGCGTGGCTGCGATTGCTGCGGAGTGGCTTAAACGGATCTTTGAAGACCAGAGAACGAAAGTGCAGGTCTTGAGCGATGAGGAGGCAGGTTTTAACCCACATGGACAAGAGAACGTTCTTAATGCCGAAGTAGAGGATGGCATTGTAATTGATGAGGAAAGCCACCGTGTCGCTGAACGGGAAAGGGTTTGGGGGGACGAAATCGGCCCGCCAAGCCAAGAGGCCAGCGTGGGCCTAATTTCTCAGCAGAAGGGAGACTCTGATGCTGGAGTCGGCAATGCCGGAGTAGCAGCACCCATGGCGGAGGTGCGTCAGGGACCGTGGTTCATCCCACAAGAAGAGAGAGAGATGTGGAGCGACGTGCAAGCAAAAGAATGGGCCCAGCAAGGCGGACAATCACACCAGATGGACTGGACTGATTACTTCGATACTTGGTGAACGGATGGACAAGGCTATATTCTAGAGTGCGCGACATAGGGTAAATGATAAGCAACACAATCGATGCCCCGGGTCCAATGTCTAAACACTAGCTGAATATCTTCTGTTGATGAAGCAAGTGCTGGCTGTGCTTGCTGTTTGCAGTTCCAACCAGGGCATCTGATATACTCTAAACCAGCGAGGCATGTACCTCAACCTGGGTCTTACTGGCACCAGTTCCCCCCTAGTACCCACTCTTTGACTCTGAGTATCCGGCGAGGTTGACGTCGGATGCCACCAACGGACCCGAGTTACCTGGCGAGCAGGATTGATCCCTATCACAGCATGGTTCTCCGTCCCATGCAGGCGTGACAGCACATCCCCGGAACCAGCAGTGAAAGCAGCGCGAGTAGCGCAACTCCCTCTGACCATCCCCTTCCCCTTCCTGACGAGTATATGAAAATTCATGGCCTAGACTGAACGTCTTGCAGCCATGGTAGACAGATCCTTGTTGGCCGGCCGTGCGGATATCTAAGGGATGGTCTGGGATGAGCGAGCGTCACGGGGTGGTTCGCGGTAGGGGTGACCTTATTGTCATGAGTGTGACGAGATGGCGGTAGTCGATCGCCTTCCGGACCCGCATATGCTTCTGTGGATGAGAGCGTGGATGTTTGTCTGGCTCGGTGTGTTGCGTCTTTGTTGTCCTGTGCTTTGCTGTGCCGTGCTTTGCTGTATTGCGTCAAATATGTAGTACCGGACGTCATGGCACGCTGGCGCTGGCGCTGGCGCTCGCATTCGCCTTCGCACTCGTGGGCGCTGGCCTCCGTGACGATGCTTTGGACTGGACGAGCCTTCGTGTATCTTGCTGCACGATGGACATTCCTTCTTCTTGCTTTGTGGCGGAAGGGTGTTCACTTCCTTGCTTCGGGACAGGAGAGAAGGGCCGGTTCTGCATTATCCGGAGCTGGGGCGGGATTTTTCTCAGACCGTTGGTAGATTCCTTTGACATCGACGTGGCATGCATTTCCTGTGCAGCAGGCAATCTTGAACGATTATGGTACAGTACTTGCGCCACGACACTGCCATCCACGAATACTCCTGCGCGGAGTCTCACATGGGTAACGTGATCCGATGACGCTGTCCCGCAGCAGCAAATCCGAGATGCCGCCCTCGCAGCACAACTTTTGCACTGTAAAGAATCGAGACGTCCGTTCCCGTAAGTAAGGAGGCGTCGAAAGTCGACTCCTGCATGTTCCGCATCCACGCTTCAGGCTTGAGACTCTCGCCGTAATTCACACGGCAGAGGTGTTCGTCGACGGCGGCGCGACTTGACGTGCCTCGTACTGAAAGAGAGGCCACTTCCTCGCGCGTACAGTCCGCATATAGTTCGCTTGGTCGTCCGGGATCCGGGGTAGCTCGGCGGTAAATTCGCGGCTCGCGTAGACTCGATGCATGGCAGCGGCGCCGGCGACCACGATCCCTGCAACGAGGATGCAGAGGAAGACGACGAGGCCGTCCGAGAGGCCCATCGTGAAGACTTGCTGGTTGAGTGACTGACTGATGGACCGTGTTTGTGTCTTTGTCTGGCTGGCGATGAGCAGCCAGGTAGAGTTAACAGTGACGGCGGCAATAAGTTCCCAGGACGAAGAAACGCTCGACGCCTGAGGTATGTGAAGGCTTCCAGCACGAGGACAGTAAATCGATGCTCGAAGAGGGTCAAGGCTTCAAAAGCCCGAGAAAAAGACTCACATGGCAAGGGGCGCGGGTGCAGTATACATTAGCGGAGGGGTAGGCAGTGTACACAGCACGCCGTGATGTGCCCAGAGATACACTACCCAGCACGAGTCAGGAGTACGCCATACTCCATAACTGTGTATAAATCCCTATGCGCCGTTCGGCACGTTGGCGCATCCGTGGCATGTAACGTGGATGGAGACCAGCATGGGCGTGGGAAAGGCGTGGAATTGGGGGGATTACGACGCCCCGAGGCAGACTTGCATATCAGAGATGCCTCTTTCGTGCGCGTACCCGAACAACCCAATAACAGTGGGTTCCCACACCGACGCGTCAAGGCAGACAGTTTCGCAACCATTGCACTGAACCGGAAAAGCCTGTCGAGGCTGTGAGTGACTGTCTCAGGTTGTGTGCATATTTTCCAACCCGTGAAAGGTTGTTGGTCGCGCTTCGGTCCAGGTGAGCCGGATACATCCGGAGGGTGCCTTAGTTGTCCCTGAGCAAATACGCCCTATTGTGTACCTGAACGGTGTGGCAGTGCACACAATGGATCGTGCAGCATGTGAAGCCGCAATGACCGGGCAAGTATTTGAGTTCACTAGTTCTGCAAGGCTGTGGGAGTTTGCCCATGATGATGGAGGAGGCATGGCCGCGTAGCCGGCGCCGAGCCACTGTAAGGAGAGAGAGTGGTGGAAGAAGAGGAAGAGGAATAGAGTCAGTGAGCCTTGCGACGTAGCACGCTCGTTCTTGTTATCGCTTAGCCGGTGGATTGCCATTACTCAACACCATGGGCCCCGCCAGGGGAGACGACGCTGGCTCCTGGACGCAGGTTACGGACATAAAGCGAGCATGAGCGAACAAGTCAATCTGCATTGCGTGGCCGATGCTGTGGGGAAAGGCGCACAATACTCCTTACGGTGCGTACTCCGTACTTTGTATCCTCTTCGCTGGATCACCTCGAGGAATAAAGGCAATTTATCTGCTTACAGTATTCTCACTTGCTGCTAGAGTATCCTGTACTGATTTGCTTTGTCCTCACACTCAAGCGCTACCACGCCTAAAAGTCAAATAATCTGCGTTCAGAAGTGAAGAGACGCTCAGCTGAGACAACTCTCACTTAGGAGTAAGGAGACAGTCAGCTAAGAAAACTCTCATTCAGGAGTGAAGAGACAGTTAGTTGAGCCGAATCTCACTTAGGGACACAGAGACGGTCACTAACATCACTCTCATCGAGGAGTGAAGAGACTGTCAGCTACCTCCTCGATGCCTCGAGGCGCTCTGCCCAGAATGTCTTCGATCAAGGGATCGACCGTTGCGGTCTCCCCATTCGCAATCCCATCATGCCAACCTGCCCAGCTCTCAATGACCCAGAAGCCGCTTTCCGGAACACTCTTGTTCTCTTTGTGATATCGTTCAGCCTCCTGTCTGCCTACGATGTTGACCTTGACTTTGCGACCAGTACATTTCTCAACGATCTTTGCAACATCACTAATGCTGGTGGCTCTGGGCCCCGTGAGATTCAAGGTTTGGCCAAGATATCCCTCGTAGTTCTGAAGGATCTTGGCAGTGGCTTCACCTAAGTCGTCCCATGTGACCCAGGACACAGGACCGTCGTTGGGAATGACAAACGTGATCTCACTAGTGTCGCCTTTCTTGAAGGTCTGTGGTTGGAAGCCAGCGTACAGCCACCAGCTTTCCGCGTAAATGCCCTCTCTCACAATCACATACTGCAGCCCAGTTTTGGTGAGATACTCGATGGTCTTGATGTGCGCTTGTTGGACACCGGCTATGCTGTCCATGCCTGTCTTGCCGCCGAACATCAGACTCGAGTAAATGATGGTCTTTACTCCAGCGGCTTTGGCAGTGTCGATGGCGGCTTTGTGATGAAGCCATCTGTCGACGCTCGGCGAAGGGTATGAGACCAGGAAAAGAGCATCTGCTCCTTTGAATGAGGACGAAAGTGAATCTGGAGATGTAAAATCGCCCTCGCGTATCTCAATGCCAGCTTCCTTGGCAGCAGGTGGGACTTTGCTGGGATTGCTTGTTGAAATGATTAACTGGGAGGGTGGGATGAGCTTCTGGCGCAAGAGGGTGTCGAGGACCCGGGAGCCCAGGTTTCCGCTTGTGCCGGTGAGTACCAGCATTGCGAGTGATGACAGACAGGCTCAACGTCCGATGTAACTGACGGATACACTACTGGCGCAAGAGTCGTTGTATATCGTCCGCAAATAATCTTGGAGAGAGAAATCGTACTCGAGACCGAACGCTTACCTGATTTTCATGACGTTTCCTCGCTTCGGCAGTTGTTCTCCGAGAAGAACGCGAATTCATCAGCAGTCCTTTATCTTGACTGTGGAGGACCGGAGCAAGAGACTGCTATCGACCATCAGTAGACCTCGACATGGTAGGACTTGGGTGCAACGTCTGTGTTTCTGGCCAAGGCGTTTGACCCGTACATGGAGAGGAGCAGCAGGATTCTGCTTGGTAGACTTCGAGCCCCAGCTGTTGCCGTCGAGAAGGGGCCTGGAAATGTGCTTGAGTAGGGTGGAGTATCTTGCAAAGTTGGTCCACCGTAAAATCAATATTCCATCTTGACGCGTCCGACGCGCCTGCGCTTTGCAATTGAGCCCTCCGAAGAATTCCTATCCGTCCATTGCTGCCCTGTACCAATCCACCTGCAACTGCCTGGACAATGTCAGGGCAACCCGAATCGTCCTCCGCTGGGGCAAGAAAGGCTCTCCATGCCAATGCCAACGGTACAGCGCCTGACTACGAACTGCCCTGGTTGTTCACCCCGCCTTATTTGCATGTTAACGCCGCTAACCCATGTCCAGGGTAGAGAAATACCGACCTGTCTACCTCGATGATGTTGTGGGAAACTCAGAGACGATTGAGCGACTCAAAATCATCGCCAAAGATGGGAACATGCCTCATGTCATTATCTCGGGAATGCCCGGTATTGGCAAAACGACCTCGATCCTATGTCTTGCGCGTACTCTACTTGGTGATGCATACAAGGAGGCTGTCCTCGAGTTGAATGCTAGCGACGAACGAGGTATCGATGTTGTACGGAACAGAATCAAAGGTTTTGCCCAGAAGAAGGTGACGCTGCCTCCGGGTCGACACAAGCTGGTGATCTTGGATGAAGCAGACAGGTACGCAGGCAGGTGACCATTCCATGCGTACGCAACTGACGTGGACGTCAAAGCATGACTGCTGGAGCGCAACAAGCTCTGCGAAGAACCATGGAGATTTACTCGAACACAACTCGCTTCGCCTTCGCTTGTAACCAATCAAACAAGATCATCGAACCTCTGCAGTCGAGATGCGCCATCCTACGATATTCACGCCTGACGGACGCGCAAGTCGTGCAACGGTTGATGCAAATAATCGAGGCAGAGAAGGTCGAGCATACCGAAGACGGCCTGGCTGCTCTCGTGTTTAGCGCCGAGGGCGACATGCGACAAGCCATCAATAACCTGCAGAGTACGTGGGCAGGATTCGGTTTCGTCAGCGGGGACAACGTATTCCGAGTTGTCGACAGTCCGCATCCCGTCAAAGTTCAAGCAATGATCAAGGCATGCTGGGAAGGGAAGATCGACAGCGCTGTCGACTCGCTCAAGGAGTTATGGTAAGTCGCATCCATCACATTCGAGGGAAATGTCCGCAAATGTGGGACGCGTCACTGATCGGTCCGGTGCAAACCTAATAGGGATCTTGGGTACTCCTCACACGACATCATCAGCACTATGTTCCGGGTGACCAAGACGATTCCGACGCTTTCGGAGCACTCGAAACTCGAATTCATCAAAGAAATTGGCTTCACTCATATGCGCATTCTCGAGGGAGTGCAATCTTTTCTGCAGTTGAGCGGCTGTTTAGCGAAATTGTGCAGGATTAACATGAAGCCCGAATTATTCGAAGTGCCGACGTGAAAGAGCTAGCAATCAGAAAAAGGGTCAACCGTCAAGGCCTGATGATCAGGGGAATGTCCCTCACGAGCGTCTCGGTGGACGGAGCGGACGACGACACGCGGCGAGATGAAGGGGTGATGAACATGACGGCTTGGCAAAAGGTGCCCAGTCTGCCAAATCCGCCAATCTGCGATTGAGCTCTGCGGCGAGGGCACCATCGACACGGCTCTCGGGAGTCGGGCCTCAGCTTCCGAACCACCGATATGAAGCATAGCTCAGCCTTCCACCGGGAATCCGCGTCATCGCTACAACGAGTTTGGTGATTCAGTGACGTTTGACGACCGTCAGCTCCATACGGAATACTCGCGGTGCTCTATGAATCATCTGATGAGAATCGAACTTGGAGGCCGTTCGAGGAAGCGTGGTAGGACACGCGGATTGCTCTGGCCCGTATTCGCCCGTCAGGCGCACAGCGGAATCTCCAACCAGAGCTGAGGCTGAAGCAAGGCCAACAACCAGAATTACTAGAAAAGTTTGAGGGTAGTCCTACAAGCATGGTGCGGCCGCCAGTCAGGCATTTGACGGGCAGTAAAAGTGCGAGCTCGTCGATACTTGAGGCTGAAGTGCAGATTTTCAGGACCGCAGTTTACGATTTCCCCAGGTCCGCAAAAATAGCCACGAATGAGGACTGATGTAATGCCGGCCCTTCAGGAAAGTTAGCCCCGATTAGGGTCCGTCGGAGTGTGACAAGCCAATCGATCACACGAGCCCAGCCGACTCCTTTCGGGCCCTTCAAATGGAACTAAATGTCCCCTCACTAAGCCGCAAAAGGACTAACCAATGGTTTTGTCCCTTGCTAAACGAATCTTGTGCGCTGACGCTTGGCAAACCTGCAGCAGAAATTCCCCCTTTTGTGGCTTGCATGACGCGTCGTCCCTCCGACCTCCGACCCTCGAGCTAAACTAATGCTAGCCAGGGCAGGTTTAGTCGTCTCGTCAATCCAGCCACTGGCACCCGAATCTGGTGCTAGCTGCTGCTAACTTCGGACTCCCAAGCAATGGCCTCAACCAAGCGGTAAGGCTGTGCACTCCACCCCCAGCCCGCGCCAGTTCTCTCACAGTCCGACTGCGGTGAAAACAAACGCATGTCCTGCCTGATCCTGAGGCCGAGAGATCCCTTCTATATCTTGCCCGTCCCTGCTGCTTCGCATTATACTTGCACTTCGATCAGCAACTCGTCCTTAAGACTTAGTACCTCCACGACCGATATCAGACCCTCACAGTCGATCTCCCTTTGCACGAAGGAGACAACTCGTACACCAGACCACCGCCAGTATGAAGTCCTTTGCAGCGGCCGTGCCCCTGGCAGCAGCCTTCTTTACCACATCCGCCCTCGCCTGGCTCCCCTCCTGCACGTGGTCTGACTGCATGGGAAGCTGGGATGGCTCCTCCTGCTCGTCGTCAACGGGCTGGGACTGCCTCTGCTCCAACCAGACAGCCATTTCCCAGTTGAACACCTGCGTCGCCACATCTTGCACAAACACCACCGATCAAGAGGGTGAGTTACAAATGATGTCTCGAGACAAGCAAGAAAGACCACAGAGCTAACCATTGGAACAGCCATCTACGGTGCTGTTGCACAGCTTTGCGCCAATGCCGGCAGCCCAGTCACCCACTCGCAAGAAGCCACCTTTAGCGCTACCTCCGGTGGCTCGGCCTGGCCTTCTCAGATCACCGCCGGCCCAGGCTTTGGCCCTGGTGGCGGCTGGAACTCCGATCAATGGTCCAGCTGGATCTCCGCCTGCTCTACCGGTCTGCCCTCCGCCCCTAGCGGCTGGGGTGGTCAAGGCCCCTGGGGCGGCCCGGGCGCCTGGGGCGGTAATGGCGGCGGTCCTGGCGGCTTCCGTGGCGGCCCTGGTGGTGGATGGGGTCCTTGGGGCACCAAAGCCAGCGGCATCGACTGCGACTCATGGACCACCTGGACCGCTGGCTGGGGTCCTTTCTCCTCGTGGACCGGCACCTGGTCTGGCTGCAGCACAACCACCAACTCTCCCGTGCCTGCCACCATCACCACGACCGTCACAACCGGTGGCCAGACTCAAGTCATCACCGGCACGACCTTTGGTATCCAGGCCGTCGCTGCTGCCACGACCGGCGCCGACTCCGACAGCGCGGCTCCTTCTCTGCGCGGTCTTAGCGCTTGCGGCGCGCTCGTGGCAGCCATTCTCGCCACCATCATTGCCTTGTAATCGAGGTCCACGATGGATCACCGATCTTGAACGAGTTTTGCATTGAGCGCTTTGATTGACGATACCTTTGCATGAGAAAGGATATGGCTGAACCACATGAGTATACTGGGACAGGCTGTGGCATGAATTTGACGAAGAATTGCGGGTTATCGTTGGATAGGATACCTATCTATCTATCTACCTATCTCCTAATTCTATAAACATTGTATTGCTATTAGTCCTGGCGGATACGATATCCATTTATCCTACATGTCTCCTTACAGCGAGTGAGGACTGATTCTCGTTCGCTCCCTCTGCCTCCTTTGGTTCAGTGACAGAAGGAAGCGTCTTACCCAGAGTACTATACTCCGTACACTGCCCCAAGCGTTGAGGACGCAAAAGGTTGACCACGTAAGAGCACTCCAGTACACGAGACTCAACCGAGGAGCTGTAAATGGACGATCCCGGCTGTATCAGACTTCATTTGCTCGCAGTAAGTGAGGCGAGAGCGTGGCTATCGTTTCTTATCTATCTTCTATGATTCTATGTTTCCTGACTTCCTACGGCGGCCATGACCGCGGATGGGTTCCACCGTCTAATGGCTGAAAGACCCGATGGCGTGTCTCGGGTCTGTCCTGCTGGTTGGCAGTTTTTTGTAGCCATCCCATGCATCGCCTTCACGTCTCTACTGTAGGTACATACGGAGTACCCTGTGGCGCATTCTATCTCACGCCCTGGACGCCGCGGCAGCAAACGCTGGTTTTCGGGGGCTCTGGTGGAAGCCTGTTCCCTCTCGCTAGTAGAGGCATGTACGCTGTCCTCGGCCAGGTAAGGGAAAGTACATTAGACCCTCTAAGCGGGATACCTATAAGATTTGACGGGGACGATTTGGCGGGCCATGAATTATGGCGAGCGGCTTAGTGAGAAGATGTGCCGTTACCATCGCTGTTCGGTTATCAATCGCAGTCGGTTCTCCGTTGGCGTCCGCCTCGAGTCGCAGTGTGAGCAACTCCTTATTTCCTTGGAGAGCGCCATGCGTACGGTTTGCACTGGGTACCAGCACTCTATCCTGTGGGCGAGTTCAGCATTCTGTCGACGACCAATTGGTGGAGTCACTAGAATCAAACCGAAGAATGCGCAGTGAACAGAGAGAGATCGACGTCATTTGGCGGGTTCGTCCGTACAGCTAGCGACCCACCGGCGCCACCCTCACCAAAGAGACTGAACTACAGTGTAAGAAGGTGCGGTAGGTGTGATAGAGGACATGCTCAGTTTCATGGTGTGAGATTTGGAGGAAAGACAGTTGATCACTGTTTACGACGGTGAATTGTTCCTGGGTGCGAATAACCTGTCTGTATTGGTGACTACGCGAGCAACATCGCAGCCGACCCTGCCACGAATGGTTGTCCGATGGTTGTTGCCTGTTTGCTGCCACTTGTTCCTGCCAGCGATGAGGTGACTGCGAATTTTGGATTCACAGCCAACTACAAGTTGATCAGTCCTACAACCACCTCATCAACCCTTTTATCCTACCCTTCCAAACCCTAAAACTGACCCTACGTGAAGAACCATGGCTGGAACCTCTCGCCGCATTCTCTTCTCCATCTTCTGGTTGCTCGGCCTTGCCTCCCTATCTTGGGCCCAAGATGTCGGCGACTGCGCGGTGAGTTCTCGATGAGTCACTTAGATTGCCCTCACCAGGCTGAGTATCATGAAGCTTAGTTGCATTGCCAATGTCAATGGCACAAGCTGTTCGCAAAGGTAGGATGGTTCCACTTGTACTATGGCCCAACACTAAGCATATGGACAGTGAATGGTCATGCCTTTGTGCCAACAACATGTACATCGAACGGATGAACAACTGCACGATGACTTCCTGCAATGCCACTCAGCAGGAGGGTAGGTTGGAGTCTTACGTTGCTGTATCGCACGCATACTCACTGAGCACAGTCACATTCTCTGCCGTTGCTGAGCTCTGCGCCATCATCAGCGTGCCTATCACCATCGGACCTGAAGCGACTGCATCCATAGCAACATCAAACCCATTGTTCAGTACAGTCGGTCTACCAACGCAGTCTAGCTTACCTCCAGTGTCGACCCCCATACTTTCAAGTGCTCCTGCAAGCTCAGAAATACTGGGATCAACGCCAGGCTCAATCGCCACGCAAGAGAGTCCAACATCTTCTGCAGAGAGCTCTTCACCGACGTCGGTCGCGCCTCCTACTAGCGCAACGGCTCCTCCTTCCCAGTCGTCGTCGAATGACCTGAGCCGCCTCTCCTCACCTTCAGGATTATTAGGTCTGGTTCTGGGCGTGGGAATTGTGAGCATCTTGAACATGTTCTGGATATGAAGACAGCGGATCAGCAGCCGGGATGTTCAGGCGGCGCCCCTTGGGCAAACCGCTACGAGCCTTCATGCTCAAGAAGCGAGATCAGATGGCGGACTCTGTTTGCACAGTGAGGAGCAATGGTTCGTGCAGGCTGGCCCGCTTGCACAGGGCAACCAATGGTGGCTTTCGCCGGTAAGACGAGGCTAACAACGACGGGGAAGACTGAGGCTTCGCCGAGGAGCGGTAGCCTTAGGCTTGGTCCAGTGGGAGGAAGGCTTCTCCTTAACTGGCGCTCAGACGATTATGACATAATTGCGAATGAGATTACTGCTTTCCACGGACTTGAAACTCCTGCCTGGAGAGTTCCAGCGAAAACCACGGCATCGCCTCGGAATACGGCTATCCGGGCCCTGGCACAGTCCTTGATACATGGCATTGCATCGTGGCACTTGAATGTGGAAAGCTACGAGTACAAGGCGAAGTTTGACAACGGGCAACCCCGTTTTTGCGCATCGTTCCCCCTTTCCAAGAGTGATGCCCGAAAGTGCCCATGACCGTTGCAGAAGCTAAAGACCCTCGGTCGCCCCAGTGTGGGCACCCGCTATCCGGACCAGCATTCTGGAATCACGCGAGCTGCTTTGGGACAGATTGGGCAGCTATGATCTGCGCATGCTTGTAATAATCCGGGCTAGCGACTTTCGAGATGAAGGAATGCACAGGCCTCGCAAGCCTTTGGCCGTACTCGGAGTGGTGGTAGGGTACCAGGTACTTTTGGGCGATGGGTATCGTCTAGCAGTTCAATAAAAGAAAGGGTTGGCGAGGAAGGCTAAGGCTAAATGGTGCGAAGTGGCTCAAACCTCGCCAAACGGCAGGGAAGTGAGGGAAGTTGGATCCGAATGGATGGTCGCACACAGACCAATATAATCGGGCACAGGATACGGAATAGTCGAGTCAGCCCAGGTTGGGCCCCAAGAGAAGCGAAGGCAAGAGTGCGCAAAGAAGATTTGGTCGTTTCCGACTCGTCCTCAACACCTGTCGACGAGTGTTCACTTGTAGCTTTCCTCACCTAGAATCCACGTTGCATGGCAGGATGCTGCCACGGCCGTCGTGCAAGCAGCCAGAGAAGAAGCAAGAGCGCGAGAGTTTGCAGCAGCAGCAGCAGCGCGTGTTCCTGCATAATCGCCGTCTAGGCGCCCACCCACCGCAGGCAGATTCCGACCTCGAGCTACAGGCACCAATCTCAATCTCCCCTTTCCACTCATTCACGTCAACGTCCACGTCTACGTCCACACCCACGACACAGCTCCCGCCAACAGCAACAGCGCTGCGACCTCTGGCCCGACCTGCACTACTGCCACCACGGACCCCCCAGATCTCAACGGCGGCCATCTATCACCGCGTGCGCTTGAAAAACAACCTGTCAGAGATGCGCCCCAATTAAGCCCCGATACCCGCCATTACATCTCGAAACCATTGCCTCCTCCTCCACCACCGCCGCCAGCACGACCACCCGTCGAGTCGCGCAACTCATACAGGAGATCCTTCTTGGAAGTGCTGCTGCCACGCCAATACCAGAAAAAAGTCCTTCCGCCTGACACCCGTTCAGCCACGTCTCGCGTTCTAAATCCGATTAATTACGTCCCTCGACCGACCCCCGTCCGTGTACAGCCAGAACGACCCGGGCAAATACCTCAGCTTGACACGGGCTTGCGAGGGGTTGGCGAGGTTAATACCTTGCTCAGCCTGCCCGAGCAACGCCGCTCGCGGCAGCACTCGCCGACAGATCCCATAGTGGAGCACAGCCCCCATCTGACTCCCACGGGCGACCGTAAAAGCGTCGCACTTCCCGCGAACCTTGAACCACGCGGCACAGTCTACGCCACAGAATCCTCTGCTTGGGCAGGCACCGCTGGACTGATGGTTGACCTGGAGAAGCAAGACCCTTCGACTAATGGCATCAAGCAGCCGGAGAAAGCACAGACGATAGCTACGTCGAGAAACAATGCCGGAAATACAACAACGCAACAGGGCTCCTCTGTGCTAGCACAGAGTTACGGCGTCAATCCTCTTGATCAACCGCTCCAGCCTCCTCGTCGGATCACTTCCCACAAATCACTGAAACGCGCTCAATCTACAGCCTCGATACACTCGGCCGGTTTCCCCAATGGCAGAACATACGCAGACCCGACTCACCCACCAACCACCGGTGCCTCGCAATCCGACGCAGAACGAGGCCTCTCCCGTCATGATGGCACGGAAGACGACGATGACGATGGAGGCGTCGCAGAAGAACTCGCTTGGGGCCCGTCCCACCCTTGCTTCCCTCATGTAAATCCTCATGTCCCGCTCAACAGCAGAGAATACACGGCCACACGGATAATCCGTGTTCGAAGAGACTGGATGGTTGCAGGTGACCTGGCGCCCACATTCTCGAACATATACCCCGAGATCCTGGACCCACTGATGCAGGAAGTCGAGTTTCGGTATGTGATAGAACATATCAATCAGACACTATGTCAAGCGTACGACCCGTTCAGCGCGTGGAATTGGTTCGACGGCATCTTGGGCGTGCTCACTGGCTGGTTCTGGGAGGACTTCCGACCTTGGGGCATCAAGGGGGCGCTTAATGGTCTGGAAGAGTGGCTGGAAGACTGGAATCATACTGTGGGTGCGCGGGACGGGGTTAAGATCATCCCGCTTAGACGGACGGGGTATCTATGCCTAGATGTGCAGATTCCAGATCCACAAGTCAGAATCGTCGGCGAGGACGAGAGCCAGGCGAGGCCCAATACAGGCGGAGAAGGCACGGCGCCACCTACGGCAAAGCAGCCTTGACACTTTGCGATGAGTGTCCAGACAACGGCGAAAGGAGAGTCAAAGCCGAGATCTTTGACTCGCCAAGGATTGAGTTACCTGGTTGGTGACTCTGCCCATTTCACCACCACTACTCCGGCGTTGCCATTGACTTCGACAATGGCATGCCTGAGAGTACGAAGCATCTGAGCGGTTTTAGCAAGGCGTTGTGCGAATATTGTCTTTCGGTTCCATGTATGGTTCAGATGCATGGATAGGCCAGATTCGGCCGACTTGGGGCTGGCATGGCGGTCTGATTTCTACGCAATTACATCTCTTATGTTCTTCTACTGAAACGGTACCGCCGACTCGGGTCATGGAGTTTGATAGCTACTGTGCTTACCATTGTCCAAACACAGGGGTACTGTAGCTGCGTGGTGTTGACCTCGTCAATGCATGGTCTCTGCATCTTTGCGATGGCAGGTCGGCGTGGTCGGCTATGTACCGGCGTCCCGTACTTTGCCTGCCTGGCACAAAGGCATGCTTGATATGTAAAATCCGAGTCAAACGGTGAAGGCTGAAGCGCTTCTTTAACCCGTCAGTTGAGCCGCTCCACGCTTCTCGTGGGTCCTCGCTCTTAGCCTTGAAATATCCTCCAAGACGGGAGCGACGATTACGTTCTGGAAAGGCCCTCCGTGTGATGACTCGGTACATTACTGAAGGATTGTCGAGACGAGCAAGAGGAAGGCCGGAACGGGGACGCCGGGCTTTTCATGCCTCACGGCTCAGGGTCTTCCAGGAGCATTGACGGTTCAGATATGAGATGAAAATCCCGCGACACCGAGATTGTGTGTTGAGGAGAAGCCGGGACTTGCTTCTTTCTTCCACTCTCCCTCACGTCTAGCTTAAGATACTCCGTACTGGTGGTTGAGGAGCGTGGTATGCTGTCTCAACGCGAGTACATAGATTGGACCGATTGCTGCAGTCACCCCAGCAGTAGCCCCTCCCCTACCAATGGCGTCATACCGCAGTCGGTACTGTATAGATGCTGTCTCGGCGCGATAACTTGGCGCTGGCAGAGGTCTGCGTCTATTCGACTGCATCCACCATAGCCCTGTCTTCCTTCTCTTCACAGCTCAGGGTGCTGGCAATACAGTATGCAAAAGGCCCGACCTCCACCTCCACCTCCGCGACCCAAGCCCAAATCGCTCTCCTCCAACACAGTCTCGCCAGCACCATCCAGTGTCAATGTCAGTGCCACAAGGCGGAAGCGCGGCCTAGGCTGGCCGTGGGACCAACCCAGCACGCACTTCAAGCTGTACGAGCCTCACGCCGGCACAGCCGGTCGCGGTCGCATCTCATGGCTCTTCAACTGGGAGTGTTGGACCCCGGACGCCGTGCCCCAGGGGATCGAATGGATCCCCTGCGTCCGCACGGCAAGCAATGCGCGCGACCAGCTCGACCCGTCCTTGACGGACATTATCCAGAACCGGGGCATCAAGACGACTGCGCTCTTGGGGTTCAACGAGCCCGAGATCCCCGAGCAGGCGAACTTGGGTGTCGACGAGGCGGTGCGGCTGTGGCGCGACGTCGTGGTCCCCGTGAAGCGGAAGTTCGGGTTGAGGCTCGGCAGTCCCGGCGTGAGCAGCGACGTGGGGAGGAGTAAGCCGTGGTTGGACGCGTTTTTGGCTCAGCTGCACGGCCATGATGAGATCGATTTCCTAGTTGTGCATTGGTATGGGCTGCATTTCGCGGATATGCGGGCGTTCTTGGAGGACATGCATGCCTCGTACAACAGGTTGCCGGTGTGGGTCAACGAGTTTGCGTGCTCGAGGATGGGCAGTGGCGGGGAGGCCAGCGCAGAGGAGGTCGAGGTGTTCATGAGGGAGGCATTGCCTTGGCTTGATGGGTGCGAGTGGATTGAGAGGTATGCTTACTTTGGGAACAAGGATGTTGGGGCCTGGGTTGGCAGGGGGAATAACTTTACAGAGGAGGGAGGGCCGATCGAGACGGACGGGAAGAGGTTGACCAGGGTCGGTAGGCTGTACTGTGAGCTCTGATAACCCTTGTCAGGCTCTGTTGCGAGCTCTGAGATCGGCATGTCACTGGATGGCGGGAGTGATTCTACTTCTATTGCTCCGGAGGTCTATTGCTTCTGCCGAGAGATGCCCCTTGCTATGCGAGTTCATCATGTCTCAACGAGATCACCCAGCTGGTCAACATAATATGCAGGTCGCGTGTCACCTTCCAAGAACTCCTCCTTGGTCGATACACCGGTCAACACGCCCAACGTTCCTCCCAACTTACCCTCCAGCCCGAACCGGATATCCGTGTTTGCGCGATCGCCCACCATGCACGCCCGGCTGCGGTCGAACTTGAACTTACCCTCAATGGCATCCATCATGGCCTGGTTGGGTTTGCCGAACGCCATGGGCTCCTGCCCACCCAGCATTTTGGTTAGGGGCGCCGAGATTGAACCCGCGCCGGGAAATAACGCGCCCGCGGACGGCAGCGTCGAGTCCATGTTCGTGGCTAAGAACAGCGCTCCCCGCTTGATGTAGTGGTAGGCGTAGCACATCTTGAGATAGTTGAAGTGGAAATCCAGGCCCACCAACACCACGCCCACGTCCGGGTCTAATGCTTTGGGATCCCCCGCCGCCATCAGCTTGTAGTCCTCCGGCGTGACGTCGCGCCTGTATGCGGGATCGGTGCCTCCTAGGTGTGACACGCCTTCGGAGTCCAGCTCCGTCTCGATGCCCGCTTCTCCGACGACGAAGACTTTATTCCGCTTCTTGAGCTCGGGGTGTCGTTGTGGTAATATTCTAGAGATGTAGATGGCCGCCGAGTACGATGAGCCAAACACCTCCTCGACCGTGGCGGGGATGCCCATGCTCTCCAGCTTCTTCCTGTAATCTTCTCTCGATTTTGTCGAGTTGTTGGTCACGAACACTACCTGCTTGCCTTTGTTGCGCAGCATCTCGAGCGTAGGCACACTGCCCGGGAAGAGATGATCTCCGGACCAGAGCACGCCATCGCAATCGAATAGGAAGACCTATGCGGCGCAAAACAAGTCAACGGCATTCCATATTGAGAAGGAATGGACCCACGTCAAACTTATCGAGGAATTGCGAGATGGCTTCCTTGTTGCCCGTGAGATAATCGGGCGTTGACATGACTACGGGAGCGAACAACTCGGAAGAAGGAAGGGAGCAGATGGTTTCTGATTTGGAGCGACTTTTGTGCAGTGAGCGCGACTGGTCTTGCGGTTTTGCTCAATATTTGTTCATTCAGACAGCAATCGCAGTCGCTTCTGTTGGAGAAGCGCAGTCGTCCCGCATCCTCACAGCCTCATCCGTGACTCAGTCATTAGCCTGAACATGAGTCAAGCACGAGGGAGCTACCGAAGCTACAGGAAGGTGGCGCAAGCGCCAAGACAATAGTAAATACCTAGCTCACCACACACGTTCGTTCGCATAGCTTGGAGAGACAACAACTTGACGACCAGATCTTCCTTTACAATTCTCGTACCGTGTAGTGTGTACATAGGCATCTCAGAACCACAGCCAGCGCCGTTCGTTGTGCCCTGATATCGAAGTGGGCGTCGCTGGGCTCACTTTGTCTACCCCGGACTGGTCGAATCCAGACCGAAGAGGGCTGGGCTGTCTCGCTCCTGGGGCCGAAACTCTTCCCCTTGGGCAGGCGCTTCCAACCTGCTACACCCATCTGGGAAGCATTGAACTTTCCTGAAGCAGCTTCGTTACCGTCCGTTGTCCGTCTCCTGCGGCTTGCAGTCTTCAGGTCTCGGTGGCTAATGCAATTACCCTCGCAATCCGTACACACAGTGAACCCCGACGCCCAGTTTCACTCTCACACCATTTCCCTGGCTACTCGGTCCTGGAGCCTGGGCCGGCGATTGCGCGACACGCCGCCACATCCTCGAATCTTGAGCATCGCACGCGACTCGCTTCCAAGGGACTGGGTGAATGGCTGATTTCTGACTTCCGTGATGGTGTATGCTTCGACATATCATGTTGGCCTCTCCGCACTGGTCCTCTGCCCTCCTCGAAGCTGCCTGTTATTCGCGTTTCGGACAAGGGTTGTAAGGGGGGACTCTTTCTGACTACAGCCAGGAATGGCGCGTGTATGCGCCCTGAACAGTACATTGACTGATTGCACTAACGTCGTGAGGCACAGTAAGTTTCCGCAGGATGACTTCCAGACACAATCGCAGGCCTCGCTGCAGGTCTCGAACAGACGTTAGCCCTGTGGACTAGGTCGGGTTGGACGGCAGCGAGCTGTGGGTGACCATCCCGGCCAACGGAAGTGGCTTTGCATCGACTGGGGTCGGACACGGCTGGGATTTGGGCCTTGCAAGATGCCTGCGCTAAACGACGACCAAACATGCAAGGCGTACTCGGTGGCCGGCGATGATACCTCGACCAGCCTCCTCTGCAAAAGTACAAAATGGAGGGCAAAGCTCAGTTGCCCGCAGTGCTGGTTCTGTTCAAGCTGTCTCTACCACTCCAACCATGGCATCTGTGCACGGGAGACGTATCTTGACTCCTCAAAGTCGCAGGTTTGCCGCTCAGCAGATCCCAGTGTCCACAGGCACCCACGCGCTCATTTCACTTGCCGATTTGGACGATGTCTCGTACACGGCCTTGCCAGCTACGCCCGAGCTGGAATGGGTTGAGACTCCGCCAGCCGCTGAGGATCCTCTGACTCCGGGTCATAATCCCGAGGTTGACGACGGTGTGCTCTCGCCGGATTCTCCTCTCGCGGTTCGCAATGCCGCTTTCGATGTGCTCAACCTCTCCCAGCTTGACTCAGATGTGCCGAAGGAAGTCCTATCGAAACTGACCGACGAGACCGATCCGAGCAGACGCCTGTTCCAAATCGAGCTTTCGAGCGTGTCTTTAGCCGCCACCTCTCGGCTACGACCATCACCTCCGAGCCGCAATGCGCCTGCTGTTCCTGGCTCTCTTCTCCCATCCGAAGTGGGGCAAGTGCAGTCTCTGAGAACGACTCTGTCAGTCTCAAGCCCGCGGTCAAGCTCAACCAAGTCCTGCGAGGGTACCATTGGCCCACATGCTGCTGCGGGCAGAATTCCAGCTGTTACCGATAGTATCAAAACAGAGGATAGCTTGAAGTTATACGAAGGGACGATTGCCACTTCATCTCAGGCCAAAACTACCGCCATCAACACCTCAACGGCAAAGTCTCCGTGCTTGACCGAGAAGAAACCTCTAACGCTCTCTATAGCGTGGGAATTGAACGCCAACTTGTCGAAAATCCTGCCATTTGAAGCGGTAGAAAGATTCCAGGCCAACTGTCTGAGATGTATTGCAACGACGCAAGCAGGTTCAAGATGCCAATCGTCAACCGCTCCGAAACTCAAGCAAAATTTTGTCACCGAATTGTGCGACGCCCTCTTGTCGCTCCAATGCTCGTTTGATTTTGCAGCCTTCGCGATGCACATGGCGCCACACATTGAAAGTGTGATGTGTGAGCGATGGCATAGGACGCCGTCTCTTGCCTGTTTGGACGAATTGTCCTCCTACTCTTGGGAGCCGAGCGAAATCGTCACGCCCAACGCACACCAAGCCACAGCTATTGCACACAGCGTGGAAGCCGTCTTCAGACTCTGGAGCTCGGCTTTGATAAGCGTTCCACCACAGGGCAAGCTCGCAGACCCACCAGCGCAAGGAGTCGTCGACGGCGTGCAAGACGCGCCCCGCTCAACGTTTGACTTCTCCGGGGCTGTAACCGAGGCGGATCATGCGCCCGGTTACCAGGCCTGCCCAAAAGCCCCAGCAGCGTCGAAGGTGGGACCTACTCAAGTCACTGACACGGAGAAACCCGAAAGTCCAGCACCTGCACAGGCAATGATCCGTCCGAAACCTGTCCATGTGTCGACTCACCTCAACCACCGATTCGTGAAATATATAACCTCTGCAAAGGGCCGGGACCGCACGCCTCAGCAACTGATCCGAGAGATCCTCCCGAAGCCCTTGACCCCGGCCGACATGCACCGCACAGGCTTTGTCTACATCTACTGGCACCCGCCTAACATGGGGTACGTCAAGATCGGGTACGCCACAGACGTGAAGAAGCGGCTCGCAGACTGGAAACGACAATGTCGATTCGACCTGGCGGAGCACGCAGTCCACGGATCCGCCACCGCCACCCAAGTGCGGCTCGCACACTTACATCGCATCGAGTCGTTGATCCACGCGGAACTAAAGGAATACCGGCTCTTGGAACCCTCCTGTACGGGCTGTGGGAGGAGTCACAGGGAGTGGTTCCACGTCCACCCGAACCATGCGCAACGGGTGCGGGCGAAATGGACGAGTCGATCGTTCTACGCGGGCGGGCTGTTGGACGGCAGCATCCGCGACGAGGATATTGAGGGCTTGTGCACCTTGATAGAGGCGGAACCGGTGCCGCCGCTGTTGTCTCGGTCGACGGGGAAGAAGACCACGAAAGCGAAGGTAATGTGGAGCGGTGGTGGTGGCCGTCGTGATTTGAGGGGACGTCGTTGAGTAGAGATAAAAAGTCCGGCTTGCTTTGCGCGAGGATTTGGATTTGGATCTGGTAGGGATAGGGATTACGAAATGTTGGGCAGTGAATACCCCGAATGCCACTGTACAGTTCATATGTGTGTGTGAAAAGTTGGGGACGGTTCCAGAGTGTCGTTGTTCGTTGATCCTTACGGAGAACGGAATCTAAAGATCAAGGTTAAATCAAGGAGAAGTAGGCCGCGTGCATACGTTGAAGTTTATCACATAAACGATCGGGACCCTTAGCCTCGAGTTCGTAACATTGCCTGATCTCCAGAGCTAACCCGACGGCGGTCCACTGAAGTCATTCGTTCTATTTGACGTTGCCGGGACATAATTCCCAATCATTCCATATCAGGGTCTAATCAGATAGCCGTTCGTCCACAAGCCTCTAAGCTGTCGTTGGATAAGTACAGTGTTCGCATGCCCAGGACCACCCTCCTACCTCGTGTGCGTTACGGCAGCGGCCAACGCTCTCGCTCCCTCTCATTGTAACGTCTGCGCCGCATAGAACCAGCGCACAAGCCTTGAAGCAGCAGTCGAGTATACACAGTGGGTGCGTGGATCGATCTGCCAGGCGATGCCGTGAAAGTGGTCGGATCTTGAGGGAGGCGGCCTGCTACGTACTAACCCGCGTGCTGTGGGTGGCGTCGAATAATAGACGACCGACATATGACATCGGAGGCGTGGAATCTAGATGTGTCTCCGAGACGTGTCAGAGTGTCGTGGCCCGCGCGATACAGGATGTTGGTTGGATGGCAGGGGCAGAAACGTGGCGAAAGGGCAGAGCCGCTCGCTCGCTCACCCGTTCAGTCGACCAGAATTGTCTTCTCCAAGGCAGAGTATTGTTGGAAGAAACTGCTGAACAATCTAATCGCGTGGTGCACGTCGTCGGCGCCACCGGTCTCGCGACAACTGTGCATGGAGAGCTGCGGATTACCAAGGTCAAGGGTACGGGCACCGAGATGGGCAGACAACATGGGCCCGATCGTGCTGCCGCAGCTGGAATCGTTGCGCACGACAAAGAGCTGCAACGGCACGCCCTCGGGGTCGGCGTCGACCAGTTTTGGTGCCTTGCGTGCAACTTCCTGGAGGAGCACGATGCCCGGAGAATTGGTGGCGTATCTGGCGTTGGCGTTGACCTTGATGACGGGCCCTTGGTTCATTTCGGGCCGATGGTCAGACTCGTACTTGCCGCCGTAGTTCGGGTTGACCGAGTGGGCCATGTCTGCTGAGAGGAGGAAAGAGCTGGATAGCGTCTGCTCGTAGGCGGTCGACAGTTCCGGGTCCGCGGTATGGTCGTAGGACTCCTCGGAGCCGTCGCCCACTGGCAGGACGGAGAGGCGCCGGATAATCGCCGGCAGCATCATGGAGAACGCGCCCTGGGCCGTCATGCTGCCGATCTCTTCGTGGTCGAAACACGCGATCAGCCGGATTGAGGATTCGTCGTCGAGAGCGGATTTCGACTTTAGTGACTCGATCAGGCCCATCGTTGCACAGTACGTCTGGTTCAGGTTGTCCAGCCGGGCGGAGAAGATAAAGTCGTCGCTGAGGCCTCCTAGACAGGCCTTCTGCGTGTCGTAGAGCACGACCTCAAAGTCGACGACCTCTTCCGGGGAGACTTCTGCGTCTGAGGCAATGAGTTCGACGATGTGAGGGTGGTGCCTGGTCGTGATGGCCTTGAGGGGTGAGAATGGCTTGTTTTGTCCTTCTTCTTCCGCTGGCGATCTGCTCTTGCTCTGCTTCTCATCCTGGCGCTTGAGCTCCGCAGCCACGAGGCCAGCGATGGGGAAGAGCTGCGTCTCCTTGTTGAATTCGAACTTTTCTTGTCGATCGAGGTGGATGGCCAAAGTCGGGATGCGGAGGATAGGTTTCTTGATGTGCACCAGCCTTTGGACCACGTTGCCATCGTCGCCCCGGACCATGACTCTTCCTGCGATGCCGAGATCGCGATCGAACCAGGTATGCCAGAGGCCGCCGCCGTATGTTTCCACACCGACCTGTAGAAAGCCGTCTCCTTGTTTCTTGCTCACGGGCTTGATGCGCAGACAGGGTGAGTCGGTGTGCGCCCCGACCATCGAGATCGGGTTGCCGGGCTTCCATTTCTTGCCTATGGCAAATGCTACAATCGTCGACCCATTTCGAGTGAGGAAGTATTTGCCGCCGGGCACGAGTGCCGATGACCATGAGGTTTTCTCCTAAGAGCAACGTGAGTGGGCTTGCAGAAGAAGGGGAAATATGGTGGAGCTGACTGACGCTGATCTGCTTGAAGCCCACCGAGGTCAGGCGCTCCTTGATGGACTTGACGGCATGGAAGGGCGTTGGTGAAGCATTGACAAAGTCGAGGAAGTCGCTTGCCGCGGCTTTGATCTGTACGGGGGCCATGGTAGAAAATGGCTTGGTGGTAAACAGAGGCTTCGGGAGCAAAAGACGCTGGAGCATGTGCAGCCGTCGAGCGAGTCAAATCTCCTGCTGTAATGTGCTTGTCGAGTGAGGCTACAAGGCGCCTCTACGGAGTATGATCTACGTACAGTATCTACTGTAGCTAAGCTTGGAAGTCTGGGGGAGGGCCAAAGTCCGATGCGTCGGTGGATCGAGCTTCCACCACTTACGGCCCCCGGTTCAATAGACAGCGAGCCTTGCAGCTGACACCAATCGCTTAGGGTTCGCTATGATAACACAAATCCCATCGAATCACTGCGTGCGAACAACCACATCTCAAACAGCCTTGTAAGCCCCCTTGGACGTAAGGGTGCACGCTGAGGGCAAGTCTGAGACTGCCTCATTGCGGGACAGAATCACCAGGAGGACAATGACGGTGACTCCTTGCCGCCCATAACAAAGAGACGCGCGGGTTGTTGTGGGAGCTTGTCAGGTCATTGTTGCGGCCGCGTAAAGTGTTTTTGTTATGATTTCCATAGCCTGCATGGAGCTAGCTCTGTCACGCTGCGTCTTTCACAAGGACAAATGTTGACCATGTACGGAGTAGGAATCCTTATGCCAGAGAATAGGAATCATGGCCGTTGAAGAGCTCAGTGAGCTTCAGACAGTCTTGTACAATCAGATTCGCCGTAGAACTTCAAAGCCCAAGTCCAAGTGAATGTGATGTAGGCCCACAAGAACCCGGATTGGGTTAGGCGGGTAACCAGGCTCTAGACACCCGCGGAAGTTGCGACCCTGAATGGTGTCGATTGAATGACTTTCAATTCACCACCTGCGCATCAGCACCACAACTGCCTCGCTCACCATACATACATTGCCATATACGACATCCGCCATCTGGGTAGTACTGCTCTGGGATTTTCGTCATCATGCTTGGGAATCTAGTCAATTAGCAGATCACAACTTCGCGACTTGAGTGGGTACAGGACTGGGTCAGGGCGACAATCGGGTCGCGGTTGCAGAGACCACCGGCATTCACAACACTGGCACTCGACCTGGTACAGCGTCCCTGGAGCTCATACGACTTCACATTTATCACTGCCTCACCTTCACTCCACGTCACCTTGGTGACTGACCACAACAACATCCTCTGCCGGAAGTGACAACACATCCTTTTTAATCCTCGGCGCTTCCTCACTACTTCCTCACCATGGACAACGATTCTTCAGCTCCCTTGACAGTCGACACCTCAGAGCGCCCCCGAACCCCTACATTACCCACACCCGGCGGCTCAAAGACCCCTCCGACGATATCGACCAAGCGCTTTGCGGTGCCCGAGGAAGGCATGTCCGCCATTCAACGAGCTACAGAGGAAATGGAGGCCGACGCGCTGAACCGGAGACTAAGAGAGATCGAGAATGCTGGAAGACAGAGAGACAGAACTCCAGGCCGAAGTCCTAGTAGGAAAAGACAGCGCATCTACGGAGACCGGTGAGTTGGTGAGAAGTTTGAGGGCGGAGTGATGTGGAACTGATTGGTACCCCAGGTTCATCCCCAACAGAGACGGCCAGGACTTGCAGGCGACCTACAGCTTATTACACGATGATGGCTCACCGGCGACTCCCTCAAGGTCGAGAAAGAAAACCCCTCACGGAGAACTGCATTTTCAACGGACCGAAGAGGCGAATAGGACATACTCAAAGGTTCTGCGCAACGAGTTAATGGGCGATTCAGTACCGCAAGACTACCGGTCTCTTTCTCCAGACGAGTTGTTCGGCCGTCGGCAGACACCTCCAGGTCAGCCATCATTATCAGCAATGCCGCCCGCCTCTATCACCCCCACCACTCCTCACAAGAACATGTTCACCTACAAGTCTCCTCAGAAAGTCATCGGCTCGGGTCATCCAACTCCCTCATCCCGGAATGCAAAGCATCCTGGCATCATCAACCTGAACGCAAGATCGGATCTATATTCAATATCACCCATCAATTACTCTTCTCAGTCGATTCTTCAGACGCCTCGGAAACAACCTCGACCGATCGCAAAAGTTCCCTACAAGGTCTTGGATGCACCAGAGTTGGCGGACGATTTCTACCTGAATCTTGTAGACTGGGGATCGGCCAATATTCTCGGTGTAGGGCTCGGCTCGTGTGTCTACTTGTGGAACAGTACCACTGGTAAAGTAACACAACTGTGCAAGCTTCCTGACAACGATCTGGTGACGTCGGTCGCATGGATACAGCGGGGATCTCATCTTGCCATTGGCACACACAAAGGCTTTGTTCAGATTTATGACGCCGAGAAGTCCAGGAGGTTGCGCACGATGACGGGCCACTCAGCTCGAGTTGGCGCACTGGCTTGGAATGACCATATCTTGACGTCCGGCTCTCGAGATCGACTAATCTATCATCGAGATGTGCGGAGTCCGGATCAATACCTGCGGAGGCTGGCAGGGCATAAACAAGAAGTTTGTGGTCTGCGCTGGAACACCGAGGATGGCCAACTTGCCTCAGGCGGGAATGACAACAAGCTTTGTGTGTGGGACAAGCTGTCTGAAACACCACTCTATCGATTCTCGAACCACGTTGCAGCAGTCAAGGCAATCGCTTGGAGTCCTCATCAGCATCATTTACTCGCTTCAGGTGGAGGTACAGCGGATCGGTCAATCAAGTTCTGGAACACCGCCAACGGATCACTTATCAAGGAGGTCGACACTGGGAGTCAAGTCTGCAACCTAGCCTGGAGCAAGAACAGCGACGAGATCGTCAGTACGCACGGGTACAGCCAGAATCAGATCGTGGTGTGGAAGTATCCCAAGATGGAGCAGGTCGTCAGTCTTACTGGGCATACGTTCCGTGTTCTCTACCTGAGCACCAGTCCTGACGGTACTACTGTTGTGACGGGAGCGGGGGATGAAACACTCCGATTCTGGAGGGTGTTTGGCAAGAAGGGCAATGAAGGTCGGAACAGTGATGGCATCGCGGGCGGATTGGGTGATTGGGGTGCTATCCGATGATACCTCCACCCACAGGCTTATTTCTTGACGTCTTGACGGAATCGACCGTACCCGAGCAACCCAGACGTATCACGACTTCACCGTTGACATACAGCCAGACCTGTACAGCAATGACTCTTATACGGCTACGACCTCCAGCTATCTCTACGACTGATGTGGTGCTGTTTGCTTTGATTGTGGTTTTAATTAGCAAGCGCGAGCGTCTTCTCGGAATGAAAATCAGACCCAGCAAGCGGAGTGCGATCTCCAGGACTATCGTGAATGTGCTACGAGCTAATGGCAGGAGGGCTCGGATACTCACAGGAATATTGGGGTGGATATGGACCGAAGTGGGCATTGGTCCTGTTCTTTTCTTGCAAGCGAGGCGCTCCAGGTTGCGTAGGCGTCTACTATGCTCAAGCCCAATCGGTATCGTCCTTGCCACCACTCACATGGCGTCTAAGCGCGCTATCTTCAGCGAAAAGCAAGACAGAGAATTCAAGAAGTGACATTGACCACCATGTTTCTGTCTGATTCACTCGTAAAGACCATGTCGGTCGGCTAGATCGTACCACCTCGTCCGAGAGGGGCGGATACAATGCTGACGACGTTATGGCTCGAGAAGCGGATCAGATGGTTGACTACCACATATTCGCACTTGGAATCCCAATGACGATCTCATACACGAAGGGAGAGAGTCCCCAAGAGAGGAACAATGTCGGCTCCTCCGTACGGTCAAATGCCTTTTGTACAAGAACGCAGAGTCTATCAAGCGCTATGGAAAGGACCCTGAGAACTACGCGGCCACACGCCACACGGCTGTAGCTACTGTGTACAGAGAGAGGCTGGCTGGCTGGCTGGTTTTACATAGGAAGACCGCTCGCTCAGCTCGAAGCTCGTCCCTCTCCTCTCGCCCGTCACCCCCAATTGACTTTCCTACAGTGCGTAGTCAGTAGGAAGGGTATCCGCTCCCTCTCACGCGCACGCTCAAATGCACTGTGTACAAAAAGGCATAGTAGTCTATCGGGCGCAGTGGGGGAAGCCTGGGAACTTCTTCACGCTCACGCGGCTGTAGTTACAGAGGCTGGCTGATTCAGGAGGACCACTCAGCTCGATGCTGGTAAGGAAGACCACTCCTCTCAAGGCTCCTCCCTTTTCTCTCGCCCACTGGTTCACTTCCCTACAGTGCGTAGTAAATAGGTACACACGTAGGCACGTTCAGAGCACCAACTTGCCCGGCTCGAGCTGCAGCACGGTCTTGACTCGCTCCAGAAACGTCCGGGCCCGCTTCTCCTCACCCTTGGGCACCATGAGGCTGAAAACGTTGAGCGCCCCCTCCGAGGTGGTGGCCAAGGTGCGCCCCGGGGTCGTGGAGGCCGGCGTGGAGGAAAGACGAGCCGCCGCTGCTGACCGTCGCGGCGTCACTTTACCGGACAGGATGTCGAGGATGTCGATTTTGTGTTCTGTACTGGTGCCCAGCTGTCTCGAGGAGCGTGAGGATGGCGCGGGCGTGGATCCACGCGGGACGGCGGGAAAGGCGTCGATCTGCGGCAGGTATGTCCCTCTCGATGTCGTGGGGATGGATGTCAGGCCGAGGACGGCGTTGAAGAGGTCGTCTGCCGAGGGCTTTGCGTTTTTCGGTTTCGGCAGGTCGTCGTTGGCCAGGTCGACGGCGCGGGCGAGGAACGTGGAGATGGGCACCGTCACGCCCAGCGTGTCTTTGACCCGTTTTTGCACCTTGAGTACCTCCGACAGCGAAATCGTCAGGGATACGCTCGTCACGGGAGGGACCTCGGCTGCTCTAGCCACTTTGCCTCGTGTGGTGTCTTCTGAAGGGGCGGGCTTGTTTTCCGGCGTCGCGGGTAGGACTTTGATGTTACTCAGGTCGAGGTGGCCCATGTGTTCGATGCGCTTGGATTGTTCGGCCGAATAGTCTGACGCGATGGCGCCCAGGTATGCGAGGACGTCGCCCTTGAGTAGTCGGCCATTGGGACCTGTGGCGACGATCTTGGCCACGTCTTCGTCGGGGATGTGGTTCTCGTGGATGAGCGCAATCACGGACGGGTAGAGAGGATATTTCGGATTCGCGCCCGGTCCCTTCGGGCTCGTCTTGGGTTTGTCCTTCGCGGGCCTCGGGTCCTGCGGTGTGCCCGGTGTGCTCTTCTCCGCGCCGGAGCTCTCGTACTTCGCATCGTCCCCGCCCTTGATGTTCTCCGCTGGGGACTGCACGGGTTTGGAGTCGTCGGCCGGGATCTCGAGGCTCGAGACGTCGTCTCCTGCATCCGCGAGGACGGCTATCCTCGTGCCGACTTGTACGGATTTCGACCCATCGCCCTGGAAGATCTTGGCCATGACGCCATCCTCTTGGGCTTCCACGTCCATGGACGCCTTGTCCGTCTCGATTTCTAGCAGGATGTCCCCGGCGGAAAAGGAGTCGCCTTCCTTGACTTTCCAGCTGGAGATATTGCCTTCGGTCATGGTCGGCGACATGGCGGGCATCATGAAGTTATGCGCCGCGAGGGCAGAAGGCGTCGAGGAGAATGCCCGTCGGGCATGGTGTTGGGATTGTTGTGAAAGGGCGCATTGGGAGGATGTGAGCTGGCGAGCGAGCAGTCGAACTGACTGTCGGCCAGCCATGGCAAGAGAATTGCAATAGGAGAGCCAGCGAGATCTATCTGATCAGAGCAGATGCATTGACCGGCGAGTGCACGGGTGCGCGGCGAGCTGGCGTGTTGTTTGTAAAGTACGGAGTACGGAGCATTGAGGCCGTGATTGTTGAGAGCGAGTTGGCCGACGGACTTTCTTAAGCTCCAGCTCCACTTCGCTGCCGCTTGTCGCTCACCGAGAAATCATTTAGATGCAAATAGTCGACCGTAGCTGCTACGGCGCAGTTGAAGTGCAGACTGTGCAAACCCACCGAACGAGTCAACTCGATTTCACCTCGCACTTACAACACCACGTACTTCTCTTAGCTGCCTCATGCTCATATGCTTGGACACTCTGCTAGATACACGCGGCTTCTATTGTTCTCTGAAATGATACTTTGGGTAAGTAATGCAGGCTTGCACCAAGCTGACTGTCCAGGCCAGACTCTGACCATCCAAGGTTTCCCGAGCCCCTCTTCGTATTCCCGGGATACGAGTCTTTGAGAAGTCTCGTATCCCGTTCCTCAGTCATGATTGCTATTGGAACAAGAATGCCACTGCTGCAACATCAAACCAGGCAGGGCAGGTGCTTCCTCCGCGGCCTATCACGCCTGGCTTTCGCTCGGTTCTCGTGTGCCACCCGCGTCGTATACCTGAGATAGAGGCACGTCTGCGCCGCGGCTTAAACCTTCCTGCTAGAAGACGGCCTCTAACCAGTCCACTGGCATGTCTGATCCTGTTTACCTTAGCAGGTCTAGCTCGATGCCATCGCAAGACTTCAAATACGTATTACTGTGGTGCCTGTGCGAGTCTTTCAGCCTTTCTCCATTGCCTCGAGGTATAAGGCAGCCTCAAAGTTCGCCGTTGATGTCATCTTCGGACTGCGATAACTTCGCAACCATCTTCACCTTTGTCTATACCTCGTTAGCATCTCATCAAAACAATCCGCGATGAAGGGTGTCATCTTTGAGAAGCAGGGAGCTGAGCCAACGGTCGTTGATGACCTGGACAAGCCGTCGCCGGGACCAGATCAGCTGCTGGTAAAGTCCATCTGGACAGCAATCAACCCTGTGTAAGTGAGAACGATCCATCCTAGTGTCCTTGTTTCTTCGGCGTTAGCTTTTAGCTAGAGGTGGTTTGCGCGCAAGTCCTGCGCCGGTCTATCTGGCACAAGGTATTTTGCTGGCGTGCGAATGGTCCCGGTTACCTGAGCAGCGTCTTGGTTGTTTTTGCCCGGATGCGAACAGTCTCGATCAGAGGCTAACGATGTTTTAGGGACCATTTCATGGCCGCGTATGGCCTTCTTGTGGTCAATTGGCCGCTAGGACTTGGCGTTGATGCCGCTGGCATTGTGGTCGAGGCGGGAAGTGAGGCGACTTCCCAGTACGGTTTCACATCCGGTGATCAGGTGTTCGGCTGCACCAGGGTAGGAATGCTGGGATACACCGGCGCCCAAGAATACTTCCTGTTTGATGCCGCAGTGACTCTTCGGAAGCCAGACAATATTTCTTTGCTCGAGGCCGCGACGTTGGGGGTGGCAAGTGAGACAGCATGTCTGGGGTTGTTCGACGGCCTCAAGCTCACCTTACCTGATCCTAGAAATCTCCCAGCGTCCAAAGAAGAATGGATCGTCATATTGGGAGGCGCCAGCAATGTCGGAAAAGCAGCAATTCAGCTCGCTAAAGCGACCGGTTATAATGTGGCCGCCTCATGTTCGAGCAAATCTGCTGCTGTCGTCAAAGAACTCGGCGCCGTTCCGTTTGACTACAAGCAACCCTTGGAGGATCAATTCAGGGCTGTGCTGGACATCACTGGCGGCGACGTTGGCCGCATCTACGACGCAGTCGCAGGGGACGACCCTGTTCTCGCCAAAGAGTTGTTCAAGGCAAGCAAGAGCACCCAGAAGTTTTTCGCTACCACAAACGACTGGAGCGGCATAGGTGACTTTGAGGGTGGCAAGACCTACCTTGTTGCTCTGGGAACTGTTGGGCGACCAGAAGCCACTGAATTAAACAAGAAGGTTGCGACGTACATTCCTGTCATCATTGGCCTAATTGAGGCGGGCAAACTCTTGCCGACAGAGTATGAAGTGATTGGCAACGGAGGCTTCGAGGATGCGATCAAGGCATATCATCACCAATTAGCTGGCGCTGGAGGATCGAAGAAAGTTGTGGTCAAGATCCAAGACGAATAGTCGGTTAGTCAGACTCATAATGCCCGAAGCTGAATTTATCCTGAGCAGCTGGCATGCCGTGTCTGTATGCGAGGACGGAGGAGGGATGAGGCTGTTGCTGGGTTACCGAGTTCGCGAAATCATTGCCTGGAGACCAAGCTTCTTGGGTCGCAAACTGCTGTTGTGCTTGGCATGCAGTGATAGGAGGGACTTCGTCCGCGTTGAATCAACCAGGGTTGTCACTAATTGGACCCAGTGATGCTGTTAGCCCCGTGTCGGGTACCAAGATCAACAGAATCACCACTCCGGCACCGATAAGATATCCGACCTAAGGCACCATGCTACAGGGCTTTTGTGTCCTGGACAGGGTGTCAAATGTCGAGTGTGTGGTGGACTCTCTTGTCGCGCAAGCTAATAATGTGTCTGGAGGGGAACGTATAGGCGTCCTGGTCGCAAGCATCGCTCACATGAACACGAGATTATGCAACTGCTGCTGAGGAAGAACGAGATCTGTTGCACATACGCTGACAAGTAGCAAATTGTCAACAAGTACAATCCAGTAACCGCCGACACGATAGAGAATTGCTTCTTCCAAGTAGAGCGACTGGTGCTCGTAACGGCCCCCACGGGGATGTTGATGTTCGATGTCCTCGTTCACTCGGGTCCGCTAGAAGGACGCTTTCGGTGCAACTGCTCAGTCCACCGTACTGCTGAAATTCGGAACCATATGCCTTACCACGATTCCAGATTGGACGCCGAAATTCCAGAAGGGGATTGCTGCATTCAGTGTAACCCTGTAATGGGCGGCTTGTTGAACAAGTGCACAGCAGCCGGGGCGTAAGTTGTGGAGAGACCGTCATTGTCCACGCTGGTGTAGCAGATGAACCCAGAGTCCCTAGTGTTCCAGTCAGAGAGGTAGTAGGACTATATTGAGTCGACGCAGATCTCTGCTCTTATGCGCATGGCTTGCGGCCGAAGAGATCCGCCTCATTTTGAACTGGATGACAGGATGACACTGTAGATATATGCGCGCTCGGCGAAGCTTTGGACTGACAGGAGGATCGCTGGACCAGAGCCTGATTGTCACAGAGTTAGTTGCTTTTCGCAGGATAATGCAATGATCAGCCGTGAGACGGGCCTTGATTTGTAGCCTCGTGGCCTTGTGTTCCTGGTCAGTGGCGAAACGACGGGGCTGCTTCCCCATGGCGATAGCTGCCTGCCATTGGCAAATGACTTGAACAAGTTCTTGGAGTCACCTTGAGCACCAATGTGGTGTGCCGGCGAAACCACCGCAGCGTGGAGAGACAGGCCCACTTCAACCTCGCAGGTCACGTAGCCGTTGGTCAATGGCCAACTGCGACCAGGCGCTTCACATTCGCTTGACTCCAAGATTAAACGTCTCTTTGTGATATTGTCGTCGAATACCATGGATTCACACAAAGAGCCTCCTGTTCTGCCGGGATTCCCAGCCACGGGCGCACGGTAAGTTAAGGTGCCGAATACTACGCCTAATACGAAATGAGGCAGGGGTGACGCATCCCGGGCGGAACTCAGGACGAAACTGAGGTGAGAGTGAATACTCCGTACTGGCAAGCTTCCTGTCATTGCGTTATTTTCCCTGCCCACGAAACAAAGTGATGCTGTCTTGCTACGCTGCTTAGGTTTCCCGTCACTCGTTATCGCACCACCAAGGCAGGAGGATTCAGGATTCCAGACACACTGCACACCGCACACCGCACACCTCACGCCACACTTTGTTGTGCGTCTTGTTTGATTCGGGACATAGCAACCGTGTCCAACCCCCATCTCAGCTCCCGAAGCCGTGCGAGTGCTACCCAATTCCATTCTTCCCCCACGCTCCCACGAGGACGTCCATTCGTTCTCAACATTCACGGATCGATCTCATTGAACGCATACTAATAACAACTCGGTCGCCGATCGCCCTACACACGACGGGCGCACACAATTCTCCCATCTGTACCCGGCCGACCCGTTTGTGACACCAAGAGCTTCCGCTCCACAGGTGTGACGTCCGAAGGCCGCAGCTGCAGCATAGACCTTTCTCTCCCTGCCCGACGGGGTCCTTTCTCCAGTCGTTCCACTCTAGCCCTTGTCCGCAAAGCGAGCAAACTTCAGAGAAATGCGCCAATAGGAATGAAGGCCTGTGGCCGGCACGCATCGGATGAAGCGCACAGGGGAATGGGAATGGGAGGAGACAGGCGATATAGAAATGGGCAAAGATGCAGACAACATCCCAGATGGCTCCTCTAACGGGCTCAGAAACACGAAGTACTCAGGTCCAGCCACCAAGGCTGAGCAGCTCCCCGCTGACCGTTCCTTGTCCGCCACCGCCTCCTACACTTCGACATCGAATATGCCCCGACCTGCTGGATGCACTTCGCCTAAATGGGTTCTCAAGGAGGACCGTCATCACGAGTCTCGACCTTCCGATTCAGGCTACCATTCGTCGCCGGAGACGCGTGTCGAGGCGCCCCAACAGGCCAGGCAAGTACCGGATAAAGAGTGCACCCCACCACCGAGCGATCCTCATTGTGCTGGGGCTGAAGACACCGAGAACCTGGTTGCGATACCTCCCTGCACTAGTGAAGCCGAAGTCGACGCGCTGCTCAACGCTAGTCCTTATCCTCCGGTCACAAAAGAATCTCTTGGGGAGCTGGAGCTCACTTACATTCAATCGAACGTTACCCTGCGCATCGATATCAACTACGACCATGACCTCCACTTCACCCCGATCTCCGGTGGCAAGGGCGAACAGAAGAAGAGGGATGCAAGGCGGTATTGGCATAGTCTCGAGGTTGAACTGAGGATAGTCTATCAGCATAGCTTGTTGGTCTCGTGTGCAAAATGCGATGAGAGACGTTCTCCCAGCTCGGATAAACGTGTCCTTGAGGGAAGGCCACCTTCGTTTAGGCGGAGGCTGCCGGCCTTGTTCCAGAAATTGCAAGAATTGCTCGTCATTCTGGTGCCCGAGAAGGATCAAGATCAGATCAGTCAGTATCTTGACGTATCTCTGCTGTTGCAAGAGGTGTCTCATGGTCTTCTAGACATTGTTCGTCTGGCTCGATGGCTCGATGGTCTGCTCACCAGCCACTGCGCACCAATGCGAGATGTATCGGCTCATGAGATGGCTGAAATGATCAGGCAAGGCGCCGAGAATGGAGACATTCACATCCTTGTCGCTGGGATCGAGACGCTCTTCCAGATCCTCGAGGCTATGAAGCTGGATGTTGCTAACCATCAGATCAGAAGCTTTCGTTATCTCTTGATCGATGATACCGTCGCCTTTCAGCAAGAGTTCTTCAGATCCAGGATCGGCCACGGCAATCTCGAAGCACAGGCGTCGCGGAAGTGGTACGACCTTGCGGTCGCAAAACACCAACAGTGTCACATCGACCGCCAGACTCCAAGATCAATGCCTCTAGCTGTTCTAGTCGACGGTATGCTTGAACTCTGTCTCTGGCCGGATCCGAAGCTTCCGGCAACCCTTGCTTATGACCAAAAGCGCCTGAAGGAGTTACGCGGCGACATTCAAGACTTTGTCCACCTGGATATGTGTCTCTTGGTGTTCAACCAGCTGGTCCGTGAGCTCTCTGGTCCTGAGAGCCAGAGCATGTTGGAGAGACAGGTCGCGGAGATGCATTTTCTTCTGCGAAACAGAATCATGGATATTACCGACGGCAATCCGGAAGAAGTTTCGCAGATCTGGCTACAACACACAGAAGCCATTGCGGTTGAGCTCAGCCGTGCCGCATCGCTTGTCCACCTGGGCCGTGCCGTGCCAATTCCTTCTACCACGGTTGCGAAGACGACGTGGCTCTTGCAACAAATGTTCGTAAACGAGCATCAGCACCACCGCCGTGCACGACAGTTAGTCCGTGCGATTGAACAGGAAGCACATACACACGCAATCAGATTCCAAAACATGACGACACTGGAGATATCCCATGCACAGAAACACTGGCAACAGGTCCGCGCACAAGGATGTCGATGGCGACTCTTGCCCGAAATAGATGACATAGCCAGGCGACTGGCGCACATTGCATCAATTCACTGGAGAGTCTGGGCGGAGTTGGTTTACTCGGATCCGGAAGACGGGCTGGAACTTGGCGTTGACGATACGGCGAGCATTTCGGGCGACGAGGCTCAGAAAATGACGGACGATCCAATTGAGTTTGTACAACACAACCTACAAGATACCCCTTGCCGATGATATGACCTGCAAGGCGTTGTTGAGATGGGGTTCGTTAAGCACAAGCCACGGCGTCTTGTTGCTGCCAACCATGCCCATTGGGGTGGCATTTTGGGAAAAGGTCTCGATTCTATCAACTCGATAATAGCCCGTAGGGCCTCATCTCGTTAGCATTAGCATACTGTGTACGGTGTAGTTGCGTGCTCAATATCTAGCGTTTGAGTATTCCACTACAAGTCAAAACAAAGATGGCTCGTCTATTCCGGTCAGGTAGTCGCCAGCAGCTTGACCTGATCTGATGTCGAGTGCATCCGCTCCGCTCGGCGAAAAGCCCGCCGAAGAGGCAATGTCAGGGCCACGCAGCACTCGTCTCTTCTCCGCACCCCGGTGTCATCAGAAAACAATAACCGACAATTGCCGGCATGCAGGGTCAGAAACAAAGGCAGCAACGGGACTGGATGCACGCCCTGTGGTCAAGTCGGGCAACGAGCCGAGGGTACCGTGTCTACCATGCCCTACCTACTGACCTCCTTTGTGGACTTCAGACTGTTGGGTGACTGATTGAACTGTGATTGAACTGGGATTCGGCAAAGTAGAAAGAGGTTCAGTAAGTAGATAGGAATGCCACGTGTATGTGAGAGAGGGATATATACTTATGACAAGGTATCAGGTTGTTCTAGACTACAGACAGCTTAGAGGGATACACCGTGGTATCGGTATCAGAACGAGGACGAGTATCAGCAGCATCCGTACGCCTAAGCCAGTCAATTTCGACAAAAATATCGATATCAATACCCGTGCGAGCGCCTAGCAAACCATTTTGATTCCACTCAACAGTCGACATGAGCTGTCAACCCGACCAGACGTGCTCGACGTGCGACAGCCACGACACGCACCATGTCCCCGACATCGAAGACTACAAGGCCGAGGTAGCGTCTCTGCGCCAACGGACTGCCGAGCTAGAACGACAGCTCTCGAGGGTCCAAAGCCACCAAACCAAGACGAACGGCGAGTCAGATGGTGCGTCCGAGTCACCACCACGCAAACTCCGGTCGGCGCACTGGTTCAACAACCCTTCCGACCCGGAGATGATGGCGCTGTACACGGACCGGTTCCTCAACTACGGGCTCACGGTGGGCGAGCTGAACAGCGGCAGGCCCATCATCGGCATCGCCCAGTCCGGCAGCGACATTGCGCCCTGCAACCGGTACCACCTGGAGCTGGCGAAGCGGGTGCGCGAGGGGATTCGAGCGGCGGGCGGGATCGCGTTCGAGTTCCCGACGCACCCGATCCAGGAGTCCGTGCGGCGCCCGACGGCCACGCTGGACCGCAACCTTTTGTACCTGGGGCTCGTGGAGATCTTGCACGCGTACCCTTTGGACGGGGTGGTGTTGCTTACGGGCTGCGACAAGACCACGCCCGCGATGCTCATGGCCGCGGCGAGTGTCAACATCCCGGCCATCTGCCTGAACGTGGGACCCATGCTGAACGGACGCCTGCATGGCACGCGCGACCGCATCGGCAGCGGCACGATCCTGTGGAAGGCGCGCGACCTGCACGCCGCGGGCCAGATCGACGACGACATGATGGTAGAGATGATCGCCGCGGGGACCCCCTCCGCGGGCCACTGCAACACCATGGGCACGGCGTCGACGATGAACGCGTTGGCCGAGGCCCTGGGCATGGCGCTGCCGGGCAGCGCGGCCATCCCGGCCCCGTACCGCGAAAGGGCGCAGTGCGCGTTCCGCACCGGCAAGCAGATTGTCGAAATGGTCCGCGTGGACCGCAAGCCCAGCGACATCCTGACGCGGGCCGCCTTCGAAAACGCCGTCGTCGTCAACAGCGCCATTGGCGGGAGTACGAACGCGCCGATCCATCTGAACGCCATTGCCAAGCACGTCGGCGTGCCCCTGGACCTGGACGACTGGGATGCCATCGGCTTTGACGTGCCGTTGTTGCTCAACGTCCAGCCCGCGGGCGAGATGCTGTGCGAGGAGTACTACAAGGCCGGCGGGCTGCCCGCGGTGATGGCCGAGTTGCTGCAGCACGGCAAACTGCACGAGGGCGCCCTGACGTGTAACGGGCGGACCGTGGCCGACAACGCAAAGGGCCAGTTCTCGTGGGATCGCAGTACCATTAGAAGTTATGACCATCCCCTCAAGCCCAGCGCCGGCTTCTTGCACATGAAGGGCAATCTGTTCGACTCGGCGATTATGAAGACGTCGGTCATCTCGGACGACTTTCGCGCCGAGTTCCTCGACGACCCGAACGATCCGAACGCCTTCGAGTGCAAGGCCGTGGTGTTTGACGGGCGCGAGGACTTCATCAACAGGATCGACGATCCCAAGACAAACGTCGACAGGAGGACCATTCTCGTCATGCGCGGCGCCGGGCCGCTGGGATATCCGTGAGTTGAATACTGTCTCACTCTGTGGCTGCGCAAAGACTAACGTGGGGCAACCGCAGTGGCGCCGCCGAAGTCGTCAACATGCACGCCCCAGGCCATGTCATCAAGCAGGGCGTCACCTCGTTACCCTGTATCGGCGACGGTCGCCAATCAGGCACATCCGGGTCCCCCTCGATCCTGAACGCGAGCCCCGAGGCAGCAGCCGGCGGGAACCTGGCGCTCCTTCGCGACGGAGACATGGTCAGAGTCGATCTCCCTAAGCGGCAGGTCAGACTGCTGGTGTCGGACGAGGAGCTGAGCAAGCGGCGCGACGAGCTCGAGGCCCAGGGCGGGTATGCCGTTCCCGAGAGCCAGACTCCGTGGCAGGATATCTTCCGGCGCGAGACGGGCCAGCTGAGTGGGGGGATGGTGTTGAACTGTGCGCCCAAGTATCAGCGCATTGCGCAGAAGTGGCCTGCTCCACGGCATAATCATTGATGGGGGCGCATTCACGGGCCTCGAGCTGTGCTTTCGAGCGCTGTGCATGTCAAAGGCTGCGGCGTCGGTGATGGTCAACTCGGTCAGAATAGTACTGTAGTAGCGGCGGCAGCATATCGTCAACTTACAGTCGCGATTCTGAATTTTCGTAAGTCGTCGCTCGCGCACAAGCCATATCAACATCAAACCGCCCTGTTTCCACAGAGTCTTTTCGTCACCAGTTCTCCCAAACAGCATCCGGGAGCACCGTCCGCATGACCCTCCAATGCCCGATCGCGCTCTGAGCCTGCCACTTCTCCAGCTCCCTCGTGTCTCCACGCTCGAGTATCCCGCCCTCACGGACAAATTCGTCCGGCATGATCTCGTGCTTGGGAAGCAGAAACGCCCGTCTCGCACCACTCCCCAGAAAATCTGCGGCCACGGGCTTCCGAAACTTGACGGGCACATTCTGTTTCCGGCAGAAGAAGACCATATTCGTAAAGTCGTCGGGCTTGACCCCCGGCGCGGGCGCCTCGTCTTCTCTAAAGACTCGGCAACTGGGAAACACAGAAGTGATGGTCCGGTAGATCAGGGACGAGGCCGGCATCGCTAGATCTCCTGCGTAGTTGATGGCGATGACTCCATCGGGTTTCAACAGCATGTGCAGTCCCGAAAGGAAGTCAGTGGTGAAGAGCGCCACGGGCTCGGCGCCACCCGTAAAGACATCATGGATGATGTAGTCGTAGGAGTTTGCCTCGGAGGAGTTCGCCGTGGTCACCGCGTGGACGGCGTCTCCGATGTAATGGCTGTGGTTGTGCGGGAAGTTGAAGTATTTGAGCGCGAATTCGTGGACGACAGGGTCGAGTTCCATGACGGTGGTGTTGATGCCATGCTGGATCAGTGCCGAGGGGGCCGTCCCTACCCCGAGGCCGACGTTCAAGGCAGTCTTTTGAGGACTGCTCGGCGCGGGCTCTGCAAGGCGGACGGCCTCGAGCATGACGAAGATGGAGTAGATGGGCTCGCCGACTCTTCTTCTGGCCCCGCCCTTCTTGGGTGGTGGCATCTTCCATTCTCCACCCAACAGGCTGTGGTCGCATCGCATGACGCGGAACCCCTTGTCGTTGTCCTCCAGCACTGAGATGTATCCGGTGATGGACTCCTTCCGCTCCAGGAGCGTGTAGTGATGCAGTGCTAGTGTGTTGTTCAGCACCTGAGTAGTCCGCGAGAGACCACAATGGGGATTCGCCACCAGAGTGAAAGCCACAGCTGGGAGCGAGGGCCAGAGAACACTGTTGGGCAAGACCATGCCGTATAATGACGCTACCATCAGTTGCATCCCGATGCGAGACCTCAGGAAGCCAGGACCGACGGTGGACGAGATGAATCCCTTGCACGCCTGGTGCAAGACGTTGAAAAGCACGAACAAGCCCATCGAGGGCGCAGCCTCGCCTAGACTCGAGTCAGATCTGCCGATCACGCTGTCAAACGATTGCATGGCAACGTAGAAGGACATCGTCACCACTAGGAAGCAAGTCAGGCTCTCTGTGACCACGGGGCCCAAAGGGTTTCCCAGCACCGAGCTGAACCGGAACAAGACAAACTGGATGGGCGGCACCCAGAAGCAAAGTGGCACAATAACACGAGCGGTTCGCGGCGGTAGATGGCCCCGAAGCAGGAACGCAGCCAGGAAGGACGCGGTCAGTCCATATCGATGGTAGTGACGAGATGGTATCTCCCCGTAGACTGGCGACAGGTTCAGCTGTGAGACGGGTGCATACAGTGCTGCGAGAAGCACCAGTTGCAGGGCTGTCCGCACTCTTGAATCAGACAGGGTAGCGAAGCTAGACTGGGGCCTGTCGAGTGTCTTTGGGAAACTTTGCTGCGTGTCGGACACCGATGTCTCTGACACGGTTTGTCTTTGGTCCTTGGAGCCATGGCTGGGTTTGGCGGATCGTTTGGCCATGTCTGGAGCTTTTGACCGTCGGTCCCGACGAGAAAGTAAGAAGGGTGGATTTGAAACAAGCGACCAGATCACAATGTTATATACATGCAGATGTATCGGTTCGAGACGCGACGGTGTAAAGAATGGGTGCCGTGTATGCTAAGCTTCATGTACTGTAGGCAAGGTGCATCGTAACTCCACCAGCTCGCCAACGCCACTAGGGAGGTTGTATGTATCTTGGTCAGTCCGCCTCACCCTCATATGGTTTCGGGCTGGGCTAGTTGTAGCAGCTTGTATACATAATGTGCAGCAGAATGCTTGGTGGACAGGTGGTGCTCTCCCATCGGGTCTGAAAGATTGTGTGCTACATTCCAACCGACATAATTAATCGAGTTGACGCAGACCAGCATGTCCAGTCCAGCTACATAGAATCCGCCACCATTCTTCGCTCTGGCAGATCTCCAGGGCAACAAGCAGAAGCCCAGCTTTATGGCAGACGTCCATGGAGTATATGGTGCACAGAAGCGTGCCTCCTTCCAGGTGCTTTCCAAGCGGTAACAATCAACTGGCGCAATCTGTAAACCAAATCAAGTGCACACCCTTCAATATCTGGCGCTGTACAGCCCGCAGCAAATCTCATGGACAACAAAGACACTCCAGCCCGTCATCCAAATCTGGGGTATCGAACAGAAAAGGAAAAGGGAAATTCCATCACATCAAACCAGCCGTCGACCCAACGACAACAAGCTGTGGACCGGCTCGACCCATCGTCGAAGTCGTCCAAGTCGGTCCCTCGTCACCTCCGCCCCTTTCCTATCGGCCCTATCGCCCGCTTCCCATTCGTCCCGTCGTGTAGCCTCATTCACGTTCGTCTCGCAGCTTTCATCCCGCACCGAACCATGTAACCGTGCATTAGTAGTATTCCACCGCTGTCTATCGTCTGTGTCGCTCTCATTGAGCCATTACCCCCAGCGCGATTCCCGAGTCTGCCGGATCGCTGCTGAGGAACCAGTCCTTCTTGTTGAACTTCCTGGCTTCCTTCTCCGCCTCGACATCAACCTCAACGTCAAGCCCGAGGCCAATTCCGCTGTCGTCGTGATTTCCGGGTCCTCGGCCTTTGACGGGGCTAGTCAGACCGGTGTGGAAGCTAGGTAGATCTAAAGGGCCTCCATGCCTCAGTTCGTCCAGGTCAGCATCGGTTGCATCGTCATCGATCGGAGGAGCCGCGTCGTCCATCACCCGCGTCGATGGGAGAGCCGGCGAGCTCTTGGGAGCGGTCGACGGTCTCTTCGATGCGTGTGAATCTTGTTCCAGTTGAGTGCTCGGGTTGAACCCGGCCTCTTCTTCCGTCCGCTTTCTTTTCGTCCCACGAAAAGGCTCGTCAGGCAGCGATTGTGCTTGTCTGCATTTGTCCTGCTCCCGTTCGTCTGCGATGGTTTGACTGTGTGAATCCAGCATGAGCCCTTCCATCTGTGTCATCCAGTCTAGCATCTGCGTGGTAAACGACTCGACGAACCACCACGACTGATAGCTGTGGGCTACGCCGCGTCCCATTTGTGTCATGATGCTTTTCCAGAACCGCGTATGCCAGTTGATCATACATTGCGGGTGATGACCGCCATACAGTTGAGGCAACCGCTCCAGCCAGTTGACCCATCGTTCCAATAACGACATTGGATCGTCGCCGACTTCTGGAAGCAAGATTCCCAAGGTGCCAATCGAGTCATCATTGAGCAGAGTGGCGTACGCGCTCGTTGGGTCATCTTCGGCCGCATGGACCAAAGGCTCGTCCACGGGATCCACAAGAGGACGCATGTCGAGCTTGAGCATGCCACGGACCTTCTCGATGCTTTCCGGCGCCGGCATACTGTCCTCGAGCAGCTGATCAGGGTCCACGATGGACATTAGATCCAGCCACATCTGAGTTCTTTGTTGTGGGTCTTCGAGCATTCGACTGAACTGCAGCGTCGCCGTGTTTGCGCCCTTTAACTTGTTCAACACGTTTACAAAACGTTGTGCGGGTACTATCTTTGCGACGATGACATGGACGGGGCATTTCTCTTCGAACGCTGTTATGAGGTGACCGACCAGTTTCGTCCCTATCCGATCAAAGACATTCCACACAACGTCAGGGACGTTTTGGAGAGCTAGCGGAGCAATGAACCGGACGATCTGCTTATACATTCGCATGTCGCATTCTTGGATCCATGGGGCCAAACATGGCATCGAGAACACTTTGGAGACTGGCACGGTCATCTTGCCGTTGAAAGCCGAATGATGGTTGAAGAATGGCTTCTCCTTGCATTTTCGGAATGCGTCAATCACATCAATGCAGTATGAGCGGTATAGATGAAACAATGCACGGGCAATGGTTGCATCATATACCTCACCTTCAAGGTAAGGATGTATATCCGGAAAGTCAATCGGGGTGTCTTGTGATGAAGTCGCCGGCAGCGACAGAGAATTGACGGTTGGCATTCCAAGGTAAGACGCCATGCTCCCTGGCAGGTGTCGTCGAATAGTTGGCAGCGCGGCAACCACGTTTCCGGGCATTGTTTTGACAGGAAATCGGACGGTAGGAGTGTCGATATACTTGCAATCGAGCCTCTCAGACTGTGCATCTGGTGGGCTCGACACATCTTCCGCAGCAGTGTCTGCTTCTTTAGACAAGAATGCGGCACTGGGAGCAGGAAAGTCAGCAGTCTCCATGGTCGCTCTTGACATAGGTCGGTCCAGGGCAGGAGAAACTCGAGGCTTGAAAACCTTGGTGGCGTCCACGTGCGAAGCATGTCGTTCATGCTGGTTGCCGCTCGATGTCCCAGGTCTCTCGATGGGAGGGGCATACGGCCGGTCATCATCGTCCATTATCAATGAGAGATCGACGTAGTGGTATTTTGATTCGCCTCGGACACCCAGTCTTCTGGTTTGAACATTGGGAAAGATAATGCGTACAAGCTTTCCAAAGGATGCCGGATTGAGAGTTGGGACACGCTCATTGCCGCAGCGCTCCGTGTATCTCGTAAAAACACGGTCGCGGCGGACTGAGTTTGCAGATCTCTGACAGCTTTCTTGGAGCCTGGGAAAGGTAAGTCATGATCTAGAAGGCCGACGTAGGGAACTTACCAAAGCATCGCGAAGACCTGTTTTGCCTTTTCAGACTTTCCACCAGCCCCTTCGTTCCTCTGGACTTCGGCCGCGACCTCTTTCAGTGTCTTGCCCTGATACTGGGCCAGGAGTCGCCGCAACTCTTGGTCGTTGGCCATACTCGAAGCGGCGCCCTTTCTTCGTTTGGCACCGCCGTTCTCATTGTTTGAGTCTTCAGGTGCCGGGGAACCTTCGAACTGTTCCGAGTGATGGCGCATGTGATGCATATGTTGATGGCCAATGGGATACTGGGGTACACCATGAGGATATTGCATTGGGTATTGTTGCATCTCTTGGAATGCTTGTTGTGACATTGGCCGCATCTCATGTGGCATTCCTGTGGCTGGATCTATTGCCTGTTGATGAATATGTGCGTGTTGATAGTGCATCATCATCTCGTCTGGGTGCGGGCTATAGATGCCCCCGGCTGCATGAGCGCCATGTTGCATGAAGAAAGCGTTTTGATCGAGAGGTATGTTCGAATCGTCCGGTTGTTGTTGTGGTGGTGGTGCATGCGCCTGATGCGCGGGTTGAAAAGCAGTGCCAACACCCACGGACTGTAAGCTGCTTGTAGACGCTCGAGACTTTGGGCGCAGCTTCTCTTGTTGCAAGAGTTGGGCATTGTTCAAAGCAGGATCCTTGTGGTCCGGAGTCTCGTCCACAGACTGGGTTTGCGACTGCGCCATATCGACCTCTTCTGCGATAAGTCCACCGTCAGGACGAGAACAAACAAGTCTTCGTCCTGTATCCCCTTGGAATGGTTGCGTGAAAGAGAAGTGCGCGTCTTGGAAGTGTCTGTGTAGGCTCGTGGCTGAAGAGGTGGGCTTTAGAGTTCGAGCGATCACAACACAACATCTGAGCGCACACGGAGGTCGGAGGGCGACGGGGCTCTGTCGAAGTGTGCGGGCGTGTCCGCGGCTCAGTGACTGTTGGCGGATATAGTGACTCGCGTCAAGGTGCCTGTGAAGATGTACTGCTCGGTGACGAGCCGTCTTCACGGTCTCAGACCAGTTCGCGTGGTGGCTGTCGAGGCTGAGATGCCACTGGCTTGTGATTTGTGTATGTCGAGTCGAATCCGAGATGTTGACTAGGTAACGACCAGGAAAACAACAGAGAATACGGTGAAGTCTGGCGGCTGGAATACACTACGGAGGGCTGCACACGTTCGTCGCACATTCCGCGCAGAGCTTAATTAGTGGGCCGCGTGGGGTCGAGTCAAGTGGTGACTTGCGAGACCGTCACCGACTGACGGGCATCAGGCGACGTGGACAGGCGCTCCTCCCTCGTGCCTTGAGCAGGAGCAGCCGCCCACTCCAAACTCCAACAAAACCCAACGTCATCTCCTTCACCTGCTCGTTTGTCGCACATTTGGTTTGCACTCTGCATATTACGACCACACAAGCTTTCATCCGCATCCAGTCTCCTTTGCTCCACGATAACAATCTATATTCCCTCGAGGATAATAATCTGCCCGCCGTCAAGATGTCGTTCCAAGACAAAGCCCAACACCAAATCTCTCAGATCGATAAGGAGGTATGTGAGCACATGTCAACCCAGGCATCCGGATTCCCATTGTTACCTTCAGCACGTCACCGTCCATCGTCCCTCCATCTCATCGCAAAGTGTCTCGACGCTGATGATTGAGCTGACTCCCGGTATCTGCAGCTTAGCAAGTATCCCGCCCTCAACAATTTCGAGAGACAGACCAACGTCCCCAAGGTCTACGTCTTCCTCGGCCTCGTTGGTCTCTACTTCTTCCTCGTCTTCTTCAATATCGGAGGCGAATTTCTTGTCAACTTTGCCGGCTTCATCATCCCCGGATACTACTCTCTCGAGGCGTTGTTCAGCAATAACAAGGTTGATGACACTCAATGGTTGACGGTATGCTAATCCAGTAATTCTCGAACCCGATATATACTGACGTTAACCACAGTACTGGGTTGTCTACGCCTTCCTCACCGTCTTTGAGAGCATCATCAACGCTGTCTACTGGTTCCGTAAGTCGCATCCCCTGAATAATCATTCGGCGTCCACTCTAATGGTCGCATCAGCATTCTACTACGTCTTCAAGTTCATCCTGATCTTGTGGATGGCGCTGCCCGTGACCAACGGCGCTCAGATTGTCTTCCGATCCGTCCTCCACCCAATCTTCTCGCGCTTCTTCCAAGGCCAAGGCACCACTTCCGGCGATGTCCGCAACAAGGCCGACGCCGCTTTGAAAAGCCAGTAAACGACTCAAACGGTCGTTGTCTAGCTTTGTGCAGGAATTGAAGGAAATCGCGGACTCTTGATGCGATGAATGACGAAATGACAACAGGCTGATACCACCAGACGACAAGATATGCGACGTGGGGGACATCACAGCGGTGAAGATACCGGGACGACAATGGTGCAGAGCTGCCCAGGCGTGATGGAGAGGGCATGCGGAGAGTATTCATACGACTTTTCTCAATAGACCAGTTGATCTTGCGCTCCTTGATACGGCAGCGGCTACGGAGTATCAATTTAGGCGCGAGTGGTATTAGTGGCAGCAATCAGCAGCAGAAGGAGTTGCGCAGTCATGGCCATGCGCAATGAATTCAATACAACGCTTTTGCTCTATACGTTTCTATTGGTGAGAAATCTCGCTCGTATCCCGACTGCGAAGCCAGCAGAATGCCTTGTACCAGCAACGAGCTTCAACTCCAGCCTCCGACAAAACCCCTCTCAGCACTCTCCTGCTGCTTGGGATTGACATATATCCTGTAGGGAAAGGGGTTCTGATCACTAGTGGTGATTGGGGGAATATGGTCCTTATCCCGGTTGACAATGGCAACGATTTTCATGGCCGTCTTCTGTAGAGACGACTCCATGGCGCGGCGGACCTTGATTCGGTCTATCTCATCGCATTGGTGAGCATTTTCAGTGACAGCGCGCAATGTGGAAAGGGCGGTCTCACCAGCTTCACTCCTAGGTCTCGCAACGATGACCTGCACGCACCACTCCTCCCAGCAAACCTCCTCCTCCGTTTGCCCTCCTCCACCTAGCCTACCTAGCCATCCTGTGGTAATCCCTGTTCTTCTCCTCTTTCGGTCGTAGAATCTCACCACAACCTCGCCTCTGGAGCCACCTGCCGCGGCTGACAAGCTGGATGGGCCTGTGGAGGACTGTGGCGTGAGCTGGGATATGAGGAGGTTGGTGTGCGAGTCGATTGCTGTGGAGATTTCGGGCGGGTCGAGGATGGAGGGGAGGGTAATGGGGAGCGAATGTTGCGAGTGTGAAGAGGTGTGCGCGTGTGAGGAGTGCGAGGACGCTGTAGGCGTGTATAAACATGGTCGGATGGGCGGGAAATAGCGGTGGAAGAATATTGTATGCAGGACTCCTGCTCAGCGAGACCTGTCAGGTTCTGATCTCTGTGTAGCTTTGTACCCTTGGAGGGCAGCAAGCCCGCGCGGCGCACCTTTAACTATGTCCCTGACGAAAGTCTGGTCTGCGAAGACTTCGAGGATGTACTCGCGAGGGCGGCCTTGGTCCATGGTGACAGGCTGCGACGTTTGCGCCAAAAATATGCTGTGGCCTGGAATCCCTGGGTACAATGGCGGGGTTCGATTGTGTGTGTATATACCTACACAGTTGCGCGGAGGAGCGAAATGCGTGGCAGCCAGGAACTGGCGCCTTGTAAGAAATGTCCGTTCAAGACATGGTTGTCCGCAGACTTCAACGGATGCGCCGTATGCGCTGGTAACGACTCGCCCTGGTAATACTCATAAAGGGAGTGACGACGACGAGGTCCGCTGAAAACTCCATTCATACTTCCTGCCATGGTGGGGTCTATCGGGCAGGAGAGGTCATCCCCGGCTAGCGAAGGCAGGCACATCTCCGGGTAAAAAGGCCCTTAACAAAAGTGCTACCAGTGGCCCTTCCCGGGTGTTACGTAGTTGCAGGCTTACCTAGATCGCTCTTATTGGTTAAGGAAGGCGGCACCCCAGCTGTGCCCCCGACAAGCTCTCAACACCGACATGATCCTTCCAGCCTTGAAGCCGAGGCACCAGCCACACGTCCTTCTACTATCGATCAATTCGACAAAGGTGACCAGGTCAACACCAGTCGTGTCTTAACCTGGTCGCTGGCCTCGGCGCATCTGTTCTCACTGACAGCCCTGTCCTGAGCTCCCTGTCGCTTGCTGTATCGCTTGCGATCATGACATATCCGTCGACACCGTGTACCTGAGATAAGGTACATTTCCATCCCTGCTGGTCAAAATGATATCAGCCACACGTCGCTGGTTGCGGCGGCACCGCACCGGGATAGCCATCGGCGCTGGAATCGCTGGCGCGGGATATTTGGCCGCTCAATATGTCATTGGGAAGGTCAACGAGGCGCGAGAGCGCATGCAGATGGACAAGATCGCGAAGGAGAAGTATGGCATAAGGTCTCCTCAATTGCTGGCACCGCTGATTCCATATCCTTAGTATCCGACGGCGATTCGAGCAGAACCAGACCGATTGTACCATCACAGTCCTTGCCCTGCTGCCCACTCTCACCGACAATATCGTGGAGGATCTCCCCGTCGAGCAATTGACTCATGAACTGCAACAGAAGAAGGCCGAAAGACTGGCACGTGCCTCAGGAGAAGGGAAGTCCGAAGTCTCGTCCATGCATGATGGCGACACGGCAAGCATGTCCAGCTTTCAGACGGGAAGCTTCATGCATACCAGTCAGATGCCGCTCAGTGGAGGCCAGTCGCCGGGTCCCCGGCGGACCAAGGCCCAACTCTGGAATGAGTTGAAGGTGACCTCGCTCACAAGAGCATTTACGCTGATCTACAGTCTGTCGTTACTTACGATACTCACAAGAATACAATTGAATCTCCTTGGCCGACTGAATTACCTCTCCTCGGTCATTTCGCTTGCTCAGCCACCGCCACCGGGCAGAGCGAACTCTATCTCCCTGGAAGATCATGACGATGGGAGTGCAGGAGCCGGCTTTGGGAATGACTTCGAGACGAACCGAAGATATCTGACCTTCTCATGGTTTCTGCTGCACAAAGGGTATGCGCAGATCCTGACGAAAGTCAGGCAAGCAGTTGAAGAGGTGTTTGGAGGTATTTCGCCTAGTGAGGGAATCACTGCAGCTAGACTGAGTGATCTGGTTCTTGAGGTGCGGAAGAAGGTCGAGGGCAGTTCGGAGCAGGAGAGGTATGCTACGAGGTGGCTGCCATATGTGCTGCCACCAAAGGAGGAGGAGGAGGCCGTTTTGATTGAGTCTGGCGTGATCACTCCGCCCGCTACCTCACCAGGCTCAGAGTCACTGCACCCAGAGCACGACGAGAGCAGGCACGGCTCAATCCACATCGACACATCAACGGGACCGTTGCGTCAACTGCTGGACGAGACGGCCGATCTGATCGATTCGCCTACTTTTACGAGAATTCACACCCTGCTACTGGGCTCGATGTTCTCACATCTCATCGACGCTCGAGTTATTGCACAGTCATACCCACAACAGAGGCCACACTCGCCCTCATCGTCGATTTCCAGCGCACCATATCCGCGTATCCAAGAGCTTGACTCGGCGGTCACCGTCGTGCCAGGGGAGCCTCGTGTCAAACTCGCCAATATACTGGCAGTCATCACGCGCCAGGCACACGCCATCGGCAACGGCAACAACCCACCTAATGAATATGTATCAACTGCAGAGGCAGAAGTGAAGGAGCTCGAGGCTTTTGCAGCGGTCATCTATGCGAGCAATATAGACCACAGTCTGGACGTCCATCAGCCGAATCATGACGAGGGTGGACTGAAGGCTTCGGATGGGATTGGCGTTAGTGACGTCGGTGCCGAACCCGTGAATGAGTTGATCGAGAGTAAGCTGGAGAGTGCGTGGACCAAGGTGACTGGGTCGACTTCGTTCTCGTCCCGGTGATGAAGTGTGAAACAGGTTCTTAAAAGATACAAGATATGAAAGATCGATGAAGGTGCGAGTATTCGGGTCCCTGACGAGACAGATACTCCAAAGGCTACAATATGATGACTATAAACAATGTTACACAGCGGAACTCACGCCGTTTGCTCATCGTTCAGTAGCATGTCCCCGCCATTCCCCCTGGCGGAAGCTGACGCCGATTCGCCGACCGACTCCAACTTTACTTTTTGTGAACAACTGTCACGTCTGGCTTCGCAGGTGGGATTCGTGATCAGTGCCCACCCAGGCCGCCTGCAATCCCTTCACATGGCCTTGATACCCCGTTAAGACACCTTGCGCGGTCCTTGCGACCACTTTCCTTCCTTTCGTCCCCATCATGGCCAACGAGGCCGCGACGCCCATGGCTTTCTCCGGGCAGGACCGCTCGTTCGGGATGAGCGGGCATTTTATGAACATCTTCCGCGATGACAAGTGGTTGAACTGGCGCATGGTGCCTTTTATTCTGATCTGGGCTGCCTTTGCGGTTGTGTTGGTGGTACGTCGCTGGCTACGCTGCGGGCTGCGTTTTGCGGGCTTGAAGCGTTGTCTCAACGTTGGCTAACGTACATTGTACGCACAGGTCTGGCTGTTCATATACTTTTTCGTGCCGGAGCCGCGAAGGCCCCGCCCGTCAGAGAAGACGTACACGACTGTGGATAAGACGGGGGACGTCACGGACCCGGAGCCCCTACCCTGCTGGTACGACGACCTCCTACAACGATCCTACAAGGCGAGACAAGAACGGCCAGATAGCCACTTGGACATGGAGAAGGACTTTGAGCCGGAGCCGCCGGAGGTATTTCTCACGCTGGTCATCCCGGCGTTCAACGAGGAGGACAGACTGTCAGGCATGTTGGAGGAGGCTGTGAATTTTCTGCAGACCGAGTACGGTGTGTTCCCGAACTCCTCAAGCTCGACAAAGACCATGCAGGACATACCCGAACATTCTCCCGCCGGCCCGCGGCACAGGAAGCAGGCCAACGGCGCCGCCTCAAAGCCAGACTCCCGGCCGGTTTCCGGGTGGGAAATCCTGCTCATCGACGACGGCAGTACAGACCACACCCTACTCACCGCGCAGACGTTCGCCCGCGCACATATCCTCCCTCCACACCCCCGGCGGGACTCGGGCCCCTGGACGCATCGGTCCCCGCAAGGCGTCAAGATCCCGCCGGGTTCGATCCGCATGGTGTCTTTGGAAGAAAACCGCGGCAAAGGCGGGGCCGTCACGCACGGCATGCGCCACGCGCGGGGCCAGTACGTGCTGTTCGCCGATGCGGACGGCGCGTCCAAGTTCTCGGACCTCACCAAGCTGCTGGCGGCGTGCCGAGATGTCGAGGACCCCTCGGGACGAGGCATCGCCGTCGGGTCGCGCGCGCATCTCGTGGGGTCCGAGGCCGTGGTCAAGCGCTCCCGGCTGCGCAATTTCCTGATGCACGCGTTCCATTTGCTTCTGTGGCTGCTCACGCCGCCGGCGACGGCGCGCATCAAGGACACGCAGTGCGGGTTCAAGCTGTTCTCGCGGCCCACGTTGCCGTTCATCATCCCGCACATGCACATGGAGGGGTGGATCTTTGACGTCGAGATGCTCATGCTGGCAGAGAGTGCGGGCATCCCGGTAGCGGAGGTGCATATCGGGTGGAGGGAAGTCGTGGGCAGTAAGTTGAATGTGGTCAAGGATTCGATCGGCATGGCGTGGGGGTTGGCCATACTGAGGATTTGCTGGGGGACAGGGATTTATCGACGGTAGCATCAGCATATGGCCAGAGCATACCACGTGGCTGTTGCACGCCCAGTTCACTTGGGTCTCATCTGGGAGGCATTGTGACGACACATGCCTGCTGCGATCTGTATGACCAGATAAAGCATAGAAAAAAAGTTATAGATCCTCAAAGATGCGATGAGCGTCGGTCGGGCAAGGAGCATCTTCGATAACTGACCTTGCTCCTTACAGCAGGGAATGAACAGATCGAATAGGAATCAGCATACTCCGTAATACCTACGGAGGTCTACTCGTACCGTGTGCTCCTCAGTGGCTACATCGATTAGTACAGTGGCTGCCTCGTACAGCGTCCTTGAGCCCATATCATCTCGCTAGCCCTTCACCACTACTGTGTACCTTACCTACCTACCTGGTACCTCTCTACCTCCTTACTAGTATCGTGAGTTGTACATACGGAGTACAGTACGGAGTACATATGCACCAATCCGAGGCGCGAGGTTTTCAAAGCTGGGCAAGCTCCCGTCGCGTGGCTTCGTAAGTTCGGCACGTCACGGACGGACGTCATGCTGGTGATGCTGCTCAATCATCATCCATCATCCACCTGCAGTTCGACGGCCTCACGCTGATAATGCAGCGTTCATTAAGGTATTCGGTATATTGAAAGTGAGGACCACATACGCTTTACGCTGTGCCTGCTCCTGTCGCGGTGGCCTCTAGATACACATCTATTGTCCCCTAGGTTTTCTGCGTTTGTGCCATAACATGAACATGGGTACGAGTACCACATATTGATGTTGACCGTACGCTCCCGATCTTCGTCCCTCCTCCTCTGGCGCAGTGCCAGTGCTAGGCAGCCTGTACCTCTCCGAATCACGGTGACCAAAGCGGCCAACATGGCGGGGAGTGATAAGATGTCTACTTATGCGCCGCATATGGCGAAGAACCTCTCTATGGAGACAATGGTATGTACCACACTACTTTGGTGCGAAAGTTGCAGGTTGAAGGTTTAAGATATTAAGAGAGTCTGGGTCTCGAGCTAGTATCCTAGACTTGTCTCTTGAAGTTGTCTCTTGAAGTTGTCTCTTTAAGTTGTCTCTTGAGCTTGTTCTGGAAGCTTTACTTTTAAGATGTACCCTGGTGGCACATGAAGATTCTCAACCCTAGATCTACTACAGCCTGCACTTTCTCGTATATCCAGTCCTGACACGATTGCTAACCGCCAATACCTACCCTCCAGGACGTATCCTCCGCCAAATGGATCACACTCAAAAAGATCCAGTACCTCGACCCCCAGGGAAAACAGCGGGTATGGGAATCCGCCGAGCGCCAAACCAGACCAGCCAACAGCGAGACGGACGCAGTCGGCGTGGTCGCGGTGCTCAGGGACCCTGGTGGCAGGAAAGAAACCCCAGACTCAGAGTCAACTCCAGCCTCGGATTCAGATACAGGCCCTCGTCTACTCCTGCAGAAACAGTTCCGCCCGGCGCTGGGCAAAGTGACGATCGAGTCACCCTCGGGCTTGGTCGACGAGGGCGAAACCCCCGCCGAGGCCGCGATCCGCGAACTGAGAGAAGAGACCGGGTACGTGGGCACCATCCCCGACGATACCACCGCCGCGGCGGAAGGGTTCGTCATGTGGAACGACCCGGGGTTCTGCAATACCAACACCAAGATGATTTTCGTGGACGTCGACTTGTCGGATCCGCGCAACAGGGATCCCAAGCCCGAGTTGGAGGAGGGCGAGTTCATCGAGTCATTCACCCTGCCGTTGGATCGGCTGTGGGAGGAGTTGAACAGGCTGGATCGCGAGGGGTATGCTATCGATGCGAGGGTGGGAGGGTTGGCGCAGGGGATGGAGATGGCGAGGCAGTGGAGGGACGCGCTGGGGAAGGAAGGAGATGGATCAAAGGGTGGGTGAGCTTGGATTGTGGTGTGTTTGGATGCAAGTATGTACGTATGTGTGCATGCGTATGCAGTGGGCGGCACTTCCTTGTGGCGGTATCCCGTGACGAAAGAATAGACGTTGGGCGAGGAGCAGGACGCTCGCTTCTCCTTTTGTTGACGGGTAGATGGACCTATCAAGGTCGAGGTGAGGCAAGAGGGAGTACTTGCGTATAGCTTATTGTCAGAGTCATAAATCTAGGCCCCCTGGCGTTTCTGCCCGAGAGACGAAGCTTCACGACAGGGCTTCGCGTCATACACTGTGGGTCATTGATGTAGATGTGGCCGAATATATCTCTGTGACGTCCTGACCGCTGACTGCACCGGCGCAATTCACGTCAAAGTGTAGGTAGCTTTTGTCCGTTTGAGCCAAAGCTCCGAAAAGACCAGCAGGTAGCCGGCCGGGGGTTGCATTATTTCGCCATGCACAACGCTGTCGACATACAGTAGCATGCCCCCACAAAAGGAAAAAGACTGATCGTCGGATCTGAGCCGGTCCTCCGGTGAACGTAACTAGGGCACTCTGCCACCAGCGAGGACGAAGACGGCGAGCACATACTCCAATTCTGGTATCTCAGGTTGTTGCTGTTGGAGAGCGGAAAGCCTTCGTCACCCATCGCGTCCAGGACGGTGGCTCAAAGTCCTGAAGAGACTGCGTAGGTGTCCTCTCCTCGACCGGGGTCCTGCAAGGTATCATGGCATTTTTGAAAGAGTTTTCGTCGACTTTCAACTGTCGCCAGTGATCGTGCGCGCGAAGGAGTCACTCGGAGCCTGAGATAAGGAATACCTTTCCTCGGCTATTCGACACCGCCTCGAGGGGATATCTCCACGCCGTCCATCTAGCCTTCCTTGCATTTCACCCGGATCAGGTATTCTATCTTTTACACGGCGCTTCCGTCGTGCAGCTCACTGCTCACTGCTTCAGATGCTCAGCCGCGTTGCCACAGAGAGCAAGTTTGTGAACGTGCTCAAGACGGATGTCGACGTTCCTCAGATAGGCTGAGTAATTTCGTCAGGTGCGGATCCAAATGCGCATGGCCTTTCTGACCCGACCTAGGAACCATGCCGGAATGTGACGTGTACGATGCCGGCCACAGAAAATTTGCACCAAAATCCTCCCAATTGAGCGCTGGTGCTTTGTGGTTAAAGGACTCGATGATACAGATCAAATCTGAAATCCTGCTCAGCCTCACGAAAGTCTTCCACGGAATTTGCTGCACCGTGGCTCTGACCGTGTGGCATGGACGATCGATCGACGTGAGGCTGGATCATTGGGTGCCATTGAGGAGGGCATAACTCGCTTTCAGAGAATAGAGAGGGAGCTGTGTATACGGTTTGGCTGTCTTGTCGCCTTGTGACGAAGGCGAAGTGGGATTCGGAGTCCTCATGGCCAGAGATTGGGCCGTTGATATCGTAACTTCGAGGCTTCTTGTTTCATGCCTCAATTCTTCCTAGGCTTCCTTGAGGATTGCTGCGGCTGTTGCGGCCGCTGAGGTTGTTGCGATCGTTGCGGCTGTTACGGCCGTTGAGGTTGTTTGTGATTGTTGCCGATGTTTAGCACGCTCCCGGGCTTCCTTTCTGGCATTTTCCTCGTTTCCCTTCTTGATGGCGTCAGCCTTGTCCTTTGCTTGCTGAACTTGATCCGTAGTTCCCTTGGTGAACCGTAGCATCCATATCTTCCCTCCAGGAGGCTCTGCCCGTATCGTTTCCGAAAGCGCGCGGGTGAGGCTGACAATACCTAAGTTGTGGGGCGTTCGCTGCAGAGCTCCCCTTGGCTGGGACGTCTCCTCTGAACATCCCTCGTGAACCCCCGTCTCTTGTTAAACAAGCTCAGATTTAGGTGCACCAGGTTGGGCTTACCTGTGAGTAATGTAACTAGTCCCTTTTCAGCCGCAGAGGGCGTGATTGGTGTGATAATCGAAGAGGCCCCGCTTTCCACTCGCGAATTCCTTCCTTCTCTCTCGTCGTCGTCTCTCTCTTCGATTCGCCCGGTCAATAGACAAGAACCCTTCCGCCATCCTTACTTCTGCCGCACTGCCATTCCCTTTGCCTCGCAGTACATTGCAGTGACGCACGGAGAATGAGCAATAGCCGGGGACTAGTTTGTCTCGCGAAACAATCTTATCCGCACCACTATGAGCCACGTCTTCACCACTTCCTCCATCACTTTCGCAAGCCGCCGCGGAAGAGATGATCTAGGCATGGGATCTTAGACGACGTTGAGATTATAAACAAGACAGCGATCTGGTTCCTCCTCCCCACCAGGAACAGGGTTGCGTCTGTGAAGCCGAAGCCGAATCGTATTGGAAGCCGGCCTCACTCGAGGTCCTGACGATTTCAGAAAAGAGGACGCAATCTCTATCCACGCTTATGACGCCAGCTGAAGCTGGAGCACTGTGTGTATCGCGAGTAGGGATAAATCCGTATAGCTGGGGCTAGCTGTGCTGTATGATAGACGAGCCTGATTGCATCCGCTGTGGCGGCACTGTTGGCGGAGCTGTTCCGTCCCCACGCACATTTTGGCCGAATCGGGAAATGTGGACCACCTACGCGACAACCTGGGGTTTGAGTTTGGGACGGGGCTTGGAGCATGGAAAGAGGCTGTCTGGATAGTCCAGATCCGAGATGAGCGCTGATAACATTGTCGCAGACATAAAGCCGGGTGTCGCTCGCACGGACATTGCCTACCATCACCGCCAATATCCCACCGGGTTTACACTGTACCCTCTAACTCAGCCTCCTGTTCTCTAAGCCGCGATAGCAACCGGTATGGGAGAGATTGATGAGCCAACTTGCAAAGTCGTCGCCGCCAGCAACGACTTCTCAAAAGAAGATGGCCCCCATGTCCGCGGCAATGCCGAATACTCTCCGCCGCTTGAGGCAAGTTGCGACGTCCTAGGGCATGGCGGTCTCTGACAGCTCGACTAGCTATACAAGAGTTTCAACTGGAAGTCAATGCTTGCGGCATGTGTCTCGTTGATGGCGACGTGGGAAGCCTTCTGCTCTACCATGGCCGCAGGCCTTCTTAGTGGTGGCCCCGTATCATTGGTTTATGGCTTCATATGTAAGTGAGCCCTCTTTACGGAGTGTTGTCCAAGTTTTCCCTAACAAGACGACCAGTGGCATTCACAGGAACCATTGCGACGGCCTTGTCGTTGTCCGAGGCTGCTTCAATGTGGGTTGTACAACCTGGCCTCCCAGGCAGGAGCTTATAGGTCACAGGATTCCGTCTGCAGGCGGACAATATCATTACGTCGCCGAGCTCTCCCCGTCCTCGATCGCTCGCCCTCTGAGTTGGGCTGCGGGCTGGGTGACCATGTTCGGCTGGCAATCGGTCGCTGCCAGCGCTCCATTTCTCGCCGGGACCATGATCCAGGGGTTGATTGTGCTCAACGATCCTTCGTACATCTACCAGCGCTGGCATGGAACCCTCCTCTACTGGGCCGTGCTTGTCCTTTCCCTGGCAGTCAACGTCCTGGGGATCCGGATTCTCCCACATGTCGAAAACGCGTCCATGGTGCTTCACGTGGTGCTCTTCCTGGTGCTGCTGATTGTGATCGTGGCCGTCTCTCCCACCAAGAACTCGGCGTCTTTTGTCTTCACGGACTTCGAGAATCAAACTGGCTGGACCAGCAGCGGCATCGTATGGTGTCTTGGCATGCTGAGTTCTTCGTACGTTCTGGTTGGGTACGACGCGGCGGCTCACTTGAGCGAGGAGATGTCCGATCCAGCAGTCGGGGTGCCCCGTGCCATGATCGGCTCGCTGGTGCTGAACGGGGTTCTAGGCTTTGCGTTCTTGCTGGCCGTCCTGTTCTGCATGGGCGACATCTCCTCGGCATACGCGACCCAGACGGGATTCCCCATCATCCAGATCTTCTACACCGTCACGGGCAGCCTGGGCGCCGCTTCCGCCATGACCACGGCCGTGATCCTCATGGCATCTCTCGCGACCATTCCGCTCGTCGCCTCTGCGTCACGTACGCTCTGGGCGCTCGCGCGGGACTCGGCCTTCCCCTTCCCTGCCTGGCTTTCTCACGTGGATGAAAAGAGAGGCATCCCCACCAGGGCGATCTGGGTGACGACCGTGTTCCTCATGCTCCTCGGCCTGCTGAACATCGCCGCCACCACAGCGTTCAACGCGATTCTATCTCTGGCTGTCGTGGGCCTGTATCTGTCTTACCTCCTGCCTGTCGCCGTCATCCTGTGGCGTCGCATTAAGAGGCCCGACTCCCTGAGGTGGGGGCCCTTCAAGCTCGGCCAATGGGGGATCGCCCTCAACGTCACCTCCATCATCTACACGGTCTTTTGTTGCGTGTTTCTGCTCTTCCCACCGTACCGGCCGGTCACGGCGATGAATTTCAACTATGCGTCGGTGGTACTGGGCGGGGTGCTGCTGTTGAGTGCAGTCTACTGGTTCATTAGAGGACGGAAGGTCTACACGGGCCCTGCATGTGAGATCTTGGGCCGCGCAGTCTCAAACATCAGCTATGCGTAGAATGGGTGCAGTGGGAAAGACAGCACGAATATACATGCAAGGGTGCACCTGATCTGTGGCAACATTCAACCAACTTGGCGTGGCTTGGGGAAAGCCCTTCTAATCGCCAAATACTGTACATAACCCAAAGGTCTTGGGCTAGACGTCCGCCTTGGCCGATCCCAAAGGTGGCCCGATACATGAGTCTCTCTATTCATAGCCTTGGTCCTGGACTGGCACACAGTGTTTCGGCAACCGCCTGCGCAGTCTGGGATCCACTCTCGAGCGCACCATCGACGAAGCCTCGCCAGCCCAGAGCCCAGTCGGCGCTCGCAAAGAAGACGTTTCCGTGCGCCTTCTGCAGCTCCTGGAGATACTTTGTCGTGCAATGACTGCCCCAACAACTCCACACGCCTTTGGCCAGCGGGTCATTCATCCAGTCGTGCGTGAGATAGCCCTCGACCACGGCGCTGGGACGCACATCCCTGTTGAACTCCTCCACAACATGCCTGCTGTCCCGCGGGTCTCGAAGGCACCCATTGAACCCAAAGCCGATGCAGTAGGTCCCACGCGGCCCGCTGGTCGGGCTTGTGCCGTTATGGTCGGAGAAGGCGAAGCAGAAAGACGAAGACGAGGCGGCGTGCCCGTCACACGCCGCGAACCAGCCCGGTTCGGTCTGTGCCAGCCTGAAGTGGATCTTGGCCCCCTTGTTGATGTGTCCTTTGGCAATGGCTTCGCGTTTCAACGGACTGAGCGGCGGCGAAAACTTGACATCGCCCAAGCAGTTGAGTGGGACGGTGCAGACGACGGCTTTCGCTCGGAAGGTGCGTCCATCCTTGGCCCTGGCCACGACTGGGCCGTCAGGTCCGGTCTGAGTGATCTCGGAAACGGTCGTGTCGAGGAGAATGTCGCTCCATGCATCCTTCAGGATCGATCGGGCAAAGGACGTCATACCGCCCTTCGCCAGTTTGTACACGCCGGCAAGCTCAAACACCTGGGCCATATTGTGCCCACCTAGCGCGTACCAGCGGAGCACTTCGACGAAACCGATCTCGGCACTCGGCGCGCTGCCGAACGTGTTGACCGCGCTTTCGAACTGGCCTTTGTGGCCGTCGGGGATGTCGTCAAGCTGATCGAGCCGCTGACGCACGGTGAGGTGGTCGTACCTTTTCCACGGCGCCGGCTCTCGAAAGGGGTCGTGCGGGTACGGCATCAGCTCGCGGCTGGAGAAGCCGTCGATGGTAAAGACCCGGTCCGCCACGGCTTGAGTCGTTTCAGCCAGAGCGTTGCCATCCACTTCGACCACCTCGCCCGTGGCCTCTTTGTAATATGTCTTCTGTGCGGCGAGGGTGCAGGCCGAGGACTTGAGATTCTTGTGCAGGCCGTACCGGTGCAGCTCGGCGCAGAGGTGTGGCTGGTTCCAATGAACCTACAGCCCTCATACCTTAGTACTTTACCCAGTGCCACACTTCAATCAGTACGCACCCATGTTCCTCCCATTTCAAAGTCCTCGCCAAACGCCTGGGCCGTCCACGTGCGACCGCCGATGCGGTCTCGTCCCTCGACGATCAAGACTCGCAATCCATAGTGCCGCGTCAGTTCGCGGGCCGCGCGCAGGCCGGCGAATCCGGCGCCAATGACTAAGACGTCGTAGCTCGGTTGGAGGTTCGCCGTCGCAGCCCTGGAGATGACGGCTTGGGTGGGAAGGCCTTGGGTGAGGCGGCCTTGAGTCCAAAGATATCCTTCGCGGGATCTCGACATGGCAGCACCCTGATGCAGTCTGCAGGCACGCTCGATGGGGGCTACTGCATCTTTACGATGCGTTTATGTTCATCATTGAGCATGTGATTGCTTCTTGGGTCCAATTTACTTACAGTATGTAGCTGCGGAATGCTTCCGATGCACTGAATTGCCCAACTTGGACATTAATTATGAGAGGCGAGGGCGTCAGGGATAAGAAGCGTGCACAGCACAGATCAACCTCCCGGGGAGACTGGTCACAAGCTTGGAGTAAAGTAAGTCACTGCGAGCTAATTACCCCGCCATCACCATGGTATTGGAAGTCAAGCCCAAGACCGAAATGTTCAAGGTCCAGAACATCCCTGGGTTCCCGGAGCACGTATACTTCAGTGAGTCGAAATCAAATCGAGCTGCTGCTGCCACACGCGAGCTCTGGTTAACTAACTCGTGGACAGCCGACTTTCTGGGAAGCCGTGACGACAAGGTGCCCAACCCGATCACCAGCTCGTGGTTTCGCATCGAGCAGGGACCGCCAGCAACGCCCCCCACGTACGAATACGACGAGGTCGGCGTTGTCGTTGAAGGTATTGTGAACCAAGCTGATCTGAAGTCCCCCCCGTGGGACGACACGTTGACAGATGGGATGCTGCAGGGACCATTACTTTGGAGGATGAGCACGGAACCAAAGAGACAGCCAAAGCTGGGGACATCTTTGTGATTTACCGAGGGAGCACGGTTGCTTTCTCGTCCAGCGAATATGGGATTGCGTTCAAGTGCGGGTCGAGATTGATGGCTAGACTTTGAGTACGAAGTACACAGTACCGAGTAGAGGAGTCCAGATAGGAGAAGACGGATTAATTAGATGCTGCGTAGACCGGCCAATCGCACTTTGTCTCCGCATCGGGTAAGGCTGCGTACAACTACGATGTCCCCTTGAACTACCTAGGTAGACACGTCGGTTCCGCAAGCAGACCCGCGACATGCCGTCAAGTCGGCTTCGTGTTCTGCTGTGACCCCAATGCTTGTCTGCACTGCAAAGCATCCTGCAGTTCACTTCCCATACTGGAAGAAATGTGCGTTTCCGCTTCAAGGAAATTCCTCGTTCCGCAGTGTGGTCACACACTCTGGTCGCAGTCAATGTCCGTCGTACTTAAAAAATCGAGGGAATGGGTGTCGACGACGCCGGTGCTGGGATAACCAGCCATCACGCGGCTCCTGACAGCAACTTCAGCTCGACGACATGGCTAATCCCAAGACAAAGCCAGCTGGCGTCTTGCCGGCATCCTGGTACTCCACACCGGCCATCTATGAGCTGGAACGTCGCGCAATCTTTGCCAAACACTGGCTCCTCATCACCCACGAGCTCCGTCTTGCAGCGGCGGGCGCGTACGCGAAATTCACCGTGGCGGGCTATCATTTCTTCATCGTCCGTGACAAGCAAGGCGAGCTGAACGCCTTTCTGAATGTCTGTCGTCACCGGGCATTCCCGGTAGTCCTCCGGGACGAGGGCGTCGCCAACATTCTCGCCTGCAAGTACCATGGTGAGCCTAAGCTGTTTCCATTTTAGCCACACGTCCAGCCCTGACCCCGGCACAGGGTGGTCTTACGGCCTGACTGGGAAACTTGCCAAAGCACCCCGATTCGATACAGTGGACGGCTTTGACAAGTCGGATTATGGCCTCTTCCCGATCCACCTGCGGGTCGACCGAAGAGGCTTTGTCTGGGTCACCCTCGACGCGGCGCAAGAGCCCGAAGTTAAATGGGAAGAGTTCTTCGACTCGGTCGACACACAAGGCCGATTACAAGCATTCGACATGAAGAACTATCGCTATGATCACTCGTGGGACATGGACGGCGAATACAATTGGAAGACCCTAATAGACAACTACAACGAGTGCTACCATTGCTCCGTTGCACATCCCGGCATAGCCAAGGTCACCAATCTCGAAAGCTACGACGTCAAAACCACCAACGGTTTCATCGAGCATTATGCCGAGAGCAAAGGTGAGCCCGCCGACGCTGCTGGGAACGTGGCGCCGACTTTCCTGTTCCCCAATGCGTCCATTACCATGACGTGAGTGCTACATCTACGTGCTGCCTCCCAGTAGAGGACCGAGCTGACGGGCGTATATCAGGGATCGTTATTTCTACATCATGCGGGTTGTGCCCGTCAGCGAATCGCGCGTATCCATGCAGTACGAAGTCTACCGACATGCCGACTGCACCGATCAAGACTTCGAGGACCTCGACAAGTTTTTCAAGCAAGTCGAAGCCGAGGACAAATACCTTTGCACCAATGCTCAGAAGAACCTCAATGCCGGGGGGTACGTCACTGGGCCGCTGCACCCGCACCGCGAGAAGGGCGTGCTGCACTTCAAATCCTTGATCAAGAGGTTGCTGGTCGAGCACGGCAACCAGGAGAAAATCTTGGGTCGAGAGATCACGCCGGTCAACAGGTCTCCGGACAATACTGACATTGTAGAGGAGGAATTGTTCTGCAAGGATGTGTGTAGCAGAGCCGGCGAGGACTACGCTTGGTAATGAGAGCCGCTGTACTCCGTAGTCACATAAAGTATTGTGGTAGCGGTCCTACATATATTGTGTAATGAGGAGCAGCTCAGAAGTGTAAGACCAGCACTGGATCAGGTTCCAACTGCCAGGGGCCATCACAATGCTTGTTTTTGGGGCCTTGATGATTGGCGTGCCTGGCCGCCTGGACCGAACTCGGTGACGGATGGGGGCATGCTGTCGGACCCTTAGGCGGGCCCCGTCCCCCGCATTACTTGGTAGCCTTATCTTCCCTATCAAGAAACCATCCACTAATATTGCCACTTTGCATCCTCTCATTTGCTTCCCAAAACACCCCCATGTGAGGCACTCTCGGTACATTCTTAGCCCAGGCTGCTTTGGTCTGCCTTGGTCTGCCATGTCCGCGACAAGCAAGACCGCCAAATCTCGCTCTGGCTGCCGGACTTGCAAACAACGAAGGGTAGGTCTAGCCCCACTGCACCCTATTGGAAATACTCAGCTCACTTGGGCGTGCCGTCAGGTGAAATGCGACGAAACCAAGCCGTCCTGCAGACAGTGTGCTCTCAAGAGTCTAGAATGTCCGGGATACGCGACTCGATGGAAGTGGTCGACCAAACATGAACAGATCCAACGTGCTCCTGTTTCAAAGAGGGCGAGGGTTAACAAGCCATCCGATTCCGCAGAAGATACTCCGGAAGTAGGGTCCTCGCCACGCTCTCATCGGCAAGAGAGTGCAGGGAACCATCTCAAGCATGTAGAGTCCGTCTCGGAGAACGGCGATACTGCCGCCTTGGATGATGAGGCAGAGCAAGCCCTGTTGAATGGAGATTGGGATGATGTCTTGCTACCCACCTTCCAGTCGTCGTCCACTCCTCGAAGCCTCTCCATGTCGGAAACTACAAGAACAACAACACCTGCACGGCACTCTTTCGATGTGGCACCGTGGGTATGGCAATCCCCAGACACCATCCTCAGCAACGTGCAGATTCAAGTGGATTTCTTCTCTGAGAAGGTCTGCAAGGCTCTGACAGCGGTCGACTCGATGAACAACAACCCATTCAGGCAGGTAGCGTTGTCACGGACCAAGGACTCGCTCTTGTTTTTCTCCCTGTGTCGGTACCTCACCGCGGCGTTCCTGAACTCGAGCGCTTCGGACGCCACCAGTGCGTTGGTCGTGCAGAACGCACAGATGGAGACGCTGCAACGGTTGCACAATGCCGTGGCCCAGCTGGATTACGACGTGCTGACGAGAATGAAGGCTGAGGACATTTTGATGGCCATCATCATGTTCGGGCTCAGTACGAATTGGGATGGGTCTAACAGTCCGAGCATCTTGCATTACAATGCCGCGGTCCGGTTGTATACGCATGCCTGTTGCGGTCATGAGGAGCTCTTCCTCCACTCGCTGGTGTACTGGTGGATGGGACTCGCGTTTGTCACGGACACCACCAAGGAGTGTCTGTTAGAGCCCCCGCCTCTCGAGCGTGGCAATCACGGGGAGGCTGCCAAAAGGATTCCGCATCCCCTGGCTGGCGTGTCCCCCGCGGCGCAAAGACTGCTCGGCCGTGCCGGCTCGTTGATCTACGCCCAAAGGCTGAGGTGCCGGGAGAAATCGTTTCCCAGCATGAATCAGTTGCAAAAGGAATACGAGGCCGTACAGCGGGCGCGCAGCCTGGAAGAGGAGACCTTGTCACTGCAACTGCCAAGGGCCAACAAATTTGTCGACGTCGGTGATACCGCGACCCCGATACAGGACCTCATCAACACGGCAGAAGTTTATCGACTTGCCGCCCTCATTTTGCTGTATCGAGCATTCCCCGATCTGCTCAACGGCAGACTGCGGCTCGACGAAGACGGAAACGAGGCTGATGCCAGAGAGCGACGATTGCGGTGGGTGACGGCGCTGGCCATTCACGCCCTTGACATTCTCCGCCAGAATTCCCCTCACTCGGGTACCCGCAGTATTGAGTCGATCCTGCTGGTCATCATTGCAGGCGAACTGCAAAAGCGTACGTGTTCATCACAGATCTCTTGCGTAACGAATGAGACTAAGAGCGAGAGTCCGAGCCTTGGGCCATCGATGGCTGCATCCACGCCTCTACCGACAAGTCCTTTTGATCGCTTTACGGCTCTGCACGATTGTGTCCGAAGCGTCTTCCACATCGGCCACCTTTGCGAAACTTCAGGGTTGGACCGCATCTACGAAGCTCGCAGGGCACTCCTCAAGCGCCTCCAATCGATCCGCGACATCTTGCCATACAGGTTGCTGGAGCGTGTGCAAGAGCTTGTGCTCAAAACCTGGGACGCCGGTGACAATGATAACCCGGAAGTCTTCTGGATTGATGTTATGATTGACAATGAATTGAAGTTCCTGCTAGTGTGAGATATGTGACAACCCTCAGAGGCCTCCTACAGTCTCCCTGTTTTCACTTCCCGCCTTGTCGGAATGCCAATATGATTGGGGTGCCGAAGCCACCTCGGGATTTCGAGCATAGCTGCATTGACTAGCGAATGGCAACTGCTGATGTAAATTGAGTTGACATGGGTGACGGGCAATCCCAGGCATATGATATCGCATCATATCATAACTGTCGCTCCAGCGAAACAACAAGCATTCAGCCCCTGGAAACGGCCGTTCTAGTGTCGGCTTCCGCAGGAATGAACAGCCTGATTTCCTGTCTTGAAGGCTCAAGAGGCTGCCGTATCCGCAACCTGCCGTCCGTCTCAGTCGACCAAGCCTTTGAGAAGTAGGGAGAGATTCCTCGACAGAGAGGCAAGAAGCTGAAAATATCGCGAATCAGCGCACCGTGAAGACTGTTCCTCGCTATTGAGTTGGATCATTTTCGATTGAGCTCCCGAAAGTCAGGCTATGAGGCTGCCATGCCCAGACTGGCTAGGCGCTTGAGTTTTCATATCAGGAGGAGGCGGTCGAATCATAATTATGAAACTTTCGCACCTGGAGAATAGAACAGTCTGACCGCAAGCTCTGTGTGAAGACATGGACCATGTCCATCGACTTGAGAGAGTGCTGGTGCTTGTGGTGAGGGCGGCAGGATGTCCTCAAGCCACACTCTTCAAGCATACAACCCATGCATATGAGAAGCCGGAGCAGTTCAAGTCCATGTGCCAAGCAGAGACAATCCCAATGCTGCTTCTGGGTCCTCATCAATGGTGCTCCTTGAGGTAGGCAGAATCTCAAGACCTCAGGGCGCACGAAGAGCAGACCTCTAGAAGACCACCTGAAACCAACCACATGCTGCTTGCCACCTGCGACTGACGGATCTACGAAGTCCCATGTAGCATCGGAATTCCGTGGCAAGCTTCGCCATGTCAGCACTGTTGTCCGTCCTGAACGGTCTTTCCCAGCCGTGAAGACAGGCTAGAATTTGCTAAAGAGACCACCGCACGTCTCGCCCGCATTCTCCCCTGGTCCCCAACCCGAAACGAACAAGTTCTGACACCAACATTCCCACTGATTCTTCAATCCCTGGACGCACGTGTTGGTGACTGCATCATCAGAGCACTTGGTTTTGCTTGAGAGAATCTTCAGTCCGTTATTGTTCTTGCAGGTCATAATGCCAATCGCGGAGCTAAGGCCACAAGTCAGCATGATTCCATCGCAAGACGCAGACACGTTTACCATTCGCAGTTGCTCGCACAATAGTCCCCAGTTAGGCCCGGGCAAGTAGGACTTGATATTCCGCGTCCCAACCCGCCTTTGATTGCTTGGCACTGCGCGCCGCAGCCGTCATTGCCGTCTTGAGGTATCCCAAGAATAGTGGGTAGTGCGAGGCCACCGTTGGAGGCAAGAATAGACAAGAAGATAGAGCACTTCATTTTCGGATTTAAATCAGGTCGACTTGAGGAATCTTCTTCCCTGCCCAGCCAGCCAGTTCCGCTCTTGCTCGTGATGTATGTGGTGAAAGGTCTGTTTCGCGGAGATGAAATCTGACAGCACAGGAGCTTATAAGGCAGAGGTCTGCGCGAATGATGAACATGAGATACGGCATGGTGAAGTGGCCGATTCCTTGGGTTGACGGGCCGTGCAACCGTGACGACTGCCTTGTGAGAACATGTGCAATCGTAAAGCAAGCTGTGGCAGTGACAACTGCATTATCCAGTGAAGAACATAATGGTGACAGTGTCCTTCAGCGCTGTGACATACTGAACATGGCGATACCATGAAGGAAAGCTTGAATCGAGCACAATTGAAGTCCCGTCGTCGAATGTGAATGACGGCCTCATACTCCACGAAGGGATTGTTCAAAAAGAGTATGGAGAAGACCCTAACACTCTCTCACAATCTCAGGTCACATCCTTGGGCCATGTTGCCGCTGATTTGGGCAGATACGTTGCTCCCAGGACGTCAAAGAGCAGGAAGGGTGGTGATGGAAGGATTTCCACTGCGACCACAGAGTCAATCTGCTGGGTTGTCATGCTGATTTCTCGTTTGAACATCTCACTGCCTCAGTATTCATGGTTGCATGATTTGATTGGCGAGCTGGAAGAACTACAGACTGGAAGCAAGCACAAACACGGCAGTCGTGATGGAGATGAATGTGAACGACGACGACGAAGGAACGAAAGGCAAAGCAACAGTTGAGTGGGAGTTCGACGGCACCGGAACAAATATTATCCTGTGTCATCTGATGTGGTTGTCGGAGGTATAGTCACGTGCGCAAGGCACTTGAGGCTTGTTTCCCTGGACAATATCGGCGTCACTCATTATTTCAACCTCATGCTGTTCCTCATGCCAGCGCGTGCTTGTCAATCATCATGATGTTTAGATCCGATTGCTACACGGCCATCCTCGTCACCTTTTTCGTGATTGCTCATTCTCCCGTGGCGTTGGACCAACACGCCGCGAGATAAATGGCGACATCACACCACATAGCTTTCTATTTCAGTGCGTCGCATGCCGACCCTCAGAATGGCAGCAATGGCCCCCCTATATCAAAGCTGTTGTGCGCTCATAAGATCGCCTCATCGATTTGCACTCAAACGTGTTGTGAATCCGGTCTCCAGCGCGCAACGTCGACTTGGCATGGTTTTGAGATCAACGCTGTCAACAGGAGGACATGACCGCGCCCAGCTCTCAACGTCTTCCCATTCGAATAGGCTCCCATTGCATGATCTGCCTCCACAAACCTCCTTTCGTCTTAAGCAGACACCGGCGCGAGAACTCCTCTGTCTTGAATGGTCCCAGCCACCTCGCAATATTCTGCTGATCAAGAAGGACTGCTCAAATTCGACGACTGATGCCCTGGTCGAGTTCAACAGGCACGTCAGAAGTACTTACCCAAATGTGAACACACTGGTTGAGCCACGGGTCTCAGACGAGCTCGGAAGTGATTTACTCGGGCAACACTTTACGCTGCCAGAAACTGATCAGTCAAGGCGCCAGTACCATGATAAGGTCGATCTTGTCGTCACCTTTGGTGGCGATGGCACAATTTTGCATGCATCCTCATTGTTCGCGACAGCCACATGGGTGCCTCCCGTTCTTTCGTTCAGCATGGGTACACTGGGGTTCCTGAGCGAGTGGAAGTTCTCTGAATATAAGCGAGCCTTTCGGGAAGTTTATATGTCGGGTGCTGCTTCAGAGCGTCATGCTGTCATCCAAAATGACCATGCAGCCAATACTCAAGCTGCTAAGGATTTCACAGGCTGGTCGTCGGTGCGTGGTAAGTCAATGGGTTCGGCAAGGGGCGCAAGAGTCTTGGTTCGACAACGCCTAAAGGTCGGCATATTCGACGCAAAGGGAAATCGACTCAGCAGCAACGGAGATGGGAAGAGGGACTTCCTGCACGACATGTACGCCATGAATGAAGTCATTCTCCACCGAGGCCGAGATCCTCATCTTGCCATTGTCGATGTCTACGTTGGGGGAAGATTCCTCACCGAAGCCGTTGCTGATGGTATGATCATATCGACGCCGACTGGAAGCACCGCGTACAGTCTCAGCAGTGGTGGGAGCATTGTCCACCCACTCGTTAGCTCCTTGCTCCTAACACCCATCTGTGCCCGAAGCTTGAGTTTTCGACCTCTCGTTCTTCCTTCCACGACTCCTATCACTCTCAAGCTCAGCGACAAAAACAGGGGTCGTGAGGTCGAGGTCAGTATCGATGGAATGAGACGCACAGAGGGTATTGGTGTCGGCACAGAGCTTCGAGTCTCCGGGGAAGAGATCCAGACCGAGTCAGGTGCCTTTACTGGTGGTATCCCTTGTATAATGCGAACAAGCAGTGCGGGAGCTGATGGCGACGATGGCTGGGTAGGCGGATTGAATGGGCTGCTCAAATTCAACTATCCTTTTGGTGAGGAAGGATGAGGTAGAGGAATGGAATCGACAAGCACGTCCAAGGATACACTGCGCGAGGCAGTGACGAATATGGCATTCAATTCACCGTGCAAAGGCAGTCCTCGAATGGTGAATCTACTCAGTGCAACGGCGGTGTCAAGCCTTGTCAGTCTTCACTGCAGCAACAACACCACCTACTGCCACTGCCTCTGCTGCCACTGCCTTCCCGACGTCGCACACTGAACAGATATATAAACCTCTCATCAAGCCGACCGAAATTTCTACTCGGACAGCGACACCAACGCTTGTTATCTTGAGCCAAACCGCCTTCAACTTCCTGACAAGGTACAAAGCTCTGGTAGACCTCTCGTTTTCTTGGGCTTTACCATCGATCACAGTTCCCTGTCCAGTACGCTTTCGCGCGCCTCCACAGCGATTCTCAATCCACCGAAACCTCTTCTTCAAATCCTCCTCCTGGTTTACTCTCACATTCGCTAACGACGCCAACCGTCTTCTGCCACGTTGAAGACGGCAGGAACACAAGACACCACCATCCCTACACTTCTTTGAAATCAGCGAGAACCATGGCATCTCAACGTGTCCAAACCCAGCTTTCCAAGCCCCTCGCCCTCAATGCTGAGAATATTGTGGTCTCTCCTCCCGCTCCTATATCAAATATCCTACCAAATCCTCCGAATCAGCCGGCGTTTCCAACCTACAGCATGGACTACAGGGCAGGTATAAAGGTCGTCCGTCAGGCGATTCCTGCACGACCTGCGGATGGCCAGGGGACCCACCATACCTACCACATGGCGACCCATAGCAACCTCCATCCACTCCTCTTGCAGATGGAGCCCGCTCCAAATCCATTCGCTGGTGTGATTGTCCCAGATCTCATCGATGATGCTACCAATCAACTCGTCCTGGGAAACGATGGCACCCCACTCAGATATTTCAGCCATCTGCCACGATGGGTTGAATATGACGTCTCGGGAATGTTGATCGAGTTGTGGATGCGCCTCGATCAGCGCGTCGAAATGCGGGACATTTTGAACCGCATCAACGCACATCCTACGAAGAAGTTGATTGGGTCGAGTGGCTACAACATGAAGCGGAGCCGATTCCGAGAGGCCATCGATGTGCCTCCGTTTACTATGGGCCGCCAGCACCCTTCGTCATTCGAAATCGATGTCATCAACAACCAGACTCGTGAGCAACTTCTGCTCAACACTTGCATGCTCGTTGATATCCCCAACATCTGCATGTTCAAGCCAGTCATGGCCAGTGACAGAGTGATCCACGGATACGTCGACAGCCGACTGCCTCTTGACTATTTCCTGCGAGGCTTCCCGACACCGATCCCCATTCCTTCAGACCGTCAAAACATCGCCCTCCAGCTGCGAATGCGCCTCCAGACCCTCGCGATTCGCCGCAATCTGGGCGACCGGCCGCAAACCTACAAGTACTTGCCGGAGAATCTGAAGCCCACATGGTGGCAAAAGAGTCCCGTTTCGCAGGGGCCCTTACCCATCCGACAGCTTGACAACCTGACACACAATGAATGGATCGCCCAGCTTTGCAGACAATTTCCTGGCATGAGCAGGTCAGGCACTTCACGCACGAGTCCTAGCAGCCCTGCGCATGCCGACCAACCTGCTCTTGTGCCTATGCCCAGTCCTGTGGCTTTTGGCCCCTCTGCGCAGCAGGCGTCGCGGCCACAAACTCCCCGGGCACCTCCCGCACCAGTCGCGCCTCAGCCAGCAATCGACCAAGACTTGGAAAATCCAGCTCGACCGCTGGCGGGAGAATGGCACGAGAGGAACTCGGACGACGGCATCTCCTACTATGTGGAGCCTGCACACCGCCGTCCTGACCGCCGGATTTAAGAAGTGAGGCTCCCATTGACATGGGCGACCACTGGACTTATGTCGTACGTGGACATTACTGACGCTGGTGGTGGTTGGTATCGACAAGATCGTGCACGGAGGTAGCTGCATTTGAGAAATGTCGAGTCAGTGAGGTCGCCATCCGTGATAGGTCGAGGTGCGCTCGGTACATATGTCACCATTGGAGGACGGCTTACGCTCAGAAATTTCTTTCGTTGTATCACCATGACTCAGTCTAGGCAAATGGGAGGCCTAGATGCAGGGAAAATCCGCGATCCTTTTCTTTCCTTTATTGTATTACTACGTGATTGCTTCGAAGGGCAGATGGCAGCTAGGGCTGTCTAGATGGAGGATAACGTTCTCTCCGGCTCGTTCTGCGGCGAGAGGCACAGATAGATAGGACGGGGCAGTACTCCGTATGAACAAAGAAAGCTTCAAAGCACGCCCTTTGAGCTTGCATCAATGGAGACGCAATCGGCAAAGTAGCATGCGCGATTGTGATGGTTCAGTAGCCCGTGCCGGTGAGTCAAGTCAATGGCTGCGGACAGGTTCATTCTCGATTATGAAACATACAGCACTGGTCGTGCTTCAGCAAATATTGTTGTCTTCACAGAGCTGATGGTGATGACGGAGAGAGACACGAAAGAGTAGGTGGTCGTGTCGGTCGCACACTTGTCGCTCAGGGGTACCTTCACGTGACCTTTCGACTCATGGTCGCGGTGGATAGTTGTTCCGGGACGCGTGAGCTAAGCTGTTCCGAGCGACGAATTCCCCTTCGTCAGACCTGACCAGGCTTGACGGAGCATGGATTCTTGTCAATGCCAACATCTGGAGATCCAGACAAACGCTCTACCAACACGACCCTTCTGCGACCGCACTCTTGGCCACTCCTACACTGATTGTGCTGCTACATCCGCTCTGTCTAACCGAGATACTCGCCATGGACCGCAGTCTGGATGAGACAATTGCTGAACGCCAGGTTCGTGTCTGTTCACAGCAATCGACAATCCGAGACTAATAATGTTGAAGAGAGGACAACCTCGCTCGCGCAGAGCACCTCCCCCTGCACGCCGTCGAGAATACAACGCGCCTCGCGATGGCGTCCGAAAGGTAATGTGACGTTGCTGAGATTAGACACATTTCCCTCCGCTGACTGTCGATGTCCAGGTCCGATGCTCCTCCTTCTCCTCTGCGTCCGCCTGTCCTGGCAGTACGATTGATCGCCGCATCGTTTCGATCCGACTCTTCGACGCCCTTCAGGCCGGGGACAGTATGAATTACCGCTAACCTAGATCTTCCTCCTCCGTAGTCTGCAAGAGACGACCGCGCGAACCTAGACAAGTAGGGTTGGCACCTCATCAAACACAAACCAAGGCTAAACGGTGAACAGTGACTGGGTCCACGACCGATACGATGACGAACCAGACAGTATGTGATCCTGGGAAAGAAGACGTTTACATTGCACTAATGACGGTCCTTTAGGCCGGCGCTACGACCGACCAAGAGAGCGGACTAGCCGTCGAGAAGATGATCGTTTCGCCGAGCACGACAGGTACGAACATTTGCCGGGACGTCCTGTGCTATGCTAATGGGACAGGAAACCCCTTCCTGCTAAACTCCGAGTCGACAATCTACATTACGACCTGACCGAGGATGATATCTGGGTATGAATCTGTCTCTTCGGCAAGTGCTTGTTGCAATACTAAACTTGGTACAGGATCTCTTCCAACGTATCGCTCCTGTCCAGGACGCGAAACTGCGCTACGACCGTGCTGGTCGCTCCGAAGGAGTTGCATTTGTCACATACGAACATGTGGCTGATGCCAGAGCCGCCATTCGAGAATTCGATGGCGCAAACGCAAAGGGACAGCCGATTAAGATATCATTAATCCCACTTCCGAGACGAGATAACCCCTTCGACCGAGTGGAGAACCCCAGAAGTCTGTTCGACAGGATCGAAGCTCCGGCTAGCCGTGGTCGGCGACGCAGCGAGAGTCCGATGGAGGATGTGGGCGAAGAGCGCGGGGGTCAGCGAGGGCCACGACGAGGAGGTGGAGCACCGCGAGACCGGAGGAGCGACACGACGAAACCAGCTCCAGAGAACATCGATAGATATATACCAGGGCAGCGTGACAGCCGAAGTTCAAGCCACCGTGGAGGAAGAAGACCGGGAGAGAGACGGGAACGTGCGGCCAAAGATCCCGAGGGACACCGCCTGGTGGGAGGCAGACCGCGGAAGACGGCAGAAGAACTGGATGCTGAGATGGACGACTACTGGGGCGGAGCTGGTGGTGAAAGGGAAGCCGCAGACAATCCTGCTTCAGTGGCTCAGGCCGCAGCACCTGTTGGTGGAGACGATATCGACATGATCGAGTGATCCTGAGCGAGAGGCTACAGCTGTCTCCCGCGAGGAGTCTCCCTGGGAAATTGAAGACGGAGTAGACGCAGGCTCACAAAAAGCACGATTGGAATCTCGTTCCTTAAATTGATTTGCAGGAGATTTCTCCTGAGACCAGGACTTCCGGACCGTCGTGTCTCCGGTCACCTTCCGCACAGGGTGCGCGTCATGTCAGTTTTGATAGCATGAAATCTTCGACCGCCTTCATACCCTCGGCGGCTCCACTGCCTTTCATACTCCTGGGAAACATGATATAGCCATGAGGTGCGCCTGGGATGATCTTAACCACAGCCTCTCCATTAGCCATCAGCCACTTCACGCTCATAAACATGGTGTCGTCCAACAGACAGTCCTCTGTACCACAGGTAAACAACGCTGGAGGCAGCCTCCCTCGTAACGGTTCCAGGTCCGCGAAAAGCGGCGATATGGAAGGATGTCGCTTCTCCTTATCCGACTTGCCAGGCAAAAAGACATCGATGTAGTGATCCATCAGGTCCCGATCCAAGACCAAAGGCGGGGTTCTCTGGAAGTTGTACACCTGCGGCGTCCAGATCATGCTATAACAGCCAAAGTGCAACAACAATCCCTTGAACGCGAAACCGGCATACTTCGGATTCGCATGCTGCAAGAGGTGCAACGTGACCAGCATGCCCAAATGTCCACCGGCCGACTCGCCGCCGACAAAGCCCAACGGCGCACCGAACTTGGCCTCGGCGTGGTCGACCAGCCACTCCGCCGCGTCGTAGCAATCCTCCGGTCCTGCTGGAAAGGGATCCTCAGGGGCAAGTCTGTACCCGACAGAGAAACACAACGCGCCCGTCCCGTTCGCGATATCCTGTAACGCCGGGTCTTGGGATTTCTGGTCCTGCAGGACCCAGCCCCCACCGTGGATGTGCAGAAACACGGCTTTGACCGGCTTGCCGTTTTGTGGGCGCAGGATCCGGCACGGGATGCTTCGCGAAGGGTCCCGGCTGGGAATGCTGAAGTCCTCGGCCGTGTCGAGGTACGTAGCCTTGGGGAGGGGTGTCTCTCCAGCGGCACGCATTTCACGGTAGCGCTTGGCACCAACCTAGGGTGGTGGGGATGAGTGTTGATCCTGATGTGTATGCTTGGTCGGCAACCGCGGGGAATAACTCACCTCGTACCATTTGGGGCCATGGCTCATGATATCCATCAGCTTGTGGTTGAATGCTTTTGTGTCTTCTGATATCGCCGCCGGGTCAAACACGCTAGGGTCAAGCTTGAGGACTTTTTGGGAGTCCATCTTCTGGATGTAGTGCTGAGTGGCGCGTCGCGACACACAAACCTAGCAAAATGCCTTGGGGTCTTCCAAGAGGGAATCAGCCTTTGTCAAAGCGCTGCTAGCAATGCTTTGTGACCTTTTAAGAGGGAGCCAACCTTTATCAAAGCGCTGTCGGATATGCCTGGTCAACTGCGAACACGCCCATGTGGACTTCTCCACCGGCGCAAGAGCCGAGGACATCTCCTCTCCTCCATGTCTACCAGGTATTCTCCACTCTTGGTCGGGTTTGTGCCGCGAGTTACCAGTCATGTCAACTCAGCACTCCTCAGGCCAAAGACTTACGGCGGAGGACGTCAAGACAAGGTAAGCGTGAATGTGAGAGTTGAATCGTGTTGAACGTGAAATAGCGCCTCGGGGGTTTGTGGCTCTCCGTAATAAATAGTGCGGATCAGATACGTCAAACGTGCCAAATGAACCTTGCCTCGTTGCCTTGTCGCGTTCGACATTTTGAAGGTACTCCGTAAGTTAGATTAATATACTGATCAACTTCACTACTATACCCATCTTCGAGCATTGTGTCAGCAAAGGAGAGACCCGAGCACTCCAAGTCTCAAGACTACAAGCTATTCACCACCCCGGAACTGGACACCAGCAAGGCAACAGGGCTCTTGATTTGCTGCCTGTGTAAAAGTTCCTGAAAGCTCATGCTAAAACTGCGACATGGATGAAGATGGCCTCAGAGACTACCTTCCGACCTCATTCGGAGCCACGGGAGGCGAGTTCGACGTCAATGCTCAAATTGAAACTGCCAGGCGGAAAGTACCTGGTCTACCAGAACGCAAGCCCGACTCACCGGCAAGTTCAAAGGGCGACCCAGATTCCGACGACTCCTCAGACAATGACTCTAACGACGAGGACGAATATCCCGTATCGCATGAGATTGTCTTCAAGACCCACACCCGACCCGTCACGACAGTTACTGCGGACGCGTCGGGATCGAGGATGATCACCGGTTCAATGGATTGCACGATCAAGTTGCATGACTTCGCGTCAATGGCGCCTAACACGTTACGGGCCTTCAAATCTGTCGACCCTACCTTCGTAAAGGGCTCTGCAAATTCGGAGACTCATCCCGTGCACGTCGCCAAGTTCAACCCCAACTCACCAAGTCAAGTTCTTGTCATCTCAGCCACTCCTCAGGCCAGAATCTTGTCTCGTGACGGCGAAACCACGACCGAGTTTGTCAAGGGCGACATGTACCTGCGCGACATGAACATGACGAAAGGCCACATCAGCGAGATTACCAGCGGCACGTGGCATCCCCACAACTATGACCTATGCGTGACCGCGGGAACGGACAGCACCCTCCGGATATGGGACGTCAATGTGCGCAACCGGCAGAAGAACGTGATTGTGCACAAATCCAAATTGGCAGGCTCGGCAGGTCGAAGCCGCATGACTGCCGTGGCATGGGGCAGTCAAGTCGACGGTGGCAACAGCCTTCTCGTCGCTGCTGCTCTGGACGGCTCCCTGCTGATATGGGGAGGGGATGGGCCGTATTCCAGGCCGAGCGGCGAAATCAACCACGCTCACACCAGCAACACGTGGACGAGTGGCGTCGGCGTGAGCCCCGATGGCCGTCTGATCGTGACCCGAGGGGGCGACGACACGATCAAGCTGTGGGACACGCGCAAGTTCAAACAGCCCGTCAACACGACCTCTCACACGTCGACGTCCAGTCAATACCCGACCTCGAACATCCTGTTCGCTCCCAACTCGTCGTCCATCATCACCGGCTCCGAGACGGGCGATCTCTACATCCTCAACCCGGCGACCTTGAAGCCCGAGCTCGTTACGCCAATCACGCCCGGATCAGCCCTGATCAGCGTGCTTTGGCACGACAAGCTCAACCAGATCATCACGGGCAGCGCCAACGCCGAAACACATGTCCTCTTCAACCCCGAGATCTCGGCCAAGGGAGCTGTAACGGTCATGTCCAAACCACCGAAGCGTCGACATATCGACGACGACCCAACTCTCACCACGGACATGTCACAGGGCGTATCCGCCGACGCGATCGTCAACCCCGGCACGGCAAGCGAGGCCATTAAGGGGAGTACATATGCATCTCGACACCCGACGATCGGACTCACCGCGTCAGGCAAATCGCGGGACCCGCGACGGCCGCACATTCCCGCGTCGACCCCGTTTGCCAAGAGCCAGCCGGATGAGAAGCACATCAAGGAACGCATCCCGCTGAGTTCGATGAGGGAAGAGGATCCGCGCGAGGCACTACTCAAGTATGCGGACAAGGCGCAGAATGATCCCATCTTCACGAATGCGTGGAAAAAGACCCAGCCAAAGACCATCTACGCGGATCTCAGTGATGAGGATGAGGACCAACATGGACCGCAGAAGAAGAAGCAGAAAACGTAGCACTATGCACGCCTCTTCGTTATCGAGGCCAATCCTGCACCCAAAGAGAGAAACTCATACATCCAACTTTTCAAGCGCCAATTTTTCCCGACCAAACGCAGGTCTGGTGTCGCTGGAGCGGCCAAATTTTCATCAATCGTCAACACCTAGAGATGCGTCACAAGACTGTTAATACATCCCCGAGTAATCTCAGCTCTCGGCGTGGAGAATGGCAACAGCCATTCCCATTCCAAGCATAAAACATCAACACATACATGTGCAGAGCTGTTATACACGCCGGTCCGCTCTAGACAAAAAGAAGACTAGCTCAAACCACATGTCGACAGGGCATTCAGACCTCCTTTGCTGGCTTGCCGGTGATGGCTTCTTTGATGCCCTGGCGGGTTGGCCGGACCACGCGCTTCATACCAATCCATGGTGTATTGATGGGCGATTCGCCGGTGTAAATCAGCAGGTCGTACAGGAAGCCGCCAAAGGTGCATCCAATAAAGGGGCATATCATCGGAACCTTTGTGTAGATGTCAGCGAAACTCGGACGTTCCAGTGTGGCTAAAATCTCGACCTACCCAGAAATAATAACCCCCGGCACTCCACACCTCGTGCCCGTACCCGACGAAATAAGTGAACAGCCTGGGCCCAAAGTCTCGGGCCAGATTGATCGCATAGCCGGTCTCCCAGCCGAGGGTGGCGCCAATGCCGAAGATCAAGAAGAACAGGCCCAACGGAACCATGTTTCCGGCGCCCAGATTCGCATCGTCCTTCAGCGCAAAGATGACAAACACGAGCACCGTGCTGGCGATGATCTCCGAAAAGACCTGGCCCGTCTTGGTCAAAAAGGGCTGCGGATACGTGTTGAAGACGCCCGCGGTCGCAGTCTCGGAGTAGCCAGGCACCGTGCGTATGCCGGCGCCGCCCTCGAACGCGTCAATGGCCGACTTGTAGTTGCCGTAGATGACGGCCGCGCCGCAGAAGCAGCCCATGACCTGGGCGCACGCGTAGATGGGGAACTTCCACCAGGGAAACTTGCGGAACATGCAGTTGACGAACGTGATGGCCGGGTTGAGGTGCCCGCCTGCGCAGCCGGCGACGTACACGCCGAGCATGACGCCGATGCCCCATCTGGTGGAGAGCAGTCAGCGTGGTGTTTTGGGGGAAATGGGTATGGATGTGGAGGTGTATATTGTATGTATTACAAAATCCTCGAGCGCGCATAGGATAGGGCACAAACTCACCCCCAAGAGATACTCTGATACTCGCCCCTGTTCTGGCTGCTGGGCGGCAGATTCGGGTTCGCACTGAGCGTCACCTGCGCGACGCTGCCGTCGCCGAACAGAATCATGATAAAGGTGCCCATGAACTCGGCGAACGGGTCGCGCAGGTGGTGCCGTACCCGACTCCACCACAGGTTCTTGTGGTGCTGGTAATCTTCCTCGGCTTCTTGGTTTTTCTCGTAGTTGTCGATGGGTGGGCCGTGCTCCTGGTGGTACGGGTACGGGACCTGCGGGTTGGGATCCAGACTGCGTGCGTTGTGGGAGCCATCATGTTCGCGGTGCGTAAAGGTCACTTCGTCGGAGCCGGGCTCCGAAGACGAGGAGCCCTGCGCGCGGTGTATCCGCGGGACGTGGAAGGCGTTGTGGCCTTTGGGCTTTTCGGAGTCGTCCATGGTTGGTATTCTTCTCCAGATGGAAAGTGTCTGTGGGTGTCTGATCTAGTTCGATGTACTCGCAGCTGCTGTACCGATGGACGAAGCTGGGAATGGCAATGGTCCGCACATGTATGTGGAGGGAGGGTATGCGACAGTGCGACGCTGGAAAATATGAGTGGGTAACTCAGCCAGGTATATACTGAGCTTGACGGATATGCATGGATGAAATCCTCCCGAGCTACTGCAGCGTTCAGGCCACACTCGTACTCACGCTCAGGCTCACACGGCTCATCATATGACGAGCCCACAAAATGTGGTCCGGAGTTGCGCATTACCAGAGCGAGCGGTCGATGGCAACGTGAACACGGGAACCGCTGCTCCACCGTCCCGTGCACGCAGGAGGGCTTGTAGCTCGTACGTTTATCGCTCATACCATCGGGCAAGCACAGGTAATTGGCCAGCTTGGTATAGCTGCTACTGCCGGCCACGCTGAGACGCGGGGTAGAACGCCCCAGCGGTGGTCAGCTTCATCATACGGCGTACTGTGTAAGTCCATCGTGAATGCAAAACGCCATCGACTCCCAAGGGCCATGGCACATTTTCGCATGAGGCAAAACGTCGTGAATGTGCCGCGGGGAGTGCTGATGATGCACATCGACGTCAGAGGCACCAAGTGGGCTTGTGGGGCCGTCGAGAACTGCACTAGAGCCGGCAGCCACGAATTTTGATTGGGAGGCCGAGATGTCTTTCGTCATCCATCGAAGGAGGGAGCGGAGCCAAGAATCACGATGCAACGGAAGCGACGATCGTCAACCTCTGCATGCTGCTTTGGGGTTGAGACACGGGAGAGTATACCATTCTGGTACGAGTACGAGGATATCACTGTGGTGGGAAAGGAGATACCGCAGCAATGGAAGTAATCGACTTTTGCTTACCGTGGTGCCAACGCCGCCTGCGCGACGAGGCCGATCATGCTTGCAATTTGTGCCGTTGGTAGCTCGTAATCCGAACTCTGGCCTCGTCCATGAACGAAGTCCTAATCGTGTTCGAACACAGTACGAAGAGTCGTACTTGTATTGGAGACTCGGAGAGTAAGTAACCTTGAACCTCGGTCTGGATTCTTGGGGACGAGAACCTCATACTCGTCCTCGTACAAGGCTGGAGTAGCTCAACAAAGAAATGGCTTGTCTTCCAATTCCTGTCTCTCATCGCGTGACACATTGCACATGTCTTGAGAAGGAAGTGAAGGATGTTTGGTTGTATTTCTGAAGCCTTCTCAAGGATATATAGTGACCATCTCGTGCTTTCTTTGCCTGAGAGGCTGTGGTTGGAGCTGGTGGCAGCATATCGGCTTACGTCACCTCCATCAAGTAGCACTCTCGCCCAGCGTGAGCATCCAATTTCTCTTAAGGGTTGTGTCCGTTCCGCCTTCGAACCTCTGACAATTCGACTCCATCAGCCTCCCTAAAAGCATAGTTGTATATGTGTGACGACGACGATATGCTGATTCTAAGCTGGCACCTGTGCATTGACTAGGGCTGCTTGCGTTCCTAAGGTCGGGCTAAATCAGTCTGCCCAAAGTTTAAAATCGACACACGACTTAAGCGGCACGAGTACGGAGTAGTGCAAGCGGTAAGTCGGGCAGTACTTATCAGCACGTGAAGATAGACTGGGAGTCTGGCCAGAGGATGACGTGCTAATGTCAGGTCGCCTTTCTTCATCTTCTCTACCACAAGAGCTCAATACGAATGAGTGATGAACTGTGCCTTCATGCAAGCCTTCATAATTCCTAGGCACAAGCGCTGGATCGGGTCGACCGGCTGTCACATCGTGACCTCCGGCGGCCTGATGGAAGAACCAGACCTCCACAGTCTGCGGATGAGGGGTAAACAGAGCAAAGTGTTACATACTGACATTCCCAGCTCTCAACGCAAGGTATTTGACGCGACTCTAACCAGTTTGCAGCTTGCTCTGTCGTTTCCATTTCGAATTCTATTGCAACCACAATAGCAACGTCGGCCTGTAGTACAGACACTGTCACGCATACGCGAACATGTCCGCTGACGCCGCCTCGAGAGCCGCGGAGACACTCCGCTCCAAGCAGAAGCCTCTCAAGGACAAGTATCGATCGGATCCCTCCTCCGCGCTCGTTACCCTATCTTCGAGCGGAACCCTTGATCCTACCTCCACCAGCTTGACATGTTCTTTGTCATCCAGCGCTGCCGCACGAAAAGTCGCTGGACTGCACCAAGCTGCGGGGGGCGATGGCTTCGATGCCTCGGGTGAGCTATGCTCCGGAGATATGCTGCTGGAATCGTTGGTAGCTTGCTTTGGCGTCACAGTGCGCGCTGTGGCCACAAGCATGGGCATCCCAATCAATAATGGAACAATCATGACACATGGCGACTTGGATTTCCGGGGCACAATGGGTATCAAGGACCCCGATGGCAACGCGGTGCCTGTGGGATTCACAAAGATTAGACTTATCGTGCGGCTTGATGTCGACGAACAACACAAACCGCAGGTGGACAAGCTGATTGAGCTAAGCGAGAGATACTGTGTGGTCCTGCAAACTATCAAAGCAGGTGTGCCGGTGGAAACGCAATTGGGCCATGTGGGCGGCGTGATACCTGATGCCCGAAGTGAGGCGGACGCTGTCAACGGTGCCGATGGTGCCGACGGGGGGAAGGGGAAAGGGATGTCGGATATCCCGCCCAACGAAGATGTACTAAAACTGAATTGAGCGGCGTCTCTATAGGTTTGTAAGTTCCGATCGACTCTGGAAGATGTTGACAGAGAACGGTCAAGGCAATCATGGATTTATCAACAGTGACATGGATTGGCCGCTGCCGTTTACATTCTTCCACAGCCATATGCGCCTCCGTTCATCGGAAGCTGAGAAACACCCGCATGCGACCCGGCCAGCTTTTCAATCCCGAGTATGACCACCTATATGTGTCTTCCATCGACATTGAGAGTGCTCTATATGCGCTTTGACGGAAGAATCATCCCATGCAACAGTTGTGCCGTGGGAAAAACAGGGTAGGCCGCATACAATTCTCCCCCCAGCTAAGCGAGCTATATCACCGAATTGAAGGCTGGAAGTGCATACATCTTGCAGTCCCTCTTCATGCTCGACCTGACTGGTTCAAGTGATTCAAGCAAGCTAATTCTTCGGTTTGAAGATACGGCGAGGATCAAAGACTTGGTCGCAAATATCACGGATATCGTGAGCAGTCTCCAGGGACATGGAGCCTGGGGTTGGAGGAGAGAGAAGCATATTCACCTCGTGGTTTCTGGTCAACAGTGTAGCACTCCTATCACTAGCAGTGTTAGTGATGATGGACTAGAAGGCATTCGGGTATGCGATTACGACGAGATAAGTCTGGGTTCTTTCAACACTCACTGCATGGAACCGTTCGTCCCCATGCGTGTTGCACCAATGTTATCGCGTTCAAGCATCAGCCACAGGAGCTTAAAGTGTGGCTGTAATCTCCAGCTTGGCTGTTGGCCAATCGTAGTGCGAGCCCGTGAGGCTGTGTGGCAGCTGTCAGCCACACCATACCTCGCTTCACGACTCCCCCACACGCTTAGGCCTGCCAGCCGCTTCCTAGGTTCAGCTTCAAGTCAGACTCAAAACACCGCTGCCTGCTGCGTATTCCGTCCTCTAGGATAGACCTCTACAGGCTATAAGTAGACGCGCCCTTCGTCTTCGAATCCTCCACCTGCTCTCCTGTCAAGCTTTGACAGTTTAGCAAGCCCGAGAGCGAGAGTCAGCGCAACAGTCCGGATTGAAAGATCCGTGATCTCACCACCATGTCGAGTCAAGACTACTACAACAGTCAGTATCCTCCGCAGCAGCAAGGCTACGGCGAATTTGAGCAGCACGGCCACCAACAATGGCAGTCACCTTCTGGCCCGCCTCCGGGGTACAGACACCAGTCTTACAATCAGGGCTATGACCAGAACCGGCCATATGATTATGGATCCCCGCCACCACAGGACTACCAGCAACACTACCAAAGCCAAGGTGGTTATCAGACCCCGTACAGTCAGCCTCCAAACAATCAAAACCAGTACACTTCGCCCCCGCCTGAAGGGTACCAGCATCCACCGGATCAATACGCGGCGCCCCCACCCCAGGGCTACCCCCCTAACTCGGATCAATACAGTTCTGCTCCGCCCGTTCATTCTTACCACCAGCAGAACTACTCATCTCAACCGCAAGACTATGGCTACAACGACCAAGCACAACGCGCTTACTCACCTAACCCACCACCGGCACAGACCCAATATGACAACTTCAGTCCGCCCGTCGGTGCCCCACCAGCGCACGTGGGTCAAGGCTATCCCGGCAACTCCGGCGTGCCTATTGATCCCAACGACCCCAGCGCGACTCAAGACCGCGGACTCATGGGTGCCATGGCTGGAGGTGCGCTAGGAGCCTATGGCGGCCATAAAGTCCACCATGGCTTTCTCGGCGCCATTGGCGGAGCAGTCGCCGGGTCCATGGCAGAAGATGCGCTGAAGAAGCACAAGAAAGAAAAGAAGAAGCTTCAGCGACCTGGCGGTCTTCGGCGTGACTCGTCCTCGTCTTCTTCCTCATCCAGCAGTAGCTCCTCCGACGACGAAAAGAAAAAGAAAAAGAAGTATGGCCTCGCGGCCGCGGGTGTGGCAGGTACGGCAGCGTACGGGGTGCATCAGCATCAACAACAGCACCACAGCAATCGCGGGCCGGCACCCCAGATGCGGGGCAACTTCTCGGCTTCCGCGACCAGCATTACGCTCGACAGGGATTACGATCTCATCGCGAGCTGTGCAAACGTCCGCGGCGAGCACAAGCTCTCTTCCATCTCGCTGAACCAATGCCTGACCAACTCGCACGGACATTTCGCCTGGTATCGCGGTGGGAATTTCGGGGCGTCTGCACGGAACGTCAGATTGATCGAAAACGGCAGGGTGCTGGAAGCCGAGCTGGGTACCGGTGGCGGGGGATGGAATCGAGCGCAGGTCCGCCTGGATGAGAGGATCAGCAACAATGACGGCGAGTTGATTTTCCTCGAGTAATCCGCACGCCAAGGTAGCCATGAAAGCTTTCGAAGTACAATGTGTACGATGCCCGTCTTTCGTGCTTCAACCTTTGTGATACACGATGCCGCACCGCTTTGTTGACGCTGACCGCAACAGCACCAGTCCACCTCTGCCACGGCCGACGTTTCTGAAGTATACCGTTCGAATGTCTCGCACAGCGGCCACCCCTTCCCGGCACTACTTCCTGTGCTGCAGCCGGCGTCTCTTCTCGACACCACGAGAACGTGAAGGTGGGCCCCCAGACGGGATGACCCGGATAGGGCACGTACCTCCCCGGGTGACTCCTCCCCATCTCCTCCGCCCACTTGATGCGCCTGCTGCGCTCCACACGGTCGCCAGTCGACCTCTTCGCCAGACAGCTCTTCTGTCGATGCTCAGGGAGGGCCCTGGCCTTGCCGCTCCAGTACTCCTTGTCCTTGTCCATGCACCACTGCAGTGCCCGCATCGACAGGTGGGACGAAGTTGCCGGGTTCAACCGCGTGCGCTCGGATCATGTGAAGAATGGCTCTTGCTCGTCTTCAAAACTCTCCTCGCTCTCCGTCAGCAGTTCCTCGTCGGGCTCCAGCTAGCGGAAGTTTCCTTCACCGGCCTCGACGAGGACTGATATCGAAGGCGAGGAGACATGGTGGGCGCCAGCGGACCACTGGTGTTCCGTGTACTCGCGCTCGAAGAGGTCGTCTGACGTGGTCATGGCTTCGTCGGTGCTTGCAGACAGAGCTTTTGGGGTTGCAGGCTCAGACGAGGCAGCTGTGTCGATTACTGTGTCTCAACGTGTCAGCCGGATATGAGGATGATCAAAGCAGAAGAAGAGCGATGCTTACGGGGTTCAGATCTAGCATGGCTGGCTCCGCTCTCGTTGTTCAGTATGTTCAGCACCGGCAGAGGATTGTCAGTGTTGTGATGTGTGATCTGGTCGAATGGTCGAGGGCAAGAATTCGGCTTTCAATCGCTTCACAAGCGCAGAATCCGGCAGAGTTCTTGGGGAGGTGAAGCCGTCCAGCAGCCCCCTGAAAAACCGGGGGAAGGATGTTGATGACGCTTGAAGAATCGTGCTCGACAATGCAGGGATGGTAGAAGATTGCTACGAGACCTTGAGAAGCGATCAAAGCAATTCCAGAGCCGCTTTCCTAGTAGAAATACCATCCCCGCACGCCTGGACATCTCGAGGCGCTTCACTTTCACAGAGAGCGAAGAAGTGACTACGGCTTCCAAGTCAATCAGAGAATTGTGTGCCCTGAGCTGCGATATGAATGGGACAAGCCAAATGAGGAATAGGTGGCACTATAAATGGACAAGTCGAGTGAATAAGGAAGCGGCCTCACGACCCATTCACCGCCCGGCGACAAGGGCCGTGGTGAACTCGACACTTGTGAATGAATGCGGCACAATAGTAGTAGAATATCTCCCAGAGTTATAGCATGAATCCGATGCATCCCATGTCCTCTATTGCGTCAAAAACCTCCTCTATAGAAGTCCGATTCATCTCCTCTATCGCCTCAAAAGCACCCTCGAAAGGGGAAAACACTCCACAGGGGTAGAAAATGTAACTGCCTCAACTCTGCAACCATAACCTCAACTCGAATTCCTGTTCACTCCCATATCAACGAGCCCGTTTTCCTTCACAGGCCATGCATGACATGGCGGCAGGACCGAGACTCGCGCCCCTCGATGTATCCGTCCTGCTGAGCTCATTTCAACCACAACCTCGTCATTCTGGTGCAATAAGTGTAGAATGCGGGTATGACGGGTCAATCCGACATGGTTCTAACTTCCTTCTTCCAATCCCAAGCCTGACAACGATCACCAAGGACTGGCCATCCCAAAGCCACGAGTCACGACTGAACCATTTTCGAGCTGCGGCTACGCCATCCTCAACGTGACCGAGTCCTTGCTTTGCTTACCTGGAACAATCCGCCGTGTGACGTAACAAGCTGGCTCCCGGTGCGGACGTTTCGCGTGCATTAGGGCTATTGAATACCGGGTCGACTCACTTGTTGGATTGTTATTGATACCGAACGTGCTCCAGTGGCCACCATACCAACAGCAGGACCGTGTCGTGGATTATACCTCCGGGCCTCGCGTTGCCGACGTGGCTTTCTGAGCTGCATGCTGTGCTGGTGCCCGTCACATACCGGCATCAGGCATTGACTGCTGGCTGACTGGCTGGCTAAGTGGTGCTAGTCTTTCGATCACGCCTACGCTTCTCTGCAGTCTCAACTCAGGAGTCTTGAGCCTTGACCCCTAGACTGTGATTTTGTTTTTGATTTCGATGTTGATTAGTAAGCCGATGATTAACTGGAGTCTCCTTTCTCTGTCCTGCCGTTACCCGCCGATGAGGGGGGGACCTTCTTGAGCACAAAGCCGTGGTAATCGAAGGAGCTCTCCGAACCGGCCAGCACGTCGACGTGGATGTCCCACGTAGTCCCCTCACAGTTGAGAAGCGGTTTGACAAAGTGAGGCTGCCGGTACGTGACGTACATGAACGCGCCGTCCGGTTTGAGGACGCGAAAGACCTAAACAGTAGTAAGTAAGTGAGCTTGTGTTCGCGTTGTCTCCGTCTCTTGCCCACTCTCTGACAGCCCCACGCTGTTTGGCCAGGAAAGGAGATCTTGGGGAACGTAAAATCTTACCTCACGAACATACCGCCCCGTATTCTCAAGGACCTCGTCCGGCGGACTCCACGGACTGCCGTGGATCATGGCATCCAACGTGCCCTTGTCGAACGCAACATCCACCGATCGGGACGCGATCTGGTCCATCTGTCGAACATCGCCGTGCAGCCAGGTAATGCCCCCGACACCTGCATCTGCATGTCGCTTCAACATGGTTTCGACAACGACGGGCGAGAAGTCAATACAGACTTGGTTGTTGTACCCCCTCTTCGCGAGGTCCCCGGGTATAGTCTGGCTCGGGAAGGTAAGCAACGGTTGTGGCTGGGCGGTAGTCTTACCGTACCGGGACCAGGGCGTATGAGACGTAATAGGTAGTCTCAAGAAGGACGTATGGTAAGTACTTACACTGTCTCCGGACCCCAGGTGCAGGATCTTTGGCTGGGTTTCGGGCGGCCGCACCTGGAGAAGGTGCCGGTCGAAGAATGGCGCCAGGTCATCGAACGACCGGAACCATTCGTGGACTTGTTCCTCGGGGCCGACCTTGGCGTAGCGTTCATCCCAGTATTCGGCGTGGGCCAGGCGCTTTAATTTGGCTTCTGACATTGACATGGTTGGCGAGGTGGGAGGTACTTGAGACAGTCCGGCATAGAGGTGGCCGGCGGTGTTGACAATAATCAAGGTCGCTGCTGGCGGAAGCGAGCAGTGCGTGAGCCGTGAGTAAGTCGTAGAAGTCGTAATTTTAGACCAAGGCTGGATCTTGGCGAAACCGTTGCCGCTTAGATCGTGATTCTCATTCTCCACGTCAGCCAGTCAATGGGACGAAAGCATCGAAAAGGGGGTTTTGGGGCCATATTCCAATGTATCCAAAGCTGCTGGAGTCGGTAATAAAGGTTCAATTGTATCACTTTCCGTGTTGAGCAATTTCACGGAATTAAACACATGGATCTACTATGTAGCCACAAGGCTCGGACGTGGCTCGGTGGCCCGGTCATCATCCCTACAGACAGCATCCGAAATGTGCAGCTGGACAGAGTACTAAGGTGATTGCCGAGATGTTTTCGGAATATGGGATCTGGTCCAGGAGTTCCAAGGATCTCAGGCTACATCATCTCTCACAGTCTGAACCTTGATAAATATGCACGGAAAGTCACCCACAATGAGTCCTGGACCACGCCCACGAGTCTCCGCTCAGGGCTAGGATGCGGGCCTTGCATTGGCCATTTCTTCTAGGCCCATCTTTGAGCGTCAAGCAATGGGGAATCGTAGCCATCAGCTTGGCCTGTCGAGATGGTGCTCACGCTTCAGGTCGAGAGAACCATGTCAGAGCGGGCTCCGGCATTGACAAGGTCTGGACTTCGAGCTGATAGAGAGGTTTACCGTTTGAACCCGTCAGTATCCTGCTGAGAGTAAATGATCTATATGAGAAGAACTAGCCATGCGTCCACGCTAATGGCCTCACGTGTAGCTCCAGCTCCACGGCGTCCAACCCGCGAATTCGATCCCAGATGTTACTGGCCAGCGACGACCTCGAAGTTGAACGCACACTTGCGGTGGTCGAGGACGATGCGGCCTGGACAGGTCGACAGACAGTGGATCGCCGCATATCGGGAGGCAGTCTCGAGCTCCGGGGGGCATTCTCATGCTCCGGCCACGATGTGCAGACAGTGGTCTTGAAGGCAGACAGGGTCGAGACACTCCTGACGAGACTGCAGGCGACCAACGAAGAAGACGCAAGCGAGTTGCTGTTCCGGCGAGAAATGCGCAGGTTCCCATGTCTGCCGATGGGCCGGAAAGCTACTATGTGTTGACAAAGAGCAGCAAAAGAGCCTGTTGCACTCTGGACTTCGTGTGTGTGCGGGACAGTGGTGCTGCTTGCATGCGAGTCAGTAGTTGAGGATCCCACGGTCGTCGAATGATCCAACGCCTCGATGTCTGACCGCCTAGTTGTCCTTGGCCACATGGGTTGCGGCGACACGGTCGTTGGTGTAATAAAAGATAAGGGCTTGACATCATCATAGCCAGCTTGCCGTCTCAACCCCATGAGTTCTCTGTCGGACTCAGGGATGTGCGGCCAGTGAAGGCCCCGGGTGAGAAATGGTTAGCTTCTTGGATGGGGCCGTTTCTTTGATAGGTGTCAAAGGACAGGAGTCTTCAGTGGGGGAAAAAAGCGCGGAGTTGGGTGGCAGTTGTGCAGTGGAGCTGTGACCAAGGATGACAAGATGCTCAGAGTGTCGATAGTATTGGTATTGGACCAGGTGCAGAAGGAGCATGGTGTCAGACACCGCCCCTTGAGATCGTGTGGCCGGATACGAACGTCCAAGCTGTAGTGGGAAAGTGGCGCTGAAGTTCCATGTCATAATACATAGTACATTGGATTTTTAGCAGAAGGGTCGGCATTGGAATTCACTTTTGGGAAGTCTGCAATGTCGGGTTCAGATCTGTGCCCACAGGCAGGAATTAAAGCCGGGACTTGGCTGTATATTGGTGGTGGGAGAATTAGATATCTCTTTTGATCATCGCCTCGCCTCACCGTACACCCCCCTTCCTGTAAGGCTGGGGCACCGGGTGGACACGAATGCAGATCATATGATTTTGGGTTATTCCTTCGCGACCACGATGGTCAGTGGCAGGCTGACGGTAGGGGAAAGCGGCGGGTACATCACGAAAGAAGTTGGTGTCTCGAAAGCCATTTGGTGCACCTGTCAAGCGAATCCTAGTAACGTCGAGGTCGCTCTTCTGGCCATGGCGCCTCGTCCCGGGGTTGGCTGCCTTGAGACAGGGCAAAATGTTGTCCACGCCAGACTGAGGAAGTACAAGATCGACTTCGAAGCCTGGAGAGTCGAAATCCCTGGTAGGAAACGGTCAAGCGGCTCGCAGTTGACTGTTCACCGTCTCGATCCGCTGTCGGGATCTGGAGACCGGGAAGTAAACACCTGGATATCCATTTGATAGTAGATTCGTTTCGTCTTGACCAAGGGATAACCGATCTGGGTGGGACATGGCAGTGTGAATCTACCTGCCGAACGTAAGACCACTCAATGGGCGTGTCGTGGGGAGGGTTCGGCCAGAAGGCAACGATGAGCTCCAGAACGTACTGCGGAGTCCGTGATAGACAGGAAAAGAGGCCTGAATGTCTGAAGTGCGATCATCTGTGCAACAGCTCGCGTCTCGGCTCTTGACAGTGAATAACCGGTAGCTTTTGACCGAGTTGAAGAACAATGCGGGTGGTCTCAAAGTCTCTTGAGCAGCTAGCGTGAAGGCGTCTGCTGACGTGGGAGACTCCAGAGGCAGCGTAGGAAGCCAGAAAAAGCCAGATCTTGGTACGGCGAACCTTCCGTTCGAGAACTAGTTGGACAAGAGCTTGAAGACCTCCTTCCGGCGGAAAGGGAGTATTCCAGTAGGAGAGACGAGATAAGTGATTCTCCGGTGAGCGTCAAGAACGTCTACACAGTACTGCGTACGCGTCAAATGAGTCGCGATGAATGTGGCCTTGAAGCAGCGCTAGGCCCCACTTGGCTAGCCCAGATCAAGTTCCCTGCTCGCTGCGACGTAAACGTGCATGATGGATTTGTACGGCAAGATCTCGAATGCCTGATCGAGGGCTACTTCGCATGACACGATGGCTCCAGCTTTATCAATATCTGCAGATCTAGTCCTGCCTCGTTGATGGACGGATACTCGAGAGTCGAATTCGGTGGCTTCCAATGTCCCTGTCTCACTATCGCATCGCAGCTGCACCACTCCCGGCAACTTCTATGACAGTGCCAGGCCCCAACAACTACGTCTCGTCTCAATGCACGTATCCACCACTGCCAGCCTTCCTGATCCTTTAGCGACAGTGGTACTAGACCCTTGGTCAAAGAAAGATGCACCGCAGTCTCCCGGCGGCTCCCTACATCAATGGTCCTCACTTATTGGCATCATCACAGCCATCGTGGGCAACCTTCTCATCTCCTTTGCGCTGAACACTCAGAGATATGCCCACATCCTGATAGACCGCGAGTACTCCCAGTCTCGCAAGTCCTCGGCGAGTGGCCACTCTGCCCTGAAGCGTAATGGTGGTTACGGCACATCGCAAGAGGAGGAGATAGCAGAGGAGCAGAGAAAGAAGAACTTGGAGATATCCGGGTTCCAGAAGATTGTCGACGAGGAGGCAGGCGATTTACTACATCAGTCTTCAGATGGGTCTCTCCAACCAACTTTCGAGTCGCAAAAGCAGGTCAACAGCCAAGAGAAGGATTCAGATGATGACTCTGGGAGGGCTTCATATCTCAAATCGCCGTATTGGTGGTTAGGCTTGGTCTTGATGATTGTTGGCGAAGCAGGCAACTTTCTTGCCTATGGATTCGCACCTGCCTCGATCGTCAGCCCGTTGGGCGTTGTTGCGCTCATCTCCAATTGCTTGATCGCCCCTCTAATGCTCAAAGAACGATTCCGCAAGCGAGATCTATGTGGCGTCCTGGTTGCAATCGCTGGTGCTGTCGTTGTCGTCTTATCCGCCAAGAACACCGAGACGAAGTTCGGGCCTGGGGAACTATGGAAGACCATAAAGAGATGGGAATTCCTGCTCTACGTGATCGTCACAGCTGTCTTTATCGTGGGGTTGATGTATGCGGAGCCACGATACGGTCGCAAAACCATCCTTGTCGACCTTGGTCTCGTGGCTCTGTTTGGCGCTTACACGGCTCTTTCCACAAAAGGAGTGTCATCCCTCCTCTCCGCATCTCTATACAAGGCCTTCACATTTTCCATTTTCTACTTTCTGGTCCTGATCCTTGTCGGATCGGCACTAATGCAGATTCGATATCTGAACAGAGCCTTGCAAGCTTACGACTCTACCCAGGTTATACCCACACAATTTGTACTATTCACCCTCTCTGTCATCATTGGATCGGCTGTACTGTACAGAGACTTTGAGCATACCACAGTGGACCAGGCTGTGAAGTTCGTCATTGGCTGCCTGTTGACTTTCTTTGGAGTGTATCTGATCACAAGTCAGCGCCACGAGCTTGGGGAAGTCGAAGACGCAGGCGGGGGCGAGGTGGAGAGCATCCGTCTTCTGGACGAGGAAACACACGGCATCGACGAGCGCACGCCGTTGACGCGGGACCCTGCGCAGCTGGCAGCTGCAGCGGTCGGTCAACAGCCCGGACTCTACGACGGAGACGAAGAACAAGCCGGTCCAGTGACACCACGACGACGGTCGGTAGAATCGTCGGAGGTTCCCTCGATCTCAGTCACACCCGCCGAGTCATCCGAAACCTTCATCCGAAATCCTTGGATCTCTTCGACCGATGAGATGGATGCGACACCACCTCGGACACCTCAACACAAGAATCTTCAACTCAATGCCACGCCCTTCTTTACTCCTGCGACGTCAAATCCTCTTCAACGCACATCTTCGTCACCCGCTGACCCGCAGACACCCACGAAGTTACCAGTCTCTCCTCGTCCACCCTCGCCCGATCGCTCTGCACTCCCAACACCAGACGATCCGTCGCCTACCCCCACCTTTCTTCCTCGGTCCGCTCGCGGAAGCATTTCTCGTCTCATTCCGATCCCCGGTCCTCTCTTAGCACCCCTATCCAACTCCCTAAGTGCTTTAGTCGCAGATTCCATCATGAAGGGTGAAGGCGCACCACGGTCTGTACGGGCCGCCCTTCGCCGCTCCCGTTCAGGAAGGCACTCCACCGACGACCGGCGCCGGACCGTAGCTGTTACTGAAGATGTCGACGGAGATGATCCACTCGCCGCCCTTCGTGGGGTCTGGACGGACCGGAATCGGAGTACAGAGAGCGCACAGGACCTGAGCAGATCGCGGACGCAGGAAACAATCCCGAGAACGGTGCGTGAAGACGACCAGGAAGACACGGCCAAGGACATGGGCAAGAGAAAGACGAGGTTGAGGGCCCTTAGTGAGACATTGTCGGGAATGATGGGTCATGGGCGACGAACGCAAAGCCATGGGAAAGACCGAGACGACGGTCAGGACCATGCAGATGGTCCACAAAATGATAGCAGGACGGAGCACCCATCCCAGTTCTGACCATGGAGATGATGTACAGCACGTTTCAGAGTAATTCTAGTAAATAATGTGGTCTTTCTATCGCGCGACCGAGCGAGGTTTCTACCATCTAGTGTTGGGCCTCGATAGGATTTTCTGAAGGCAGACAGCGCACCAATTCATTCGACGTCACAGCGAGCAGGCATGCAGACTTCCTACACTGCCGTGCGAGCATGCCATCTCACTCCCTATCACACTAAATATGGCGTCGATTCCTGTACCGCTCTTGAGCCGCCACCTTCTACAGCCCCGGTCTATTAACCGCCACCAGCACTCGCCTCATCAGCTGCCTCCGTGACAGTCTCCTCCGTGACAGTTCTCTCATGTCTCCCCGCCCGCTCCCTCTCTCTCCGCGCCTTGGCCCCCGCCTTCAAACTATCCCACTTGTCCCTGTACTTGGTGATGGTCTCCTTCAGCTTGACATTTTCCTCCTCCTTCTTCCTCGCCCGGGCATCGCTCTTGCGGAGGATCTCTTCCAGCTCGGCGATGCGCCGTTGCGTGGCCTCGTCTGTTTGATGGTGGCCAGAGGGGTTGCTGTCGATGCCCAGCAGTTTGCCACTCAGCGGCGGTTTGCCGCGTGAGTTTTCGGGCGAGAGCATGGGCGAGCGGTTATGCAGGGAGCGGATACTCTGCGCCAGTGCGGCAGAGGAGGTCTGCGCGGACATTTCAAACACGTGGAGCCGCTTGGAGAGCGTGTCCGAGAGGTGTTTGAGCGCTTGGTTTTCGAGGGCCAGTTCTTCCATGGTTTTGCCGTTGACTTTGACATCTTCCTGGCCGTGGCCACTGCGGCGGAAGCGGCTGGGCGGTCCCGCGGGGGCGGGGAGGATCGTGCTCTGCGCGTCTACAAAGTCGTCTTCGGAGATGTTGGTCAGGTTCGAGGTTTGGCGATGATGGCCGCGCAGGCCGGCGCGGGCTTCTTCGCGCTCGGCGCGCGACATGATCTCGGCGTAGGAGATTGTGCCGCCGGTGGTGGGGACGACGTAGAAGGATTCCGAGGGGTTGGTTGGGCCACCGCCCGAGACGGCGCGGAGGGCGGCGCGAGAGATGAGTTGGCTGTAGTCGACCGAAGGGGGTGCCGGGGTCGGCTGGGATGGCTGTTTGGGCTGCTTGGGTGAGGGGAGCGAGGAGGTTGGCCGTGCCTTGGGCGTGCTTGGTGTGGTGAGCGGGAGGCCGGCGAATGCTAATGGCGCGGAGAGTTTGGATATGAGGCTTTCAAAGGTGGCGTAGAATTGCTGGAAGGGAGCATCGGCGCCTTGCTCGGCTGGCTTTTCGGTCGATTCTGCTTTGGTAGGTGATAAAGGTGGAGCCCACGACGGACGTGACTGTGACTGCTTGGAGCGCGACATAGGAGCATCGCCTGTATCTGGGCTTTCTCTTGACATCGCCTTTCCTCTCGCGTCATCCTGAGCGATGTGACCGTCCGCGTTTTGTGTAGAAACCAACGGAGATATCGGGGTAGGTCTCTTCTGCCGGTTGCTCGGTATACCTCTGGCAGAGGCTAGATTACTTGCAATGGAAGACGAAAGCTCTCGCGTGCTTGATCTCAACCCTTTGGGCAATCTCGGGGGATGTGTAGTCGTCTCGGGTGAAGAAGGTCTGGTCGTTTCCTGCTTTTGCGGTGCTGGTGATGGAGTGGCATTGTCGCCATCATCTGCGGATGTGGAAGGCTGGCTACTTGTGACAATAGGCTTCTCGTGCGCGGCCTTGAGCAGTTGTCCTAGTTTTTTGTGGTGTTGTTCCAACAAATTCAACACGCGAAGGGCTTCCGAGTCCGACGTCCCTTGAGCCGCTGCGGCGAATTCTGCTGCGGCCAGATCATGTTCCTCACTGGCCGCGACCGGATTGTGACGGCGCGACTCGAGGGCGGCGTTCCGGGCGTGCGTATGAGCCTGCGATGACAAAATTAGGATCGCGATAGATCTGTCTCCAAGGTGGTGCTTACGAGAGTTAGCGGTGCCGTATCCATTTAATCTTAGTCCGTGACAGCGACGACGCGCCGGAGAGATCTGAGAAGCTTTCGAGTCCTGATCCTCCTCTTGGGGAAGACAGTCACATGCGCCCACCGCCCCTGCATTCCGGATCGGCTTCCACTTGCCCTGATCTCGGGATTGCCGTTGTGACAGCGTCGCAAAACCAAGTCACGACTTACAAGTCACAAGGCTGCAGTGACGAAATGCGAGGCTTGGAGAAAGGAGCCTAACGTACGGAGTACCTCGTACTACGGTCTACCCTTGAAGTCGTCTATTGAAATACACCCTGAATCTAATGCAAGTTGCAAGCGGCGACACTGCATTTTGTACACACAATTGGAGTTACTAACCTGGTTTACTATGCATCCACATGCGACTAACCCGTATGTACAGTAGTTGTATTGGCTCTGTGAAGCGGCGAGGGACCACATAGCACGTTTGGATAGACGACTTTGTGGGTAGCCCATCGTATTCTCCATGGGCGCCGAGACGTTGAAGGACCAACCAGAAGCAGCTGTAGCGCGACGGCGGGAACCGAACGCCCGAAAGCCGCATCCGGCAGTGGCTCGCTGCAGCTCCAGGAACTGCTGGGCGACCCCCGAACACATGCTCCCACGCCCAATGCGCGGCATATCGACTACGCCGCACAAATACGCGGAGTAAACCTTGGAACGCCGCATGCGAGGAGTGTGTACCTTAGGCAGCACTTACCGAATACGTTGTTGACTTTCAGGGAGTACGCAAGCCACAAAGCAACCGACAGCCGCATCTTCCCAATAGCAATTGGACCCCAAGACGTCGCTTGCATTCCGGCCCTCGTCAGCTAATCAGCGCAGCTGTTTCCTTGATCTGACAGCTTTGGCGGCGGCCTGGACGCAAACAACAAGAGCCACAGCGACCGAACACCAAACGCATCTGAGAACGGTGTGAGGACGGACAAATTGTCCTCGTCCCGTCTTCTGTTTTGCCACACTCTTTCTTCGACCATTTAGGATACTATCAATATTGTTTTCTATGCGATACTGCATGTTAAACCCCTCTTTTCTACAGGGATACACGCGCCACTCGTTTCCCTTCGCCTTGCTTGTTCGCATGATGTCACGACCATGCGACTTCAACTGAGATTCTAAACACGGCCTGAACCCTTGAATGGCCGCAATCTCTGTCTCGTCGTCCCCTCATGTCGCCCAGACGATGCCCGAACCCTCTCCTCAGTTGAAGGGTCTGAAGAAAGTCCTCAGTAGCAGGCGGCGCTCATCAGAACCCGCCATCGACGAGACAATACGAGACCTGCGAACCGATTCGCTCGACTCGGTCACCATTGAAAAGTCGCCCACAAGACAAAGTGTACGGTCTACAAGTCAGGATGGTAGTAACAAGTCTGGCAGTAGCGGTGTGCGCAAGCTGTTGCCTGGGCACAGCAAGCGGCAGAGGAGGAAACTGCGCGAGGCCGAGTTGAAGGCTGCAGTTGAAGATCTTGCCAGAGGGAGGACTGGAACTGGCTTGAGTGCCGTGACAAGTCCGCAGCCCGCTTTGAGTAGGCGTGCGAGCAGTCATGGTGGCGAGGCCGATGCAGGTCTACTCACTGACGATTCAGAGATCGAAACGCCTCCTCTCGTCACTCGCGACTCTCATACGGGATTTGCATCGATGTCTTCGCCTCTGATAACCACCACAACCACACGCAGCGATGGTGACAGTCTCCAAAGCCCTGTCAAGGGATTATCGATAGACATGATCCCAACACTGATTGAGCCTACGGAGGAGGTCTCTGACTACCCTTCTCCGAAAACCGCACCTGTCCCGGAGTCAGGTCCAGCAGCCTCACCTTTTGCAGCTGGACTGGTTGATCGAGCAGACACACTGCGTCCAGAGTCTCGGAGAAACAGCGTCAGCACCAGAGGCAAGTCACCTGTACGAAGATTTAGAGATGTGTTTGGAAAGCAAAGTAAGAGTCCGAAACTCAGTCCTGAGAGAAGCGAAACCATGCCTGCGATGGGTGCCACGGGCAACGAGAGCAGCATCCTGCGGTCCTACACCGAGGTACCGGTTAACAATGAGTCCAAGCCCGTTGATGCACCTCCACCAGTGCCACCAGTGCCGGCCATCCCTCATACCAGTTCGATGCCGAACCTTGAAACTACCCTCCGACCGCTTACACCTCCTGGACGGGTCATCGAAACCCCCGTCACGACCGTCACTCCTCCGACTCCGACCGATAATCGATTTGAAGGAACGACAGGGTCTCCAAAGTCGGAAAAGCCGGCTTCGAAAGCCGGACCCGATGGCTCGAACATCGTGGTAAGCTCATCTGGGAACATGATCTCACATCGGAGGATCCGGTCGACCTCCTCCACGACACATCAACCCAGCAAGCTCTCTACCTCGGTCACCGCTCCGTTAACGCCCACGGACGACAAGAGAACACCCTCAGGGGGCATCTTCTCCTCGTGGGTATCTGCAGCACAAAATGCTGCGACGACCATAACAAATCTGACCGGCCAGAATCGCAATCGCTCAGGTACCAATGCCTCAGACCCAGCTGTCAAGCCAAAAGCCGTCGAAGAACCCATCAAAGAAGAGGAGGAAGCTTCTGAGCCAGAGACGTTGCGCAGACAGCTCGCGGTGGAGACTCTAGGGTCAGGGGACCTTAACTTTGAGCATTTGGGTTTGACTGGCGACGATCTGGGTGCGTCTGCCCCCAAATCCGAGCTTTCCGAGCTGAGGAAAGACAGCACGCTCGAGAAAGATGTGGCAGCAGCCAAGGTGGAGGACACGCTTGCTAAACGCGCAGTTTCGGCTGCATATGAAAAACCGTCTGCTACATCAACTCCCGTGGCTGAGATACCAGACCCGTTGGGCAGTAGCATGAGGCATGCCCAAACCATCGCCGCAGCAAACAGCGGAGAGCGGACGCCTCCTAATGGCAGTGTCTTTGAGGGCGAAGTGGGATCGATCAAAAGAACGGGTAGCGTCCGCAGTAAAATGAAACGCCGGTCGCGAGGCTCGTCCACTGCAACAGGTCAGTCCGCCATTGGTGCTATGATAGGAGCCAGCACTGCGACGTTGGCAAACCCGGCTACAGGACCCCGTCTGACTGGCTTCACCATGGCTCCCAAGCAACGCAATCGCAACTTCCACCAGCAGTTTCGAAGTGTCCCCGAAGATGACTATCTGATTGAAGACTACAGCTGTGCCTTGCAGAAGGAGATCTTATTAGCCGGCAGGCTTTACATATCTGAGGGCCACATATGCTTCTTCAGCAATATCCTTGGCTGGGTCACGACGGTCGTCATCTCTTTCGAGGAAGTGGTGAGTATAGAGCGTGAGAGCACGGCTGTGGTGTTTCCAAATGCCATCGCCATCCAGACGCTGCATGCACGTCATACTTTTCGAAGTCTACTTTACCGAGAGCAGACGTACGAGCTGCTCATTGGAATATGGCGTGTCAGCCATCCAGCGAGTTTCCAGAAGAGTATGAACGGCAAGCAGTTGGCTGCCGAGGCGATCAGTGTTGCTCCTGCGGTAGAAGATGGAGCAAGCGTTCAAGCTAGTGAGGGGAGCACTACTGAAGAATCAGGTTCCGAAGACGACGACAGCGCCCCGAGTATCTTGGACAGCAGTGCCAGTGCCGCTGGCAGCGACGTTGCGGACGCCAAGGTTGTGTCTCGGAAACCATCTGGCATGAATGCAAGCGCCGTTGCTCAAACGGCTAGCATCCTGGCGGGCACAGCGGGCGACGTCCCGCAACCCCTTGCTGCCCAAGCTGGATTGCCCGAGGCAGCTAAGGACTTCCCTGGCCCAGCAACACATGCACCAACGGAGTGCTCGGACGGCAGCACCCACTACGATAAGATCATCAAGGATGAGATTGTTCCTGCTCCTCTGGGCAAAATATACTCTCTTCTGTATGGTCCCGAGTCGGGCATTTTCGTCCGCAAGTTCTTGGCCGATGAAGGTAAATGCACAGAAATCGTCTTCGAGGACGATAAGAAAGGTTTGAACAATGACATCAAAAGCCGGCAGTACTCATATATCAAGCCGCTCGGCGGCAGTATTGGCCCCAAGCAGACGAAATGTATCACGACGGAGAATCTGGATGCCTTTGATTTAGAAAAGGCGGTAAGCGTCACATGCTCCACGCAGACGCCCGATGTGCCCAGCGGCAGCGCATTCAGCACCAAAACTCGCTATTGTCTCTCTTGGGCTCCTGGCAACCAGACCAGAATACAAATGAACTGTACGGTTGAATGGACCGCAAAGTCCTGGCTGAAAGGACCAATCGAAAAGGGTGCGGCTGATGGTCAGCAGCAATACGGAGACCAGCTGTTGAGGGTGCTCAAGAGTGCGGTTAGTGGCCGTCCTAGGGGGACGACCAACGCCAGCAAGGGATCGAAGTTGATCAAAAAGAAGCGTAAAGGCGAGAGAAAAGTCAAGGAAGAGAAACAGGAAGAGGAGAAGAAGCAAACTCCAAATTGGGGTATCTTCGAGCCACTGAGAGGGCCTCTCACGCCCGTGAGCGACATCTTAAGGCCAGTGCTCACGATGGAGGTCGTTGTCGCAATTCTGTGCGTCATGGTCGTGCTTCTATGGTTACGTGGACCCGGGACCTCAACCCAACTAGGTCCGCACAGCTCACACTCCGCTCGGGTGGCAGCATACGACAGCATGTGGGTGCGGGAAGAGAACGAATTTTGGGACTGGCTCGAGTCTCGTGCGAGCGTCGACACGGTTGTGCTTCGGCAGCAGTCTACCGCAAATCAGCGCCGAAACAAGAACGAGGCCAGTACCCTCGCGAAGCAGAAGTTAAAGCAACAGAGGCAAGGGCGCTCAAAATCTGCCTCGAGTCTGGGAGTGGAAGACCAGATCAAAGCGGAGAAAATCAGTCAGAGGGAGTTGGAGGATGCAATTCGGATTACGAAGGAGAGGCTGGAGGTGTTAGAAAATGCGGTGGACAAGAAGAAAGGGGAGAAGAGGTAGCAGAGGAGCAATTGGGAAGACGCCCCCCTGCCCAACGTTGTGAATCCATTCTTAGCTGCATATTAGCTCAGCGCTGCCTGGTTTGATGCAGGTGTTTCATGGGAGTCCTGGATAGCAGAGAGGGGGAGCGGTCGACGGCATGGAATCTGGTGACTGTCCAGCAAGTGTTTTTTCGAGTTGGTTATGATGGGTGAGCGAGCTGGTTAACTCGCAGTACCTTGGGGGCAGATTGAAGGCTGTGACCGGACAATTTCCACTGCCGTGTAGATAGCGAACCCCAGCCATGAAGCCCCTACTGACGGGCGAAACCCGATTGTCAGGATGCCTCGTGGCATCTACATGACATTCTTTTCCCTCGAAGACTCCTCGGCGGCATCAAAAAGCATCACCAAAAATATGCGTATACTGCTTTGATTCCTACAATGGTCGGCTGCATGGCTGTCGAGCGTCGTGACGTAGCCACTACCACCGCTGGTTGCTCTAGGTGTGACTCACATGTGCCTGGTGCCCCTGAAGAGGCCCTGAACCGCTCGGACGTACTCGTACTCGGATATGACAGGTATCTGGAGTGTAGGCAACCACGCGTGGTCCTCATCGCACTGGTGATGACTGGGTTCGGTAGCTGTAGGGGTGACTACATTTATAGACCGTTAGGCACCTCCTTGTACAGTTCGGCATTTTGTCTCTTTGACTAAATCTCCAGCAAAGATCGGCACCAGCACAACATGGCCGCTCAACCTGAACCCGAGATAGTCCTGTACGACTTGGCCTGTACCAAGAACGTCTGCTTCTCCCCGGTTGTCTGGCGCATCCGCCTCATGCTCAACTACAAGCAAATCCCCTACAAGACCATCTTTGTCGAGTTTCCGGATATCGAGTCCACGCTGAAAGGGCTGTAAGTTACTTGGCTTATATTTTGCCTCGTCTTTGCTTCTTGTTCTTGTTCTTCACCTCTACCGGCGCTTTCCATGCCTTGCATGTCCCTGCGCACGGCGCCAGAGTCCTCTAATCTGAAGCCTCGCAGCGGTCTGGATCCCCCCGAATCGGACGGAGGACGATACACGGTCCCCGCGATCCACCACGTCCCGACCAATACATCCATGATGGACTCGACACTCATAGCGCAATTTCTCGAGTCAATGTACCCGAACCCGCCTGTCCCGCTGACATCGGAGCTAGGAAGGGAGATCGAGGCCAAAGCACGCGCCGTTGGAGGCCCGGCCTTCCTCACGTCCGTGATGCCGCGCGAGGTACGCATCCTCTCGCCCCGCTCGCAGGAGTACTTCCGCCGCACGCGCGAGGCCTCGCTCGGACACCCGCTCGAGGATCTCCTCGAAGCGGAAAAGGAGGAGAAAATGTGGCAAGCGGTGAGCGAGGGCATGCGTGCCGTGGGAGACCTGATGCGCACACATAAAGCCGAGGGGCCGTTCATCTTGGGTGCCCGGCCCAGCTACGCTGACTTCTTCATCGCTGGGTCCCTGCAGTGTGCGAATGTGATTGATGAGGATGTGTTTCAGAGGCATATGCAGTTTCCTGGTTACAGGGAGATTTATGAGGCCTGCCTACCGTACATGGAGAAGGGTGATTAACCACTACAGTTAAGCAGGGGTGTACGGAGCAAGCGCCGGTCGGCAGGGAGTTCGGTCTCATATGTATACGGTAGAGAGGATTGAGGGTTAACACTCACTAGAATCGATAGATCCCACCCGCCTACCTTATTGTGTACTGTGGCATATGATAAGCGACCACGCGGGACACCAGAGGATCGTTCTTATGCCCGCGCGGATTCGTATGCAAGGCACTCCACTTCATACACGCCTCGCTAGTGCGCCCACGTGGAAGTGGAGCCAGGTAAAGACTAGCTAAATACGGAGAATGGATCCACAGCATGGTACGAGGTATAGTGCATAACACCTGTCTCAGCCTCTGGCCGCCGCCGCCGCCGCCGGTGACGATGTGCTACAATGGCATCTGAGCTAAATTTTCTGTCTACACTCTTCTCTTTTTGCCATATCTACTGATCTGGTCGTCCAGCCCTATGCATCGCAGCTTCTCAAGTCTCAGAAAGAAAAGAGCGTGAATAAAGAATCAGACTAGTACTAACTCGGCCTAGCGGTATAACGAACGAGCAGCGTCTACATACCTAGGTAGTACGCGCTACAAGGTGACGGTCACGTCAACTTACTCATTGGGCGGAACGCCGATTAACAGTCGAAACGTCTTGTGCCATTTCCCGCATATCTCTAGAATGCCTTTCCCCGTCTCTGACTTCCTCACGAAGCTCGACTTCTTCATACTTTGAAAGGGCTTCGTCACGGAGGCAAGAAATAGTCGGGCATCGGCGGCCGCATCCGACAGATGTTTTCTCCCACGAGGTACTCTCCTCACTCGGGCTAGAACAGTCTATGGTTTGAGCAACAGTCGCTGGTCGGAGGGTTGGCACAGGCCCAGGTGCAAGCACAGGCACATGCTGTACCAGGGACATGTATCGAGCAACTTCTTCATATTCATGTCCACCCGCTCTCTCGGAGGGTCTTCCAGAAATATCCATTCCAATCACAGCTGGAATTTGGTCCTCACTTTCTCCATCTTGCTCTTCCATTCCCAATCCTGCCCACTGGCTCTTTGGATACCTTTGTCGACCCTCCTCAACTTCAACGTCATCCTAGGTCCTAATTCCTGTAGCCCAGCTCGTATCTCCTCAACGCCCTGCATCTCTTTGCCATCTGTTCCTACCACTGATTTTTCGGTTTCTCGCTTGGCACGAAAGATGTACCGGTGCCGCCGGAGGAAAATGTAATCTCTTTGGTTGTGCAACGTCAAGACCTGCCGCCCTTGCAATTCAGGTGAATGTGGGAAAAGTGAGCGGAACAGGTGAGCTGTCAACAGACCTAGCGGCGTGGTGAAGTTGTTTAGCATCAATTCCGGGATATGCTGTGTCGATCGTCCATGCCCAGGGATCTGCTTGCCAGAATACCAATTGGACAACGAGAAATGAAATGTTGGACCGGCTGGTAGGTGCACGATCGTCAAGCCCCCAGGCTGTTTGCGGTGATTTGCTTCCTCGAGTACGATAACAGCCGTGTACCCATGTTTACTTGCGAACTGGGAGATTTCGCGCACGGAAAATTTATATCCATAGCGGTGCGAAGAGCGACGGATGTATCTGCTGTTGGGAAAGAGGTCGGTTAAGAGCGCGGCTTCGTCATGCAGGTTGGAGTTGATTGACGTCGTTATGAGTATTTTAGGGGGGGGTGGAGGAGGAGAATCTGGTGAAAGAAAGAGAGACGGGAACTTTGCGGCGAGAGCGGCAGGGGCGAGGGACAGGTTCGTCGAGGTCGTGGAACGCGTCGGTGATTGGGCACGGGATTGTCTCTGCTTGGACTGGAGTTGCGTTTTAGAGGGTAAGGGGTCGTCGGTAACGTCGTCGAGGTCATCCGGTCCGCGGTCGTCTTCGTCCTGATCCTCTTCCTCGTCAGTTTCCTCCAGCATGGAGTCGTTGTCCTCGTTGTCCACAGGCTCCTCTGCTCCTTCGTCCCCATCACCGCTGAGCTCCAATGCCTGCTCTTCGGCCAACTTCCGCCTCTTCAGCCTTTCCACGTCATAAACCGCACCCAACCCACCATTCCCAGGCTCGTCTGCGACCTCGTCGTACACTCTCTTCCTGTCCAAAGTTGCGGGCACATTTTTCCGTAAACGCTCGTCTCGTAACTTAGGATTCCTCGCTTCTTCCTTCTTGCGGCTGAATCGGTCTGCTCGTTTCAGCGCATCCCGGGCACGCTTCTGTTTTATGTGCAGTTCTTGTCGCCGCTGTTTGTTGGATGTTTTGAAAGGGAGAGCAGCTTTGTCGGAGAGCCTGGTAGTTCGAGAGGGCATGATGGTCAACCTGGACGCGCAGGAATGACAAGGCCAAGTCAAGCTCGCTCCTTCGACAGTCGGTGCGGGCGGTGAATGCGGGCGTGAAAGAAGGTCACTCGCATCTCGAAGAAATTTTTGTGGAGAAAATGGGAAGATCGCATGCCCCACACCGCAAGGCTGGCATCTGGACCTGTGCACAAGGCTGCGCTAGTCCATCTTGGTCACGCACCTTCGGAAAACATTTCTGGGGAACGCGCAGCTACATCAACGTTTCGAGTCATAAACACCTCAGGAGTCACGTTGGGTCACCTCCTCCTTCTTCCTTTACATGCGTGCTTTGTCTTCTCCCTTCAGAGCGCTTTCCACTTTCTCTTCTCGATTCACCAGATCTTTTTCCACCACATCATTTTGTGCTGCAAAGTTCCTACCCGCCAAAGTAGACCTTAAAATGGCCGACTTTACAACAAGAACCGGCGACGTGCTAGATCGCGCAGTGGTCGAAACCACCCTCCGACGACGCATGTTCTATACCCCTTCATTCGAGATCTACGGTGGAGAGCGCGGGTTGTTCGACTATGGGCCCCCAGGATGCGCCCTGCAAGCCAATGTCGTGGACCTTTGGCGGAAGCACTTTGTTCTGGAAGAAGACATGCTCGAGGTTGACTGCACCATGTTGACTCCCGAGGCGGTGCTGAAAACTAGCGGGCATGTGGACAAGTTCGCCGACTGGATGTGCAAGGACCCAAAGAGCGGGGAGATCTTTCGTGCAGACCACCTGGTAGAGGGCGTGCTCGAGGACCGGTTGAAGGCGGACAAGGTTGCGCGTGGCCAGACAGTTGAAGTTGATGAGGCGAAAGAGGCCAAGAAAAAGAAGAAGTCCAAGGAAGCAAAAGTCGAGAAGCTCGACGACGCGCTAGTGCAGGAGTACGAGGAGACTCTGGCCAAGATTGACAACTATGGAGGTGATGAGCTCGGAGAGTTGATCAAGAAGTACAACATCAAGGGTCCTACAACAGGCGTCGATCTCGAGCCTCCGAAGGCTTTCAACCTCATGTTTCAAACTCAGATTGGACCCAGCGCCGATAAACCCAACGGTTACCTCCGCCCGGAGACTGCTCAAGGACAATTCCTCAACTTCCAGAAGTTGCTCGAATTCAACCAGCAGTCAATGCCGTTCGCATCCGCCTCGATTGGAAAGTCCTTCCGCAATGAAATCTCTCCGCGATCCGGGCTCCTGCGTGTCCGTGAGTTCTTGATGGCCGAGATTGAACATTTCGTGGACCCAGAAGGTGGAAAGAAGCATCCCCGATTTGACGAAGTCAAGGACACAAAGTTGTCTCTCCTGAACAGGAAGACACAGCTCGCCGGAAGCACAAAGCCTGATACTGTGACGATTGGGGAAGCCGTCTCAACCGGTCTAGTCGACAATGAAACCCTCGGATATTTTCTCGTCAGAATTCAAGACTTCCTGCTGAAACTCGGGGTAGACCACTCGAAACTGCGCTTTCGCCAGCACATGGCCAACGAAATGGCACATTACGCTGCAGACTGTTGGGATGCCGAACTGTTCACCACCTACGGCTGGATCGAGTGCGTCGGATGCGCAGACCGCAGCGCTTACGATTTGACGGTGCACATGAACAAGACGGGCGCGCCGCTCGTAGTCCGCGAAACACGAGCCCAACCCCTCGTCATAGAAGAATACCAAATCGACCTGGAGCGCAAGAAACTCGGCCCCAAGTTCCGCAAGGATGCCAAAGCGGTCGAAGCCGCGGTGGACGCTCTCTCACAAGACCTACGCGAAAAGTTGTCGATAAAGTTGTCGCAGGACGGGAAGATCGAGGTCGACACGCCAGGTGTGGGAAGTGGAAAGACGGAGCTCGAGAAGGACCTTATCAAGATTGAGAAGAGGAAGCGAACGGAGCATGTGAGAGAATATACGCCCAACGTTATCGAGCCCTCGTTCGGTATCGGCCGCATCCTCTACAGCGTGATGGAACACGTCTTCTGGGTTCGTGAAGGAGATGGCGCTCGCGGAGTGCTGTCCTTTCCCCCTATCGTTGCACCGACGAAAGTCTTGCTCGTCCCTCTGTCCGGCCATCAGGATTTCAAGCCTTTCATCAAGAAACTCACCAGCCGTCTCCGACGCGTCGGGGTGTCCAATAAAGTGGACGACTCGTCCGCCAGTATCGGCAAACGCTACGCTCGCAACGACGAGCTCGGCACACCCTTCGGCATCACCATTGATTTCCAGACGGTCAAGGATAACACACTGACACTGCGAGAGCGCGATTCCACCAAGCAAGTCAGGGCCAGTGAGGACGACATCATCGGCGCTGTGAAGAGCATGGTCGATGGAGAGGAGACCTGGGAAGATATCGCGAAGAGATTACCTGCTTTCGAGGGGCAGGATTTGGAGTGATGTGTGTGTGTACGTGTGTGTCGGACATGGAAGGTCGAAAGGAGGCACCCCACCATTTGATTTAATGTTCTTGAGATACCCGACCTTTGATGGTGCGATCGTTTCTTTCAGCGCGAAGATATAGACCGCACCTCGGAGTGGGCCAAAGCACCGTGGCGGGAAATGCTGGGCCCTCCATATTAAGTGTCATGTATGAAATGTGAAGACTGAAGAAAGACCGAGGATGAGAAGTGGTCGTTTTGTTATCGTTTCCACGTGCCTTACTATGCATCTCATTCTACTTCGTTCGGCGGATGCTTTCGAACATCATGGTTTACGGTGGGGGCACGATAACTTCGCAGTGTCCTCGTCCTTATGCTACTTCCCATCCCTAGAGTCTCTCTGAACTCTCCATGGGCGTAATATAGGTAAAGATTCTGATCATCTGACCTTCGCCGCGTCCGCAGCCTCCTTTAACTGGAGCACCACCAAGCAGATCGTCTTCACGGCCTCCACCTCGTCGACCCCAGGCTCACAGTCCTGATAGAGCAATCTCATCTTATCGGGATGCCACTTGGAGCTCTCAGCCCTCATGGTCTTGGACATCTTGTCAGGTATTTCCGCTTCAGGACAAGCCTTTCGATTGAAATCCAGGATGTCCCACCTGGTCAAGTCATTGAAGCGGCCGGATTTGGTGGGCCTAGGGAATCATCTGCTGAGCCTGCTCGGCGGTTGAGGGCTTCTTGGTGTCGTCGAGCGCCTTGAACGCTGCCCACTTGGTCACGTACGAGTGCCACGCTCGTTGCCACTATCCGCGTTCTCGCGCTCGGTCCTTTGCTTCACGTTTTTTGGCTTCGTTCCGTGCTTTTCGCTCTTGTGCTCTGGCTTCGCGCCGACGCTGTTCCTCGCGCTCCTTTGCTTCTTTCTCTCGCGCTCTTTTCGCTCTCGTGCTCTAGCGTCTCCTTCACGCTCTCGTTCTCTCCACTCTCGCTCTCTGGCTTTGCGCGATTTGCGCTCTCGTTCTCTCCACTCTCGCTGTCTTGCTTCTTCTCCCCGCTCTTGCGCTTCCCACTGGCGCCAATCGTCGCGTCCTTGCCGGGCCTTCCTTTGCGTCCTCTCGCGTAACGATTCTTCAAACTCGTGATGTTCTTTCGCCTTTTCCCATGCCGGCCGTCTCTGCCGCTGTTCCCACCTTCGGTGTTGATGGTATTGCCTGTTGCTTTGGTACTGTGTTCGCCCAATGCTGTGATACTGCGTTCGCCCGTTGCTTTGGTACTGTGTTTGGTCTTCGTAGTTGAAGGAAGACGACCCGCGGTAGAAAGGCCGGTATGATCTCCGTTCAAATCGTTCCCATCTATCGTCATTCCATTTGCCGTTCCACCCTCGGCTAGTTGATTGTGATAGGGTGGAAAGCCTCAAGGCTCATTCGTCAGCGGCTTCCTCGGCTTCATTTTTGTGCCACTGCCCACACAGTGTTTTGTACGCAACCTGCAGTAATAGTACTTCGACTTCTTTGCTGCTGGGTGATACCGACGAAATGCAATCAAGTAGTTCATACACTTCCAGCCGAGTGTATGCATTGAGCCGCATACGACAACGACGGCCTTGGGTGCGAGCATAGCCCACGCAAGTAAAAGTACCTCGATCAGGGTTGATAACCTCAAACACATCATAAGGACCCCACTCTTTGATATTTGAGCTAGCGCAAGAGGGGCATCGAGTATGAATCCCCATGATGACCTGATTGAGGGCCGGATTCGGTCGTCGATTAGAAGCTGTGAGGAAGAGGAGCTCAGAAGCGTTACCGCCGGTCAGCGATGCATGAAACGGTAAAGAGTAAAGGTTTCCGGAAGATGATGGTACCGGACACAGAGTCGCTGGCACGTTGAAGACATACTTATACCTATCTGAGAAGGGAGCTTCAAGGATCACAGCCTCACATGCGGCACCAACGTGCAGACGACGCTGGCTGACACTGGCAGGTCAGGGCCAGCATTGAAGGTACACCGCCTGGCTTGATAGCTAATTACTCACCCACTGTAATTATGTCCCTGCCCACAGCGGCGAATGGGCAATACAATGCCGTCTTCACAGTCCCCTCCCCGTACGCCCAAGGCCCAATCAGTATACTTGCATATGCCGGATAGAGTAACTCTGCAGGGAAGTGTCTCGACCACATTCGTCTGCGGCATAGCTTCACCCGCCAAATGGCGCAAGGCCCAGGTCCAACCATGCTCGAGCAGGCTGAGTACCTAAGTAAGCCGCAAGATGGCGAGTGCAGAGGGGAGGTCGGCGGTGATTGCTTTGCGTGGTCAAGGCGATTGGGCCACAAGGAAGAGTCACCGCTGCTCGGAGGTCATTTTGAGACTCTCCAGTGAAGTACCTCTGTGGAGTGCCTCTCAGCTATCCCATGCGGCCGGTCTCTTCCCTGCTCCTGCTACCCCTTGCTGCTTGTGTGGCGGGCGAAACCAGTTTTCCATGTACTTACATAGTATTCCTCCCGTTGGGGTGGCCAAGGATAACTAGTATGTGTGGTGCGGATGGTGTTGGTGATGTCTACTGTGAGGGAGCTTTCATCGACGAGCAGCTTGTGATTCCGATTGGCGGAAGCGGAGTTTCAGGTCGCGTCTTGTTTCACCATCGACTATGGATGTACTCCGTACCTGTATTTATTTACTCGTCACGCTGTTTACTGGACACGACGAGCAGCATAGTATCCCCACCTTATCTGGGACAGCACTGTCCTCCCGCAGCGAACGAGCCAGACGCATACATAATTCCTTCGCCATGGCTCCGTCTCCCTTACGAGACCCCATCGACTACTCACCCACGACCTCGAGTTTCCTCTCCTCGACCTCCAATGCGATCACGTCAGGATCAGTACGCCGAAATTTATTCTCGACGCATCTGTCGCGACGACCGGCTTCCGGGGCACCACCGCCTCAACTAGACGGGCAAAATGAGACTCCAGCCTCTCCCTCGCAGACCCAAGCCCAACACCAACAGCAGCAGCAGCAGCAGTACGCGAGCCACCTGCCACGGCTGCGGACCCACCAACGCTCAGCGTCGACTCCATCACTCTCACCGTCGCCGCCACGCTCATCACCCTTCCACAATGCCCTCGATGGCGGCAGCGCAGCCTTCATCCCCCCTCCCATTCCACAACTGTCCCCTCCCACCCGCGCCGCCGTAGCCGATGGGTACGATCCGACCGTATCGCCGAATCGACCACTCAGCCCGCATTCCTCCGCCGCACTGTTCCCCAATCAGTCCATCATTGCATTGAATCCCGTCACCGGGCGTCCCGTGCTCCCCAAGCTGCCCGTGCTCCCCAGCCGCTTGAGGCTCACAGATTCAGACGATGAGACGGGCGAGGACCAAGAACCGCAAGGGGAGCGTGGGGCAGGGGAGGACAACGAAGACGTCCAAGTACATCATCATCATCATCATCATCACTCCCACGCCGCGGCAGAGGAAGGCTTCTCCGGCGACGAATTCCACCACTCAACTGTCGAAGCCTCTACTCGCCGAGCAGGTCATCGCGTAGGACGACAACATCAGCATCTGTACGGCCACGACAACGACCACGACCATGACCACGACCACGATCAACCACCGCCCTCCTCTTCAATTCCCAGGGGCCGCACTGCACATGCACATACCTATGACCACACGCACACGCACACGCACAACGACGCCCAAGCCGCGGCCATGGCTGCCGCCCGGGCCCAAGCCGAGGCCGTAGCCCTGGACGAACTGGACTCCGAGCGTCGCGACCGCGAGCGCATCGAACGCCTCCTCCGCGAAATGATGGCCCGGCAACGGGCTCGCGCCAAGGGCGGCAAATCCGCGGCGTCGAGCACCGTGGCTGGGGCGGAGGACGAGGACGAGGACGAGGAAGCCCAGGAGGAGAAAGAAGAGCTGATGGGACTGATCATGGGGAGTCTGCGGCGGGAGGTCGGCCGCGCCGAGGACGAGGCGTGGATGTTTGGCGGGAGTCTGGGCATGGGCGCCATGGTCGGGAGGGACGAGGTGGGCGTGTATGACTGATGTTTTGAGCCGCGACAGGCTGACGACTTATGATCACACGAGTCATGCATCAATGAGCTACGGTGGCTGTATCAATGCGTGTGTGGCGATAGTTAGAAGTTTTATGCAACACGAGAGAAAATGATAGACGCTGCTTCGAGGTTGACCCCGTGTTGAAAGACTCCAACTAGTATTTCGTTGTCTGGGAGCGTAGGGTGGGTATCTAGTGATACATTCATTTCCTTCGTTCCGCTGGGCGATTGATGAGTTATCATCTACTGGTCCAGCGGCAGCACCACTGGATTTTATGTACCGCCCGTGGATGAATCGTCAAACAGCCAGAACGACAACGATCGACGGCTCAACCCAATCCGAAGTGCCGGAGTGGGCTGCATGTCTGGCTGTTCTTGCGGTTCATTTCCTCCAAAGCTAGGATCGCTTGCTTCGCACCATAATGCGCCCGCCGAGACTCCATCCCACCGACGCCCCGAACTGTAGATCTCGTCGCGCGGTAGGACTGAGCTCAGTCCAGATCCATAGCCGGCGGCTTCTCAATCTCCTTCTTTGCGGGTGCTGGCGTCCCCGACCTGGGCGTCCCTCCTGGTTTGGCGCCACCGCCACCGCCACCCCCTCCAAACAGCATACTCCCCATCATGTCGAACAGCGGATTACCCGACTGTCTGGGTATTCTGATGCCGAACCAGATCTCCCCGATGTGGGCGAGGGCTTCGTTCCACAGCCCCTCGACCTCCTTGAGATGAGGGGCGTAGTATTTCGCGAGCTGCCTAAACAGCGACGCGTCGGCCTTTTGCGCTGCAAGGAGCAAGAGCGAGAGGAAATTGAGCAGCGGGATCGAGGGAAATATGCGGAGCGAGAGGCCCGATTTGGACGACTCCAGCGGTTGCGACATGGCGAGCAGCGCCGGGTTGGACGTGGTCAGGTGGGATGTGAATGTCGAGAGGGCGAGGTTCGCGGACGCGAGGTTGCCGGCCAGCAGGTAGGGCAGGACCGAGCGGGAGGCGTAGATGGCCGCCAGGTGCGGCTGGTCCGTCTTGTACCAGGTGTAGTGTACCGAGGCGAGGATGGGAGGCGATGCGGATGTGCCGATGATAAGGTGTCGTTCGGCGTCGTACGCTTCTCCTTCTACAGACACATACACACGTATACTGTCAGCAGGGGACCGTATCGCCCTTTACCACCCAACCACATCTTCAGGTTGGTGGCGGTCCCACTCACCTTCTGCGAACGCCTTCCCAACCTCATGATGGATCTCTGCGTCTCCTCGCTCCAGGGCCCCGTATTTCCCGCTCCAAGACACCATGTCGTTGACGAACCGCTTCCGCGTGGGCTCCTGGCTGGGAAAGGCATGGAAGATCTCCAACACTCTCTTCTTGTTCTCGTCGTTGCAGGGGTATTCGCCCTTCATGTAGACGTCGTTGATGAGCATGACGGCCAGGTCGCCGCCCGACCCGCCCTGGCCGGCGCGGAGGAGTAACAGGGCGCCATTGTACAGCACGTCGCAGGAGGAAGGGTAGTCTTGAGCTTTGAGGTAGCGGGCGGTGATGACCCGGAGTTGCTGGTGGGCTTCGTAGAAGTTGCCTTCGGCGATTCTGCAGGCACAAGCGATGTGAGTGAGTGGGGGCTTGCAAAGGTCTTTAGAGGGCACTGTCAGGCATATTTACTTTTCTTTTTGCCGCGCGAGGGTCTTTGCTATCTTGGCCGACATTACGATGGGCTGGCTGGGTGCGCGGTATCAATGCCCTTGAATTGTCTAGGCGTCGACGGCAGGAGTCAGGACAGTCCGTACAGTCACAGTGGGACAGTCCAATTCAGTTGCACGAGTCGACGTCATGCTCAGCGAGACTCGCGGTGCCACCTCGGTTGTCAATCCTCAACGTCCTCTTCACCTTCACTTTTGTACGAGTGTCCCTTTGCTTTTATCGTCTGTACGAGTGTCCCTTTGCTTTTATCGTCTGTACGAGTATCCCTTCACAGTACTGATCTGCGAGTCAGGAAAGATACACATCAGACCGGAAGAAAAGAGACAACAGTACGAGGTGTGGCCAGTTCCAGCATCCTAGCCGACACGACGATGCTTACTACCCCCATAATGGAGCTGGCAGTCCATCTTCGGCCTGAACCACATTCCAACTCTACGGACCACGTAAAATCATTGACTCCATGTGCCTCGAACCACCACTCGACTTTGATCACGAGGACTCGCTGTCTTGAATGTACAGACATGACAGAACCGTCCACCTCGAGACCAGGACATGAGAAGATCCCCTACGAGTGACGCCGGGGATGCGAGGCTGTTGACCAAATCCACTCACTGATACTGCACACCGCGCAATATCCTCATCGAGGGGATCCACCGTCTCTGTTTGTCTCAATAGCCAGCGCGCAACTCGCTGATTCTCCGCCTTCTAGTGGCTCTATATGCTGGATGAACAGGCGCAGTCTCTCCTCAAGCGAGCACACTGGAGAACTGATGATACCGTCGATGCCTCTGCCGGTGATAGTTCGCCGCTGGATCTGCCACATGGCACCGCCGTGACTACACAGTACTAAGTCAGACTCTGTAGCATCCCTCCATCAAAGTTTGGTAAAGCCCCTGAAAGCAATCTTAGATGAAAAGGTGAATATAATTCATCATTCATCGAAAATCTGGAGCATGGCTGAAAGGTAGAAAAGGAACGCCACGTTCACTATATGTGCTGCAAGTCGAAAGGGGAGCGCGGTGCCAACAATCAATACTGTAGCTCTCGTCTCCCAAACGATGACGCCTCATGACCCTCTCAATATAAACCCTGATCATCCGGCAGAATCCGTCATGCATGCAACGCGCTTCTCAAAAACAAAGGAAAAAATTGCCCTCCCTGTGAATATTTTCCGTCGGCCTTGAACTCCAATATATGATGCTCGCTGCAACTGCTGACACGGACGAGAAAGAAACGCGCAAGGTCGATTGGCCCCAGCGTAGTCGACCGCTGCCCATCGCATATCTTCGGTGCTTCTGTCATGATCTGGGGGTTTCATCCTCCTCTGCCATACTTTCCAGGTTTCCCCCAGCTCCGCTGGCGTTGCTGCGGTTGCTTTTGTGGCTCCTGGCACCGGAGCCAGGGCCTGGACCGCCACCCTTCTTGGGCGTTCCGTTCTGCACAGGGGTCGTTGCTCTCTCGACAGTGCTCGTTGACCCCGTGCTCGTACTATCCTTTTCCTTCTTGGTTGTTGGTGGCGGTCGTGAGAACATGGCTTTGAGCGCGGCCTTTGCTTTGGCCTTTTCTTCTTTCTCCTCTGCTGCCTTTTTGGCGGGGTCTTCGGCCGCCTTTTCGTCGGCGTACTGTTTCCATCTCCTCCAGCCATCAAAATCAATCAAGGCTTGCATGCATCCCCACTCGGTGACTTTGCGCTCCATCCATACAAAGTTGACAGGCTATTGGGAGAGGTTAGCGCGTGTCCACCGCAAATTCAAGGCCGAATGCTCACCTTTGTCAAGAAGTCGTTACAACCCGCAGCCAACGCTTCATGCCTGTCACTCTGCAAACTGCTTGCCGTCAAAGCCACGATAATGACGGGGCTCTTGAACAAGCTTGTTCGATCAGGCAAGGTATCCTCCTCGCCCACGGGTCCGCCGTTCTTAGTAGGCGGTTTCAAGGCAGTCTCGATTGGACTTCCGCTGAAAACGCCGATGCCGTTGACCGCTTCCAGCCGTCGGATTTCTTTGGTCGCCTCCAGGCCGTTCATCACCGGAAGCTGGATGTCCATTAAAACCAAGTGGAATCCACCCTGCTTCCACATAGACACTGCTTCCTTACCGTTCATGGCGGACTTCCATCTCACTTTTAGCCTTTTCATAAAGGCCTCGAGCAATTTCAGGTTGATAACATTGTCTTCCACGAGCAACACATTGATCGGCGGCACGGTCCCGTCCAGCAAGCTTGCAGCGGCGGGAAGTGATTTGGGAGTAGCCTGAGGGTCGCCATTCGCGGCCTGGGCAGCAAAGGGGCCTTTCCTTCTCTTCGCTTTCTGGCCTGGGTGGGGGGAAGAGACCCGATTGGGAGGTGTAATGGATGGCTTGTGTTCATTCGGTCCCTGAGCTGGCGGTGTTGGTAGTGGCGGTGCCGATGGGACAGGGCCGTTGATGGGTGCCTTCGACTCTGTTCAAGTTAGTTTTCATGTATCAAAGCAGGGTTTCCAACGTACCTATAATCTGCCCGTTCGGCTGGACAGTGTGAAGGATCGTGGGACTACTCGTGTGTTGCCTTCCATATTTCGGCCTTGCATGTCTCCTTTGCCCATGCGAGCCAGGGCTCGGCAGCGGCGGCAGCTGACCAGTCGTCAAAACAGCCATGGAATGAGGAACCGAGTTGGGGTGAGGTACGTGGGCGAGGTGAGGAGAGTGCAGCTGCATGGGAGGAAAGTACTCGCGGGCAGCTTCATCGGGGCGGAAGTGCTCGGGATAGTAATAGATATGATGGTTGCCCGGTCGGGGAGACGCTCGAGGAGTGGTTCTGCGTTGGGGAACGTCGATGATGAGAGCTTCGTCGACGGTTTGGCCGCCAGGGTAGTGGGCATCGAGGGTCTGGCCGATGGGCTCCTCTGGACCCAAAGCACGCTCGGCGGTGACGTTTTTGTTGTTTTGTTCACGACTGACTATTTTGAGGGTGATGTCTGGGGAATCGATACTGCGCCCAAGGGAATTGGCGTATTTTTGCAGAATGACATCGCGGACGTTATCGACCAGGTCATCTTCGGCGACTTCGACTCGTGTCGCGGAGGCGCCAGGGCGTTTCACCCATATCTTTCTCTGCATGGCGCGGGCAGGATCATAGCGGCTGCATGTTTCCGGGTCCACGGTCGGCACAGTCGGAGTAGAAGGTCGCTGCACGAAGACTCGCGGACAGTCGGGCTTCGGGCTCGGCGGAGTCGACGGACGGAGGTCGGTGTCGGGGTTATGATTACTGATGGAAGGAGCAGGGGGAAGAGCAGAGGTAGCAATGGTTGCGGTGTTGGGTCGAGAATCGGTGTCGGGATGATGAAGAGAATGCGAAGCAGGAGGCGCATCGACGAGCGCAGTTGCAGAAGCAGAGGCAAAGGCAGACGTGGGTTCCGCACTTGTGGCTGGTGCTGCCGCCCGAGGTTTGTTATTGGGCGATTGTCCTCGGGGCGACACTCTGGCAGACGCGGATGCTGCAGGCCGCTCGCATTCCCGCTCTGCCTCTCGCCCGTCTTTGGCCTCTACACCTTTCCGTTTGGCGTCTGACTTGGTCCGCGCACGTCGATGGAAGTTGAAGTTGGCGAGTGTAGACAGCGTGGGCAGACTCCAGCCGCCCGACGACCGCTGACGCCCGCCGCCGGCCTTGGCTTGTCGATCGTCCTGGCTGCTTGTGGCGCTGACATCGCTATCTGAAGCAGCTGCATTGGCACTCAGACTACGGAAGAGAGGGATACGCGGACGTGACCGGGTTCGCGGTAATGGCATTCCGGCCGGCGTGTCAGCTCAGTGATGAAGGCAGATGCTGGCGTGTAGTAGGAACATCCATTCCGACTCATGCCTGGAGGGAGGCAGCTCGCCATTCATGCACCGACAGAGACGGGTGCTGGTCGATGCGCATTGAATGTCAAGGAAACTAATAGCTCTCACAAGAACTGTAAAGATTGAACGAGCTGGATGTCAACGAGTGGTGATAAGTGCCTCGCTAGCTGCTGCAGCTGTGAAAAGAAGATAATATAAAGTGCTCCGATCGAGACATACAAAGTCCGATTACAGTGCTGTGCTGTTGTGGATAGCCGCTTCCCCAGTCTCACTCAGGCTTGCTTGACTTTTCTCGATTTCCAATCGGAGAGGAACAAGAGCTGAATCGAAGCGACACCAAGTGAGGGGTGCACGCTGCCTCGTTCCGACTGCACGAGATAAAAGTGCACAACAAACTGTTTACAGTACTCCGTATACGAGTCCAATCTCAATTTCGTTGGCGCTACTTTCACTTTCGCTTTCACTTTCACTTTCACTTCACTTTTCCCTCACACGCGAATCAGCTGCAGCCTCCGCAGCCCATCTTTGGTCCAACCACCGTGCTCGTCCCGTCTCAATACTTGGGCGACAATCAAGAATTTGGCAGTTTCATTCCTGCACCTGGAATCTTGAATTTCTGTGCCGTGGCCATCACGGGCCTGTTGGAGCTGCACTACAGTAGAAGAACGAGCGCTAATGCATGAGCCTATCAGATTCATGAGACCAGTCCATGCTTGTATGCGCCCACTTGCTCCCATGTCCATCGTGCCCCATCCCTGATCGAACGCTTCGCTGTGAATGAAGGACTGGAAGAACCTGAGCAACCTCCTTCTACCAACATATCCGCGTCGTAAGCTATGCACAAGAATGCCATCGAAGATCATCAACAAGAGAACCCGGTCGCATTCCATTCTGGAGCAATGCATGACTCACGCCCGCCATGAGAATCCTCCCATTGTTCGCATAGCCGCTTTCCCGCATAACAAGCAAAACTCAGTGCCGTCCTCGCTCCCTAGGCCCACCCCGTACGACAGTGCCAGTGACAACGTTTCGATAATGACAGTGTGCACATGATGACAAACCTTGTCCTCCTTCTCCGGTGTCTGTGGTTCCCCTTGCTGTCCAAGTCTGCCGCTTCAAGCTAAATAAACGCCAGTTTGCTTGCCCGCCTGCTCGTTAAGTGCTGAAAGGGGAATCTTTGTGCTGGAAATCACATAACAATAACCTCGCCAACTCAGCTTATGACCAATCCACTAACATAGATAGCAACTTCTGCTAGTGGACAGAGGACTGCCCACCATGGGGCCAGTCTACGCAGAGCACCTCCAATGCCCCGAGAGTCAGAATGATGGTCTCGGTGGAAGTGTGAGTCAAACATCCACTCATCCGTTGCGCCACGACCGAGGATCCTTTCTTTACCTTCCAAGCATGTAATCAGGGTACACGCCACCCATTCCCGGTGCTTGAGCGCCATTACTCATGGATATCCCCCGTATGTTAGGCACGGGCCCGTTGCCGACGGCGAAGCCTTGGTTGACAAACGCGGCTTGGGGAACTCCTCCGCTCACGACGCCCATGTTCAGCCCCGGGGGTACCGAAAGCCCCGGTGGCGGTCCATTGGCCGTCGAGAATCCGCCAGGCGTCATGTTGGTGTACCCATTGACGCCCAGAGGTCCAGCGGCACTCAAAGGCGTGGGCGGGCTGTTGCTGCCCGGCTGGCCCGCTCGCACCCCAAGTGGATTTTTGGAAAAGCTCAAGCGAATGCCACCTTTGACACTGTTGTGGAGCTGCGCCCCATACAATTCATTCAAAGCTTTCGTCGCGAATGATATGTCCTCAAACTCCACAAAACACATCGGCCCGTTCTGTTTGGTCCGGAAGCACAGCCTTTTGTAGCCCCTTTGCTTCGAAAACATAGCTTTCAACTCATCCTCCGAGGTGTCAATTGGCAAGTTCCCAACGTAAAGGGTATTGCATGGCGGATTCTGGTCGGCGGGATTGACCGGGGGGTAATTGTGTCGGATGAAAGGTTGTGGGTAGGGTCCATTAGGACCTATCGTGGGGAACTGTGAGTGAGGTGTTCTAGGCCCCACGGCGGATCGCGGCGACACGTAGTTGTTCGCCGCGCCGTTGCCGATATTGGTATTCAGAGACAGCGCTGAGAATGCCGCGGTAGGCATGTGTTGGCTTGTCGACTTCTTCGCCGCGCCATTCGTAGAAGAGCCATGCATATATGCCAGTGGGTCCTTGATGAGCTCGCCTGTATCATCATCTGCGCCATCCTCATCGATGACCTTTTTGCCGCTAGCCCTAGGCCGGTCCGCCATCGCGCTGGCCACGGGCGACAGAGACGAAAACATGGTCTGCGACTGCGAGCTGTTGGAAGTGGCATGTTCCAAGGGCGATCCAATCAATGGTGGGGACGTCCTGTCCATGGCCTGAAAGGTGCCGTTGAAGCGTGACGACCTCTGAGCGCTGGACGTGGGAGGTGATACCGACTGTGCCACTTTGCGGCCCGCTAGAGGATCAATTGTGTTGCGCCGCGGAATCGCGGCCATGGATGGGATGGATATGACCTCCACAACCATTTTGGCCTGTCCGGCTGTGTTGGGCTTCCCATCGAGCATTGCTTGGGCTTCGGACGCACCAGCGAAGGAGGAGAATCTGGCGATTGCGGTCGCAAAGCCGACGTCCTCCTCATATTCGTTTGGGACGATTTCTGTATCTCGTAGGTCCTTGGCGAACAATAGCATGGTTCGTACTGCCTCAGGACTAGTATGCCGTGGTAGGCGTCGCAGCATAATGGTTGGCAGGGCGGCCAGCGCGGCTTCGTTCGCGCTCGACATCCGTCTATCCGCCGCGGCGACCTCAATACCTGTAGTTGGTAAGGCCATGGCGTATGGATTTGCAAAGCTGGAGAGAATGCGTGTTTCGAGAGGGTTGAGAGCAAGCGCAGTCATGCTTTGCGCGGCAAAGAGAAGTGCAGAGCGTCCGACCTTGCCGACGCAATGAATCCGATTTGAAGTGAGTGATATGGTCGTCCGACGGATCTCGAGTGACGTATGGTCCAAGGACAACTACCTCGCTTTCGATGAAGTTGAGTGCGAACAAAGTGGCACCAGCACGCAACCAAATTAGAGCTGGAATTTCTGCGATTGCGGGTTTGACCCTTTTCGATCTCCGAGTCCGAGCTCCAGGGCGCCGTCGAGGGTCATGTACGGGAAGTCAAGAGTCCGAAGTCGAAGAAGATATGCGCCACTGGCTGGGAAACAAGTCCAGTAATTCCGTGAGACCTGAAACGGTGACACGACGGCTCGGATTGTCTCCGGCGCAAACGCGAAACTGTTATCAGTTCGACGCTGGCATGCGAGGTGATGAGGGACGCTCGGTGAGGACCCCCTTCAGGAGCGAAGCGCAGTATACAAACGCCGCCCCGTTAGCACTTGATCCGTCGCAAGGCGAGATGCACCGGGGTGGGTGAAGTGGGACAGTAGCCTAACGAAGATCAGAGGCGAGCACAAGACGGATCGCGACAACAAATGCTTGGAACTAGGAAGGTGTATAGCGAGAGTCGCAACTCTGGGAAAGGGACGGAGGACAATCAGCAAGAAAGAGCTGAGGCGAAAGGCTCAGGATCGCCAGGAAGTTGTAGGTGCAGTGGAATAGCGAACTCAACGACGCGGATTATTTTGGCGGCGTCGAGTGGCCCTGTCGATAGGAGCGATAAAGAATGGCTAGGCGTGGTGAAAGTCTGTGTTTGGCAGACGCCAGGATGATCAATCGTGCCAATCCGGCACCGTGGAGGCTTGCAGATGGAGCCGAAGGCCAAGCTGGAGGCGCAGGATGGGCTGGGTGAGATACAATTCGCGATCGCGCGGCGGCCGGATGGTGGGGATGAAGCCGGGCGCTGGGCAAGCGATACACCACGCTAAGGAGGCCGCATGGCATACGGAGTTATTTCCTGGTGCTCACTGGTCCAGGTCGAAGAGGGGTTTGTGCCTCGATATTGCTCTCCCGAAGTATGTAAGCCTCTAGCGGACCACCGAGTCGAGGTACCTCCTACGGGTACGGAGGGTATGCGGAGAGAGGGTCTGTGGAGCAGGTGTGATTGACTGTACATATGAACTTTTGCTGGCGGATCATCACATGAATAGAACAATATCGGGAAGGCTGCGAATGAAGAATAGGATTCGGGGTGCCGGTCGATCGAGGACGTCGTGGAGGTGACAGAGTCTGGGGCCCTGCACCGACATGCTCATGATTCTTCCGTGCTAATCAGCCATTGTTGCCAGCTCACATTGGCTCTGGTGGTTGGACAAGGGTGGGGATCCTAAGCTCAAGGAAATGTCAGTCCATCGCTGTCACCTCGGGACCGTGCAGTCGGCGCTCTGCATAGGATCAGATATCCGGGCAACGTCCAAGTACTGGGCATGGACGTAGCTAATCTTTGTTCCTCGCGGCAATCGAAGATCCGAAATGCTGATACAACCCGCACTGTGCGCGTCGTCAGGATGGCGGCTGTACTGAGTATGTGGCAAGACAATCTGCGCCGTGAGTGGGACCGGTCAGAGTTGTCAAACAGATGGGGTTCAATCACGCTTGTGTCCTTTTGCGATAGTAGCGCTGCTAACGAGTGAAGCCTCATGAGCCGAAGTGGGATAAACTGGGGATCCCCGTTGGCTGCCGCAGGAGAATCCAAGCGTAAGGGCGCCAGAAGCCGGGCTTGGACCCAAGTCGCCGTCGAGAAGCCTATGATGGACTTTCAAACAAGCTGTTGCGCTACTCACCGTGCGTCTGTGCTCAAAGTCTGTTGGCTGATGCTGGGGGCTTCCCTTGGGTGCACTACATGGCTTCGACCGCTCTTGCAGAGGCGAGTCACTGTTTGTTCGCAGGGGACTCTCTACACAGTAGGTGGAGTAAGCCGCGCCGACCGTCCCTCGTCCTGCTTAAGCAACCACGTCCGGCGTCACTAGGACCACCAAGAGCTTACTGTGTAAGGTACCTAGGACTCGTACCTGGCGTCCACGGCATGGAGAAGGCGGGCTTCAGGCAGGCGTCAGGGAGCTAGGTACCTCGTAACCAGTGTGATAAGCAACCAAAGGTAGGTACTGAGTACAGTACTTAGCGCTTGTTGCGCCCTCATCTCAGCCGTCCCCTCCCTCCCTGCAAACTAGGCCGTGACATGGTCAAAGATGCCATGTCCTCAACCCCGGGTGGCCCACTAGGTTATTGCCCAGATCCCTGTTGCCTGGCACAGGGCGTTGGCTCTAGTCCTCTTCCACACCCCAAGCACGCATCTCGGCCCAACTGGCGATAAGAGTCGTGCTCTTGTAGGCGGCTCGATGGTCCAATACTTCGCATTCGGGGAAGGAGTTGAGTGACGGGATCGGCCAAAGTTCAAACTCTGGTTTCTTCCTTCCAGCATCAGAGCTCTCCACGATATGCAGACTTGCGCCATGTGCTGATTCGATGTTCCGTCGACCGCCAGTTCAGCCTCTACATAGCCACGAGCGCTCGGAATTGACATGCTTTCATGTCCCCTTACGAATATCCGATTGGGTGCCAGTCACAACGCCATTGGCTGGCAAAGCCGATGGAATTTGCTCCGTACTATCAATGCTGTGTTACCACACTAGAATTCGGTCCCGATACTCCGTACAGGCTTCTGCGCGCCAGTGGATGAGCAATACGGGCACCCCCGATCACAGCTGAGCTCGATGTCGGTACTTCCAGCCCTCGAAGAGCGACATGACAAACGTTCGGCTCAAAGTCACCAGAAGTGACTTTGACGTCCGCCTGCAGCTCACAAGCGCGCACCCAGAGGCGGTATCCCTTCTGCTGGGACCAACCTGCCAATCCCCGGTCGTGCTCGGTACCTGCGAGTACGAGTAGCGAGGGGCAAGCTGGGTAGCCCCTCTTGGGCCAGAGACCGGCTGCAAGCTCTAAAAGTCCGAGGATCTTCAAACACGCATTGCATCTGACTCTGGCTCGCGGCAGATGCTGCAAATCCAACCCTTGATAGGATGCTCGGAACCAGCTTGTGCATTTCCGTGGTGCGACTTGGGCCGTTGGGCCGGCGTGGACGGGCTACTGGAATACCTATCGCTGTTGTCGCGAGCGGCACTGAGGCAGTGCCAGTCCAACAGTAGCTGTTTACGAAGGCCGGGCCTACTGGCTGCCAGAGGCGGGCAAGACTTTGCTGTTGGATTCTATGACCCTCGTAGCGGTGGTGGCGTCGCCAACCAAAGCCATCGCGACCGTTGTGTGGCTCGCGTTACACTTCGAGACCCTAGGCAGGGCTTTTCTCGAAAAGATAAGAGGGAAACCCCAGTCGATAGAGATGGGCATCATGAGCAGAACGGGGCGACAAGGCGCCTGCTGACCGTCCTAGTGCGTCAGAGAGAGACATCGACTTGCGCCATGCACGCTTTCACTCGCTTCTTCTCCTGATCCGGCCATCCATTGTTTCCGTTGGATATCTACCAGGATTCTCCATGAATGGTCATGAGACTTCAACCCCCGAATCGGCTGTGTTGCTGAGTATGCAGTCCGGCGTATTAACAATGTGCCAATACAAGCTTGTCGCGCACCAAGCCTGACTATCCTCAGGCATCCATAGCTTTCCCAGCGTCGCCAAATCTGTGCAGGACTACTGTGTACAACCATGGCCTCAAAAGTCGTTGTCCACCGATCAAGGCTTCAAGACAACTTGTGTCACATGGACTGGACGGGGCTTGCAACGCGTGGCGGCCGAGGGGACGCTTGCAAATGACGCTGCGTGACCCCGACTTGCAATCCACCATACGGCTCGTCCCTCGCTGTGTGACCTCGAGCTTCCGCCATGTGCTACAGAGAGGTCCGGAACACCGCTGTGAAACATGTCGCTTTCGAAATGATTTGCCTGCTTTTCCATCAGCGGAAAAGAGTTCCAGACGAGTATCACCTTGGCGCCAGACGTTTTTCTAACCACGTCCTATCCCAAGCAGCGTCAGCTGTACAAGATATTGGTACATTGGTCCCTGTGGAAAGGCTTCACTGCGACTCTTCGAGATGCAAGAGGTCGCCGGTATTGTCTTTCTCGCCCGCTACCTTGTCGGTCTCGCTTCCGTAGCGCTGAAGCAGTTTCTCAGCATATAGCCCGATTTTGTTCTCTCTTTTCTCGGACATTTCGTGTTTACCGACGCTTTCCTCGTACGAAGGTGGTTGTTCAAGAAGGTCGCCTGTGCTACCCTCCTTGGCTCGCCTGAGTGTAGGCTGCCCGTCTTCGTCCTGGTCCGGGCTCGACGTGGACATGGGCGTAAGCTCACGCACTGAACTGCTGGACCTAGTTGGATCGATCAGGGGAACGTCTTCGAATTCGGCCTCGGCTTCGCGATCAGCAGATGATGCAGGTAGCGGGCCCATCTCTTGTTGCAAGTCCTCCGCAAACGCCTGGTTATCGCGGTCGACAAAGTGTCGCAGCGCCAGACTCAATCCACTGCCGCGAAACCGCACGGCGTTTTCATTGGCATACACGAGCAAGACAGAGTTGTACTCTGTCTTGACGGCCTCCAGGACGTGGGTTTCAAAGACTCGGTCAATCGACCACGGCGTCGAGCTGTCTGGATCAGACTTACCCACACCTGCAGCTTGTGCCTGCGTGACGGGGCCGACCAAGGGCGGGTGTAGTGGTTGTGATACGCATTGAACGTCCTCCTGCCGCCAAGTGGCCTTCCACCATTCGTAACCCATTCCTTCCTCACCTAGGTTGTCCGGTGCCAGGAGATCAATGTTCTGGTTCAATCTGCGAAAGTAGGTGATTCCCGGCTTGGTTGCAACGCCTTGGAGCGTGTACTTGCGATGCGGGACGTCGGGACGTTCTGGGGTGGGAACTGTCAGTTGCATGGCGATTTGACGACTCCTCGCACGAAGTTCGTCCTTCTTTTGCTCAAGAAGCGCCAACCTCTGACGGATCCTCTGAAGCACATTTTGCAACTCCGAGTTGAGCTCATCCACGTCAGACTGCGTAACTGCGGTCTCCGACCCGGGCAACCGGCTAATAAGGAAGCCGTTTGGCACAGAGTTCCTGCTCGCTGCCACGCTTGAGGCTTTGACTGCAGCATTGAGGACTTCGCTAATGTCCAAGGGCCGGTTGCTCGAGTTGAAGAGCTGGCAGCGACGTTGCATATGGGTCAGTTGTTCGATTTGTCGCCGGATCGCCTGTACCTGTCTACGTATCTGTTGCATTTCCTCTCTGCAGTCGTACATGTAACGATCGGCATACCAGACCGGATCCAGACTGATGTCGACAGTTCTGGAGGCCGTGTTCGGCTCCTGCAGTCGAACAGTAAATATCTCGGCACAATGACTGATCCATACGTCGTCGATAGTCCCTATCTCATCGTTCCAGATGGTGTTATCAAGCAGGTCTGTGAGTGTCTCGTTCGGGTGGTGATTGATGAAAGGGTCGACACAGTACAGCGTCTTCTCGACAGCCGTGTCGTCGGTTGGACCGTTGGCCTTCATGGCTATGGAGCTGAAGACCTGGGTGAGTTGCTCTTGTGGAGCCTGTTTCAGCGCCGCAGAACCCCAAGCCTCGAGGAATTTGTGAAACACTGTTTCGTCGTTTGCGTTGCGGACTGCCTGTAGGTCGGCCAAGGCGTCAACACTGCCGTAGGCGCGAGTGGTCTTGTCGAGAAAAGCCATGAGGCACTGGACTTCGGTAAGGAGATTGCACTCGTTCTGGTCTATGCGGAGACTATTGTCGGTGGACAGGGCCTTGGTGTTCTCGTCCGTAGCTCCAGACCACCAACTACTGTCATGGGCATAGGCGTGGACCCTCAGCGCAGGCATTAGAAGAGCCTCTCGTGCAAGTGGGATGTTGTGGTAGATGGTCAGCAAAGATCCTAGGTAGCCGGTCTCCTTCGAGCCGCGTAAAAATGCAGGTGCATCGCCAATCCTTCGCCGCTTGGATGGTGGTGGATGTTCGATTATCTCGCGCGAGGTCGAATATGTAGTGAGAGCCCAACTGTTGGGTTCGTAGTTATAATCCCGCTTTGCAGGGCCGAACGTCGCTCCAGTCTGCGTCACTCCATTCTCTTGTGCTGGCAGCGTCTGCCTGAGCGATTCGGCCATTGCGCGCTGGATGTCTGGGTCGTCCATCTCCTCTTGCTCTTTCAAGGTCTTGACATTGCTCGCCGACGCTGCGGCATGCTCGCCGGACAGGTCCAGCCGGGAATTGTCGACTCGCGAAGGCGGCCGTGACAGCCCGGCCATCCCTCCCATGGTCGCGTCATCTTGAACTATTTTTCCCGTCAGTTTGCCATTCACAAAAGCTGGACAGCTACCTGGAGTCAAGAATATATGTCGTCCGTCTTACATGGGATATTGTCTTGATCCTGCCAGTGATTGGAGGGAGCCTGCGGTACGCACCCTTAGACAACCAGTCCTCAACGCCTGACGCGGCTGGCACCTGGCTTACCGGCTCCGGTATGATCGATCTCACGGGGTTCTCCAGCCAAGCGTTGATCGCGTTGTTGGCATCGTTGTTGTTTTTCTATGGGCCACGCGGAGTCAGTAATTAACCGTTTCATGCATGCCTCGCAGCCAAAGGTTCCACCTCTCACCTTTAGTAGCACCTTTGCGCTCTCCTCATCTAACGCGGTGATCGCGCACACCTGCGATATCAAGTCGTCTGTAGGCTGCGCCATGTTGTCATCCCACTAGGATATATGGCGCATGGTGGTATGGATGCTGCGGACGTGGTTGGGCTCGAGGTAAAAGGTTGAGGTGGAGGCGAGTTGAGGGCACTAGGCGTCCAAATCTGACACTGCTGTGACGGGAGCTGAGTTAGTCTCGTCTGTATCAATGTTGAAGCACAGATGAAGCCGAAGACTTGTGTGTGAAGAAGACAAGCTTGCATACAGACTACAGTGACATTGTTGATTCTGGCAAACGCTTCCCCGCAAAAGAGACTCCAGACGGGAACTCAGCCTTACATTTGTGATGACAGCCTTGTCGGAACAACGAAGCACTTGAGCTGGCGTACGACAAGCTTGGGACAAGGAGACACAACTCATAGACACATCTATCCGCGCTGTCCGGTAATCAATATTCCTGGAAGATTTCGTAGGCTGGTTACTGTACGTGTCGGTGACTCTCCACATCTGCTCTTTATCTTCGCTCCCGGATCCATATCGTGGCCGTCAACGGGAGAAACAAGTGTCTTTCATTTTCTTCACATTGATACGATTACAGTATGTCAAAGCTGTATGAGCAGCGGCTGGACTGTGCTGGGCTGGACTAGATTGAGCACACAGGAAAGGGATGTCAGCTCCGGCTCCGGCTCCCTCAAGAGATCATCCAACCCAGCCGCCCCAACCTGAGGGCTACTTAGTCTGCTTCCAGAAGAAGGTGATCGCGCAACCAAAAGGCACAAACGCACCCCATCTAGATACTTACTTACCGTACTGCATGTGAAACACCCCAGAGGCACATGCACGTCTCGGTTCCCCTTTAAAAAGCCCTGATCCCTTCCATCCCTCCGTGAACCACCGTGTCTTCAATACGTAGACGTCAAATTTAAGACGTAAAAATTCTGGCATGGCGGGATTTAAAAGTCCTTGAAAGCCTCCTCCCACTCGGCTCGTAACTCGTCCGTATACCGTCCGCGGCCGCCCTCACTCTCCTCTCCCTCCACGGGATCCGGATACTCGTCGAAATTGCCGGCATCGCCTTCCCACTCCACTCTAGGGATGATGGGACCTCTGCGTTTGCGATAGTAAATTTCATCCCAGTCGACGCCATCAAAGAAGTAATGGGACATCACCCGCTTGCTACCCCCAGCAATGTGGCCCAGCCGCTGTGTCGGATCAGTCTTGCACAGCGCGAGGATGAAATCTCTCGCCGCACGAGGCACATGGAGACTATGGCGGTGGCCCTGCTGCGATGGATGCGAGGTCGGGAAGCGGATGTGGCCTGCCACAATCTGCTCGTAGATGCGCATGGGGTTTTGGTCCCAGAAAGGGGGTTGGCCGATGAGCATTTCATAGACCAGGATTCCCAGCGCCCACCAGTCGACCGCGGTGCCGTGGCCGGTGTTGCGTATCACCTCTGGGGCGAGGTATTCCGGGGTACCGCAGAGGGTGTAGGTGACGCCGGCGCCGTTGGCTTGCGGTTCGGGGTGTTCGGTACCTAGTTTTTGGAGAGTGGTGCTCTGACCGTTACCGTTCTCAGAGGATGATTCGGACGCGGGCGGAAGGTATTTGGCGAAACCGAAATCAACCAGTTTCAGGTGTCCATCTACGTCGAGCAGGATGTTTTCCGGTTTCAGATCGCGGTATGCCACGAACTGAACCTCGTGGAGGTAAGCCAAAATCAGGGTGATTTCGGCGGCGTAGAACTGGACCGTCGAGAAAGGAAAGCGGCGGGCGCGCCTGAGGTACGAAAAGATCTCTCCGCCAGGCGTGTAGTCCAGCAACATATACAACGAGGTATCGTCAGAGAAGGTACTGACTAGGGTCGTGATGAATGGGTGGCCGGCCACGGCGGCAAGGACGTCTTTCTCGTTCCGGACATGCTCGACTTGTTTGAGTTTGATCACGTCAACTTTTTTGAGTACCTTGAGCGCGAAAACTCTGTTCCTCTCGTCCGGTTGAGCATTGGCAAAGCGACATAGCCAGACTCGTGCAAACGTGCCTGCGCGTAAATGTGTCAGTGCCGACGACAAGAAGCCAACGATTTTCCAAGCGTACCAGTCCCAAGCGTCCTCATCAGCTCGAAGTCTGAGAGCTTCAAGGAAGCCGACGACTTGCCCAGGCCCTTCTCTTCTGGCAGCCTGGAGACCTCCTCTGGAGGCATGACCTCCTTAGATCGGGCCGGATCAGCATGTTTCTGGATCTGGTCTTTTTCGTGCTGGCGGCTGGGATGGGGATGAGACGCGCTTCGTGTGTTGTGAGGATTGCTGGTGCGCAGGAACTGCCTATGACCTTGAACGGAAGCCGCGCGCGGCGGCTGCTGTTGCTGCGGCGTCTGAAGCGTCGCTGTGCTCATCGGGGCAGCTGGTGTGCATGTTTTTCTAGAAGGATACTATCGGTCGTTGAACCGGGAGATCATGGCGAGTGGGAGGCGGAGGACGACAGAGTGGTGGTGGCTGAACGCAAGCAGTTTGCGACCGGAGGAGGGGTTACACGGTAGCGGGATTCTAGCGGTGAGGCAGTGCTGTTGGATAGCTGCGGAGGTGACGAAGGATTCACTGCAGGGACGTGAATGGGGAGCGTGAGAAGTGTACCAGATCAGCCACAGGCGTGAAAGGAGCAACAAGTGAAGAGGACAAAACAGATGCAAGATCGCAAAATGATGCAGTTAGAAGACGGTGACTGAGCAGCTCAGCCCACTTGTCACCTACCCACCAGCGCGGCCGCGCCATGCCAGCGCCAGCAGTTTTGCTAGTGACAAAAACGTGCAGTATGGAGTACTGGGTACCTAGTACCTAACTAGTCCCTAGCACAGATGCGTCAAAGTCCGCCTGCGTAGCGAGACACCAGCTCGCCGCGCATCACGTCACTGTCGTGGGTGGAGGTGGACGATCGCGAGTGGGTGAGGAGATGAAACGACACCAAGCCATGTTGGAACCGATCAAGACAAAACAGGCGAGCTCCCACGGACAGGGCCGACGTACCGCGGACAATGGCGTGGGGATGAAAGGGCAGAAGCGTTGGTAAGATACTCCTTTGAGCAACACTTGCCTCATTGCTGCCGCGCCTGGAAGGCTCCGAAACGGCAACTCGATCCTACAGTAGCTCAACTGTGGGCGGGACTTGAGCTGTCACGGCTGTCAGACTCGGGCATCAAATAGGATGAAGACACAAGCTTGGTGGCGCCTCGTGCGGCGTGGCTGCTCATGAGAAGCTGCTCCCAGTAGCTGTTAATTACCAGGAAGCACATCGGAATTCGAGAAGCGCATTCTCGTTCACATTCGAAAGGATTCGTGCGCATTTCTATGTGCGGTTCATGTGCCAACACTCCTCTTGGTCCGTAGTTAATGTGGTCCTCTATGTTCTGACCATCCAGGTCGTCTAATGGCCGATATTGCAAGCCATTGGCCCTCCATGCACGTAAAACGCCACGCAAAGGGAGTCAGCCGTCAAAGTCTATATTCGTGGAGCTGGTTGGCAGGGATCGCGTGCTATCAGTCATCTTTCATGCGTTCGCTTTCCGGCTTCCAAGATCCTGCTGTCATGTTAGTGGATGCAGTAACACGCAACACAAGGTGTCCACGAGATCCATACCATCAAACTCGTGTTTCACAAAGGCCATTGGGTCCTCGGGCCCTTCAGCTCCCATTTGGCCAACACCCGGGCTGAAACTGGTGATGGGGAGCACAACGACATCCCCGATCTTCTTGTGCACCCTGATGTCGAAAAAGTCCGAGTATGACACGTTCGTCGCCCGAGCGCTATAGTCAAAGTACTCTCGGTCGTTGAAGTATGAGAAGAGGGCATCCGTCCAAACCCCTGGTCCCGTGTACTCCATGATGCTTTTCGGCGGTTCTTTACCTTTGCGCAGCCTTCCGGCCTCTTTCATGTGGAGCGTGTCTTCGGTGATGGTGGCCACAATGTCGCGCAAGACTGGATGTCCCGGCTTTGATTGAATTGTCCATTGGCAGAACTGTATTCTCCTAGCATACCAGTCGTTCCAATCTTCCCTATCAGGATCAGCCTCAATCCCAACCACCAATCCAACTGTAGTCGTGTCCAGGTTCGGCGGCAGCCAATCGGTGGCAGGCTTCAGTGCCTGGGTGTCAATGTCGCTGTAGATACCTCCGCGGGCAAGCAAGATGAGATAGCGGAAGAAATCAGCCTTGATGACAGGGAGGGGCATTGCTTCGTATGCTTGAACAACTTCCGGTACTGATGCGTACAGGTAACTAATGACGTGCAGCGCGGCATCATCTGTGATCACTTCATGGACAAACCCAGGGTGGAGAGCGGTCCATGATGCCTCGAACGGTCTTAACCTCTCTTCGAATTTTCCCGAATCAGGTCCATATTTCCATGTCTGCCATATGTACGCGGGGAATTTCGATTCGATGTCGTAGGGGAAGTGGTATCGTAGTTTTTCGTCGAGGGACTTGCTCGGTACATCATGAATGAGCTGTTGAGCTTCGTGAGCTGGCTTGGGAGCTTTCGGGGGAGGGTATGATCGAGAGGGTCGTCCCTCTTCAGCAGTAAGTGCCACCTCGGGGGTGCTCGGCGAAACACTCGACTGTCGCAGCAGGAGGAATAGTATTATGAAGACCACGGCGACAAGGGCCGGTCGCTTCCATGAATTGGACAAGGCCATGAGGGAGGTGCCCGCGCAGTCGACCCCGAGCTTGTTACAAATCCGGTCGAGGCCAGTGACAGGGCTGTCACCGTCGGGTTCGATCGCAGCAGTTCCGAGGCGGCCACATATGCCACAGGTCGACTTCGGACAGTCCCGAAGGGTTGTGACAGCTGGCAGGGATGGGAAGTCTCGGCAGAGCGGCGTGGCAACACCGCTATGAGTATCGGTGACAGGACATTCTAGTTATCGTAACATCTCTTCGGGCGGCGTGTACGGTCCAGCCGCAGGTATGTACCAAGCAGGACGAAGCGAAGAACCGGGATGGGAGGACGGTCGCGAGAGCACCTGTCGCAATTAGGCGTCTGATCCTGTTGGTCAAGGAAAGAAGGTTCGAAGACGCTGCCCGAGATAGCGATGGCGACAGAGAATGGAAAGCGTGTCAGAAAATGGATATCTGAATGGCCGTGAGCCCGTGGGATCACACAAAAAGTGATTGCGCATGCATCTTGTTTCAGGCGCCTCGATTGGTGACTGATGGGCCTGCACTGAAGCATAGCGTCAATAGTGGGCACCAGTACGTACCACAGCCCCGTCCAAGGCCCGAAATACGCAATCCAGCTAAGCTTTTCGGCGCTCCGGCTGCGAACTTTTAGGCGCTTGGCTTGTCTCGACAGGCCGCATCTCCGGGTGCGGCCTCCCGGCTCAGCGACGCTGGTGTGGCTGGCTCCAGGTTTCCACAATTCCAGGAACTGCAATTCAACAGTTGCACGATGGAATTTCGGTAGGCGTCTGAGCCACTAAATGGTGACGACCACCACGAAGCCGACACCAACACTGACAGCGACATCGAATCCAACAACGGCACCGAGTTCGTGTAAAACATCTGACCGTCAGTCAGAGGCGACATCGGCTCGTTGCACAGTACTTACTGCATGTGGCAGTTGCTCATCGCACAAGGCTACGAGTGGAAAAAGTCCAAAAGCCATCACCGACGGATGTCAATAATCATGGCTGATGAATCAGTGAAAGAGACTGACACCTTTTGGATTGGCTGACTCTGCCTCTCTTTCCAGCTTGGTCATCGACACCATAAGTGGAAGTGCCTCGTTATGACACAGTCGAACAATCCAATATCTTCACATTTCATGCATCTCCTCGTTTCTCTGTTGATGTCATCCATTGGCACGTTTCCGCCCATTATTTCCATCGCTCAGCTGCACGGATATGGCGCGGTCCCATTTCATTTCATTCCAAGAATTGGCCAATATGGTCTCCAAGTCCATATGCCGAGTTGCCTGGGTTGCCCGCGTGATATCATCTATGGTTCAATCGAAGCGAGCCCAACCCTATCCTTAAGCAACCGAGTCGGCAGAGTATGAAGACGCAGGTTTCCAATCTGCTCGGCCAGCCCTCTCGAGCCCTAAGTACCTTGAGCCTGGGTCCAGAAGTCGAGGCTAGCAATCACATCCTCGCCCGTTTCGTCCTCGTAAGCGTACAAAATCTGACCATTGTTAGCACAACTCCAAGAGCTCAGGGTGCAGCGTTGAAGACTCACCTCTCTCGTACTCGAATGCAGCATCCGCACGTTCTTTCCCGTCATGACGTGGATCAATTCGCTCGTCTCGATATGCCGAATCTCAATGAAACTCGGCTCAAACGCCAAGATGTAAGGGTAATTCAGCGCGAAAGCCTGCGGTGTCCCTTCCCATGTAATCTTCCAGTCCGGTCTGGCGCGCCATCCGTTGCGATTAACGAAGAAGCTGAAGTCAGAGTAGTTGAGGAGAAACTCGCCATTGAGCCGCTCGATGTGGATGGGTTTGACGTTTTCTTTGCGCGTTACAAAGTCGAGGGACGTGTCGGCTTGGTCGAGAAGAGATTGTCGCTCTGTGGTTTCCAATGAGACGACCTCGAAGCCTCGAGCGCAGCCGACGCAGAGTGTTGAGCGGAGATAGTGAACCGATGTGGATTCGGCTGGGATGTAGAATTCCTGGGCTGATTGTTAGTATATACAGGCATAAAAGTGTATTCGTAGTACAACTGACCTTGAACGGTTTGAGAGCATCCTGACCGCTGGCAAACATCTTACTGATTGCCGGCTTCTTCTTGCCCTTGTTCAGGTCGTCCATAGGCTCGTACACCTTGATGGTCGTGGACAATGCCGACGTCTTGACGGAACAGACCAGGTGTCGCCCCAAACCAATTCCAGCTTTGAAGAAATTGGCGTGACCCTGGATCTTGCGAGGTCTCGTTGCCAGTGGGTTCTGGTTGTTCGGGTCCAGGGCATCGAAGGGGTACGAAGTCAGAGTCTTGTTCGATAGCACCAGCAGCAGTCGGTACTCTTCCAACGTGTCAATTTGTGACACTTGCGTGGCGTCCAGAATGCGCTTGGGCTTGATCGACTTGTCCTTAGGCCATCGATCAGCAATGTAAATGCCGTTGTCAGTTCCATAGATGAGTTTGCGGCCTCCGTCAGTAGGAACCAGACAATTGACGCGGTTCTGAGTATTGAAGAAACTTTCGCACAAAATAGTCTTGTTGTAGAAGGAACTGCTGCGTTGGCGAAGCTTGCTCTGTTGTTCTTCGACGAGTTCAATGAACTTCTTGCGTTGGGTGACCGAGGTGGCATACAGTTGAAGTTCGTATGCACCTTTACCGAGATGTCGGAAAGTGATCGGATAAACCTCTTTCTGACCAGGGGTGCTCGATGAAGACGGCTTTGTGCCAGGAATCAAGCTAGAGGAAGAGCGTTTTGCGATGCCGAGACGGGGAATGACTTGATCCATCTCAGCAATAACGAGAAGCTCCAGTGGAATTGGCTTTCTGTAGACTCGCAGCTCTTCCCGTTTGTTCACGGTCTTGATTCTGCACATGAGTACAGCATGATCGAACAGGTAGACCTGGACCTCGGCATTGTCGGTAGGCGACTTTTTAAAGCTCATCTTGGTGAGGATGACACGATTTTCTTCCGTCAGCTTGAGATCCGTGTATTCTCCAGCGTTCCATTTGAGCTGTTGATTCAACTGGACCAGGTTGAAGTGATTCTCTGCCTTACCGCTTTCTGCGTTGACTCGAGCCAGGAAATCTTTGATCAGACCGATAGCTTTAGGGATGTCCTTCTTGTCTGGGTTGTCATCTTTCGTGTACTTTAGGACATTGTCCAGCAGGAGAGGGTATCGCGCCAACCGCGTGGTTGGCTTCGTGAGGTATCCGTTCAACTCCAATTTCCTTGACTCTTTGAGGCGTTCAGTCTCATCGACGAATCGGGAAAACGCCGGGTTGGAGCCTTTCTCTTTCTCGAATTCGTATTTGCCGTACATCTGGTTTGCGCCATACTTGATGAATGGGTCGAACTGAGGGACCCACTTGAGGAAGACATCGCCAATGCTGTGGACCACGTGCTGTTCTTTCTGCCGCTTTGACAACTCCTCCGCAAATTTGCCATTGACACTCAGGACCTCCAGGCAGTTGCCAAAGACAGTGCGGACAAACTTTTCCCGTCGCTCTTCTTTGATGGGAGAGTTGACATTGCCAGCTCCACGGAGTGGTCTGATCCAGAAATCACGGAGATATTCCAGGTCCTTCACAAAGTCGCGCTCAGTGTACATGATCTCTGAGATGACCTCCTGTCGCTTCTTCTCCTTGTCATCGATCTTGTCCGCGACCTCCTTCGGCACACTATTGATCCACAGTTTTTGTTCCTGATCGTCTTCGTGCAAACTTCCCTTGGAGTTGGAATGCCTGAGGCCGGGTTGGGGTCGTAGGTTGAGTCTAGCTTGCTGTTCCAAGCGTCGTGGGCACGCGATTGAATAGCAGAGGTTGTCTCGTGTGCATGTCGGAGAATAACATTCTGTAAGCAAGGTGAAGACTCCGTTGACGTCTTTGGACGAGGCTTCTTCACCCATCGTCTCTCTGAAGCGATAGACTTCGCCCGGAGCGTCCCTCAGACGATGCTCATATGTGACGTCGTGGAAGAACTTTTGAGCGTCCAGGGCGCGGCCTAGGAGCAGAGCCAGGTTTCGGTCAGTGGTCTTGATGATGTAGGCGATCAGATCGACAGCTTCGGCACCTGTGAAAGCACTCTTATAAGTGAGGTCATTCTTGGTTCTGTCGCCGGCGCCAATTCTTTCCTGAAAGGCGGTGGCAACACGAGACAGAAGGGCAGGATAGACCAGCGGCGACTTCCGCTGGACAATTGTCTGGCCACCCGAGGAATGAGAAGAGTTAGGAGGTCTACTGCTCATCATGCTGTTACTGCGAGAGCCGTTTAAAGTTGTCGTCGGCGTCAAGTCAGACGGGACTGAGGTGGCAGAAGCGGCAGATATGGTCCTGGGCGGATTGCTTCCCTCACTAGGGCGCCCTGCCCTTGGCGTTACCCCGTATGCTGGCGAATTCGACGAACTGAAAGAACCGCCGTTTGAGGCATGGCTATCTGCGAACGGATTATCTGATTCTGATTCTTTCCGTCGATGAGGCACCACTCTTCCGCTTGTTAATTGCTGAGTATGATCACGATCCAGAGCATAAGAACCCATCGACATGGATCTGTCGCCGTCGACTCTATCAGGTATGTGTCTCCCCTGTGCTGTTGTCCTCGACGCACCCAAACCAGCATAGGGCTGTTGCCTGAAAGCGCTGGCGGTGCCCTGTTGGAAGCTACTGGGAGGCGGACGATAACTCAACGTCGGCTCGCCTGGTCGTACCATCGACCGCGACCTGTAGGCGTCATTGTTCAGCGCAGGTGGAGGCATCCGATTGGGGATCGGTTTTCGATCGTACGGCGACATCTGCATGGGAGGGGGAATTCCCGGGCGTGTGTCTATCCGTTGAGGTGGAGGATATGGTCTGCGATCGGGAAAAGTGGGTGCTGGATTATGTGGAGGAGGCCGTGAAGCACCGTTTGTGCCATTCATATAAGGCTGAACCGGCGCAGTGCCGTTTGATCGGTCGTACGACTGAGGTATTTGACGCATCGAGGGCGGCGGGCCTTGCCTCATGGACATGGTATGTTGCTGTTGCAGCGTCATGCTCTGGCTTCGATCGTACATGGGGTTCACCGACTGCGTCGTCATGGTGTGAGATCGCCCCGGAGGAGGCGCGCCGCCGAAGATGTTGTGGAAGGCGGCATCTCTCTGATCCGCTGGACCTCCGTGCTGGGGCGGCGGCGCCCTCGCGCCATAATAGCGAGACTCGGGCGGGCCATAGTCTGCCATGCTCATTGAAGAGATCGCCGGACAAAAGGGCTATCGAGCAAGCATGGAGATGTTGCAGCAGCGCAAGGGGGCTTTTTCCTTATTCTCCTCTTTTTGCAAAGCACCAAGTCTTCCCCACCCAGCCTTCCAGCTCTCAACAGAAGGTGGCCAGTGCAGGACGGGTTGCGACAGGCCCGATGGAGGACTCGCAACCAGCAGAGCGAGTGTCGAGAAGAGGGTTGCGTTGATATCGAGGTTGGCGTATGCAGTGTGGTGCAAGCGAATCGAGGTGGATGCAGGTGGTCGATCGATGGTTCACGAGCGAGGGTCAGAGATTCCAGGAATAATGTCGCACAGATTCCGGGTGGTGCTTTCTCACCATGCCAGCAGGGAGAGAACGACGGGCCCGTGTATACGGATTAGTGAGCAGTAGTGATGCGAGAAGAAATGCAGTGGCATAGTCAGTTAACTACTATTGAGAAGATGTGTGAATCAATCGATCGAGCGAGCGACTGACGGTCGTTCGTTCATGGCTAGACGAGCCGAAACTGGGGTTGCCATTGGCTGCAACTGCTCCCCTCAAGTCCAGCTTCTTCTCACGGGCGACGCAGGAGGCACCAGCCGCAGCCTCAGGCTCAGGCTCAAGGCTCAGGCGCAGGCTCAGGCGCAGGCTCTGTGGCTCTCTGGCAGCACCGATCCAGGCGGCGTTGTCGCATCATAGTTTAAGCACCCTCCACCACATACGTCTTTGCACAATATCACCACATCACCTGCACCTCACCTTGATCTCAACTTGACCTTACCCTACGACTCTAGTTGTCTACCGCAAGACTCACCATGGCCACCACCACACAAGGACCCGGCAGCGAGCTGTCGCCCAACTTTGCTCCCTTCTTTGGAATGGTAAGGGTCTCTCCATCTCTTGTGCCCGCGCTGGAGCTAACATGTTCAACCAGGCAGGAATTGCATCAGCGGTATGTTGAGCTGCCCTCACCCACAGCTCCCTAACATGCTGACCGCCTGCGCCCGCCACAGATGATTTTCGGATGTATGGATCTGCAACGCTGAGGCCCCGTGCTGCAGTGCTAAGAGATGAACAGGTATCGGCGCCGCATATGGCACTGCGAAGTCAGGAATCGGAATCGCTGGCGTGGGAACGTACCGTCCAGATTTAATCATGAAGGTCTGCCAGTGGACTCTTTCGAGACTTTGCGTGGATTCTGATGCATCGTTGACAGTCCCTGATCCCCGTCGTCATGTCCGGTATCATTGCCGTTTACGCTCTGGTCATCGCCGTCCTCATCGCTGGAGACATGGGTCCTCCGCCACAGCAGAATTACAGCTTGTTCACGGGATTCATGCACCTCGCTTCCGGGCTCAGTGTTGGTCTCGCAGGTCTGGCAGCCGGATACGCCATCGGTATTGTTGGTGATATGGGCGTGAGGTGCTACATGCAGCAAAGTAGGATCTTCGTTGGCATGGTGCTTATTCTCATTTTCGGAGAAGTTTTAGGTCTGTACGGGCTGATTGTAGGCTTGATCCTGCACTCGAAGAGTTGATCAAAAAATGGTCAGAGAAGGAAAAGGCTCTAGGCTGGAGGTGTCTACATGAGGCAGCTTTGGACTTGGAATATACACGTTGGGCTTGTCTCGACCCCAAGGTCGAGCCTGGCACGAGCGAATGTAAATGTGCCTACATTAACGTCCCACTAATTGTTGTCTTCCGCATGACTATTCTGGCACGAGCGAATGCAAAGTGCCTCCATCAACACTACATCTCTTGTTCTCTTCCTGCATGACTATGCTCTATATATCTACTGCAAAAACCTGCCCACGTTTCCGCCAATATGCTTCAAGTCCAATAGGAAGGTATCATGTCCAAACAGACTGATATCTTCCCCCAGCTCAAAATGCGTGACCTTTTGATTGCCCGTCGCTCGCAACGTCTCGGCAATCTCCCGTTGCTGCCACGCCGGGAAGAGAATGTCACTCGCCACGCCCATCACCAGGACAGGATGATCCTTCAGCACTGCCATGCCCTTGACAAGATCCTGTGGCGGTCCACTACTGTGACCCGCGGCGACGGCCTCGTCCATCGGCGCGGTGGAGACCTGTTCTTCGTACTTCTTGCTCGGCAACGTGAGACTGCACGACGGGTCGCTCTTGGGTTCCGCCACGCCACGCCTCACGCTGGACAGCTTGGCCTGGTTCTCGCGCCGCCGGGCCCGCGTGGCCTCCTGGTGCGCGAAGCCGAGATCGAACAGATCCATCGCCTTGCTCACATACAGCAGCGAGTTGGGGTCGTATTCGAGCGAGAACTTCTCGCCCGCGTGGTCGAGGTACGTCTCGATGAGGAAATCAGGGCACAGGGCCGGCGGTTTGCTGGGATCCGCCCTCTGCCGGCCAAAGCGGTTCTCCCACTCGGGACCGCTGCGGTATGTGACGGTGGCGATTTCGCGCGCCAGCTTCATCCCGGAGTGCGGCGGGATGCCATTGCCGCCGCCGTCGTAGTAGAAGCCGCGGTTCCAGTTCGGGTCCATCATCAGCACCTGCCGCTGCGTGTGGCGCATCGCGATGCTGTACGGGTGGCTGCGCGCGCAGCCGGAGATGCTGACGATCTTGCCCACGCGGTCCGGGAAATGCACGCCAAACGCCAGGCTCTGCATGCCGCCCATGCTGGCGCCGACGCTGGCGTACAGTTTCGTGATCCCCAAGCCGTCGAGGAGTCGGGCCTGCGCGCGCACCATGTCGTCCATGGTCAGGATGGGGAATCGGGTCGCGTATCTCTGGCCGTCCGAGGGGTCTTTCGACGAGGGGCCCGTGGAACCGTAGCACCCGCCCACCACGTTCGTGCAAATCACAAAAAATTTGTCCGTGTCCAGCGGCGCGCCGGGGCCGATGAACTTCTCCCACCAGCCGGGCTTGGGGTTTGCTTCGGTGCTGTGTGCGTGACTCGAGGCCGATAGTCCGGTGTGGAGTAATATGGCGTTGCTCTTGTCTGCGTTCAACGTGCCCCAAGTCTCGTGTGCAATGTCAAACTCGGGCAGGATCCCGCCCCAGTCGAGCAGTATGGGCTCGTCGCTGTGGAAGACCATGTGGCTCCCCGTGGTGTAGGACGGTTCGGGGCCCGAGGCAAGCGACCGGGTCTGCAGCGCCGCCGTCTTTTGCTCCTGGGCGTCCAAGCAGGGAAAGGACATGGCTGGGTTTGAGGAGACTGGAGGCTCATAGTTCTCTTCGTCGCGCACTGCGGGGACTGCCTGCGCACGGTGAGACGCTCGCGTGTGTAAGGAAGCTGCGTTTCTAATCTGCCATCTTGGGCCGCCCACGGGGCTCTTGAGGGTGGCGGAAGCGGAAGTATTGGAGTTCAACGGCTTAGAGCCCCGAGTAAGCAGTCGTGCCGCGATCTGTGCGCCTCGAGGAACCGCCATGTCGAGGTATACTGGATGAGAGAGTGGTGGCAGAGGAGAGGAAGGAAGCGGGGTGTGCCCGCGACATACTTTTCACAAACCATGACATGCATTTTCGAGCGACTCCGAGAGACGTTAAACCAGCGAGCACGACATCGCCGACCAATCACGTCGCGCTGGTCAAGCCTCGTCTCGTCTCCTCGATTTTCAGCCTTACCGACAACGACGTCTACAGTCACTCAGAAAGCACTGCATCATCAAGCAGGAGTGAGTTGTTACTGGTTGTCAACACAGAGAATCTGGCAAACCTTGAGCCGTCAGGTTGGCCTGCAACTTCATGGAAGCTAAGAGCTCGGTAACGTCCTGGCGCTACCACACGCCTCTCTTCGTCAATCTCGGATATGTCGGTCCATCTTCGAATCTTGGCTCCTCGTGTTCGCTCCCGGCGTCGCTACGTGTCAATGTCCAGGAGGTCTGGAAGCGTGCGTCGCAGCTGCTTCAATCGACGATAAGGCTGGCGACCGAGGGACTGTCGCCAAGAACTCGATAACCAACACGAACGCCGATTACCATACTGTTTCGTTAACGTCGGCCTGATCAGGCTGAACTCTTCACAAAGGCCGCTCCGGAACAAGCGTCGGTCTGTCCAGAGGATGTGATATTTTGGGCACAATGTGCACTTGAACATCTTGCTGCTGCTCCATATCGCCATTACTACGATAGTAAGCAAAGCCTATCACATACCAGGACAACATAGGACTACAAAACGACTTCACACCAACCCCGAGACCCGCTCGCCAGCCTGACCGCCCTACTGTTCTCAGCGTCATCCACGGCTCCAACGACGATGGTCCAAGTCGCCACGGTCAGGCCGCCTGTAGGCCAATTCGTGATCCACACACTGCTACAGATCGCGGGCTTCGCTGTCGCGATTGCCTTTGGGATATACGCCGTCAGATCCGTCCACGTTGCCGTCGCCGCGAACAGCTTCAGCCGAGAGGCAAACAGCTTTAGTCGAGAAGCTATCCGGCAGGCGTTGGCGGCGAACCAACTCGCCCTGTTTGGGGCGTGCCTGCAGGCAGGGAACCAGGTAAGCTGCCGGCGCCATCCCCCATCACGGGTCAAAACCCCACGTATGGTGCACACCGATCATCTCTAATATTCTGCACAGACCGAGAACCAGGACCTCAATGAAATCTGCTCCCGCATCATTAGAGGCGCCGCAGAACTCTTACCGGCCACTGCTTCGTCGTTGTTTCCCAACTTACCACCTCCGTCGCCGACGACCGACTCGCCAGATTCTAGCCCGACCCAGCCTCAACCAGGTATAAGCCCACCCTCAGATAGTGGCTCGTCAGCGCCTGCCGGTACCATCGCCGGCACCATCGCCGGCGCAGTAATCGGAGCGATCCTCCTCGTAGTCGCAGTGCCCATAACCTGCATCTATATACGTCGTCGTCGAAGAAGACGTCGCCGCCACGCGGACTCTCCTGTGGCGCCTACTTCTGGGCCCGGGCGCCGCGAGCGCCGAGCCGCCCGCAACCTCGGATCCATTTTCAGGGAGGTCTTTATGAACTCGACCCTAACGAGCTGGACTTCCAGCGTAGAGGAGGTGACGACTAGGGATGAGGAGCGGGGAAGGGGAAGTGACAGGGAGAGGGAGAAATGAGGTGAGGGTCCGCTCTGTCTGTAAGCCATGTGGTGGTCTAATGTAGTGAGTGTGTGATGAAGATGAAGAAGACTATGGAGCTATGAATTTATGAACGAATGTAAATAACCGCCGAAATTTCAGCTGGTGTGGTCGTTTGGTGCTGGTAACATCGAGGGAGTAATATGTCGAATGCTGGACAGTAAAGAAGGACCTTCTTCGGTCGAGGGATTACCGTCTCGTGGTGGACCGATTGTCTCATGAACTAAAGGCGAACGGCAGATAGAAGCGGCCCTGAGCCAACCCAGGTGAGCGAGATTACAGTAGTCTGGTAGAATGTCTCTGGTTCATCGCTATAGTTACACAAGAATCTTCCCCTTCGCTCCGTGTCAACACGGACGTGGCGCCGCATTTATGCCACCTCGCACCAATGCAACGCTTCCCACTTTTGTCTTGCTGTTTGCATACAATTAATCTGCTGGGGGTATCTTATCTTGTGCATGTAATAGAACGACACGTCAGATGGTAGGGCCCTTTACCCCATAATCCCACGCAGTTCCGACCTCGAACGCGAATCCGTGATGCTCAGGCGAAAATACATTTCGACCTCGCGTACCTTTAGCCTGCTCAATCCTCCTTCCTTTCACCGTTGGTTCCTTGCCCATCGTCATCATCTGGCGTAGGGCTCACGATGATCTCAGGTGGAGGCTGCGCGGCGACGGGACTCAACGTCCCGCCAGAAGATCGCTTGTCCTCAGTCGGTGAAGACTCGTCATTCGCACCATCCAGCTTGGTCGTCGACTCTGTTGGTGACTGTATGGCCGAGTTCCTCCCCACGCTGCCCGTGCTCTGTTGTGCCGTCCGGCGTCTCATTCTTCTGGCCTTGCGTTCTTCGTCAGCTCCGTCCCTTCTCCTTCGGACATCAATCTCGTCGCTGGCGGATGGGGCCGCACTTCGCATTTCCTGCAGTGCTCTCAGTGCTCGATCGGCCACATCCTCACTTTCGCTGACATCGCCCTTGCCACTGGCGCCATCCGTGCTGAGGTTGTCGTCGGTCAATCTCTCTGCGATGGTGAGACCACGACTCTCCTCAACACCATCTTTGACTGGCAATTCCGGAAGCTGTTGGCCACTAGCGACTCTCAGGTCATGCCGTTCCTTGAGACGAGCACGCCTCCTTCGGTCACGCTGATCCTTAACCTGGGGTGCTGCAGCCCGCAGCTTCTCAAGCAGCGTCTCCATCGCGCCGTTTGCCGGAGGACTGCCCGGGGTCTCGGCACCGCTTGCTCCGCCGCTTGCATTTGCATTGACAGCGGCCCGCTTTCTTGCTAAGCTGGCCTCAACACGCCGCTTGTTCTCTTCCATCACCACGTTCTTCTCTCGCGACTTCTTCCACTCGGTGACGAACCCACCTAGTTTGCCGAAGAACTCTCGCCGAGCATTCTCGTCTTGGTTGTCTTCACCGAAGAAGGTCATGATATCATCGTACGTCCTTGAAGCCTCTTCCAAGTATAGTTGAAGCTGTTCCGCCTTCCGCCTGGCCTCTTTCATAGACCTTTGCACAACCTGCGCAACTCGATCTTGAGGATGGAACTTTTTAGGGTCACTCAGATTGCCCGCGTCCAAAGAAGACTGGACGTTCTTGATGTTCTCAATGTACTTCCTCGCGTCTTGCCGAAGCTGGTCGACGTTTAGCTTCGAGGCGGCCACGACACCGGTAATCTCGTCGACGAAAGGTTCCCACTCTGAATACTGATTCCGAACAATACGTTCAATGAGATCAGCAAATGTGGTTTCGTTCTTGTCATCCTTGACCATGCCCAATCGAGCGAGAGAGCTGAGCTTGAAGCCAGAAGCTTGCTTGTTGGAATCGTTCATGTAATTTCCAATGTCAAGAATGAGACTCAGGACATTCATGAGAGACGTCGAGTCACGAATAGCTTCAGAGACATTGACCACTTCCTTCAGCTTGGCGGAGATGTCGTCGTACTCTTGTTCGTAGGTTCGTGTCAAAGCAAGAGCCCGCATCCTCGCTTTCCAGTAGTGGTGCAGCTCATATGCCGTCTGCAGGTAGATCTGATCCTCCCTTGTCAACTCGGACGGATCCTGCTCACGCTTCGATGCCAGAGCGTCGGGTCCTGTCCAATCCTTGCTATACGGCGCCATCAGCTTGGCAATGTTCTCGGGAATGGTGCAGAGATCTTCTCGCTGCAGGAAATCCATGACCACGTTGTTATCGAGCACCTCCCTGTCGCATTGAATGATCTTTCGCACGACATCGTCAGCCGAGTCATTCTTGAACTTGGCCATCGAGACGTGGAAATTCCGCATCATATCCGAGCTGATGATCTGCTTCTTGTCGCTTCTGCCTTTGCTACCAGCCCCGCCGATAATCTTGATGTCCTTGGCAACGAAGAGCTTCTCGACCTCGTCAAGGACACCCTTGCGTTGAAGTTCGCGGTACTTCTCTTCTTTCGATTCGTTGCTCGCGTTCTCGGCCCAGACGGTGACCTGGGGCGTGTCGACTTTGTCCCAGTGGAATGCCTTGAGCTTCTTCTTTGAACGCATAACAGGGTTCTTGAGCATAGGCACGGCAGCAATAGGTGACTGAGGTAAGAAGTGTCCGTGTTGAGCACCCGGCATGGGAGGGGCTCCCGGAGGAGGCGGTGGTATGGGAGACAAGGGGCTCATAGGCAATGAGCCAGGCGGTGGCGGCGGAGGCGGGGGTGGACCTCCAGTGAACCCGGGTATGGAAGGAGAGAGGGCCGTGCCGGGGGTTGGAGGTGGAGGTGGTGGTGGCGGAGGTGCTCCAGCTTCGAATCCGGGAATCAAAGCAGGGCTTGTAGGACCTAAACCAGAAGGCGGCGGTGGAGGTGGTGGAGGCGGCGGAGGAGGGCCGGTGAATCTGGCTTCCTCTGCTCGTCCCTCGTCGAGAGGGGTTCTCGGGGACTCGGACTCCAGGCTCGGATGTGTAGGACCAGTGGTAACACCAGCGTCGTCAGCATCGGCATCGGCGGGTGCTTCGTCACTGTCGTCGTCGATCTTCTTGAACTTTGAGGCCAGTTCGCCAAGCAGGTTATTCTGCCGGTTCTGCTGTTCTGCCGTGATCTTCGGTCTCTTGAACTCAACCAGCCTTGGCTTCTCATAGACGACATCGTCGTCGAAGTCCGACTCTTGCTCGGCATCCTCGCTGATCGCGAATGCCTCCAGTGCTGCTCTCCTGGGTCCCTTGTGAGCATTACTTCGATGGACGCTTCCCATAACACTTGTCGTGAGGTGTCGCTTTGTCTTCTCCTGGAAATCGGCGTCAATCGCATCGTCCATCTGTTCACGAAGCTCCCTAAGCCGGTCGGAAGGTCCCGCCTGGTTCCAGACCTTTCCTTCAAGCTTGAACTGTGTCTTGGTCCGCTCCAGGTTGCGCTCCAGACGATCCATCAACTGCTGCCTATCCAAAATGCCTTGCAGCTGAGCTGGATCTTGGACCCCTGCTCCCTCCTTACCAGCTCGAGATGCTGCAACATCTTGAGCATCGCGAAGCATCAGGTAGAGCTCTCGTGTCTCCAACTCATTCCTCTGCAGTTCTTGTGCTCGGATTCGTTGAAGGTCTGCTACTTCGGACTTGAGAGATTCGGCCTGCCTTTGTTGCATTTCGATTATGCCGGCTTGCTCCTCAATCTGCTTCTGCAGCTTGGCAACCAGCCCGTCAGCGCCCATGGCAATCTGGGCGGCCATTTCATCTCGTTCAGCGAGCGCCGCTTCGGCAATCTGCCTAGATTCCGTGGCTTCGTCGAAAGCAATTCTGGCCTCGTCATCGGTATGCAACTTGTCCATCAGGCTCTGCACCGTAAAATTCAAGCTCTGCTTCAAGTCCAGGTCGGGCAACCGCCTGTCCATTGCAACATAGCTGAGCATTGACTCCACAAGCTGAAACATCCTCAAGCGGTCTTCTGCGTTGTTCTCCCTAAGTATCATCATATGCTGCATCGCCGAGATGAAATAGTCTTGCGACCTCGAACCCTGGATCCTCTGCATGATCGCGTCCGTGATTTGCATTGGATCCGTCATGTCCTTTACGTCGCCCTCGATGCTCTCGACCATACTGCTACCATCCCGTTGTAGTATATCCTCGTAGTCGATCGCTTCGTTTTCTCGGAACTTGGCAATCTGTTTGTCGATCACCTCGTACTGAAACGACTCCATCTTGGTCAAGATCCGCCGGATACCACATGCGATGAATTGAGCTCGAATATGGCATCGTAGTTGCACGTCCCGTTCCGGGGCATCGATCAACATGTTGATGAGGACGAGGGTTGCCACAGCGTATTCCATTAGAAGATTCTCCATGCCGATACCACCACTTCGGACCTCCTCGCTGGCGCCCACCATACTGCCCATCTTGCCGCGACCATCGATGGTGACTTCAACGATTCGCATCCAAGCATCGAAACGACCATTTTCGCTCATTTGATTCTTGACTTTGTCCATAGACTGGAGCACTTTGAGGTGGCCTTGGCCTTCATCCCAATGGCAGAGGAATGTAAGGATCTCGCTGATCAGCTTTCTGGTCGTCAATCTCGGCGAAATGAGACACGCCGCCAGAGAGATAATGACCTGGTCGTGTTTCAAGGCATCGTCGGCGCCGTACTTGTTGTTCATCAGCGCCTTGAGGCATTTAACGATGTCGTACTCCCGTTCCAGGTCTTTATCGCTGGAGTTGGCATTATTCACTGGAGCTGGGCCATTGGCCTGAGGTCGGTTGATCTTCGTCAGCACGCTGGTCAAGGCGATTTGACCTTGTGCTTCAATAAATGCCTTGACCCAGATGATCGGCTGCGTCCGGAGACTGACGCTCAGACTCTGCAGCTGCTTCGACGTGATAGTATTGTCCAGGATACGCTTGACAAACCATTCTGGCGTCCCCTCAACGTCCTTTGCGATGGGACCGTCGACCGTGCCGGTCTGTCGAGCCTGCTGTCGTCGCTTCTGCTCGCCTTGCCATTCCGTCAGCTTATCCTGGTGCACGAGAGTCCATTTCTTTGCCGGCGCGTATGCCATCATTTGTCGCCTCGCCTGCTCGGGTAGATTCTGCCATCCACGCTTGTGCATTAGCTGCAGGAACAATTGTTCGATTTCAGCATCGCTCTGGGGCTTGGGGAGATAGAACCCTGCGGGTGTGAAAGACGTAGTCGAACTAAACGGTGAAGCTTGTTGAGTAGGCCAACCTGAGTGCGAGCTTATCTTCGAAAGCCTGGAATGAGTTGGGGAAATGACTGTTACCGACGAGTCAGTATCTTGGCGTGAAGGCATGGCTGTTCGCGTTGAGCTCTCGGAGGTGAAGAGACTCGAACCCCGCGTGGCCGAGGACGCCGTCGACTTTATGCTGGCGCCATCAAACGACCGTCTCTGTCCTGACATCGAGTACGAGTCATTGGTGGACACCGAATCATACGTCCCGTGCTGGGGCCCGTGACTGCTTCCCGGACGGCCCCATTGTTGATATTTTGTGCCCCTGTCACCTGCCTGGCTCGACGCCATTGTGATGCCACCTGTGGTGTTGCTTGCCGCTTGAGGAGGCGGGCGAGGCCCGGTAGGGTGGGACGAGCCATTTGACATGCCATTGATGGCCGGGTATTGGTGAAAGTCGGATCCCCTGGCGAGTTGAAAAGGTTGTGGTTCTTTCCGCGTGGGCACCTGGTCGTCGCGCGGAAGGTGATCAATCGCAACGGGCGCGTTGCCGGCCGAAGTAGTAGCAGAGTAAGGAATCGAAGTAATGACGCCGGCGGTCATGTTGAGCCCCGACGTATCGGCGTCCTGGCCGTCGTTGGAGGCTACCGACTCTCTTTTCGAATGACGCGATCCCCATGAGCCATTGGTGTTGGAGGAATCCAAACTTCCACCTCCATCATATCGACTGTCACCCTTGGTGTCTCGGTTGCGTCTGAAGAAGCCTCCTTTGCTTGCGGACGACTGTCTGGTCGTCTTTTCGTTCGGATTTACCTGGGGCATAATCGGTGAGGCGCGGGTGAGGGCACAGAACGCATGTGTATGATTGTGTGGTTGCTATTGCCCCCGGAAGGGGAAGTCCACCTGTTTGAGACTTGCGCTCCTCCCCTCTTTACAGATCTCCCTGATTCTGTGACGTTCTCGGCTTCGGCTGCGGGACGGTGGTTATCCTTGCATTGTCACTGCGCTTTCTGACGCCAATGCAGCTGTCGTTGACAGCTCGACCGGTCTCGGGTACGGGATACACGTGTCCTCGAGAGTCGCTCGCTCGCGGGTTGGGACAAAGAAGCGAGCTGGTGGCTCAGCTGGGCACAGCGGTAAACAACGGATTGGGATTCCGAAAACAAAAGCAGGCTGGATGGCCGCGCACGTCAGCGAAAAGCAGAGGCCACGAGTCAAGAAAGGGACAGGACAATACTTTGCATTCGACAACCGATCGACCAAGGGACAAGAGGCCGTTGACTTTGGCGGCAGTTTGTTGGAAAGGTCGTAACGGCGGAGGTGCGGCGACGGTCTAGTGATGGAAGCCGCTCAGCAAATGGGCGAGAGCGTCCTTGCAGTTGCCTTTGCGTGGATGGACGCTTCCCGCCAGGGGTTCAATCAGATGGGATTTTAGGCATGCGCCAGGCCGTCGGCCATTTACGCAGACTCCATTACTTAGGCGGCGTGCTCTCCCTGCACCAATGGCTGCAGGTAAATGATCCCCCTACTCGGGCTCTCTAGAGATGTGATCAGCGCCGACTAAAAGCGTGGCCCTTGCCTCTGCCATCCAAAGCTAAACCCAATCTCAATTCGCTCCATGCAGGCGATCCAGCGGTCGCGTGTGCGGACGAAGCTCCAGCTAAACTCGGAATGTGTTTTTTTATGAAGAGGTCCCTCCACACAGCTAGTTCGGTTCTGATGTGCTCCCCTGGCACTTTTTGCAGGCTCACGCTTCTGACTGCTCAGTAGCAGCTCAGGCATGACCACGTATCTTGACCATAGTACCCCATGCTGTAGTACTGCGGGTGCTTAATGGGTGTAGCTGTTCCTTCCACCATTGAAGGACCCCCTCCCACCACGGGTCTGGCCACTCCCCCCACGACCCAGACCTGCCTGTTTTAGCCACGCCTAATCTTACACAGCGACACTGAAATTGGATCACTTCAACTCCTCACACCATACGAGTATATATTATCAAGGTCCTCCGCCCATCACCTGCGCGCCGCCCATCATGGCGGCGTAACCATGGCTCTCGTGTCCCTACCCAGTCGCTCGCTGCCCGGCACCCTCGCAGCAGAAGGCGGAGAGACGCCGCCTGCTCCAGTCAGCACGACCGCGACTGCCAGCACCAAGGGCGCCGACATGGCCGGAGGAATCGGAACATTCTCAAGGGTAAAGACAGACGTGGGGGACCACAGAAAGTGAACCGGACTGACACACAATCAAGACAATCCTCCTCCCGCTCCTCCTCGCATTGGCGCTGTACCTCGTCCTCTTCCACGCCCTGATTCCGCTCTACCGCCGGCATCGCGCCCGCTACGCCCAATACCTGCCCCTACAGACCGCTTCATCGCTATCCTCGCACCTACCGAGCTCATTACAACCCTCCTCTCTACGCGACAAGCTCTCGACACTCTTCCTCCGCCTCTTCTTGCCCTCGACATGGGCCTTTCGCGATCGTTTCTTCCCCGGTCGAGGACGCGCGAATAGTATCGTGAGCGCCGACGACGGGGCTCTCTTTGACGAGGAGTCCGGCGAAGCGATGGTGGGCTTCGACGTGCAGGAGCGCAATCAAAGGCGGAACGGATTGGAGAGGCAGGTCTCCAATATGCATGCCGCAACGAGGACTGTCAGTGGGCAAAGGAACGAGCCTGTTGCAGTGGACTCAAACCGTCGGCTCAGCCGAGATTTGGAGGAAGGATTCCGCGACGACAGTGATGACGAGAGCGAAGAAGGCCAAGTCGTCGTAGGAAGACGAAGTACTAGTACGAGGACATGAGCCGGTCTCGTCGTAGGGTACGGTGAACGGCACGAAGGCCTCAAGACACGAATATTACTGCTTTCTTCCTCAAATCATACGATACATCCTTGGAAGTCTTCCTCGCCCTCAGAATATGAGCCAGCCCAGGTAAGCGCGTAGTAAATTTCGCACCGGCTCTCAGCTGTAGAGGGCGCTGGTACTGTCCCGCGACCTCTTTCAGCCATATACGCCCCCAACAGAGAGCGGTTGCGCTGTGCACCACGGTCATCTAGGATGCATCTGATTGTCCAGTACGAGACAACTTTACAGGATTACGGATGCTTGAACATCTGTCAAAGCATTGTATTGAGCCCTCATTCGATGGGGCAGATAAATAGGAAATGCGGCTATATGTACAGTACAGTTGGTCCAGCAGACCGCTAAATGCTTTGTCGCTCCAGGCAAGCGAAAATGCAAGAATCCAAGAGTTTTGAGCACCAAAGCCATCACCAACTTAGGCTTCCAGCCCATAAATCCAACAAATGCAGTGAGCTCTGGTTCGCCATGCGAACAAGTCACCGGTTCCCCCAACCAATGTCCCCCGAAAAACCTGGGGTATCAAGAAAAGCAACGAGAAATTCAGCTCATTTTGTGGCGAATGGATCATCAGCTGTCGTCAAATGTATGTCTTAGATCTACAAGTTTTGCAGCATCGAGGGTTGAACAAGGTGACTCGGTGCCATCATGGGCTGAGACGTCATAGGGTGTTGCATGACAAGTGTCGACGGAGGTGGCATGCTCATAGCCAGCATGCCCTGGACGCTCGAGGGCCGTGTAACTTCGTCGGGGGAGGACAGTTCGTCCATGGAGCCGAAGTCGTTCTCTTCGTTCTCCAATTCTTCTTCACTGTTTACGGGCGCCGGCTGACCATCAGGTTGTGTTTCATGGGTACGGCGGTGCCTGATAACGATTAGTCTAATTAACATTATGGTGCTTCGGGAAGACTCACTGAGCGAGGTTGTCAGATCGTGAAAACGCCTTATTGCAATAGGGGCAGACGTATGGTCGTTCCTGAGTATGTGTCCGGACGTGTCTAGAATCCAACCGTGTCAGTAAGCGCCAAGGAAGATTAAAGACCACCAGACTTACCGCTTGAGATGCTCTAGGCGCTTGAAGAGGCGCCCACAGCTCGGGATAGGACAGGAGTGTGACTTGTAGGGAACACCGAGCTCCATCATTGTTGCACTTCGTGCTCGACGGATCGGCCCTGGCCTTTCCAACCGAACCGCGGGGCTAGCGTGCAACGACGCTGGGTGCATGTCGTCTCCAAAGCTAGGCATGGGTTCCGTACCAGCCGACAGTTGGGATTGGGATGGATCCTCTTCCAGACTTGGCAAAGGCGTGCTTCGCCGGGAGAAATCATGGAGATGGTCGCGGTTTACCAATGAAGAGGCGTAACTGTGCGCCAGGTCGGGAGGAGACTGATCGCCAGTCTCGTCGCCTTCCGCAATCGGCAGAACAGAGCTAGACATCGACCGACGCAGATCACTCGGCCTCTGAGGGACGTGCGTCTTGATTCCGTGCGTCACCTGAGCGACTGCGTTGGCTGCAACGGCATTCATGATGGACGAAGGAATCGAGGAGCGCCTCCGTCTTGCCTTGTAAGTTGGCGATCCTTCAATCACCGAGTAGACGTTTGAGGGTGGGAACGGTCGAGGTGCGGCGACGTGGAGCGGTCCCCCAAGCGTTGACGGTGGCATATGTTGCATTGGATTGTACGCCGGCATATGTTGCATTTCCGGGATGGCTGAGTAGAGACCCGTATCCTCATTCGCAATATATGCAGGCTCTGCGCCATGGATGGCGTGTTGAGGAGGAGTGATGGGCTCGTAGGAGAGCCCACGGGTGCTGTAGTCCTCAAAATGCGACGACACGAAGGATGGAGCAGGAGAATACTCCATGTAAGCAGGCATCGAAGCGTGGCGAATGTGAGCACGGTCATAGGCCATGTGCGAGAAATCCTGCTCTCGCGACATGCCCACGGTCGCAATCGGAGCTGGCAAGCTCGGGTTCATGCCCATTGTCGTGAACATGGGTTGCATTGGCTGCTCCTGTGACCGTGGCATCGGCGTTGGCACCATTGACGGAGGAGGCATGGAATCCGCTGCTCGAAGGACCGGCGACGTTGACTGGGAGTAGTTTACGTTGGCATTCGCAGTCGCGAACGAAGACGAACTCGCTTGCTGGGCCTTTGTCAGCTGTTCGAACAGCGATTGCGATGAGTCGAACTCGAACGAGAGAGCTGGCTCTGCGACAGCCTTTGTGGTGGCCTCCTGGCCCATCTTCTCGCGCTTCAAATCCCTTTCCAGAGCATCGAGAAACAACCGGTCATGAGGCACACTGTACCAATAGAACACCTTCTGCTTCTTCTGTGTTCGAATGCAGTTGTTCTTGTATAGAAAGTCAAGGAAGGGGCTCTTGGGCTCTTCCAAAGATGCGTCGGTACCAGATTTCAGGTTCCGCAGATCGGAGAAGATGCCCTCTTCGAATTTCTTCGGGTTCTTGACGGGTCGGCCAAATGCTTGGAAGCGAAAGGACAGACACCTCACGATATCAGTGCCGGATACGTGGAAGAGGTTGTTCCACAGCACACAGGAGACATATTCGCCCGTGGGTAGGAGGAATCTTCGGATGAGTGAGTCAGGGCTCCAGTCCACGGGTGCGGATATTAGGAAGTATTTTAGGTTGTCGACTTGTTGCAGGGCGACTTGCGCATCCTGTGGCAAGCTTTGTTGTGCCTCGTTCGAGAGCATAAAGGTCTCTGGCTTTTGAGGTTGAGCCATTGGCGCGCCACTCGACGGAAACATGGCGGTGGTGTGGGCAGTGTCGACACAGTCGACAATGTGAAGGAGCAAGAGGAGGGCCTTGGCTGTCTTCACCGAGGAGTAGCGAGAGTTATGCTCGGTGCTCGCGAGACGGTCAAGTGCTACTGTGGCAGTTCTCGCTGAAGTATGTGGTTCATACGAGGAAGCAGTTGCGCAGGGGAGGATTCGAGGTGGGCGTACTCGTGCCAAAATAACAGAGCAGCTGGGCGGGAGGCGTTGACGTGTATAGCGAATGTATCGATGATGTAAATGGAGTCAGTGCGAGGCCAGCTTCGCAAAACATCCAGACGTGCGGTAGAGCTCCTGTCTCGAATACCTGAGAAGCGAGCACAGGTGAAACGAAAGTGGGTAAGGAGAGAAGCTAGTCTCTCGAAAAGTCCTCAGTACAAAGCTGGGGACGGAAGTGAAGGTCTGCAAGGAAGAAGAACTCGCAGGATGCTGTAGCAACGACAAGGTGAAACAGATCGAGGAGTGATAAGAAGGTAGAGGTGTCGAGGTGTAAGAGGTAGCAAAAGGAAAAGAGGAAGAAGGTTGTGTAGACACAAAGAAGGTCGGGGGTTGAGACCAGCAAAGCGAGAGACAGGCACGCCAAATGGGAGAGAAGTGAGGGCGCGGGCAATTGTGGGCGTGGGCGCTCTGATACTAAGAGGCCCGGCTAGTCCGCTTTGCCCGCTAGCACTTGCTAGGGTACGAGTGTTCAGTGGGCAGTCAGCCTCTAGGGGCGCCCGGGACGAAGATCTCTGGGCATGGGTTACTGGAGAGGCGCTATCCACACAAATGCCACGAAGAAAGGGATAACGTCGTCTATGGTCGTATCCTCCCTTGCCACGGCCAATTGATGCTATTATCCGCGAGTCCAGCCAGCGTCGCTCAAGAAGGATGACTCGACGTTTCCTTAAACGCGTTTCCACAGGGAGGGCGAAAAGCATTGGAGCTGGCTTGCCGCCACGGGCGGAACTGTAAATGCTGATGGCAGGCGTCCTCGAGTCCTCCTCGCACGGTGCCTGGCTGTCTTGTGCCTAAGCTGCACTGTCCGGGTTCACACTTGGGGTTAGCCGCCACTTTTAGCCTCCGTCTGTCCCACTCTAAACAAAATCGCGCTAGAACAGGTACACCAGATCCACTTGTTGATTCTGTTGACCTTCCCTCCTGGTGACTCGTGCACACGCCGGTGATGTTGACCTGTATGGTCGCATGTGGTCCGCACGCTGCGATGTGCTTCCCTCCGCTATCGCATGACTCCCTCCGCCCCCAGATCTCATGTCGTCTATCATCGGGAATTGGAAGAGCCGGGATTCTCAGTGCTCTTGCAGCGCGAACTCTTCGAGTACTGAGACAAATACTGCTTCTGCTGGATTCTATTTTGTGTAGCGAGCATCCCCATTTCGCTTGTCCCTGCGGAAGGATATCCGGCAAAGTACTTACGATAGTGGGAGGTACGAGCGTTGATTATCACAGCCATGTGCTCCACAGCCACCACCTTGACCATGAGTTCCTGTGCCTTTACCCGAGTCAAGCGCAAGCCCTTACACGATTACAGAAATTTTCCATCTTCAACCCTGTAGTGGACATGCAAGGCCAAACCCTCCAGGAACAGCTCTTCAGCACGGCGACGTTGCTATTTTGACCGTAGTAGAGGGGTCAGAGGGGTTCTGCATGCAAGGAAAAGAGCCATCCCATGGTCAGCGTGCCGCTGGAAGCAAGCAATCGCGAATGCGGCCTGCAGACAAACTCGTGGATTGATGAAACGAGTGGCTGACAACGGCGGACCAGCTGGACGAATAGTCTCGCGTTGGCGGCTGTCTGGGTTGCTGCCGGTCCACTCCGGCGCCAAAGCCACTCGACCAACAGTTTGATGATTCAGAAACACATTTCAAACAGACGCCCACACCGTGGGTGTGTTTCGGGCTAAGAAAAGCTGCACCTGCATGCGGAGGAGGTGTCCGAAATCTATTGCCCGCAGCACTCGAGGGTGTTCGATGCTTGACCCGATGGTTCTTGTCATGTTGACGCCGGGATGAAAGTCTCCTCGCTCTCAGTACGGAGTACCCACAAGTGTAAACGCAGAACAAGACCCGATGCCCGTCTACAAGTCTTCATTTCTTTCTTGGATGCCCCTTTCTTTGGGCTTGTGACTGACCAATAACGAAAATATCTCCGAACCCATCCGATCCACCAATGCATAAGCGTAATTGTTCGCACACATGAACTGAATCAGGGCTCATGCAGGTCCAGCTCATATCGCTGAAGATGCAACCGATGATACTAGGGAGACACGAAGTGCAGGCACGTAAGATCACTGAAGGAGGTTTCGTACGGAGTAAAGTCTCGCTCAGCCTCCGCGAGGTCGGTGAAGTGCCATGCTGATGTTCGCCAAAAAAGGGTGAATCTGGTAAAAGCAGCTCGTCCTGGCTCTGTGATTGGTGTGTTCGTGCCGAATGCAAGTTGACAGCTTGACAGCCTAAAGCAAATCGCAGTGCAGTACACGTGACGGAGAAAGTGACGCGCCATAAGCCAGTCAATATACACCAATTACTTCCGTGGTCAGGTCACAAGTCCTCCCCACAACCCTTCCAGCTGTCCTTCATCCAGCGCTGGTTGGCTTCAACGTGCGGAGTAGCTGCTGGCTCCCCTATTCCAGCCGGAAGAGGCTCGTGCGGACGAGAGACCTGAGATTGGCGCGCTCAAGCTCTCCGAACCAACAGTTTCAGAAGGCGAGGGTCGAGATGCTGGCCCCAGCGAGTCGAGTACGAGTAAACAAGCTTCGTTCGCAGACGAGAATCGTGGTGACATCTCCAGAATCTGGACGCACGCGCCATCACCCTAGGGTTGGGCTTGCATATGGCGCTACGTTTCATGTTGTCTGCTATTCGGCCGCCACATTGGCCACTGCACTGTGACCCGCGATGCGAGCAAGCTTGAAGTCACTTTGTTCCTGGAGAGGAATTTCTCCGTGAGTCGAGTGATTGGGTCGTCCATCACCCGAGGTTCAGCAATGCACATCAACGCAAGGTATTCCGTATTCTAGCTTGGCTTCGCCATTCCCTTTCTGCAATCCTGTGAGCTTCCGCCGTTGGAGGCGCGATCGGCTTTGCAAATGACTGGGAAAATATCCCGCGCATGCATTCGTCAGTTCTTCGACAACGTGCAGGTATTGTTGTGCTTCGCCCTACCATCGATCTGGCATGGCTCTCCGCACCCTGAAACATGAAAGTCTAGCCGGTCTGTTCTTACTGCCAACGGCCAAGTGGCGTAATCGTGCCGAACAAGGCCAACCCTGGCAAATCTCCGACGAGTAGTCCACCTCCCTGTAGGGAAGGTCCAAGGACATGTCGAGTCGCAAAGTGCCCGAAGCATCCAAGCAGTCAACGGAAAATAATTGATCACAGCTTACTATTTCCGAATGCAGTGGAGGTCGGGCACCACGGATGAGGCGGACATCAGAGCACTGTGAAACAGTTAATATTGAGGAAGCCTCGCTTGCTCGACTGGGCAAGTCTGTCATGATAACCGACTCCAGCTTCTGCGCCTACCGAGCCAAGGCTGAAGCAGTGGTGTGACCGTGAAATGTGTGTTGGACTGGAACAGAGCAGAGCAGAGGGTCGAAGAGAGCGCCTTGTTTCAGACCTTGCTGTCGTCACCGAGAAGCTGCCCTACATGAGCAGACGTAGCAAGACAAATGGCCTCCCACGCTCCAATGATCATAGAGCGCTCCGAGAAAAGACCCTCCCGGATAAGCCAAGTGGTGACGTTAGCACTGTGAATACAGAGGATCCTGGTAGAACTTGAGACACACTTCGCATGTTAGACACAGTCCACAACAAGAAATGATGGGTGCAGAGAAGGAATGACTGAGCGGCCTGCGAGGTGCTGTGATCATGGGCACGCCTAGCTCGCACCACATTACCGCAGAGATCATAGATCGGTCGTTGACTATGGTCGGCGTGGTTTGCCGCGAGGCCCAGAGCGACCTGGACCTTGAATGTCGAGCACATCTCTCTTGCTAAGCCGCAAGGTGCCTCCTCGAAACTTGCCCACAGCGGGGACATCGACGGCCCGCTCCCTTCGAAGTTCTCCTGTTCTGGACTTTGCCACCGACTTCTCCAGGATGATGCCATTTTCTGAAGCCTCTCTTCGCCGGCTTTTCTCCCGGGCTGCCGCCTTCGCAAGGATCCCCCTTCTGTGCGCCATTGGCATCTTTTCCTGGTGAAACACGGACCCCTTCGATCCCAGAGACTGTATTCGCATGTCAAGCGCTTTGTGCCGATGGCTACCCAGTGTGGACGAAGCCTTTGCCTGTTCGAGCAAATGGGATTCCTTGAGCAATCGCTGGAGATCCAGATCGTGTTTCAGGTTGAGAGCCTCCAAAGCGTCTTCTTCGTCGATCTCCTGAGCAGACTTTGTCCTTGCCACAACCTCCACCTCTTTTGGAGGTCTTGAGCTCTGTCCAGAGTGTCAGCGTCGGGGAAACCCAAGTGCTGGCTCCTTCGGCCTAGGTACTCTGCGCCCAGCACTCACCATGAATGCTTTGTACTGCTGCCTCTGTAATTCGGGATCCGCCGCCGCATCAATCTTTGCTCGGTGCTCAACAATCTCGATCGTAGCATTGTCCGGCTCCAGCCCCGGTTCCGACTCCGAGAGACCTCCCCATTCCGATTCCTCATCTGAAGGCTCGCCCACTACGTCGACATCGTCTAGAGAAAGGGAAGGACTCGTCGCGGTCTGAGATTCGGGTAATGGCTCGAATATGGACTCGAAATGTCTGCGAAAAATCTCATGATCGGAGGCTGAAAGGGGTTCCACAGCTAGCTTCTCATCGTCAATGCGGGCCATGCGTCGAGGTGCGATCGCAGTCTGGCGTTTGCGTTTTCCCAGCATTGTTGAGGCCATATTCTTGTGATTTCCGTATTGCCTTTGAAGAGCCACGCCGCCACCTCAACCCTGCTAGCGCCTCGCGTGACCGTAGTTGAAATATTCGCTGTGTGTTTGCCGCAAGGAACAAGTAAAATTGAGAAATGCGACGATTTCCTGCGCAGGTACAGCCCTTGCTTAGTCATCACACTCGCCCGCTTCAGCCTCGCATGTACTTTCTCGCCGGCGTTTTCAGCCTCTTCAAACATCATCAACCGCTCTAATTACTCCTCCATGTTTCATACAGATTTCCTGCTCCCTCGCTGGCTTTCTAGCTTCACGGTACGAAAGCCATACAGAATCGACAATGACTCGGTTCCGACCGTGTATCGACCTGCACGCCGGCCAGGTCAAGCAGATCGTCGGCGGCACACTTAGCACCCAAGAGTCCGAGCTCAAGACAAACCATGTCTCGAAACACCCGGCGGAATACTTCTCTAGACTCTATCGTGATGCAAACTCGCTGGGTGCGCACGTGATTATGCTTGGACCAGGAAACGAGGATGCTGCGCGAGGAGCCCTAGCAGCCTGGCCTGGACATCTTCAAGTCGGTGGTGGTATCACGGATGCCAATGCGAAGAAATGGATCGAGGCCGGTGCGGAAAAGGTAAGCCCTCTGTCCCAAATCTATCAGGGCACCTGAATGTATTGCGTGAAATCAGATTTGAATGCATGTGTCTAAAGTTACTGCACGGTAGGTCATTATCACTTCTTTTCTGTTTCCCGAGGGTCGCTTCTCTTTAGACCGACTAAGATCCGTGCTCTCTGCGTTGGACAACGACAAGGACAAACTCGTCATTGACCTGAGCTGTCGGAGGAAGGGCAATACGTGGTATGTCGCAATGAACAAGTGGCAGACTATGACCGAGATGGAAATCACAAAAGGTAGATTGCACGGCGGTGCTCGCGTTCCTTGTGCTAACGCCACGAACAGAGAGTATCGAAATGTTCGAACCCTATTGCTCGGAATTTTTGATACATGCTGCCGACAATGAAGGCCTCCAGCAAGGCATCGACACCGACCTCGTCGCCAAGCTGTCCGAGTGGTGCACAATACCGGTCACATATGCTGGCGGTGCTCGTACAGTAGAAGACCTCGACCGCGTCAAGCAGTCCAGCAATGGAAAAGTCGACCTGACCATTGGTAGCGCTCTGGATGTCTTTGGCGGATCTGGCGCGAAATTCGAAGACTGTGTTGCTTGGAATGCGGCCAATGCGCAATGAAGTTGTCCGAGCTCAGCATCCATGCGAATCTCCATCCAGTCAAGGATTCAGCATGTGCGTCATCTCGACGCCGGCACCAATTCCGTTGCCAAATGCAGTACGACAACCTTGATCATCAACAACTTGTTCCCCACCGACTTCATCATCCATGCCATTCTCCTCAGGAGCCACAGCCACACCTTCACTGTCTTCGTCCCACTCCGAGTCCATGTCCTCAGCTACCGCATCATTCCTGCGGTACCCTAGCTTCAGATTCCATTTTGTCCCGTCGACCTGTCTCTCAATCTCATATCCGACTTCAAGCTCCTCGACGAACGCTCCTCTCTGCTCCGACAGCTGTGCGACCCACTGCTCGCACGAGTCTGAGATCACGTTCCTCCATTCGTCCCTTCGCTTCCGGCATTGATGCATGACTCTGGCCATGATCCTCATCTCACGCAACAGCGTATCCCAGCCGGTCTGAGACGCGAGCGAGTCATCTTCCTTGTCGACCACGTCAACGCTATCCGTTGTTGAAGGAAAAGGCGATCCAAGCTCATACTGCTGATATTCCTGTCCTGGCCCTCGCAGTGTCGGTCTCCTCGGAATGTCGGTCCTCGCTCTCCACAGCTGGATACTCCCGCACAAGGCTTGCAAGTCGAGCTGTCACCATATTAGTACTGCGGCTCTACCAAAAATGGGGAAACCCGAACTCACATTCACCGCCCTGGCGCCCACTTCTGCTAACCACGAGTCGAACCAAAAGCCTATTGTCTGGGGGAAGGTGGAATGTGCCGTCGGTTGTTTCCAGTATGCAAGGCGCTGCTGTCGCTCCTCTTCTTCCTCCGAATCTTCATCCCAGTCGATTGACTCCTCTGATTCATATTCCTCTTCGCCCTCCACTTCCATCAGATCCAGGTTTCCCGGTTCTCCGTTGAGAGTGGCACTTGATTGGGCGGTGTTATGATGACGCGTTTGCAGTCCATGGCTGTAGCAGAAGCGTGTTCCATAACACGACGGCGCGAGCTGATCACCGGTCGATGATTCCCATGTGGGCGTCGTGTGGTTACACACCGGTTCCGTGCTGCTTGGGGGCGAAGAAGAGTCGACCTCGAGGATGGTCTCGTTGGATGAGAAAGAGTACACTCGTTGGCGTTGCGATTGCATGATGTCTCTCACTGAGTTTCTGGAGGACGCGACAACTTGGGTCGAAAGTGCACAGCATGCAGTACGCCGCGAGAGTTGTCACGCGGTGGCCTGTGGTCATGTCTTTGTGAAGGATGGAAGGCTGTGTGCGAATGTTCTAGTACCTGCGGTTGAATGAAGCCATCAAAGCAGCATCACACTTCAATGTGCATGCTGTGAAGGTCTCGCTCACGACCACGCCTTGAAAATCAGTTGTCTACAAATAAAGTAACTGATTTGTCGCTGCAATGTCGCAGATCCTCTAGGTTTCCTACCCTGAATGGGCAATTTGAACCATATGCCGTAGTGATGATTTGGTAGTTGTCTCTTGTACAGTCTCACAATCTCAGGCGTGGGAAGACAAGAACCGTTCACATCACCCCATGCACCACCTATACTGAGTGGCAGTAACAAACACAAGTCATCGAAAAAGGCCTAGTTCAGAACACCACCGCACTTCAGACGCGTAGAAATATCGATTCACCGGGAAAGGAGCAAGAGTCTCTGTTTAGGATATCATTTCATTGCAGCTACCTTTGTGAGGCTGATGCTCTCTTTGAGAGTCTCTTGTAAGAAATACATTGTCATCGTCTGAAGCTCATAAAACCTGCAGGTCTATTGCGAGGTGTTTGTGCCGCCAACCGACCATGTTAGGCGTAAGAGTATCAATCTGAGGAATTGTTGCTAGGCATGGCAGGTCGATACCTCAATGGGTAGCCTTCTGCTTGTTCGATTCAGCTGAAGCCTGTTCTATCCGTCAGTTGCAAGCCATGTCGTAAAAGTGACAAAACATACAGAGTTGGAGGTCTCGTCGATCTTGTTGCTGGCAGCGTCTTTGGCGGCAGACGCACGGGTACCGAGAGATGCGTCTGAGTCCTTCGCGACTTCTTTATTACTTTCTTTCTGCGCTCCACTGGTGAGCTCGCTGGTCTTGTCACCGACGTAGCTGTCGAAGAGTTAGCAAGGAGGAGAGGATGGACAAGGTCGGAGGACAGCAGCGTACTTGGCAGCGTTCTTGACGGACTCCATTGTGGATGAGGTTGTGTTTTGATTTCGTGTAACTTGGTGATCGAAGGTTGCTTTCTCCGGGGTTTGTGTTCGAGTGATGAGCGAAATAAAGGAAGATGTTCTGTGAGAAGACACCAAACGATATATGTAGTCGAGAAGACGTTCGCAGGTTCTCAGGAAAGTGGGTCCATTCGGTCACTCTTGCCGTGCGTCACTGGCAAGTTGCAGTTCGTTCTTCCCCAAAAAGGGGTGACGTCATAGCGTTCCCTTCGCGAGTGACGTTGGCGTTTGGTACACATCCACCACCAGTACTGTGTACGGCGCTCGCACTGGACACCTACCATCAAGGGAGGAATTGGCCCTGCCTGCCCTACCTGTACCAGTATCTCTGTTAGGCTGGGAACCCAGCTCCGACCACAAGATCCATGAAGCTAGAGTCGCAGGAGTCACCGTGAGATCATCAGTCCAAGTCCCAAACACCGCGAAGCCTCATCACTGGCCTTGCTTTTCGTTTGAACCGGGTTGTCCCTAACTTGCAGCACTGCCACGAGCCTCGATGGCTGCGAACCAATGACTGCGAAGGGACGACACGAACACCTCCGCAGACCCAGCGAACATCGTCATACATGGCGTAAAGTTGGCATGATGCGCAGGAAGCAGCCTCTCCGAGGATTCCTCGAGTGGACCCAACGCCAGCTTATCTCGGCTGATGTGGCACATGACCGTTCATCGACATGTGAACTGCTCTATCAGATTGCCATGTGCCTGTCATAGCGTTGTCACATCGCGGTTCGTGACGGCCATCGGGCATCGGTTTACCCAGTCGCAGAGCTTCGGAAGAGACGAAGGCTCCAATCCCCCGCTATGACTTCTACCCCGCTATTCGGTCCTGCCAGAGACAGACGCCACTGGTTCTACAATGACACGAGCAGCGCATCACGCCTCGTAAGACCTGACAGGCAGACGGCGAAGACGCAATACTGGAGGCGCGCTCCCAACCTTGTGATAAGTCGTGCCACAGCAGAATGGTGCCGAGGTTCGCACCATGCAGGGGCTCTCCGGCATACCGATTACCTCCCCAGGTTGACGGCCAGCAATTGGTGGACGCCTGAATAAAGTTGGTATCGTACAGTCGGTTACGGAAATGCTGTGCAGCGGTTCAGTCATCTTCACCTTGATATCCCGATGGAGAGAAAACTGGCGATGGCGACGGCTACGGCAGCGGGAGTTAGTTCAAGCACTCCAGTGCGGCTTTCATTGTTATGCCGGGCGGAGCAGTCGTGGTCGCAGAATCAGCCACACGTGCTCGTAGGATTTGGGGACACAAAGCAGGTGGAAGTCAGAAGACACGGGAGAAAGAGTGCTCGGCTGATTATAAGAGTTGTATCAATTACTACTGACAATAGGTGCAGATGTCAATTCTTCAAATGCTGGTCGACTTCCCATGGGAAAAGGCTCACCGGTCAAATGCCCCTGTCGGCAAAGAACTCGAGTATCAACTTCCCAACTTCAGCGGTATGACTTTGCACCAAGAAATGTCCACCATCCAACAACACAAGCTTGAGGTCTTTCACGTCCCTCCTGAATGCTTCCGCTCCTGGCGCCTGGAAAATCTCGTCATGCCTTCCCCAAACGGCCAACACGGGAACACCACTATTGCACAGGTATTGCTGAAACTCCGGGTACAAGGCGACATTGGTACCATAGTCCCTGAATATGTCAAGTTGGATCTCCTTGTTGCCTGGACGGGAAAGAAGAGCGTAGTCGAGGTAATACGACGCTGGATCATCAATCCTCTCTGCCTCGGGCTCGCCATTGAGATATTGCCACTTTGTGGCTTCAAAAGTGAGAATCGCCCTGGATATCGTCTCACGAAGTTGTCTGTCCTCGTCAGACCCGGCGGCGGATGCCCATAGCTGTTTCAAAGGGTTCCAGAAAGGAGCCAACCCTTCGTCGTAGACGTTGCCATTCTGCGAGATGATGGCTGTGATGGCTTGTGGTCGCTCCAGAGCGAGTCGAAAGCCTGTCGGGGCACCATAATCAAAGACATAAACAGCAAACTTCTCGATCTTCAGGACGTCGAGGAAGGAACCAATGGTGATCGCGAAGTTGGCGAAGGTGTACTTGAAATCCAAGGTCGAAGGGATCTCAGTGAAGCCAAATCCAGGTAGGTCAGGGGCCACAACATGATATTTTGCGGACAGGATGGGGATGAGTTTTTGATACTGGTATGAGGAGGAAGGGTATCCGTGAAGCAGGAGGATGGTAGGGTTGCCTGGAGAGCCGGCTTCGCGATAGAAGACTCGGATTCCATTAGGCAGTGTGGCATACATGTCGTGGCTGGAGGCTCTCAAGAGTATTTCTCAACGGCAGATGTTGCGTCTGGGTTTTATTGTGGTTTCCACTTCGGGGTTGTTGCGGTTCAGTTGAGGAGACTCCGGAGGCGAGGGTATGACATCTCTTATACACAAGGCGTCTCCCTGGTTCAGTGTCACCCGCAGCTGGAACTATTACGGTACGGACCCGATGATCTTTCCATCAAGGCCATGGTCAATGAACGGCCTGAGCCAATATCTGACAAATTGGCTGGGTGCCGTGCTTTCGGTGAGCAAACATGTAAGTGGATGCCTGTTATACAGCGCATCTTCAAGACTACTAAGACATGTGTGATGACACGGCTTGCATGAGAACGATGTCAAGGGTGCTGACAAAGGAAAGCCTCGTTCCTTCCTGCATCGGCTACTTGAATGTGCAACGAGTATTGCTCGAGGTACATGAAGATGAATACCCAGTTGTGGCTTGGAAGAGGTACTGTACTAGAGCTGAAAAGAGGCAGAAAGCTCGCAGAGGGGACTGGCCCGCAACCCCCCCCCGAGTCAATCAGGACCAAGAACACTGGTGGACATGCTCTTGGTATAGACTATTGTGCCCGCCGCTTCCAGACGAGCTCGTCCCCTGTAAGTCGAACGGTGGCCGAGAGAAAACGAAGTCGATGAGCAAGGGTTCGTATGTCTCTTTGTGGCAGGCGGCGCCGCTGCCCTAACCACATCTTGTGCTTATAGAGAAGGGCGTTCACTCTGTACTAGCGTTGAACCATGGAGCATAAAGCAGCCCACGACGAATGCCGAGTGCGGCCGCGTTCCCTTCCACGAAGAGAGAGATGGCCGCTTGGCGCTCCGGTCTCACGCTGTTTTCACAGAGATTTCCAAACTTGTCTCATTGTCCTTGAAGAACAGCAGGCTCAACCTCGCGCCAACTCACCCTGTCATTCCATCTTTGGCAGGGATCCCTCGTCTCTGCATTTGATGCCGGCATGCGCTGCCTGAAATAGCCCCAGGCTGCTTGAAGGACCCCCTGAACGAAGGGATTTCCCATTCTGTGCCCGTTCATGACTGAAAGAGGAACTTTGATGGACCAGCAAAGTGGAAGTGATCGCTGTTTTTGAGTCGCTGCTTTTCCAGTCTCGCAGGCTCCCGCCCAATCATCCAGGCGAGGCCACAGCCAGGGCGCCCCTCCTATGTGTCTAGTTCGCGAGTAAGCTGGTTCCAGAAGACACCTTGGGAGATTCCAGCCTAATGAGACTAAGGAAGAATTCACTTCCACACCCTGGTCGGCTGTGTCCGCCCTCCCGGGCTGTGAGAGGATACTGCTCACATGGCTGTTTACCAGTGGTCGAGGTCGGAATGTGAATGAGCTGTGGAGGCTCGAGATACTGGTTGATTCACTTACATTACCAACCACCACAATATGCTGTGGAGCGATGGCTCTGACAGCGCGCACTTGTGAAACTGGGCCAGCAAATCGCCAGGGTAGTCTTCACCCCGATACTGTATGGCTGTTTACATGCTTGTCTACCGATCTTGAACCCAGAGTCGTGGCATCAGACATAGCCCGACCGCAAGCCAAGGATAGGTGGTACGGGCGGTCACATCCTATGATTTCTCTTGGGCGGTGGTTCTGGAACGCCCATGCCCTGTCATGGGCATGCACGATTGCATTATGGCGTTTTCCATTTCTCCTATATCACGGATAATGCACTGGGCTTCCACCTCAACCACCGGCAACAACGTAGTACCTCAGCCCCGGAGTGCCTCCTCTACAACTTATGCCTCTTCTGCCCACTGGCGATCTTCTTGAACTCCTCCTGCGGCGCGCCGACCACAAAGCGCTTCATCCCCTCCATGACCTCGCGGACGCCCTGCGCCTCCATACTCTCCAAGTAGGGCGCCCGGACCAACTGCTTGATCTTGACGATGGACTCCTGGTTCAAATGGTCGCCCAACTTGTCCTCCACCTCGGCGAGGACCTGTTTCAGGAACCCGTCCGAGTCGTTCTGGTCCTTCCCGCTGAACACCTTGTTCACGAACCCGCACGCGACGAGCTCGTCGCACGGAATCTTGCGCGACATGATGAGCGCTTCGTTGGCCTTGGAAATGCCCATCCGCTGGACCAGGCCGTAGCTGGCCCCTCCCTCGGCGACGAGACCCAGCGACGAGAACGGCGTGAGCAAGAACGTGTGCGGCGCCGCGTAGATGAAGTCGCAGAATCCCAGCAGCGCGGCGGACAGGCCGACCGTCGGCCCGTTCAGCGCCCCGATCAGCACCTTGGGGTGCGCGTAGAACGAACGCGTAATGTCCAGATTGTTCGCCACGAAGCCCTTCAGGATGTCGTTGCGGGCGGCGTCTTTGTCCATGTCCGGCCCGACGCCCGGGCGGGTGCTCGTGACGTTGGCGCCCGCGGAGAAGAACCGTCCGCTGCCCGTAATCACCGTCACGCTGATGGCCGGGTTCTCGGCGATGTCGCGCAGCAGGCACGATATGCGGTAGTAGTACTGCTGCGTCATGGCGTTGAGCTTCTTGGGCAGGTTCAGCGTGATGATGGCGATGCGGCCCTGCTCGCGGTAGAGGACCGCCTCTTCGGGAGAGGCGACATTCGCCATGGCGGAGTGGGCAACAGAGTGAGTGCGGACGCAAGGTCTAACGGCGGTATAGGTAGAGGTCGGAAGGGTGATGCTGTGCAGAGGCTTTGCTGCAGGCGGTTGTATAATGCTGTATGTACTGCGGTAGGTAGGTAGGGGCAAGTTCTGCTGCGAGTGCTCGAGCTGCTGTTTGCACTGGAGTAAGTATATCTCGGGATATATAAAAAGTTTCAACTGGCCCTCGGCATCGGCATTGGGACTCGACTATCAGCCAGCCTACCTCTTCCTACAATGGGCTGCCAGTGCCTCGTAGACTAATCATGAACGAGCATGGACACGAGTAGGAAAGCTGCGGGGACGACGCGGCGGGACCTGAACTGAACCTTGGAGAAGGCGGTAGCCGAGGTTGACCGGAACATCGATATGCCGGTCCGGCACTCATACAGCCGCACCAGGGAGGTCCAGGGAGGTCTAGACGCCCTCGATCAAGGAGTAGACATCGATATTGAGATCCAATCTATCGGGTGGCACAGGGCCAGCTTGTGACAAGGCAATGTAGGAATGGTGGTAGAGTCCCAATTCAAATCTGGCTAGATACCTTCCAGTTCATATCTTTCGACAGCACAGGACGTCAAGCCCTGGTGTTGTATTCACTCAAGTCCTCTCTCGCTTTGGGCTCGGCATCTTGTTCTTGTTCTATCTCTGGTCTCGAGTCTGAGCTTCACTGTCGAGGGCGGATGGTACTATGATAACCTTCCTGCTCCCGCTTCAATCTCAGGGATTTCAAGAACGTTATGAACCCCTATCATAAGGTTCGTCAAACCGCATCTGAAATCCAAGCGGCTGATGCTGGCCCTGGGCATAGAGACCCGCAATGAGGATGACTCTTTCATCTTCACAGGAACTCTCGGCAATGTGTGCACTGGTCCATGCTGAAGATCTGGATATAACGAGAAGCGGGAGCCACACGCAACTGCAACGCCCACGAGAGCTGCTTCACTCGGTCGAATGACAACTCCGCCACGCTTGTATTGGTGTTTCCTTGCCGTCGTCAGCTCTAGACTCCCGAAGGCTAGATGAGCTTGAAGGTATAGCTTACATGGCCCATTCAGGACTTTAAAACCTGACGCGCTCGTAATCACAGCCTTCCGGGCCAAAACTTCCCTTCCTTCTTCGCCGTTTCCTCCCATTCGTAGTTGTGAGCAAAAATCACTTCCATACTCGCTGGCTGGTCTTCTGCTTCGATCTTGATACCATCTTTCGAAGCAGCGTACAACCGCGCCAGGGTGGCTTTCGATTGAGGAATGTCCACGTGCATACAACAATACCTCCCAGTCTCGTCCGTCCACGTTGCTATATCGCACTCGCCAGTCAAGAGACGACCATCATGGCATGCATCCCCCGCGAGGCAGACAAACCTGGTCGGCTGAGACGAGATCTTGCATAGTAAATTGATGTGGCCTGGGAGGTGGCCGGGCGCATTTACAATGTACAAGCTGCCATCTTTGAAGAAGTCTATCGCGTCAGGAAACGTTGACAGTGGTTGCCACGTAAAGTGCGAATCCGCGCTACCAGGAGGAGGCAGCTCAAGCGTCCGCTCCGGTGGCAGCAGGTCTGGCTCGAAGATCATATGTTTTCCTAGGTCATATTTTGCTTTGCCGCTCAGAAGATCGAGCGCCCCGTTACCGACAATGAACCTCGTTTTGTCGTTGGTGAAATCCTTGGGATATCCCACATGGTCATAATGGACATGACTGAATATAACATAGTCGATGTCGTCCACCGTCAGCCCTCCTGCTGCCAATGAAGCAACCGCGTCAGGCTGGGTAGATACAGGTCCCCGGTTGGCCAGATGAGAAGTCAACTCGGCCGGGTAGAGGGCCAGGTCGCGTCTCATCCCCAGATCAAAGACCACTCGGGTCAGCTTTCCAGATTTCTCATCTCTGTGCTGTACCAAGAAGGACAGTGAAGGTACAGTGCGCTTCGCGACTGGGTCGGCAGGGACAACGAAGAACCTCTCTGGAATCGTGATGTGTCCAGTGCTAAGAGCATGTACAGACACCGTAGACATCATAGCAAAGTAAGGAGTACGACCGTCAACTCTCCACTTCTGTGAGGCTTCAACTCATGCCGGGGATATTCTTCGGTTTTTCAATGCAACAATTCGCCGCTGATGTGAGGAGACATCCCCCGCATGCATTTGAAGCATATTTACCAAGGGAATCGGTCTGGGGCCGATTTTGACTGAACAGTGTGGGGTAGTTAGATGATTGCCAGCCGTTGCTGGCGCAAATCGAAACGGTCAACTTCGGGTCCCAGGAACCTAGTCACAGGTACATGTCTTTTCATACGATCAACTGGCGGCCGCGCGGACAGCTGAGAGAAGCCAGCCTCGTGAGGGGCCTCAATCGAGTCGAGGTAATAGATAGCTAAGGTCAACCGACAGGAATCCTCATGTTCGAGGCTCGCTCATGTTGCGCTAACTTGCCTCCACGCTGCTTGAGTACGGTAGCGCTGTCGAGCTCATCCTCCTGGGTTTAAACTCTATGGTGCTCGAGAGGGCCTCATCACGTTGGATTTCGCGTGTTTTGCTGCCTGATTTGTGGGGGCACGAATCGCAACGCGGACATGGATGTTTCCAGATCTCTGATGGCTGCATCCGAGACATTCTGCTCGGGATGGAAATTCAGGCGTTTGTCATCAGGCAGGACAGCGGCTGATATCTGCTGCTTCCCTGCTTGAGATTGCCGTCTCCGGGTACCACTTGAGGCCGTCCGATCAGCGGTCGTCGAGACTCTCCTGCGGCGATCCTCGCGCAGCATGGAGGTCGACTGGTCAACGCCGGTATCGACAATGCGGAAGTTGTACATCTTGGGAAACAAGTGCTTGTCAATTAGATGGAGGCGCCTTTTCTGTGGGGTGGAACATTTCTTGTCACAGCCCTCGACGAAGCAGCCATACGTCTTCTCACCTTTGGCCTGCAATGCCTCTCGGATTGGATTGTGGTTTTCGTCAATGTGCAAGGCTAGAAAATGCGCTGTAGGGAAGTTTTTGCTGCATGAAGTACACCGGTTCGAATGGTCTTTGACATAGTGGATCTCGAAGTCCTCAATAGAAGCGAAATCAAGGGTATCCCGGTGAGGCGGTAAGGAACACAGCATAACAGCCTTCGCCGCCGGAGCATCGACCATAGCGGCTGCAACCTTCGCAGGAGGGTGAGATTCAGAGCTTGGTGTGACTGGACTTTGCTCGTCGCTTTCAATCGAGAGAATCGATGACTCGCGTGATCGCTTGACCATGGCGGTGTAAGTCCAGGTGAGGCAGAGATTTCTGGATTTGAATGAGCGACTCACTCCGGGCCAGTCAGGAGGTTATCCGGCACGCTGGCCCATGCTGCAACCACAGTATCGGATAATGCTACCCGCGTCGATTGGGTTGAGATACGTCCTCCGAACTGTGTACAGCTGTTCGTGTGAGTGAGGTGCGCTCGGCCAGGCTGGCATATCCCATGGAAAAGCAAACGCTCGACTGGGCAGCCAGACACGCTGGTTGGGTCACCGGGTGAAAACGCCAGGCCTAATAGGGCAAACAACGTGCAGCGGTTATGCCTAAATCTGGCTTTGGGGGGTCTTCTGGCGGCCGTTTGCGCGCGCTGATTGGGTGTTAGGCGTGCCCCTTCGCCATGCACCAACAGACTCTGGACGTTCCTGGTCTCTCCATGGCTGCTTCATGTTTCTGCCACAAGCGCGGTTCTTGTCCTCTTCCTCAGCGATCGGCCACCTTTTTGTCGTTGATCTCGCGTTTCAGGTGCTGCAGCCACGATGCCAACAGACTAGCTAGAGAACCGCTCGACTCGTCATCATCTTGCATCCGCCAACTGACTAGGCTGTGAGCGCTCAGAGTGACTTCTCCTCGGCTTCCTCCCTACTACAGCAGTCGGTACTCAATCCACTCAACGGCCCACGACATAGACACCCTCAGAGCCTTTGGTTCTTTGTTCGACGGAGCCGCACGGCTTGTCTAATCAATTCCACCGACCCTTGATCCCTTGTCCAGCACTCCTGTCTGGGACTGACCACTCCCGGGAAGTGTTCTTTGTCTGGTTCACCACATCCCCCAAATTTCGTGGAATGAGCAACTCTTGCAGAGAGAAGGAGACGCCTTCGCTGTCTGCCTAGAAGCCCACGCCACAATGTTGGCTTCGAAGTCTCCATACGCTGCCAACATCGGAACTACGCAGCAGATACCCGTCCGCAACTTCTCCGAGTCCTCGGTCAGGACGCAGTTGACCTCGATGGCTTTACAAGACGGCCTCTTCACCTCTCCAACCGATTCCGATTTCTCTGATGTCTACGACGGGCTGGACTCGATCCGGGCTTGGGACGAGAAGAAAGTAGGAGAATGGTTACACTCGATCCGCTGCGGTCAATATGAAGCCTTATTCAAGGCCAACAACTTCACAGGCGAGAGTCTCCTGGAATGTGACCAGAAGATTTTATCGGAGATGGGCATCAAGAAGATTGGTGACCGTGTTCGAATAAATGTTGCTATCAAACAGCTACGAAACAAATCGTCATTGTTACGATCAAGGAGGAACCGAGACTCGCTGGCGATCCTCGATGGCTTTGCTGGCACTCCTTCTTCGTCAGACTCACCACGAACCCATGGCTCCAAGTCACACAATGGTAGCGGCAAACGATTCTCCCGCCAATTCGACTCTTCGGCTCTACAAAATTTCAATTCGGCTGGTACCGGTTTTAAGGTGGGATCGAGACCCAACTCCCCCTTGGCTGATGTTCACAGTGCAGGGGCAAGGCCCCTGCGCTATGCTCAGAGCCCAATGGACGGCGCGAGGAATACTTCTGGTGGAGGATATTTCAGCCAGCCAGGTTCAGCCAGTTCCACGTCTGGTAGACGGCCCGAGACACCACAACTTGCCGCGCACACAACGCGTGCGGCTCACCTCCGGCAGAACTCCAGCATCGACGGCCTGACACCGGGCGGGCTACCAACGGGCTCTCCAGTCATCAAGATCATCCATAATGGCGGACAAACAAAAGTTGTGAACATCAAATTCTGCCGGACGGCCGACGACGTGACATCGACTGTCCTCAAGAAGCTACATCTACCTGAAACCCACTTCCGCAATTATTGCTTTTATGTCCTCAATGGCTTGGAGCCTGATCTTGCGAATTGTCGGCGGGTAAGCGACAGTGAGCTGATGAGGATCTGCAATGAGTCAACGCGCTCAGAGAGGAACAGGCTGATCCTAAGGAAAATCAACGATGGGCCTCCTGACATGGATGAATTACAGAAGGCTTCAAAGATAGCTGCTGACGAATCCCAAGTTTTGCACAGCACGGCAATCAGCACTAACAATATGCGCAATCAGATCAAGCTTCAGAAACTCACAGGCGAGTCCTGGCACAACATCCAAGTCCCTATCTCGCCAGTCACAACGACAGACAGAAACCGGAACATCATCGCCACAGCAGATGAACATGACCGTCAAGAAGCACAGCAAAATCTCCGAGTCCCGAACAACCAAGAGCCCCGAATGCGGACCTTCTACGGTGCTCGACCTCCAAGTGAGATGATCGTACAGGAGCTGACGTCCTACTTTCCCGGTCATCAGCGCGAGGATATTGAAAAGACAATGAGGCTGTCGATGCGACGGTCACAGCGCATGAGTCGCGCACAAAGTCGCCTGAGTGTTATGAGCAATCTGAGCATGGCGTCGAGCCTGAAAGATGCCCCCCCTGTACCTAGCATCCCCAGCATTGCTGATTCCTGGCTCGCCCAAAGTGGTCTGAATCCCCGGGTACCCACGGCAAGACCCCTATCTGTCGTCTCGAACAGGTTCAATCTGCCTAGCCAGTCATACAGGGATTCAATAGCCTCGTCAACCCTGCAGCCATTGCAAGAAGAGTCTCCTGTCGAGCCGAACAGGAAGTCTTACGTGTCCTTTGACAGTGGTTCCGACACAGCTGCCAACAATGACGCGTCACGAACCAGCTACTTCGATGAGAGTCCTGCGGGCACATTGAACAACGACAGCTTCAACGAACGTCTCTCGGTCATTGTTGCTGAAGATGGCGAGGAAGAAGATCAAGCTCTCAATTCGTTCCTGCAGGGCAACAGCTTTGACAAGAGCAATTGGATGAAGGGTGACCTTATTGGTGAAGGGTCATTCGGCAGCGTTTACCTAGCACTCCATGCAATTACAGGTGAACTAATGGCCGTTAAGCAGGTGGAGTTGCCCAATGTGGCCAAGGGCACTGAAAGCGACAAGAAGAAGACCGCCATGATTGCGGCTCTGAAGCAAGAAATCACTCTCTTGCAAGGCTTACGACATCCTCACATCGTGCAATACCTGGGCACATCGTCGGATGAAGAGCACCTCAACATCTTCCTTGAGTATGTCCCTGGTGGCTCGATTGCTGGCATGCTGAAGCAGTACAATACCTTTCAAGAAGCCCTGGTCCGGAACTTCACCCGCCAAATCCTCGAAGGACTCTCTTACCTCCACGCTCGCAATATCATACACCGCGACATCAAGGGTGCCAACATACTCGTCGACAACCGTGGTGCGGTCAAGATCTCCGATTTTGGCGTCTCTAAAAAGACCAACTTCAATGGCATGAATTCCGCTCCTGGCACACGAACGTCGTTGCAGGGCAGTGTTTTCTGGATGGCTCCTGAAGTCGTCCGCCAATCCGGACAGTCGTTGAAATCCGATATCTGGTCCGTGGGCTGTCTGGTGGTTGAAATGTTCACTGGTTCTCGGCCTTTCCCGTCAATGACGACTTTGCAGACGTTGTTCGCCGTTGGCAGTAATAACGAGAAACCCACAATTCCCGAGGTCGCCAGCGAGGATGCTAAGCGGTTCATGAACAAGACATTCGAGGCGGACCATGAGAAAAGACCGGGTGCGGATGAATTGCTGAAGGAGAAGTTCTTGTTACCCATGGCATGAGAGGCTCTCACGTACGAGATACCCGGGGCCTGCGGTTCGCTGCCCACACGTGAAACCGAACAGCGAGGAGCATATCTGAAGACCATAAGGCAGCCTGTATGATATGCAAGGCGGACGATGAGCACAATTTCCGTTAGTTTTTCATGTTCTGATTACCGGACTTCAAGCCAGGGGTACAGCGTGACCATGTACTCATCTATGTCCACAGTACAGGAAGCGCCATGTACACCCGACCAAGTACCTTGCCAGTAGCTGATATGTAGGTATACGAGTAGCCACCTACCGTATGTAGTACACCAACGGATACTGGACTCGAGACTTTATCTTGTGAAGGAAGACGCAGCTTCCCAGGAGACCGTATCCCATCTTCTGAAAAAAAGAACTCCGTACTCTGTTGATTGAACCCCACAAGCGTACCTACTGTAACAGCTGGCGAATATGATTAAACATACACGATTGGACCAGCTCATCCACATACATCCGCTCTGTACGTCTGGAAGTGCGATTCGCAAGGTGAGTAGCTGTGCGGACTCCAGGTTCAGTCGTCCGTGTACAGTGTCTACTACGTATCCATTCATCTATCCGCCTGTCCCGAGCATATGAGCATACGGTATATTGGTTCTCACAGAACTTGGACCCTCACATGTACGGCATGGCATGCACGGCCTCTGGTAGATACCTATCCGAGACCCTGCTTGGGGTCACTGTGCTTCGGATGCAGGTGCCTGACTCTGGCAAACTCCAGTACATACGTGTGCCGCGTTGATGGCGTGCGGAGTACGGTACAGTGCCCACCTACCTAGGTACAGTACGAGATGCTGGAATGGCATGATCAGGTCATCTCTCACACACACAGCAGAACACGAGATGCCTATGAATCAAGGCCATGTATACGGGGCTGCGGCTTCTAGAATATACACCTAATTAGCCTCCTGCCTGGTTGGCTCGGCATCCATACATTCATCTCCCACTCAACGGAGCATTGGATGCATCAGAACCAAGGCCATGTATACAGGTTGCGCTTCTAGAACATACCGACTATACTCTCCTACCCGGTTGGCACGGCTCGGGTGGGTGGGCTTCATATCAGAGTCATGATGGTATCATATTGGCGGTACTCTGAACTTAGGCGCCTAAGGCTGCCCAGTCATACACATTGCGATGCTGCAGTTCTAATATATGTCATGCCCACATCATTCCCTCTATGGTGGTTGGCTGGTCTCGTGGTACTCTATTCACATCTATAATACGGCGTTCATTGCTTGAGTACAGAGTCTTGCGTGACCGGTATGCTGTGCTTGTCTGTCTCCTGACATCCAACTTGGGTGAGTGGTTGGTATATCAATGGCTCACTGACAATTTGCAGATTCTTTTCGTCACTGGTTTGCCTTCACCATCACACACATAACTCCCACTCGTCAGGAGACATTCATTGGCTGCACTGGCATTTCGACCACCGGACAAGATGATTGCGGTAGGGGATAATGCGGCGCCTTATTGCTGTTGACACCATGTACCAGCTTGATTCGTGGCGCCGCCACTTCGATGGTGTCACCCATAGTCGACTCGGTTGTTTTTTCGTGAGGGTCTGCTGCTTTGGTACCATTGACAACCACGGCGACTCCGTTGCTGGTAGGCGTTTGCTGATGAGGGGCCTGCGGTTGGGTCGTTGGTGCGGTGGGAGGAGTCGGGTTCTGTCCGCCTCTTCCATATCTCAGTTGCACGACCAGACTTTCCTGAGTATTTTCGTCCTCCTCTGCTTCATCGTCTCCCGAAAGTTCTTCATCCATGTCTTGGTCTCGGTCTTCACCATCAAAGTCTGGCTCGGACTCGTCTGGCTCATCTTCGTTCCCACTCCACTCTTTGCCTGACGACTGAGCCTCGTCACTCTCGCCTGATTCCCGAGTCTCACCGTATCTGGCTCGTGGAGGCTTGACCTGTCGTCCTGATCTTGACGTTCTCACACCACGACCATTCGGCATCGTGGTTGGCATGTCTTCACTTGTCTCGGTAAAGTGCCCTTCACCCGCTACTCGTTCCAACTCTCTCCGCTGGTCGACCAGTATGCTCTCGCCATATACTCCGCCAACTCTTGACCTGACTTGCCGGCCACTCGCTGTGACAGTAGGGCCGCTCTCCAAGGGAGTAGAAATGCCCGAGTTTCGTGCAGATCGCCTGCCTGTGCCGTCTGACCCGTCCTCTTCGTCTGAGTATGTATATCGCATTCTCTTGCCTCTTGTTCTCCCTTCATATAGTGAGAATCCCGGATCCGGTCGAGCGAAGGCGGCTTTGCGGGCAAGGCGGTAGTCACGGCGTCTGCGTTTCTGTAGAATGGTCAGTATATCCAACATATAGCTACTGAAAGCCTGGGATGCCTACTTCTTCGCCAGCCTCAAATCTCGGAATCGCAGCCCTCAGCTTGTCACTGATGACCTTTGAGTTGGTTGTATGCTCCTCTGCGAACTTGTCTGCCAGGGCAATCACGTCGGGAATGGACTCCGCCACGCTGAACCAGGTGTTTGTCTTCGCTGTTTTCCCATCGTTTTCTCTGTATATGCGGAAGTGTGAATCGTCTTGTCCTTCTATCAGCCAATATTTGCGACGGTACTGGTCGGAGAACCAGGGCTGAACGCTGCGCGGCTGGTTACGATCGTCGTCTCGCCGCGTCTGCTTGTACGACTCTTTGATGAGCGCTTGCACCGCTTCGGAGGAATTGAGGGCCCATAGAGTCAGTGCTTTGAGAAGACTCAACTATGATCGTATTAGCCACGCGTCATACAGGGGGAAGTGCGACGAGTACACGTTCTTCCGCGCTCATGTTGTTAAAATTCTTTCCGCCATGGAGAGGGTTGTGACCCTTCCACTCGGTGGGCCACTGGTTGTGATGTGCAGAGATCGCATCTTCGAGTGCTCGGCCATAGTGCCCGCGTCTACTCGGTGTTAGCAAGCCGGAGTACTGTGTACATTGTCGGGAGCCCTCACTCCACGTCCTTCTTCCTGTTCAACACCAGCCCCAAGAGCGCACAGAGAAGCCTCTCGACTTGCTCATCGGGCACCTCTCCCGAGACGCCTCTCTCAATATCTTGCGGGCCATAGTTAGGCAGAGACTTTGGGAACGCCTCGCTGAAACGGCTTCTGAACATGACAATGAACGCGATCGCATCATTGTCGGCCAAGGTATACTCGTGAGGGGGCGACGGGGCGCGCTTGGGAGGTTCAGGTGAGGCTTCGGGCTTGGGTGCCGGCTTAAAGTATCGATTTAATCCTTTGGGTTTCGACGTCATTTTTTGAATCATCTCCTCGTCGTCCGAAGTTGGCGCAGATGACAAGGACGAAGAGTCAGAGTCGGCCATGTTTGTGGGTGGTGGGTGGGATGCACGAAAGATAGCCAGGCGCGACGGTGTGTGTTGGGCAAGAGCACAGAAGTAGAAAAGTAATGGCGATGACAAAGTATTCAGGGAGCGGTCTGAATTGAATTGAACTTGGCGCGTTCAAGGCAAGTTACGCGCTACACGGCCAATGGCTCGCGTTGATATGTACCCGGGCAATGACAATCATCTGCATTCTCCTTCACAGCGACATCAATATGGAATCAGGGTCCCGAGTACGACAGCTGATATTCCTTCACAACCACGGAACCAGAACAGATCCCATGGTCCTTGGTTGACGAAGAATGAAGTGCTCGACTGGATGTTGGGAGGGTATCGTGCCAAGCGTGACGATTTCTGAAGCCCCTTTCCAGTTTGACCTGCACACCCGATGATCACGGGCCTGTCATCCGCAACGAGACCTTTTCCTGTCGAAGATCCTGAAGGGTTGAAGCATCAGCCTGCTTCCAGCCATTAACGGTCATCAGCCGTGCACGTCCCCATGCCTCTTGCTGCGGCATAACTCGCCCAGGCTTCGAATCCTGGAAGGCACTAGTATTCCCCGAGAAAACGCGGGGTTATCCGGCGTCCATTGCCCTGTGCCAGCTCAGCAAGCTTCGCAGCCTGGGCACTTGACCTCAGGGCTCAGCGCCTGGTCACCGTTTTGTGAAGTCCTATCTGCTTGTCAATTTGTAGTGATTCCAGCAGCTCAAAACAATCATGGATACTGGAGTTCGCGTGACCCGTTCGAATTTGTAAAGTAAACAGGCTCCTCCTGTCGCTAGTTGGACCTGCTGAATTGAATGAGCGCAAACGTAAAGTTTTAATGCCTGTCGTGGAGGAGAGATGGCCCAGGGATTCGAGAGTAGGCGGGACCAGCGTATCCGAGGCATGCTGCAGCCCCCCAAGACCGCATTCGCATACAAAACTCTGGCAGGCCGGAAGACTTGCAGCCCAACCTGAATGGAGAAATTGCATTTTTCTCTCGCCAGAATTGTGCTGAGAAGCAGTTCCACAGCCGGCAAGACCAGCGACTTGATTGTAGGCAGTCCGCAGCACGTGAGGAGGACCGCAGACTTCACAGCCGTCTCCTAAGCAGAAAGAACCTACCAGTAGTAGCACAGACCTACTAAGCGTAATTTCCATTCCAGCAATGTTGGTTTGTGGGAGAACCAGGACTGTGCTGATCAATTATTGGGTAGGTTTAGACCACCGCAAACCCCGTTGCAGGACACCAACGTGAAAGTATCATGAATAGGTGTGACAGCAGCAAAGGGCCAGAAGAGCATCCGCAAAAGTCAAGTTCTTGCTTGGTGATAGAACTGTTATGGGTGTAACGACAAAGCGAAAAAAGACACAGATGTTGAGGTTGGGTTGAGGACTGAGGTGCTCTCGGAAAATCGGAATCTCCGGCAAGAGCTAAGAAAGCTAAACTGGACCAAAGCTGTCCAATTACACAAAACCTTCAACTGCGCGAGGAACGCCAGTGCGCCCCCCTATCGCCGCCAAGAGTTCGGCTGGGTGCGCACAAACAGCATTTGCGACTGCGGCCACAACGACTCTGAACCTGCTGAATCTGATTTCGACCTCATCGTCGCGAACTTTTCGACAGCTCTACGCCGCCATGGGTAGGGTCATCAGAAATCAGAGAAAGGGCCGTGGCTCTATTTTCAGTACGTCTGCCATTCTCACCGGTCGCCTGTAGTTATTTTTCTCCATGCTGCCTGGATCCCCAATTGTCCTCGTCGTCTACTGACTGGTTTCCTAGCGAGCCATACTCGCCTCCGAGTCGGTGCTGCCAAATTCCGAACCCTCGACTTCGCAGAACGACATGGCTACATTCGAGGCATAGTTCAAGAGATCATCCATGACCCTGGTCGAGGTGCGCCTCTTGCGAAGGTGAAATTTCGAGACCCATATTCGCCTAAGTCAAGAACCGAGATCTTCATTGCTACCGAAGGGCTATACGTATGTTTGGATGTCCTGAACCTGGACTTGGGCGCTAACAAACTTGTAGACGGGCCAATTCATCTACGCTGGAAAGAATGCGGCTTTGAGTGTCGGTAATGTTCTGCCGCTGGGTCAAGTGCCTGAAGGTACCGTCGTTTCAAACGTCGAGGAAAAGACTGGGGATCGAGGCGCTTTGGGACGAACATCTGGCAACTACGTCACCGTCATTGGGCACAACCCCGACGAGGGCAAGACTCGAGTCAAGCTCCCCTCTGGTGCTAAGAAGGTTGTGCTCAGCTCAGCTCGAGGCATGATTGGTATCGTTGCTGGTGGTGGACGAACCGACAAGCCAATGCTCAGTACGTGAACACAGATTGATGGGCTGCAATCACGGTCGGCTAACGTGTATCACAGAGGCGTCTCGCGCCAAGCACAAGTTCGCCGTGAAGCGCAACTCGTGGCCCAAGACTCGTGGTGTTGCCATGAATCCTGTTGACCATCCTCACGGTGGTGGTAACCATCAGCACATCGGCAAGGCTTCTACCATTTCGCGATACGCCGCTCAAGGTCAAAAAGCTGGTCTCATTGCTGCTCGGAGAACTGGTCTGCTACGTGGTACCCAGAAGACCAAGGAGTAGTTATGGAATATGCGTTGGGGAATCGCGAAAATCCGAGGCTTGTATTAGGACTCTACAAATGAGGTTCCTCCACAGCGGGAGAATCAGTTCCGGTTCATGGTGACGAAGACTGCCGATACGTGTACTTGGCTTCTGCAAAGTCCAAGTTGGGGCGAAGCAACGGCAAACGGGAGCCGCATCACAACACAGATCAGATGCAAAGATCAGAAGATGTCCATCGCCTTGTGTAGTGGTTCATGATCATCCCTTTGATGGTGACAGTTAAATCAGTATTTGGAGACTGGACCTCCCTACTCTCTGATTCTCAAGCCACAAAGTCGCAACCGTTAATTAGCGTCAAAGTTGTGTTCGTACCACTTCGGAACTAGGAACTTATATGAAGCGTTGTCTGCCATGCTGGCACCGTCGGAGCATGCATCTCATGCTTACATGACTTCGTCATGCATGAATGATTACTGGTCTTCTGCAGCGTAGCACGCCTGGAACGGCATGTTGGAGAATAGAAACACCAACTGCAGCCTGTAGAATGCTCGCGGATATTCATGTTTTCAGAAGGTGGCGTCTTGTTTCAGAGGGATGCCCAGAGCGTGAAGCGTCGACCAGGCCCAGCCCACGCCCCGCAACAGGGTTTGAGATCAGGGGCAGTAGCCGGAAGCCACTGGTGGTGGTTGCTCGGTGGAACTTGACGAGGGACACGACGGCAACAAGGGTCCCAAAAAGCTTAAAGAGGATGCATTGGTGCGCGTCACTGGCAACCGCAATGCACAATCGCCTGCTCCATCCCACGGGACACTTGATGCACTCGCTGTTCGGCCTGATTTTTGTTGGATCTCGTCCCTCGTTTCGGCGCTGTCAGCGAAGACAATCGTTTATTGCTTTCTCTGTATTCCGCCTCTGCTCATACTGCTCGTCGGACTTTCTCTATTTCGCTTCTTTGTGGCCCGTAGTCCAGCTCGCATTCCAGTCAAAACATCAGAACCGATCGCAGTCCGATCCGACTACTCCGTCGCTCACCAAGGGCGCAGTGAGCATACATAACACCTTTCCTTATCAATCGTCACATCAGCACTATCAATCACTCGTTTAATCCTCCATCGTCTGCCAACCAAATACTAGCACCAGCATCCTGCGATCGCCATAATGAATGTCAACAAGAAACTCGATCGTTTCAAACAATGGGCGGGAGAGCGCATGGGAGGAGAGGTCAAGACCAATGTATCGGACAATTTCAAAGCACTCGAGGTCGAGATGGGCCTGCGCCAGGAAGGTGCGTAGCTGCTGTCTAGGGGCCCCGTTGTTGTTTCAATGCTAAGTCTACTGTAGGTCTCGAGAAGATGCAGCGATCGATGAATGCCTACATCAAAGCAATTTCCAAACGCTCCGAAGTGGAGGGCAAGGAGAAGACGCTTCCAATCGCCTTGATGGGCGGCACCATGATCTCCCACGGCGAAGATTTCGAGCCCGATTCTGAGTACGGCCAATGTCTGAACAGTGAGTGCCTGTGGGGAAGTTTTCGAAATTTCGACACATCTAGCTGACAGCAAACAGTGTTTGGCCGGACACAAGAAAGACTCGCCCGGGCTCAGGAGACTTATATCGTTTCCGCCACGACTAGCTGGTTAGAGTGCCTTGAGCGGTCTATTGTTCAGATGAAAGAGTACCAGGCCGCCCGTAAGCGACTTGAGACGCGCCGACTGGCGTATGATACGTCCCTCGCGAAGATGCAGAAAGCCAAGAAGGAAGATTTCCGCGTCGAGGAGGAGTTGCGCACACAGAAAGCCAAATACGAAGAATCAGAGGACGACGTCCACCGCAGAATGCAAGAGATTCGCGACGCCGACCCTGAAAGTGTCGCCGACCTTGGATCATTTCTCGATGCCGAGTTGGCATACCACGATAAATGCAGGGAGGCCTTGCTACAGTTGAGGAGCGAGTGGCCTGCCAGGTGAGTGCAATCTCCGACGTCCTGCGCACGACTCTGCTGACCAAGTTTAGGTCTTTACCGACCCGTGGCGGCCGGCCTAACCCACGCTCGAGGTCGAACACAGTCCGTTCATATACCCACGGGGCCGAGCCAGTTGATGAAGCCCCAGTCGATGTACGCCCCAAGATCACGACTTCTCGGAGCAATCAATATGTGTATCAATCATCCGACTATTCACCCGCGCCCCAGCTACGCGCAAACTATGCCAGGGCCGCTACATTCAATGACTCTCCTCAGCCGAGCAGGGATCTATCGCCCGCGACTAGACCAGGGATTTCGCGCATCCCGAGTGATTCGTTGATGATTCGCACAGCAAGATCAAATCTGCGCAACGTGGATGAGCAAGACGTTTTCGGAGACGATTCGGGCTCTTACTCCAACAGCTCTGACCGTGGTTACGGGGATCAAGCTATATCACCTGCCACGTCTCATGGTAGCGAAGCCACTCCTCTAACGAGCAAGAAGAGTGGCCCTCCACCACCTCCTCCGTCCCGAGCAAAGAAGCCACCGCCACCACCTGTCCCAGCAAAGAGGTCGGTTCTCACCTGAGGAGCATGGCTGGATGTCGTTGTCGTTATGGAATGCTGCTTGGATGGATACCACACAGATTGGCGTTGGCGTTGAGCTGAGCCAGGCCTTTTCAGTAGACATAGAGCCGGACCGAGCTACAAGTCTTGGAAAGTCGCTTGGTGGCACATGGCTGCGAGCGCTTTGGGGACTGCATCAATTGGAGGATGTCTGTATTGGAGAACGTGAACTGTTCTCGTCGTTGGAAGCCCAGTTCGCACCTTAAGCAAATTTCCTTTTGAGCTTGTACCCGCGCTGATCGTCCTTCGGAACAAGCTGAGTGAAAGCTCACGTGATATTAATCTCACGTGACATGACACGGCTTGGCAGAGATTGCGACAGGCTGACCGCGCAGTCAGCCTCTTCTCGTTTGGGTCCGCCTTCTTGTTGCGCTCTTCTCGCAGACGTGAAGGCCCCTCGCCCGGGAAAATCATCAATCAACGCGTCGCAACCATCTCGTTCCATCGCAAACCGTCACCGATAACCAGCAGCACCGCTTGAAGAGTGCGCCTCCACACGGCAGTCACCTCTTCGTCCCCTCATTAATTAGGCACCCTTGCCTCGACCACTCAACCTCACCTCACCCGAGATCGACTCACTGCAAAGTCCCTCTCCTCCGCCGACTGCGCCAAGTGTATTCACGTCCACGAGGCTGCATCATCCCTGCCCAGTTGGAGCCGTCACCCACAGACTAGATGCTCCGATAGATGTTTCACGCATAGCCAGAACCTGCGGTTGCCTGAAGTCGCCGACTGAAAAGGCACTATGGCTTCAGTCCAACCCGCGCCTGGGATGCCATCCAACGTCCCGGCGCTCCCACCCAACCTTTCACAAGCACAAGTGCAGGACGTGTATCAGGTACGCAACGCTCAACCAATACTTTCATATCATCAGATGCCATTGCTATTTCGGTCTGTCTACTAACATTCGTCACAGAAATTCCAGCGCATGAAAGCCCAGAATGTCCCCGAAAGTGACCCCGAGTATATCAAAGCCTACCGGTTCCTCACTGCCGTTCAACAACAGCAAAACTTTCGCAAATTGCAGGCACAGAAACAGGCGCAACTGCAAGCCCAGCAGCAGCAACAGGCTCAGCACCAGGCCCAACAACAAGTCCAACAGCCGACTCAACAACAAGCTCAACAACTCATGCAGCCACAACCCGCCCAACAACGACCCCCTCCGCAGGTGAATGGCAATTCCAGTCATGCCACAGCGAACGGGGCGACGAATGGCCAGCAAGATCTTGGAGCACCTGCCGCCAATGGGTCTTCCACCCCCAGTCAGACATCTGTCGCCAACAGTGCGCAAGTTGCTGGCGCGCAAGCACAAGCCCAAGCCCAGGCACAGCGTGCGGCAGCGCAAACGACCGGTAGCTTCACTCCAGAGCAACTGAACCTTCTGAGAACGCAAATCTTCGCATTCAAGACGCTGTCGAAGAACCAGCCTTTGCATCCTAAGGTACAGGCGCAGCTCTTTCCCTCTCTCAAGCAACAGGCCGCACCTCCCACGGACTCGACGGCTGTAGGGGAGAAGGTTGCAGATGGAACCCTTGAGCCCAAAGGCGCTGTATCGAAGGAGGTAGTCCGGTCCAAAGCCTTCTTCGATACCTACCAGTCACCTTACGATCTTCTAACAAAGCCCATCAGCTTTTCGGATCACTCGCAGCGCATTAGGCGGCAGAAGATACCCGCAATCCTGCCCATGGGCATTGACTCGGACCAAGTTCGGGAAGAGCAAGAACGTCTGCTGTACAACCGCATCCAAGCTCGTAAAGCCGAGTTAGCTGCCCTCCCTGTCAATATTGCGGCCTGGGACACCAGTAAATCTGCTGAGCCTACCGCCGACGACAGTCTCAAGATCAAGGCTTTGATTGAATATAAGAAGCTATGTCTGCTTCAGAAGCAACGCGACTTCCGACGAGAAATTCAGCAAGAACTCTTCCATTACGACAACTTGGCGATGACGGCCAATCGCTCCATGCACCGCCGCATGAAGAAACAATCCTTGCGCGAAGCTCGTATCACGGAAAAACTCGAGAAGCAACAGCGCGATGCCAGAGAGAACAAGGAGAAGGCTCGGCAATCGACCCATCTACAGTCCATCGTGGCTCATGCTCAAGATATCAAGAACAATGCAATCAGTCAACGCTCACGGATCCAGAAGCTTGGTCGTATGATGGTCACTCACCACCAACATATGGAGCGTGAGGAACAGAAGCGCATTGAGCGAACTGCCAAGCAGCGTCTGCAAGCGTTGAAAGCTAACGATGAAGAAACCTATCTGAAGCTGCTCGGCCAAGCCAAGGATTCCCGTATCTCCCATCTCCTCAAGCAGACAGACGGCTTCCTGAAGCAGCTCGCCGCCTCTGTCCGACAACAACAGCGAAGTGCTGCAGAAAAATGGGGCGAAGACAAGTACGCCGACGAGGACGACGAAGATGAGGACGTGACCGACGACGATGAAGGCCATGGAAAGGTCGACTACTATGCCGTGGCTCATAAGATCAAGGAAGAGGTCTCCATTCAGCCCTCCATATTGGTTGGTGGTACTTTGAAAGAGTACCAACTCAAAGGGTTGCAGTGGATGATCTCCCTCTTCAACAACAATCTGAATGGTATTTTGGCCGATGAGATGGGTCTGGGCAAGACTATCCAGACGATCAGTTTGATCACCTATCTGATCGAGAAGAAGCGTCAAAGTGGTCCGTTTCTGGTCGTTGTACCCCTCAGTACGCTCACGAATTGGAATCTGGAATTTGAGAAGTGGGCTCCATCAGTCAAACGTATCGTCTACAAAGGACCGCCGAACAGTCGAAAACAACAGCAGATGCAAATTCGATCGGGCAACTTCCAGGTCTTACTCACTACTTACGAATACATCATCAAGGACCGGCCGATTCTAAGCAAGATTAAATGGGTTCACATGATCGTCGACGAAGGTCACAGAATGAAGAACGCCCAGTCCAAGCTAAGCAGCACCATCACCCAGTACTACACCACGAGATACCGCCTGATCTTGACGGGCACCCCGCTCCAGAACAATCTTCCGGAGCTGTGGGCTCTTCTCAACTTCGTCCTTCCCACAATCTTCAAGTCAGTCAAGTCTTTCGACGAATGGTTCAACACTCCCTTTGCCAATACTGGTGGACAAGACAAGATGGAGTTGACCGAAGAAGAGCAACTTCTCGTTATCCGTCGTCTGCACAAGGTGCTGCGGCCGTTCTTGCTCCGTCGTCTCAAGAAAGATGTGGAGAAGGATCTTCCCGACAAGCAGGAGCGTGTCATCAAATGCCGCTTCTCCGCTCTCCAGACCAAACTTTACATGCAGTTGATGACACACAATCGTCTGACGGTGGCTGATGGCAAGGGCGGTAAGACCAGCATGCGCGGTCTCAGCAACATGTTAATGCAGCTGAGAAAGCTATGCAATCACCCTTACGTGTTCGAACCCGTGGAGGACCAGATGAACCCAAGCAAGGGGACAAACGACTCTATCTGGAGAACGGCGGGCAAATTCGAGCTGCTCGACAGAATCTTGCCTAAGTTCCAGGCCACCGGCCATCGTGTGTTGATGTTCTTCCAGATGACCCAGATCATGAACATCATGGAGGATTTCTTGCGGTTCCGTGGTATCCAATATCTCCGGCTTGATGGTGCTACCAAGGCTGAAGATCGGGCTGAATTGCTACGTCTTTACAATGAACCCAACTCGCCGTACTTTTGCTTCTTGCTGTCGACTCGTGCAGGTGGTCTCGGCTTGAACTTGCAGACTGCAGATACAGTCATCATCTACGACTCAGATTGGAATCCACATCAGGACTTGCAGGCTCAGGATCGTGCTCACCGAATCGGGCAGAAGAACGAAGTCCGCATTCTGCGTCTGATCAGCTCAAACTCTGTCGAGGAGAAAATCCTGGAACGTGCTCAGTTCAAGCTCGACATGGACGGCAAAGTCATCCAAGCAGGTAAATTTGACAACAAGTCTACGAACGAAGAGCGAGAGGCCTTCCTAAAGACCCTGCTTGAGGCAGCAGAAGCCGCTGATCAAGTTGGAGACTCAGAGGAGATGGACGATGACGACTTGAACGAGCTCATGGCTCGGTCCGAGGACGAATTGACCCTCTTCAAGAAGATGGACAAGGATCGGGACGAGAACGACCCCTACGGGCCAGGTCGTCCATTAGCCCGTTTAATGGAGGAGAGTGAACTTCCCGACATCTATGTGGCCGAGGACAACCCGGTGCAAGAGGAGGTGGAGGAGTATGCCGGTCGTGGTGCACGGGTTAAGACTCAGGTCAAATATGACGACGGACTCACCGAAGAACAGTGGTTAGCGGCGGTCGATGATTCGGATGACTCTATCGGGGAGGCAGCGAAGCGCAAACAGGCACGGATCGACAAGAGACGCACGAACAAAGCCAAGCGCGAACGCGTGGCAGCCGGGGTTGCGTCGTCGCCGGAACCAGAACGTGAAAGCTCGGAGGAGCCGCAACCTAAGAAGAAAGGCCGTCCCAGCAAAGCAGCTGGCCAGAAGCGCAAAGGCGAAGATATCGAGGAAGAGACGCCGCCGACGAAGCGAAAGCGCGGACGGCAGCCCAACAAGCCTGCCGTCGATGTACTCAGCAGTGCCGAGCGATCTGCACTGCAGAAGGCTCTTCGGGCGATCATCGAGTCAATCAAAGCCCTAGAGGTGCCCGACTCGGAGCCGGAGGAGCCCTCTGACGACGACAGTGACGACGAACCGCCCACCAGGCTTATCATCGGGCCGTTCCTGGAGCTTCCGTCGAAGAAACTGTACGCCGACTATTACCAGTTCATCACAGAACCAATCGCCATGGACGTGATTGAGAAGCGCATCAGCAGTCATCAGTACACCAGCCTGAAAGACTTGCAAAGCGATGTTGCGCTCTTGGCCAAGAATGCTAAGACGTACAACGAGGATGGCAGCATGATCTACAATGATGCGGTTGTTATCGAGGTAAGCCGCGCATTTGTGCTAAGATGTCTTGAGGTCGCTAACCGCAGATACAGAACCACTGCAACCAAATGATTGCCAAGCTGATCGCAGAGAATCCTATTTTGGGGGAGCGGGTGGCTCAAGATGGCGACTCTACTGCAGCGGCTTCCAGTGCCGGGACGCCTCGAGGCTCGGTGGCTCCCATGGGTGGGACGAAGCTGAGACTGACGCTGGGTGGCAGTAATGGGGTTGCTACCAATGGCACCACAAGCGGGGCGGGCAGTGGTGCGGAATAATGGCTGTACTATTGTACCATAACGAAATATGGCCGGGGAATGGAGATAAGTGTTTAGATTGGAGTTGGGTGGTTCTACATTGTGGGACATGCAGGTTGCCCTCAGCTGGAAAGGGGGCTTATTACTAGCATAGCTTGAAGCAGAGGCCCGAGTCGGCTCGCAATGAGACGTATTCGATGCTGTAGCACTTTCAGTCTTGGAATACTGTGTCTGTCGCGGACCACGACAACCAGCACGTGGCTTCGAACGATGGGGGCTCGGGGGTGCTCGGGGGTGGAGAGCGAGATGGAGATCAGGGCCGGTGCAGATGATCCCTTTTCGGTGCATGGCATGGCGAAGGATCGCGACGGCTCTCCAACAATTGTCGCAGCCTGTCTGTCAACAGCAATTGATTTACACCGTGATCCGTATTGCTGCTTCATCCATCTGTGTGCTACCTTGCTTGCTCATGCCTTCCACGTCGCCCACCCGCGAATGTTAGCTGCGCATCTGCGCCAATATGGCGTCGAGTCTGGTGGGCGCGACGTTGAATCTTCTTCGTACGAAAGTCCCGGCCACACCGCGAGTCCTCGTCGCTGATATTCACATCCAGGTCGCCAGGTTGAAGACGCGGACCCAGACGGTACGAGCTACCAGTAAATCACCTGTCGCGACGAGCCCCCCACTGATATGCCGTTGCGCAGAGCCCTCCGAGGCCGGACAGAAAGAGATCTTCTCATCATGGGCACTCTTCATCCTGATCATGCTGCTCATTGCGGCGCTCTTTATGAGCTACATCCTGCAGCAGAAGAAGATTCAAGCGGTCCATGAGACGGTCATATCCATATTCGCTGGTGAGCCGTGTCCCCGTATGCGTCGACTCACCCGCTGATGGCTTGCCTAGGTATGGTCGTTGGCTTGGTCATAAGGATAACCCCCGGGACGATCATACAAGATACCGTCAGCTTCGACTACCAGTTCTTCTTCAATCTCCTCCTTCCGCCGATTATCCTCGCCTCGGGTTATGAGTTACACCAGGTCAGTGCATGGAGAAAGAGCTGGGCCCTGCGGAGGTGTGGAACATACTGAACAGTGCGCGCAGGCCAACTTCTTTCGCAACATCGGCACCATCTTGACCTTTGCGTTTGCCGGGACGTTCATTTCTGCTGTTTCGTTAGGTCTCATCCTCTGGCTATGGACCAGAATCCCCTTCGACGGCCTGCAGATCACCTGGGTCGAGGCTATCTCGGTTGGTGCTACGCTGTCAGCCACCGACCCCGTCACCATCCTCGCCATCTTCAATCTCTACAAAGTCGAGCCGAAACTCTACACCGTCATCTTTGGCGAGTCCATCCTCAACGACGCCATCGCCATTGTCCTGTTCGAGACCGCCCAAAGATACAGGGAAGGCGGCGCGGCTGGGAATCTGAATATCATCAGTCTGTTCGAGGCGATTGGGATTTTCTTGCTTGTGTTCTTCACCAGCTTGGTCATCGGCGTGGTAGTAGGAATTGGCACCGCTCTTGCGCTGAAGTATACCTATGTGCGCAGGTTCCCACGGATCGAGAGCTCGTTGATTGTTCTGATCGCATATGCAAGCTATTTCTTTTCCAACGGCGTGCATATGTCAGGTATGCAATGCGATCCCCTTCCTTCATGTCGGCATGCTGACGAGCACCCTCAGGCATCGTGTCGCTCTTGTTCTGCGGAATCACCCTCAAGCACTATGCATACTACAACATGTCGAGGCGGACTCAGCTCACCACCAAATTCGTTTTTCAGATTACCGCACAGCTCTCGGAGAACTTCATCTTCATCTACCTGGGCCTCACACTATTTACCGAGACAGATCTGGTCTTCAAACCGCTCTTCATTCTTGTCACCGTGGTCGGCATCTGTGGCGCGCGGTGGCTGGCCGTATTTCCGCTCTCCAAGGCGATCAACTATATCATTCGAGTGCGAGCGAAACGGCGCGGGCGAGATGTCGCAGAGGAACTTCCCTGGCACTATCAGGTCATGTTGTTCTGGGCTGGTCTACGGGGCGCTGTCGGGGTCGCCTTGGCCGCTGGGCTGCAAGGCAACGAAGGTCCTGCCTTGCGTGCGACCGTGCTGGTTGTGGTCGTACTGACGGTCATCATCTTCGGCGGAACTACGGCACGCATGCTGGAAATCCTCAACATCCGCACAGGCGTTGTGGAAGAGATTGACTCTGACGACGAATTTGACATCGAGACAGCAAACGGCGGCACCTACTATAAGCGCTCTGGAACAGGTTTCGGCCACAATCCACGGTCGTCGTCCATCGGCCTTGATTACGTGGGCAACGCACGTGAAGGAAGACCGAATGGCTCCGCGTCTCGCCCTCGCCCCGACAGAGGATACAGCAGCAGCAACGGACGCTCCCCGCCCGTCCGGCGCGGAAACCAGCGCAAGAACTCGAGTATATCTCATCGTGAGCGCGAGAACGCAGCCCAGCAAGGGAAGCTGCTGTATGGCGGCAACGGCAGCATGAGCGGATCAACCTCGGATGACGAGGAGGATGCTGCGGATCTCGATCTCCCCCCTGCAGCACCACGAAGGAAACAATCTCCTCTCGCGGCGGGTCATGATGCACGGACGCGTTCGGCGCCGCCGGATATCGTTCTCAACGACGGAGAAGATGATCCGCTTGGCGTGGACCATGGCGACATGGGCACCGCAGCCCAGACGGAAGGGACATCGACGCCCCTGGCCGGCGCCACAAACTCGATCCGAAATCTGCTCCGAGGCGCCACGGCAGATCACACGGCCTGGTTCCGTCAACTGGACGAGGACTTTATCAAACCGCACCTGTTGTTAGATCAGCACCAGGGTCAAGGGAAAGGACCGCCGCCTTCTTGAAAGGTCTGTGTTAATGTATGCACTTCTCTACGCTTTGCATGGGTTTGGGGCGTTCTTTTAAAAAGTGATCCTGGCCATGATATGCTACAGTATTTGGCCCAGAGACTCGGGAGGATGGAAGTAAGGAACTCGCCAGGGGCGCGTACTGATACATACCTCCGGGGTACAAACGAGTTCAACGCTGATAAGTGTCGGGCATTAGACGACGTTGCCGAGTACATTGTCCATTAGTACATTTTATGTGCTTCTATCTAACTTTGTAGAAAAGTGATAAAAATCCGTCATCATAGTGGATTTATATCTAACGGTGTTCAAGTTATAGTATAGCCTCGTATTACTATTAGTCCTTTTACTAATATTACCTATACCCCCTATACCCGAACTATACTAATTAACGCTATAACTAGCTAACTATATTTAAGCGCTAATTACTTTATATTAACCTTATTTTTATAGATTAATATAGATATATTAAAGTAAATAATTAAATTTTAAAAGAGGTTATAACCTCTTAAAAATTACTTTAAAAGACTAAATACTTTAGCTTTTTATATTAAGTTATTAGAATTCTTAACTTATTTACTTATTATAATTATAAAGTATAAATAATTTATAATAATAGATTAGATTAAATTAGATTAAGTAGATTAACTATAAAAACTTATTAAATTACTAGATATATAGAGCTTTATAAAGCTTTATAAGACTTTAAAGCCTTTATACTTTAGAAATTAATACTATTAATAAGCTTAAAAAAAGGAGAAAAATATGGAGATAAAATGTAGCGTATAATGCATCGGCCGGGAATCGAACCCGGGGCTAAAGCTGAGTTAACAAGTAACTGGAAGGCTTCAATGTTACCCTGCACCAATTAGCAGGTAGCGTCGAAATTCTGGTGAGATGGTAACGTACATTACACCACCGATGCTGTATCATTTTTGAACAAATTTTCGCTCTCTACAATTATCACCATGTAATTTGTGTCTGCTGTTGATTGGTGTGTTCCTCGTGTATCCTGAACACCTGGAAGACTAGGTATATCCCTGGAACTCCTTTCTTCTACTGTGGTCGGAGCTGGTGTTTTGGCAACCCCCTTTGGAGTCGCTTACCAGCCCGTATCCCGCTAAACCTATTACAGTATAAAGCGGCAAGTTCTGCTTAGTCCTAGACACTCTTTAGGCTTAACGCGCTCCCCACCTTGGTTAGCCTCCGTGAGCTCCAACCACAGTAGACATCCTGATGTCACAGGGACTGCCACTGTGGTGACATGTACAAAGCATGCGAAACTGTTTGATAATGTACGGCGTGCTTGCACGTCGTCATAACTGTTCCATTCGCAAACAGTCTATACAGCATCTCAAAGTCGAGCGCAAGAAGTAAACCTCGCATATTCTGGATTGCACCTATCTACGAACTCCAAGATGGATGTGCCAAAGTTCAACGAACGCGAGAAAGCCCTTGAGAACGACTACATCCGCCGCAAGGAGTACGTCGGTCCCGGTTCCTGTCTCAAGCATTCCACCCCCCAGATATTGTCCTCGGGTCCAGCACGCTATGCTTCACTTGAGATGGTGTGATGCTGACCTGTGGCCTGGTATCTGCCTTGTAGGGCCGAAAAGTTCAAACCTGCCGCGCCAATTCAGCCTGGCAATACCCAAGCCTCAAATCCGGGGCAGAATGTACAACCTCTGGCCCGTCGCATTTTGGAACACTCTTGATTGCTGACTATCTTCAAGGCCCAAGTGAAGAAATGAGTGATATGGAGCGATTAGGGGTGTCCCTAATGTCGACTTGAGAACGGCTGAAGCTACGGCAGCGGTGCTGACCTGTGCATGAATACGCGTTATCACGAGGTTTCCCACTCAGCAACGATGTCGTTTCCACTCTGCTTGACATTGCGCCGCATCTTTCAAGTTCGTTATGGCCTTCCGAGATCCAGCTCCCGCTTCTGTCCTTTGGTGCGCTTCTTCCTTCCGGACTACCCTCCTATCACGTTGTTTTTTCGCGTCCAACCTGGACGCACAGTTCACGCGCCCACATTCAGAGAAAACAGAGAAAACAGAGAACCCATTCCATGCGAGGGGATCGTTTTCCGAGGTGAACGCTGCTAGAAACCTACCGAATGTGGTATTGGGTTAATGGCCCCCAGCACAGGCCAAGACACGCCAGACCGCAACCGAAGGGCACGTTCTCGTGATGGTGGTGATGCCAATCCGGCTTGCGGCAAGCCAAATCTCTCCACCGTAACAACGTCTGCTAATTGACCTTGCTTTCTGGCCAAATTGGCGCGGGTAAGAGTCGGCCTGGGCAAACTAATCACGCAAAGCACGCTGTTTCTCTGTTTCAAGATCGCGAAGCCACCGTTCTTACTCACTCTGACCGAAATATCCAGAGGCCCTGAATAGGAAAGAGCCGAACCAGAGCGCCCGTTGCCCATCCGTCAGTCAATCCATGGCTTACGGTTCCGACCTAGAGAGCAACAACGCAGCCTGATGGTGGACCCTGATCTGAAACCGCCCTATATTGTTCGTCTAGCCAGGTGGCCGCTGTGAACATGTCAGAATCCTACCACACTACATATGCGAGTGGACCCGTGTTCTCGCTTCCCCATGCCTGGATTAGCACGGCGTGTACGAAAGAGCCAGACACTGGCCTGGCCACAACCATAAGTCAACATGTCCACCGCGATCGTGTCTGCGAGGCCACTTTTGCACGCGAGTCGATACCATGTTCCGACAGTTGTGCACGTTCAGAGTACATGCGAACCCTCGCCTACACATATTGCCAGCCGTCGTTGTACTCTTTTTGGTCTTTATCCTGTTGCCAAACCCATACTCGAGCGACGTCCAACTAGGACGTCTTTTTGCAGTTTCAACAGTCCAGCCCAGACAAGCCGCGGCGAATGCGACCCTTGGGGTAAGCATCACACAGACGACCGAATACTTGATATTTGCTAATAGTGCTTTTGCAGTTCCAAAGGTTGATAGCACTTTCGTCCAAACCCAGCTGGAGAACTCGCGGCCTCCAAGCGGCCGCCAAGCTCACGGGACTGGACTTCACCATACCGCCACAACCGCACAACCCCGTGGAATTCGTCGTTGCGTTCGAGGACATCGGCCTCGGCCAGACTACCACACCCAAGCATGGCTCTGCCTCGGCGTGGGTTGCGCATCTCGACCTCCTCAAATTCGTGATCGCATCTGGCCTCGAGACCGCATTTATTGTCGAAGATGACGTTGACTGGGATGTGCGCATCAAAGACCAAATCAAACTGATCTCCGACAACGTCCGGAACTATACATTCGTGCCCAAGTCCGATCCCACGCCCTACGGCGCGGACTGGGACGTCCTCTGGCTGGGCCATTGCGGCGGCGCCATCGAGGACTGGGCGCCCCCGGGCGTGATTTACGCCGACGACACGCGCATCCCCACCGACTCGTACGCCTCGTGGTCGACGGGCTATCTCCAACAGCGACTGCCCGAAGGGCACCGCATGATTCACGTCTCAACCACGACGGTGTGCAGCTTCGGATACGGCGTGACGAGGGCCTCGGCGCAGAAGATCCTCACTCTCCTCGGGCGTGGCGCGGACGAAGCCTTCGACGTCGCATTGTCGCACCATTGCCGCGAGAGGGAACTGCGGTGTCTGGTCGTCAACCCGCAGATCATGCACCACTACGAGCCGTCCAAGGATCTGGGGTATGTGAGTCCCGTCGATTCCGGCGACGGGGAGGGCGAGCCCGTGGACGAGGCCGAGTTCGAGTTTATCAAGGGCAAGACGTTCAACATTGTGGAGAGTGCACGTTGTCGGGCCTTGTTCAACGACACGTGCGCTTGAAGGATCAACGTGATGGGCTTTCAAGGTTGGGCCCGAGATGTGTCTAGACAGTACTCGTACTAATTTCGACGGGCATTGCAGGGAGAGGCTCCTCGACGGTTCGGGCACGAGTGGTCTACACTGGAAGAACGGCGTTTACTTGGGCCCCTTTTCCCCCTCCCTCTGCTGCTGTGCAGGGTGGTACGCACGAAGCGAGAATAGAGGAGCCGAGTGTGCTAAGTTTAGCAATCCGTACAAGTACGGCGAATACCCACTCTCGTCACAAGAGGATCCCGCGTCTGGGTGCCATGTCAAAGCCCTCACCTACACAGTGCAGTAGGTGGCCCTACCCCTACTGTGTGGACCGTGTCAATCTAGCGTGTTCGTGTCTGCCAAGGCGCCGACGACAGGGTGAAATTCCCCGAACCGCTCCAACGGCTCGAACGTCAAGTACTTGTGTACTACTTATAGACCACGCGACTACTACAAGTCTACCCTTGAACTCGTCTGATGAAACACGCCTTGTGGTCCCTTGCCGCTCTACACAGCCAAATACAGAAGCACAGAGAAGACATCCTTCAACGCCTGGGCCATGTTGCGAACAGGTCAGCAACTCTTCTGATGCGCAAAAGAGAGCGTCGCTGCTCGTACCTGGCATTAGTACTCCGTACAGCGCTACCTTTTCATTAGGCGATTGCAAGGGGTACACAGTACAATGTAGGTAGTAACTACACAGCACAAACGGAGTACTCCGTACCCAACTGCCAACATGCGGCTTTGCCGTTCTCATTGTCTGCCCGAATTGCAGTGCTACGATTGAAGAAGAGTGGCCAGGCGAGGCGGTTCGCACTCACTTCCTCACTCGCATATGTTCACACGTACCCCGTACTGACGCCGTACAATGCGCAGTAGACGAGCACGTTAGGAAGGACCGTGTACATACTCCGTACTTCCCTACTAAATTAGCCGCCACTTGGCTCGTCGGAGATTTTCCTGCCGCGAAGCCGACGTCAATGACCACGCGACCACGCGACCACGCGACCGACCAAGCGAATGTCTTGCATTTTTTGACGCCTCTAGGTAATTAGTAAGCCCCGGGACGCTGCAATCAAAGGCGTGGTGGGAGTAGCGCACTACCTGCAGTATAGCGATGTTTCCCGTGGCCCTGCATACCTCGTCGCATACCTTGGCGGATTTCCGCTCCAGGCGCCGCCGTCCCTGTTTGGGCAGGAGTTTGTGACGGTGTGATTAGGTAGGTGTCTCACTCAGACTCAATCTCGGTGCGTTGAGAGGGGATGCGCCAACCAGGACAGGCACGACGGGTCGGTAGTGTGGTTTGGATTCCATACCTAGGTACTCCGTAGTTACGGCCGGGCATCTCACAAGGCGCGTTCGGTTCTGGAGTCCTCGAGGCGGAAGGAGGCACTCGCGCACCACTCAGGCACTCAGGGTTCGCTAATTGCGTGTTTCTGTAACCGAGATATTAATAGCCTCGTGATGAGCAGACGCAGACGTCCACGCGAGATCGGTATGGTCCTGCGAACCGTGCGGGTGTTTCAAGTTAAGGATTACAAGAGTGTACAGTACGGAATATGTACCTGGGGTCATATACCCCCGTCGTCCACGAGGGATTCCCAGTCGATTCGCTCGCTCGACGACTGAAGCCTGCTCTTCCGAGTCACCCCGGTTATGTTCATGTTCTGTGCACCAATTCCCCTCAGCCAAGCAGATTCGCTCCAATCCCATGCAATCCAACCAGCGCTCGAAATAGACAACCCAAGGAAAGTACTCCAAACAGACATTATGCTGCTCGGGAACCGACGTTTGTTGCCAGACAATATTCGAGCAGTCATCACTTGGCAACAGCATCGGACTTTTTCCTCAAAAACACCCGCTTGATCCCACCAATGTCGCCTAGACTCATTCGACTGCTCTTCCTGCTTCCCGATGTATAACTACTAATTCGCCGGCCACTCTTCGCGTCACTCGCAACAGATGACGTACTTGGACTCGTTGATATTGTGACGGGGCTCGAATTCTGATTATTGGGGCTGACACTGAAGTGCGACGATGCGCGACGCCCACTCGAAGGCGGAGTGGAGCTGACAGTGGTCGTTGTTGTGACTGTTGTGGATGTGCTATTCGGTCCCTGCACAGTTGTCGGCCCATTGCCACTGACGGCCCTTGCCTTGCCGACCATTCCTTGAACCCACGCGTCGTTGTTATTGGGACTCGCTCCCGTGTTTGGTACCCTTCGGGCGTTCATCTTGGGGCCAGCACCTCCTAGAGGGGTATAATTCGTGGTGATGACGGGAGGAGTGACGACGGTCGTGGTTGTAATGCCACCCTGACTACTGACAACTGAATGGCGCCTCTGCGCGGGTGTTTCCGGAGCTCCTACATCTGCGTGGACAATGTCGGTTGTAGCCCCAGCTTCGCGTCGCGTAGCAGACGTAGTCGTAGCAGATCTGATGGTATAAGAAGACGGTATAGGAGGTACTGGCGGTGCTATTCCATCCCCTTTACTCGTCCGGTTTTCAGGCGAGCCAGGCCGCTGCGTCGACGATCTGGTCTTGGGATTGACAATGTCAGCAGTCTTAAAAGTCGTCTGAACTGTTGTAGGGGATCTCGGCTTTTGTCGTCCTTGCGAAACCGGGGCCACATTGGAAGCGGATGGCTGACCGTTTCCAGGAAAGCTGGCAACCTCAAGCCGACCATCGATAGTTGCACGGCTGCCATGATGCAGACTATATTCCTTCAAGTATTCCCCGAGATCAGCCCAGCCTCCGCCAACACGGACCATTACCCGATCACCATCTCCAACAGTCCGCACGAAAAGCTTAATAGGCGGTACCCCACGTCCTTGTCCGGTCCGTGTCAGATGATACAGCTTGATATCAGGATCTGCAAGATTACCCTTGCGGCTAGATTGATCTGCTCGAGCAGGCGACAGAGTCAATGCAGGGGTAGGTGTGGACGAACGCGTCGTCGATGTTGAGGAGCTTTCGGAGTCTACGTCCTTCGCCAGCCGAATTTTGGTCGGCAAGGTGGTGAGAATATCCTGGATCTTCTCATCCAGTGATTCGGACATCTTATGTCTTCTTGATGGGTGCTTTGTATTACTGGGAGGACTTGTTTGCTGCACAAGATCCTCCGTAGCGGCGCTCGTGGTGGGTGTGATGGGAGACAATCCAATCAAAGTATTCCTCTTGCTCGACCGCCTGGGCAGCACCGGCTGAGTTTTTTGCCGCGAAGGGACGTGCAGAGGCTCAATTTGCAGAGACGGTGTTGCCAAAGGTGCTGTTTCGATGGAGGGTGCTAATGGCAACACCGCAGCATCTCCCGCTCCCTGATCTGATGTATTGGGTACCTCGGACCCCGTCAATTGCGCCAGAGCTTTCGACCGTGTCTCCTCGCGTGCATGCGTTCTTTGCGAGAGCATATCCCAACTGGCCGAACGCTGTAAGACGACTTCCCGTAGCTTCTCCTTGGGGAAGACTTCGATCGAGGCTGTCGACGCCCGTTGAAGCATCGGTGGCTTCGCAGCCAACTGCTGCTGAGCTGCTGGCGCAGACCCGAACCAGGTGATTTCATCACGACTGGCCCGGAACGAATTGTCGACCACGCTGACCTTGGGACTCGGGAGAACGCTGGTGGATTTTGCGTCCATAATCTCTGCATTGGAAATGTCTGAGAAAGTCGAGTACATGGATTCAGCGACAGAAACTTTGGAGACTTCTCTTCTATGACTCCTCGGCTGAGCCAGGTCAAGCTTCAACGAAGGCTTGCGCTTCGCTTTTGGTTCGTCGATCTCTGGGCTAGGCAGCTCTGATATGTGCCCTTCTCGAGTGGTATCTTCTGCTGACAATATCTGAGAATTGTTTGGCTGGAGAGGCGATGCAGGGGCGATGCTCCTGTGGTCTTCTTCAATATGAGCCAAGCTCTTGGCCACTTTCATTGGCTCATAGCCTTGTGTTGATTTAAATACGAGCTGGTTCTTGAGAAGCACATGTTGAGCTTCAACCACCCAGGTTGCGTAGTCGAGCTCGATGTTCTCGAGCCTGTCAATCCAGGCCTGTGGTAGGGTGTCATCCTGGCCCTCGAGCATGTCAAGGAGTCGATCAATGCGTCGGCCCATATCTGACACCTGTCCACCCAGATCCATCTTTCGATTGTCCAACACTGCTTCTGTCAGATTTCGTGCAGAGTTCGGGTCTCTGGTTTGGTTGAAAGCGCGCTGGATGCCGGACTGAGTGGACTGCATCACCTCGAGAAACCTCGGCAGCTCCCTAAGTACCCGTAATCGAATGTCCCAGGTATCCAGCAATGTGTTCAATTTGGCCAGATCGGGCAAGGCCTGGATGACTGTTGCAGTGATCAGAGCCGTAAAATCACGCATTCTCCCATAACTTGCACGAGGTCCCGCAGGCCTGGACTTTGCCGAGCTGCTCGATGGACGGTGCGCTTCGAGCACATGATCTTTGATCTCGTTGATTCCCAGACTATCCAGATCGTCCCTAATTTCCTCTAGTCTGGTCTCGTAGTCTTCCACCACGGATGCAGGCAAACAGCCGTGATACTCGACGCCATTGTCTTGTGCGTCTGGCGGGGGGATGAATCCCAGACCAAACCCTCTTTCTTGCTTGCCCGGCCACTTCCATTTGGCTATCTCCTCCTTCCACTCACGCAGTTTTTGAGCGGCAAAAGCGGCCCTTATGCCGAGTTCTCGCTCTGCTGGAGTGGCATCTGCAATGCTGGATGTCAAAGCATCTTCCTGCGCTGCCCCGGTTGATATTGTTTCTGTGGCCTGTAATGCCTTCAACGTCGAATGTGGTGACAAATTCCCCAACAACGGATCGAGCTCTCTGAAGGCGAATTGGGCTTTGCGTCGAGGAGATCGGGACGGCGAACGGTCTGGAGCAATTGGGTCGAGGCGGGGGAAATTCTGTAGCGTGGGAGTTGTGGGCGCCATGTTCAGAATTGTGTAAGAATGCTTCTATCCTGCCAGCAAGCAAACGCTCTCGATAGTCGACGACTTCCAACACCCGTGGAACCAGATGACAGCATGCTGGACGAAGTCGAAACCATTCAATACTGAGGATGAGGCAAGGGCATGAGGCGATGTTTAGGGCGACAGGAGAGTGTAGACCTCGATCGATCGGTGAGGTCGGTGGTAGGTGATGTAGGCGATGGGGGCGACGAGTCAATGGAATACAAATATCGGCGACGCACCAGAGATGGAAAGGTGAGGCTGAATTCAATCTGTCTCAAGTGGGAAGGTTGGATAAATGCAGGCTTCGGACTGCAGGCTACGTCTGCACGTTGGGCTGCAGCTTGAACCTTCCCCAGAAACATTTTGACTGCGCCTGCCGCTGGCCTTGGGGCTCGGCTGGACCGGCTCCTAACGGGTGCGCCCCTGTTTGTACGCGCTCCCAGAGGCGTTCGTCCCCCCGATTTTCTTAACTAACCGCCCACTAACCCGGGTTTGCTAGATAGGCGAAATGAGCTTTTGTCGCGTATTTCCTCCCCCATGACGCGTTTTTCTCCGGTGCAACGGCGCGCGGAACGTTGGCTCGTGTTCCTGGACGTTCTTCAAGCTAACCACTTCCACACAGTCCACCCATCAGCAACCCAAATTCCCCTCCAGCTGCGACACCGACTGTCCTCTGCCAAACATGCCATGCGTTTCAAAAGCCAGATTAGAAATGTGAACTTGCTAGCCAGTATGCAGCCTCTCATTTCCAGCCGCGTCTCGGCTAACAGCAGGCAGAATTCTGTGCCTCGTTGGCGTCACTTGGGCAAATCGCCTGGTGTCGACTCAACGATGAAGATGTCCAATTCACCATCATCCCCGACAAGGGAAGCCAGGTGTGGTCTGTCTTGAGACCGGAGATGATCTTCGACACCTACATCCTCCAGTCGGCGTCACCCCAGAACACAATCAATCTAGAAGTTCCGATCCAGGCGCTTTCACGCGCCCTCAAATCCGCACTCGGGTCAACTTCGACTCAGATCAGACTAACCAAGAAAAACAATGTGCCCATGCTATCGCTGACTATTGTCACGAATACCTTCAGTAGTGGCAACAACGTGGTCGCGGCTGCAAATACCGCTCGCGAACGAGCCGGTGCCGGGGCGTTCGATTTCGATGACAATGACCTCTCCTTCAATGAGACCCAGGGCGAGGCAGCCAGGGAACGAGAAACCGTCATCACCCAAGACATACCTGTCAAAGTACTCGCCATGGAGGTCGTTGAGAGATTGCACCAGCCGCGCACCCCAGAGCCGGATGTGAACATCTGCCTTCCCCCCCTCACTCAGGTCAAGACGATATCGGAGCGCTTCACTAGATTAGCACTCGCCACTACCAAGACCTCCTCCAGCGTGAGCCCTCGACTTGAACTTAGCGCTAACATGTACGGTTCGCTCAAAATCTCCGTCAAAACAGATGCCCTCAATATCTCAAGCAGGTGGACAGGGCTTGCACATCCCGAACTTGATCCCGCATTCTTCCCAGACATGGCAAATCACCCGACCACTAGGATGAAGGAGCTAGGTGGACCGAATGGCGAGAATGAGGCAGGCTGGTCAAAAGTCCGCATCGACGCGAAGGACTGGTCAAGGGTGCTCAGCGTTGGCCGAGTTTGCACAAAAGTCATTGCGTGTTTCATCAACGAGGGGGCCTTGGTGCTGTATGTCTATCTGCCGGCCGACGAACATGGCGATGAAGGTGACCCATGCCTCACGGTATGTTCGAATTGTCCACTTTCAGACCAGAGACTGACGCATCATAAGTACTACATCAGTTCTTTCGATGCTTAGTGGTGCAGCAAGAATAGAGCAAAGGCTGATACTCGTGGTTGGCCGTTGCGGCGCCTAGAATTTCGAGTCCCAATTCCATTTCGGCGAACGAAGTACAGCGTCCTGAACTGCATCGAGATCGACCAAAGCCCAACCACAAGTATGCATCGCAAGCTGGTGGAGATGGAGGAGCACTGAAGACTTAGTCATCACACGTGCTGCCCAAGCATCCTTGGCGGTTGAGGCTCTGCTATGTTTCGATCCGTGTTCGTTTCTATCCCGGAAACCTCATTCCCTCGAACCTTAACCCGCTTCCAATTCTTGGGATGTTTCTATTCACGAATCTGAACTAATTTGGGTGCTTCTGTTAGGACTGCCCATGCGCTAAAGTCCCAGTGAGGTGGTAGTATGACATGTCACATCATGCAGCTTTCATGCGCCTTGTGCTTTTTGTAGAGATCTCTGGCGCTTACCTGGCGCCAGCCTTTGATGACCTACATATTCGCCAACCATGAGCAGTAACAACTACATGAAACTGGATGCAGATTTATCGCGGCTAACTCTTCCTTTCCGGGGGCCTCGACCATGTTGCGAAACAACGCAATCCGGAGGCGTGGCTAATATTCCCACGAACGGGACGGATGAGCCCTGGCTTGCGTCGACGTCCTCCCAACCTTGAGAGGTCATAATTCGCCCGAGCCTCTGTCGTTTACACGTCCGCGGAGCCGGCAGCCTCATCTTGACCAACACCGGGCCGGCGCGATCTGCACCGCCTTCATGGCCTGCAATGACCAATTTTGGATCAAGTACCGACTGGGATATACTCGTATGATGAGGCTGAAGCAGGTAGGCAAAGAGAAAGAATGTTTGTTGTGTGAAGCCTTTACGCTCATCCTATACCGCCACTCTCCATGAATCCCTAACCATAAGCCTTGGTCGTCTTACCTGATCTGCCAGTCCTGATAGACACGAAGTATGCACCATCACCAGCGACATCACCAGCCTCTCTCGTCGACGAGGTAGCATTCAAGCGACAGCCCACTCTTTTCTCTGAGCTGGCAACAATCTTTACATGGCTGACGCTTTCGGGACGAGTGCTAGTATATATGAGGGCGTTTGGACAGACTGGTCAAGGGGCAAAGTATGGGGACTCACATGGACGCTCTGCCCAACGCAAGCCACCCTTTTGACCAACGCCTTGGCGGTTTTTGTCACGATCAGCGGGATTCGGCTATGGACCATCATCCGATTCATCCTCTATGAGCTGAGTGCCTCTGAACGACAGGGAATGAGTCCGCATCTCCGCAAGCGACAAGTCATTCTAAGAAATGCAGGCTCGGACCTGGCGACAGCATGGCTCATGCTGAACCTAGCCTGTTCATCTCGACGGCGGCACACCAACAGGCGACGTTGGAGCACATATGGCATTGGTCTCTTCGCCATAACCTACACGGTGCTGTTTTGGATTGCGGGCGTCTTCTCTAACAAGGCAATCAGTGCCACGAAAGACGGCAGGTCGGCGGTGCTGGCACGAAGTAAACGATGCGGAGTGTGGAACGAAACTTACCGCGCTATCGCACAAGATTCGCTCTTTTCCAACGAGTTCGAGTACGGTCTGTTTGTTCAGAATGCAGCTAAACAAAGACATGACATCCAACTCAGCCTCGGCTATGCACAGGAATGCTATCTGTCTCAAGCTTTTGCCGACGGCATGTCACCCACCTGCAACACGCTGAAGACTTCGAGACTGAATTGGACTGTATGGGACAGTACGTGCCCTTTTGCACCGCACCTGTGCCATAAGGACTCGAAGGTCATTGTTCTGGATACTGGTCTAATCGACTCGCACGAAGACCTTGGCATCAACGCTTCTCCGGGCGACCGCTTAAAGTATCAGAGGCGAACAACATGTGCAGTGCTCGACGACAGCGGTTACATAAGAGGCTGGGACGGTTCGATCACGAATAGTTCAAGTCCCAAACCTGCACCAGACGCGGCGTTTGCCTACTATGGGCCCTCCTTATATAAAGAAGGCAATTGGACATACTCCTACTCGAACTTCGCATCCTTCTACAACGACTTCTCTGCCCAAGTAACGCTCCCATATCAGATCGACGTCGAGATGGCCTACGCAGTTGCCGACCCACAATACAGCTTTGGCGATTTCGAGCCCATCCCGGAACTAGTGCAGGCAAAGGCCGACTTGAACATGTTCTTTCTCAGCTTCACCGGGATGTACCTGGACCCCATCGAGGATCCTTGGTTTTCTGCACACAGAGAAGCACATTTTCCCAACCCGAATGTTTTTCTGCAGTCCCGATTCTCACGCGACGCGGCGATCAGTTCTCTTGGGTGCACAGAACAGCATCGCTTCTGCAGCGGCAACAGCAGCTGCACAGAATTTGGCGGATTTGACCAAGTCCAAAACAACGGAACCTTCAATGCCGGACTTTCACCTCATCAAAATGTTACCTTCGACCGAATACTACGTGCCGTAACCTACTCTGGGCTGAGAAATGTGGTTATGCAACTGGAAACGACGACCACGCCGATGCTGGCGACCAACGTGAGCATGAGCGGGCAATCCGGTGCGGTGGTCTCTCCAGGACTGCCGGACAACCAGTGGACGCTCGAGGTGGGCTTCTGGCACTCGATTGCCATGGCACAGCTGCAACGAGAAGTCGTCCAGTGGGCCACAGGACAGATTGCGCCAGAGCCGCAGTACTCTCAATATCTGCTTCCTCCCACCGAGGAGCCAGACAAATGGTTTTGCAAGAGCTTCATGATTCAGTCAATCGTCTATCAGTCCTTCAGCCTGCTAGCCATCATCCTGATCGTCATCTTTGGGACGTTAGCAATCGTTATCAGTCTTACCATCGAAGACATCGCAGCGTTGCTGAGGAAGTGTTTCAGGAAGTCACCTCCGCCGAGGAGCTGGGATCATTTTGATATGCTTGGGGATCGTACCCCTGTAATACCTCGATTCCAGCCAGATGAACGTCTGAGCCGAACAACTTCTCGCCGGCACAACCCTAACAGGGGCCTTGAGCTCAAAACGAGATTTTCAACACCAGAAATCAATCGCATGTCCTCTCCTACACTACCTCCAGATGATCGCACAATCTCCATCTGGAACGCTCATGCGAACTCTTCGCACTTGAGTCCTCCGAAGACGGGTGAAGCACCTCCCCGTCCAGCCAGGGAATCCTGGATGGCCATCAGCCTGAATGAGTTTGAGTTCACGACTCCGGATACTGCGATCCCGACACTTCGTAGCGAACGTCAAAGGAGGATGGCCAGGCCCATAGCATCACCACCTCCAGTTGTTGCGCCGCCCTATGCTCGACGTTTCGAGCGCGACACGGCTGTTAACTATGATACATGGGTTTGAAGTCATAGCCATCAATACCCCAGTTCCTGCCCAACCTGAAATCCCGGACTTCCGTCTGCGAGGCCGTCCTAGGGGTCTAGGTACCAGATCACTGGCATCCGTGGAATCGCAACCGCCATTTCATGGCTGCCCGTGTATCTGTAGCCCATATTGTGGAGGCTCAACATCTGACCAATCTTCAGACCTGCCATCGAGCAGATAGCGAATGGTGGGCCATCTCTCCTCGAGAAGGCCATCTCTTTCGATACTTCACTCCCCACATTGGCGCCTCTAGAAGCCGCCATTGCCTTTGGTGCGACCAGTGCCAGTGACGCCTCGTGATGCGATATTGCCTTCGCTAAGACCCCGTTCGACAAAGCTATCCCTCTTGAAGCCGCCATTGCCCTTGGTTCGACCAGTGCCAGTGACGCCTCGTTCTGCGATATCGCCACCATCGAGATCTCTTTCGATGACGACATCCCTTCTGAAGCCGCCATTGCCCTTGGTACGACCGGTGCCAGTGACGCCACGGTCCATGAGCCCTACTCCATCTTAACAGACAGCTTCGACGGCGTCCCAGGTTGTGTCAACTTACCGGCAGGGGGATCAACTGGCGCAGCCATGGCTACCGCTGCAATAAAAGCCACAATGAGCGAAATGATTTTCATTTTGAAGAAAAGGAGAATTCTGGATGCGGAGATGTGGGAGAGATTGAGGCCTCTATGCAAACAGAAGAAATCGAGGATGTGTTGCGGCAACTGAACTCGGTACTTGTGGTGGACCGAATCAAGTGGGGATGGATCCTGAGACTGACGGTGGAAGCACGACCACAGGACGAGGCAGCAACTAAATACTCTGACGCGCAGGTGTCCAGCTTCCCTATCCCTATCAGGAGGGAGTCACGTCAACCACAAGCGCGCGATACACATCTGGCATGCCCATCACATGGTCGAAACGAGGTGGACATCAGGAGAAAGCCGACGCTGTGCTAACATGAGGAACGCAAAGAGCAGAGGGGTACAACATAGAGTCTCATACGGCCAAGAAAATGCCAGGCGCTGCCGATGATTGGGAGATCATCAGCCGCTGCCACAGGGATGCTCAAGAGCAGAGTTGTGTGTCGCACATTGTCCTGGCGGGCATCAGGTAAGGTGAAGGGTTGTGCAGGCTCGAAGTGGCACCAACACACGGCACGACCCGGGAGGAGTCACCATGTCGTCAGACTGTGATTGAGCAACCGCAAGCGGCGCAGGAGTGCTCATGGAGCAACACTTCAAGCGCTATGACGATGCAAGGCGAAGGAAGAGTGCCGCAGGAGAGATTCCAACCGTTGCGAATGTCGCAGGTGGTGGACCAGATACAAGAAGCTGATGCATGGCGGCTGTGGAGATTAGACGGCCAGGGGATAGTTTGAAGGTTCAGGTTGGCTTGTTGGCCTCTGACGGTTCCAGCAGACTGGCAACGCAGCGCAACAGGCCCGAGCACCATGAAACGCAGCACCAGGCAAGAACGCAGAGGATATCGAGTATGGTCCTTTGCGTGGTTAAGAAATGATACACGATCATGAATAATGAATGGCAAGGACTGTGTTTGAACTCAACACGAGTGTCGTGGTGAAAATCGAATCAGGCGGGCAAGCGCGCTGCAGAAACTGCCGCAATGAAACAAGCCCTCCAGCCTATCAAGGGGCATCAGGCTCACCAGGCTGGCTCAGTGATGCCAATTGGCGGTTACTGCAGGCACGGGCGTTTGAAGTCAGGGACGCCCCGTAGGCGCCCAATCGGCGGGTGTTCCTCGCCCAACCGAGACTGTCCACCACAATCAGTCCTGGCGTCTTCCATGACTGAGAGTCGACATCAGAACGTCTTTCCACTTGAGGAATTTGAGCTCTTTCTGTTTCGAGAGCAGACTCACCTAAGTAAGATGGACCCTCGGCCAATGACGCGAGCACGCAATGACAAAACCCCCACGGGCTTTCCTCTTCGTGGGGAAAGCGAGCCAGAAGGCATTCACAGCCTCAACGACTGTGCGACTAGCCGTGTTGACGACCACAACCTGAGATGATAGCAGGCCCAGGCAGCGCGGTCACCGTGGCCATCACCCGAGACAGGGAGTGCACTCAACACGCAGCAGCTCTTGCCCCTTTCCGTTTCGCCTGCAAAGCGCACTTTGGATCACCACGCAGCTTGTTCGATCCGAGTAGGGATGGAAGCTGCCCGGGCACACCGCTGTTCTACGGATCAAAAAATTGCTCAACGTTTACTTTACCGCCTTGTCAGCCACCACTTTTACTGGGGATAATGGAGGAACGCCTTCCTCTAGCTGAAGCGCTGTTGCAAATATTGCACCTCGAATGAGCTTTGGACTGAGGCGACTACCAGGCGCTGACCACGGAACCTTGTCTTTAGACTCGGCATCGATCGTCATGGTGTCAGCTGAGCTTCTCAGTACGACTGAGGGACGGAGCTCATAGCTACGTAGAGAGCAGCACCGCTTTGTGCAAAAATGTCGGTCGACCATTGTCAAGCGCCGGTGTGCATGGAATAGCAGCATATCAGGCGTCGAACGCGTCCGCCCAGCGCAGATACCTAGGTACTTTTGCGGGATAAGTGATGTGCTCGGAGGAAGGTCTCTATCTCAGTAACAAGTATCTATATAGGTCCGTGTATACTAAAGCAAGCTGAGGGTGAGTTGAACGTTAGGTGAAAGTCCAGGCAGCAGGAATAAACTTAATTGGGCAGGTACGAGGTACACCTGTTACACTGGCATGGTGATCAGCGCCGGCACCGCTGGAATAACACGAGATCATCAGGGGAACACAGAGCAACCTCAAGCTGCCTGATTGCAGGATGAGTAACTATTCATTCAATTCCCTCTCACTGAGGCGAGCCACCTCCGCAAGTTTTTTGTCATGCTTTCACTATTTGCTCAGTGTGTGCTCACATGCTGCTTCTGTGGTGCTCACTTCCCTTGGTCGACGGCTTCAACGCAGACCAAGGCAGGAAAAGAGACCATGATATGCTTGCTCCCATTCACTGGCGCCGTCTTCACTCGATCCGCTAAGATGGTCCAAGGTTTCGTTTCGCAAAGCTTGATGGCCTCAATGAGCCGCCTCTTCACTCAGCCCTCTCGGGTCGCTGTCATTGCCTTTGCGTCCTTCATTGGCTTTCTCCTCTTATTGTTCGGTTACCGCAACTCGCCTACTAATGTCAGATCACCATCGCTTGCGCCCTCAGACTCCGGTCGAGGTACCATCAGCGCTGCGCGGCAAAAGTCCCTTGGTGCGATCCAGAATACCACGCTAGGGGTAAGCTCGTCACTCCTTGACCATTGATTATTGCTCGTTGCTTGTTCCCCCACCACCGTCAAACAACCACCGCTCAATGTGCGAGACCGACTGACGCTGTGCTTCTTGTGTCGACGCATAGTTTGAAAAGATCCTGGCCATCAACCTTCCCGAACGGACCGACTACAGGGACGGACTGGCCCTGGCGGCGGCTGTCTCGAACATCCAAGTCGAATTCATAAACGGCGTGCATGGAGACACGGTCCTCGACAAAGTCCTCCCGCCCAAGCATGTCGAGAACCCTGAAGCGGCACTACGGGGGAGTTGGCGCGCCCATGTCAATGCTCTGAGGAGGTCCGTCTCCACTTCTTGCTCTTCTCCCCGAACCCCTAGCTCCTAGCTCAAGAGGGTACCTTGCTGGGCTAACCTCTACCAGCGTTGTCGAGCACAACTGGACGACGGCGCTGATCTTCGAAGCCGACGTCGACTGGGACGTGCGGGTGAGGGACGTGCTGACGAACGTGGCGCTGGGATCTGTAGCCTTGCTCTCGCCCTCCTCCCCACAAGGAGTCGAAGACCAGCAACTTCATCTCTCTAGACTCTCATTCCCCGTCACCGAGGCGCCACTCTCCCCGTACGGCGATGGATGGGACGTCCTCTGGCTGGGCCACTGTGGGATGCAGATCCAACGAGGCTCGAACATCGTGGTGATCGAAGATGAGGACACCGTCCCGGAGGCGCAATTCGTGCGGACCTGGGATGCCGACGAGAGGTCGCCCCTCGAAGAATACCCTGCTCACTCGCGCATCGTGTTCCAGCCGGAAGGTTGCGTCTGCTCGATCGGATACGCCGTGACACAAGGTGGGGCGCGGAAGCTGTTAAACAGCCTGGGCCTCCATCGCCTGAATGCTCCCGTGGATATCATGCTGCGGGAGTGGTGCGAAGGGCAGGATGGGGATGGCCCCCACGTGTGCGTGGGTACGCTGCCCACTGTGTTTGCGTCGCATAGGCCGGCGGGATCGACGGCTGGGGATAGCGATATGGGGACGCCGAGCGAGGGGTTCAGAGACAGAGGCTTCACGCAGAATATCCGGTGGAGTGTCAGGATGAATATGGATAAGATCGTGCGTGGCGATACAGACTATGAGGATCAGTTTTCTGATACTGTAGAGGAGCTTGTAGATTAAGAGCTGGATGTGTATGTTGCAGAGGTTAAAAATATCCATCATGTCGGATAAAGCTGAATGGATTTGCCATGTGTTGTTATGGATCTTGCCTGGGCGCAAGACAGCGTCGCCACAGATAGACTTTGCGTTGAATGGGCCGCCTGCTGATGTGCCTGGATGGTTGCATCGTCTTTGATGACAGGATCACTGGATTGTTGAAGTTCGTCGAGGAGATTTCCAGCGACTTGCACTGCGATCCCACCATATCGTGGTAGCCAATTACCCCCTCAGGTCCAGCCTGCACTGTAGGCCTGCTCTAACAGGTCTTTGATTCAGTCCACTTGGACACTGACGTGCTTGGCCGCGGTCTGCATCGATGACGCTGGTGTGATGTGCAATGTCGTAGAGAGATATTCTGGCTCGGGCAAACCTGGCGATCGCAGTGTCTGGGACTGGGCTAGATGCTCCCGAGTGCCTGACATTTTCCCGCATTGCGACTTTGTGCAGGTTGAGGGCATAGAAGGCGGCAATTCGATGCAGAGCGGTGCGGCATCCGGTGGGACGATAGTGTCGTCGTTTCGCCTGACCCGAACATCAACTCAGGCACGTTCATCGGCATCAGGCTTCTCCTGCAATCCCTCTCGTTCGCGCCGCCTCTTCTCCTGCCTCGCCATCGGATGCTCCCCATCCTCTGGAATTTCGCCGGGCTTGAGACCCAGCGCTCTGCGTAACCGCTCGCTCTCCCGTTCCTTGGCCTCAGCCAGCTCGTGCACCTGATAACTCTTCAGCCCCTTGCCGTCGACCCTCCTAGGTCCCGTGCGTTGCTGCTTCTCTCTCTCCATCTCTCTCGTCAACTTCTCCCTCAACCGATCGCACTGCTCGTCAATCTTATCCTCGTCGATTTCTTCTTCTTCTTCGTCCTCCAATTTCTCCCGCAACTCCAAAACTTGGACCTCGATCTCTCTCAGTCGGTCGTGGTTCAGGATCTCTTGGTCCGGCTTGCGCACCTTGGGTGGCGCCTTTGCCGCGGAGTCGAGGCTGTAAGGCACGCCGACGCCCGCGGCTCGAGGTTTCAGGAGGGAGAGGTTGCGCTGGACGTAGCCTGAGGTGCCGGACCCGCGGGGTGTGGAAAGGCCGACGTTGGACGACATCCCTAGAGAGTGGCTATGGTATTCTACAGTTACTGTGTAAATTGGGAAGGATGGTTGTTAAATCAGAGAACTTTACGGATTACGAGTCCTCCGTAGTGACAGCCGTGAGACCGCAGGCGAAGAAGGCAGAACCGGGAGCTTATCGATAGCCATCACGTGATTAGTTGCGGTGCCGGCCCCGCGGCAAACAGCCAGCAGATTCATTCCACTCCTCCCAGAATCTACGTAGGGTAATTACTCTGTTCCAGCAGTTTGTGCCACCACGATGTACCCAACGTGAACTCTCCGTAAACACAATACGAGTACTGTGTAACTCGTACCTCGAACTCGTAAACAGAGGTCGCGTGGCATAGCGGAGTCCATGCAAGAGCCCATGACATGAGCCAGTCAAGCATCGGGTAAAACCATTGTCGCCGAGAGTGTGACGTAGACGTGCTTTCGGAGGTTGTCGCGGGGGATGGATGCTTCGAGAAACACAACGCCGTTACTGTGTAGTTGCGGCAGCTGCAGGCACACAGTACTGTGTAGTCACTGGGTATTATGCCTGGCCTGCCTGCAGTCGCCAGGACGGGGCCCCATGACGGCACCCCTGCACAGTAAGCTTAAGCTCTGGGGGTGCCTATTGGCTACGCGGGCTGTTCGGCCCAATCAGAAGCCTTCAGGATTCATTTTCCTTCGGCTGCTTCGATTCCCGCCGTTGAGGGGAAACATTTTCCGCCCGTGTGGCTCCACCCGCACCGTCAACCACTCACCACGGACCACCGACCTTCCTTGCACTGGTCATTAAATACAGTGGTATGCCCACAAGATGTCTGTGACTAAGACTTGATCTTTCCTTCTGCTCGTGTCTGCTCCTTTCTCACACGTGGCGTCTCCTTCGTGCTTGGACAGCCTGCGCTCTCCAAACCCTGCTGCATGCTCCGCTTTCGAGTAGAGATATACTCGACTCCCCTTGACCTATTTCTGTTGTCTGCGTTCTCTGGGCTCTGGCCTCTTCTCTTTCTCGTCTCATACCGCATTTGTTGACCTGCCCTTCTGTTTTGCAGGTTTATGGTAGAATTATCGAGGCCGGGTCGACCACGTTCGCGTCAATTGCTTCTCCTCCAGCCTGAGGAGCGATCGGATTGCTGCATCGGCCACTCTCCGGGGTCATCGTTCTCCGTCGGGCGCATTATCAAACCCACGTCCTCCATCGTCGGCCTTGCCCTGTGGATGCATCGAGGCCATGTTTCCGGGCCATGGGAGTAGCCCGTCTGACTTGGGGTCATGTCGTCCCTGCCAGACTTGCTGTTCCATGGTTCCGAGGCTTTGTGTGACGGACTGCAGCCTCTGTTGACCCAGGGTGGGAACACTGAACTGGTTCACCGATTGTGCAGGCATTTTGCGCCCCTGGGAGCCCATGTGTACCGCAGTCCCGAAAGGCAACGCGTCCATACTCGCATACGTCGATCCGCCAGTAGAGCCAGCATGCCCGCTTCGCAGCATTGTGGGGTCGATACCGGCGTCCATGCCATCCTGGAGCTCCTGACCGAGGCCGTCCGGCAAGCTGTCAGCTAAACCATCGGGGAGACCATCGGCCATGCTATCAGAAAACCCCTCCGATACGCCATCGTCTTCTCCATCCACCTCCATCATCGATGTACTGTGCCTCCCCAGCCCTAGATCCGACATTCTCTCCCCGAACATATTTCTGTCGTCGCTGGTCGTCGACAGAGGCGTCATTGTGAACGGAGTTGTCAAGTTCTGTGATGGGACTGGTGGCTGCGGCCGGATATCCGGAGGGTGATATGATCTTGGGAGAAGCAGTTGAGTCTGTGTATCCAACATTGAGTCCGATCGGGAACCACTAGGACGTTGGTTGTCGACTCGAGGAGGACTCAGACCCAGCCCTCGAAGGATGGCATCCGTCGATACACGACCGCCACTTTCATCCGGGACGACTCCTGGGAACCCGGTTCCTTCTCGACAAGCCCAGTAGAGTCTCTGCAACGCTTCGTCGATGATGTCTTGCATTCCCCAGTACCTATAAGGAACACGTCAGGTTTCGACCACAAATTACAGAGCTTGAAAGTTGAAATTCGAGTATTGGGGGTTTTCTTGGAGCACATACCAGTCTCTGGCCTCCCTCCGCCTTCGCGCACTATATTCACAGGTACTGTCACTTGCGGTGCAGGTTGAACAAGGAACGTTGCCATCGCACTGTGCGGAAAGGTTAGCACGTCCGATTCCGAGCATGTCGAGCCCGTCAATGCCTGTTACCGAGGGTGAGATTTACCTTGCTCTTCTTGACCTTGCACCGATCGCATGCCCTTCCTATTCTAACGCGAGATTTCGGGAGGTCAGTGACTCCGGGTCTCGGAGGCGGTCGGCCCTCCTGGCTTTCTTTGCGGTTTGGCATTTCGCAGTCGCTTTTGACGGACGGCTGCGTTACGTCGAGGCCGTGGTTCTGACTCCGGGGACACGGGCGAAGAGGTGCGTGGCTGGCCTACCGAGGATTCCAGTGTCCAGATCTACGCGGCAAATAGAAACCACAAAGTCGGGTATATTCGTTCATACTTTGAACTCAGCTCTCGCGCACTGTTTCTGCCAGGCCCGCCACGGCGAGATCGCGTCCAATGAAGTGTTCGGTCGTCCGAGGAAGGCAGTACCTCGTGAAATTTCTCTGGCACGCCTCGTCTCATGCAGTGAAAATTATCCGCGGAAAATTCCCCCCGTTCATGGAACGAGACGCGAATGTGAAGTGGCAATGTCGAGGCCGTTTGGTGTCAAGGTTAAGGTTAAGAAGAGAATCGGGGCAAATGCCGTTCGATTATGCAGCCACGAATGATACAACCATTACACAGTAGATCGGAGCGTCCCAATCGGCTGATGGGGCGAGTGGCGCATTCAGCACGAAGCCGGTGTCTGCTTCAATGCCGCGGGTATCACAGCTGTGGCTTGTGGGGGATCCAGGGGAGCTCGTAGCTCGTATCGTGAAGTGTCGCGAAAACTCTGGACATCTCTGGAAGCGTCTTGAGGCGTCGGGTTTCGAGATCCCCGAATGAGAAACGCCTGGAACTACGTTTCCCGGATTTACCCAGAAATCGAGCAGCCAATTGTGTGCGAGCGCAAAATTGCTCCCTTCAACCGCCACTTGTCGCCACGTGGCTGTGACTCTACCATCAGAGGACAAAAAGTACGGAGTACGGAGTACTTTCGCCGTTTTGTCGGGAGGTGGGTAAAAGCGATCCAGCGGCCATCACACATCAATTACCGAAGGACTGTGCTGTTGGCGGTAAACGTACTGTGTACACAGTAGCTGCCCCGGCTGCAGAAATCTTGCGCACATGCAGTGGGATTTGACCGCCCGGGACTGGGCCGGAACGAGCTTCCACGCTGACCATCAGAGGCGCTGACCATGTCCCACCTCGCCTGGATGTTTTATCCAGGAGGCATTTCCGGCAGAGCATACATAGTACACAGCACCTAGGTACCTCGCATGTACACAGTAGTCATTGGAGAACCAAAAGTATTTCTAAGCGCACCATGGGCTCTTCCTTCTGCCGACTCGGTGCGGATCCGAGTTTATGTACGAGCTTTTGCCCAGTCTCACTGTGTCTCGACTCGACATGCTCGCGAGCAGTCCCTGGCAGTCCATGACCCTTCTCGGACCCCTCCTTGATCCTCAGCAATGACAACTCCTCCCGATCCAGACCCTCCGGAAAATTCTAGACCTCCCTTGGAGCGATCGCCCTTAAGCCCGAAGATCGCAGCGCTCGATTCCCTCCCACTGCACCTCACGCATGCTCGTACGGAGTCCACCCTGCGCAGTTACCACTTGCGAGACGCCATCGCTCGAACTGGGTGACGGCGACCGAGCATCACAGACGATCAAAACGGCCCACCGCGCACAGCATCACCTCGTCGTCCTTCTGCTTTGTCACGAACATCTCAGCAACGGGTCTGACTCTGTGGATTTGAAACCCTCTAAGCTGTTGGGAGCAAGATCGACGCTGGGTTTGGTCTCGCTTTCCACTGCCCGTTCAGGCTTGTGCCCTGTCGTTCAAGCCCCACCAGCGTCCGGAGCCAATATTCTCTACACAGGTATGGCAGATGCTGACGGCTTAGATGACTGCGTCCTTTCGCGCCAACCTCTGATGTCCATCCCTCTTCCTAATTGACGCATTCTGGACCGGCATATCCTGGTAACACGCTGGTGGCAGCAATGGGAGATATGCAATGTACGAGGTAGGCTCTGACTAGACAAGGCAGCAAGATACGGCTTACCGCCACTCCAAAAACGTTGCCGATCCTGCGGAGATGGCTCGAGGATCGTCAAAGGTGTTCCCGCCGTCAAAAGGCCCCTCAACCATTCCGAACAGCCAGGATAGGACGGCCTCGCAGCGGACTGGCTCGCCGGAACGGCACTGATGTCTCAGTAGTTTTGCCACTCGCATAATGCCCGACGCCGCCAGAGTCCTGTCATCCTGATGGCGCAACCACGGTTTTCGCCCCGGGGAAAGCAAGGAACTGACACCAGCAATTTCAAAATGAAGATGAGTGATTCACAACACAAACGCGCCGGACTTGACGCGATCATACCCCCGTTGTCTCCGTATGCACCTGCTTGTCATGGTCGTCATACTTTCGGTCCATTTGCATCGGGGTACTGTGGTACAGCTTCCTTCCTGGAGCTACCAGGACATGTTCGTCTATCCAGCCTACTCCGCTGCCCGACCTGGACCTGCATGGCGCGTTCCGGTCTGTAGACTGTTTCTTGTCGCTACCCCCTGTGCTCATCCCTAGCATCGAAACAATACCATCGCATCAGTATCTCGCCCTTCTTGTTCACTCGTAGACTTGCGCTCCAGGACGGACTTGGGACGATGGGCATGGCATCGGGATTGGAAACAAGCACGAGGATCACGGCATGTACCACGAGAGGACGAGGACTATCGGCTTTAGGACAGGTCACACCGCAGGCTGCAAGTACTGTCACCAGTTGTGTTCTATCCAAAGCTGAAAGTGAGGGTCAGGTAATGTGGATTGAGGGGCCAGGTAAGGTGAAGTAAGGGCGAAATTTACACTACGTAGATGTGATGGTCACTCTCGAGGCAAGTGGAAAGGTATGTAAGGGAAGGTAACGGAAAGCAAACACAGAGATAAAACGTCAATGAGATAACTGAACGTTAAAATAACTTCGGATTGACTGGTGTACCTGTTCGCACATATAACGGGTCCTTTATGCGTCCACTATCCTCAACTCGGCTATATATGTATATATTATATAGACCACGAAGTATCCTTTATCCCCCACTAGTTTCTTTTAAGAAAGGGAGCGAGGCCAGATTTCCATCCCCTTTGCCCACCTCCGGTTGGCCGGCCTCGGTCAGCCTTCTCTAGCCTCGTCAACGGGACCTGTGACCCAAAGTCTGTAACGACTCTGTCCTATTGAAGGTCATTCATAAAACCCATTCCAGCAAATTGACCAATGCCTGGTCAAGTCGCGCCTCGCATTGGGCGATCCCCATGACGAATCGTCCTTTAATATATTATGTGGCAGAATTGCCGGCGGGTAATCCGACATTAACCTTCACCTCGGGCCGTCTAGACGGAACGAGTAGCACCAACGCCCTCTCAACCCCCAGCGGATGTAACGAGCGACGCGTGTTAGCATTACAAACACACACCATTTCGACCGAAACCCGTCCGTCTCAGCCAGGGCGATTGCAGTGTTTGTGAAAAAGCTCAAAAGGGGGGCCGTTCTGAATCGCCACGGTCCTGGCCTCGACGACGCGAACTGTCAAAAGGGGTCTTTGGTCGTAACTATCACCATGTCGCAAATTTTCGTTCTCTTCTTCCCGGGCTCGTATTGCCTGCTCCCCCTCTACCAGCCCCTTCTCGACGCGGTCACCAAAGCGGGATGTGAGATCAAGGGCATCCATCCACCGACGGTAGGACCCAGCAGCCGACAAGGCTATGCGCACACAGCGCCTTCCATGTACGACGATGCGGCGGTGCTCGCACGGGAGGTCGAAAGGCTGGCCGATGAGGGCAAGGACGTGATCATCGTCGGCCACTCGTATGGCGGCGTCCCGATGACCCAAGCCTCCCAAGGCCTGGGCAAGGAGGAGCGCAAGGTCCAGGGCAAACCTGGCGGCATCGTTCGGCTGGGCTACATGAGTGCCATCATCCCCGCCCTCGGCCAGTCAGCGCGCGGAGCCATAAGCGTGGTCCCAGCCGAGCAACATCCTCCCATCGACGTCGATGTAAGCCTTTTCCCTCTCCCCTTTCCTGCTCATTTCCTGTTCGCGACCGTGCCGCTGTCGGCTCGAGACTCTCGCTCATAAATCCTCATTGTTTCAGGAACATGGCTGGATGCTGATGGCCGACCCCGCGGCGACCGCCGGCCTCATCCTCCAACATCTGCCGCCTGACGAGGGGGCCGCCATCGTCGGGGACTTTGCCAAGCACTCGGCCCGAAGCTTCCTCGACCCGGTGACCCAGACTGGGTACAGGGACATTCCCGTGTCGTACTTGCTCTGCGAGGAGGATCTGGTCGGGCCTCCCGATCTGCAAAGATCCTGGATCGAGAGGGTGGAGCTGGAAAGTGGCCGAAGCGTACATGTGACGGCGGTGCGGACGGGCCACATGCCGAACCTGACGGCCGAGAAGGAGACCGTCGACTGGATCCTCCAGTTGGCAAGAACGGCAGATGCGTAGGAATCGACTATGCTTACCAAACCCGTTCGTTCAAGGTAGCAGAAATGAAAATATCATTCGTCAACATGGCTACGTGATTGCGTCCTCCTTCTGTGCCTGCTTCAATGACTATTCTTATTAACATTGGCCAGCCACGGAGAAATGAAGACGGCCGGGCATGGTCTATCTTTTCTTCTGTCCTAGTAAAAGGACTATAACGATACTCGGCAGGCGGCGTGAATATGGCGGGGAAAAAAAGGGCTTGTTGACAAAGAGACACAGATACCACTGGGCCTCGAGTAGATCATATCCCTGTCTAATCATTGCTCAATGTGGCTGGTGGCCTCGACCGTCTGCGCAAACCATTCTCGAAGGCGCCCCCAGTCACGCACGCGGAACCCGATCTTGAACGGTTTCGGCTCGATGGACAGCCCCGTCGGGTTGGCGTTGCACTCGAGGGGGCCCGTCAAGACCGGGCGCTGCGCCGGATCCTCGGCTGGCAGGACTTCAAGGGCGACAAGCATGCGGATAAACGTGACGTACATCTCCCTGTACGCCAGGTGCGAGCCGGTGCACATGCGCGAGCCTGCGCCGAAGGCGAAATGCTGCGTCCCCGAGCCTTCTGCGAGGTCTAGAAAGCGTTCCGGCCTGAACTCTTCGGGGGCCTGGAAGTGATCTGCGTCGTGATCGGCCGCCCACGCATTCTTGGGTGATACATCAGTCACACTCAATTCATCGAGAGGAAAAAACACGAGGAGGATGGGGAATTCATCTGCTGGGGCAGGTGTTCGACTTACCATGAGGAACGTCGTTCCGGCAGGGATGGTTGCCCCTTGGTAGACCACATCTTTGATGCTCACTCGTGGCAGAGACATGGGGATGACCGTCCAGAAGCGAAGGACTTCTTTGCAAAAGGCCATCATGTAGGCACATTTTTCTTCCACGAGACACTTTCCCCAGGCGTCTCCGTCGGGATAGATGCGGTCGATTTCGTCGAGGAGCTTCTTCTGCAGTGAGGCCCCTTGGGGCCCCGAAAGAATGGCAGTGCCTAGCAGCATGCAGGCCGGAGTGGTATCCAGGCCTCCGGCAATCATCGTCACACAGATTGATTTGATCTCCGCTACATGGAATGTCCCGGTCAGCGGATGTTTTCGTATTGTAACGTATCTTCATCGGCCCAGGCGGACACCAAGCAATAAAAAGGGTCAAGGAAATCAAAATTCGTACCGTGATTTAGCTTGCATTCGGGATCCTGCAGGATGTTCCCAGTGATACAAGAGACGTCGGAGCCATTGGCGATCTTTTCCTTCAGTCTTTGCAAGAGGTATTCCAGGTAAACATCTCGCCGGTGCCGAAGCTCAGATGCGTGGTTAGACCGCGTAGAGAAAATCCTCAGCAGCGGGACAAAATCTTGCCAGTTGTTGCTGGTGCTTCGGAGGGTGCTGATGCTCCGTTCAACAGTGATAATCTCACGCAAAAGATTGTTGTCGACCGAGCCGCCAATGCGGAATCCATAGCCAAGAGTCAGGCTCAAATTCAGTGCCAGGCGTTGAAACAAGGGATAGGGGTCGAGGTCGACTTGGCCCTCGCCTCCCCCGATATGGTCCACCAGTTCTTTGATGCTGGCATAGGATTCCAAGTCGACAAATGGCATGTAAGACGCAACAGAAGGTCTGTTCAATGCAGTGGCGGCAGCCTTGCGTCGCCTTTTGCAAGATTCATCCCATGGTGATGTGCCAATGGTGAATCCTTGCGATGAAGACAGCACATTGTGAAAGGTGTGCAATGTCGGCCGCGAGATCAGGCTTGACTGATTACCGACCCAGAGTTGCCGGACGGAATCGAAGCTGTTTGCAACGACGAACCTCTGGCCAGAAGGATGGACCGGTTAGCTGTCTTTGCTTTTCAGACATGAGTAAAGATGCATTCTGGAGCTCACTTTGTTTCCCAACCTGATCTGGAATACCGGTCCATACTTCTTGGACAACTCTGCCAGCCGCCGGGGCTGCTCGCTCCCCAATTGAGCAAGACTTCCAAGTATGGGAAGCCCAGGTACGGAGGGCATGTGTCTGATGTGCGGGACGTCCGTGGTGTCGAAGATCAATACCACCCCGACCAGAAACACCAGCCCAGCAAAGATCGCAACCCACGCGAAGGAAGTGTTCAGAAGCTCGCTGAGCCTCGCCGTTCGGGGGAGTTTTCCCGCTGCAACCGGCAGCAGGTCTGCCATGCTGCTTCCCATTCTCGGTCGGTGAAGCAGAGCAAACGGGCACGGCACTGATCCAGCTCGTCCTCACTACCTTCTGCTTTTGTGGTTTCGGCGATTTACCGTCTTTTTGAAGATTTCTAACCTCACCTCTTGCACAAGGGCAATAGCTACGATCAGTCTGGCCGGAGTTCTCGAACACAAACGTACCCACCTAACCGCGAAGAGCTGTTCGCTTCTACCCATGCCTTGCCCGGGACATCCGGCGGCATCTTGCACGAGCGGAAAGCGACCAATATCTTCGGATCCTGACAGGGAGGGCGGTTGTTCGGGCCTAGGCTCCCATCCGAAACGCTAGACCTGCAGAAAAGATGGACCGAAGTCCTTGCAAGACTCTTGGACACCGTGGTCAAGTAGAGAGGCCGCCGAAGATTTTCTGTAAGCGACTGCTTCCATTACAAGATGTGAAGGGCCGACTTCCAGCGCGATACCCGTGTCCCAGTAAAAGGAAAATGTGTTAGGAACTTATGATTGCAGATATTTTCCGAGCACCATGATAGCCCAAGTATGTCTAGGTTGCAATATATCTCTATATCCATGACGGTTTAATCGATGGCAGGATCGTTCCTGAGCACTCGCCAAAGCCCACCAGGTTCGAATCATCATCACCGCACCATCCTCGAATGACAACACTGTCTCCGTCCTCCAGGAAAGTCCGGCGGATCGTAGCAGATAGATCGAAACTCCTCTTGCCTCCGTTGGAGGCTTCGAGGAAAGAGCCCAAAGTCCCAGGTTCGGTGCCACTGATGGTCCCTGACCCGATCAGATCACCGACTTCCAGAGGGCAGCCGCCCACGGTGTGATGGGCGAGCATTTGTGCGAACGAGAATACGAGATTGCGGGCGTTGGTGCGTGACAAAATTGCAGACTCGCCGTCAGGTGCTGTGTTTGATATCCATCAGTTTTTGCCAAGTGCATCAATCGGACTGCAGTCTCAACGTACCTCTCAGCTCCACTTCCAGATTGATGTCGTAGACATTCTCTTTGCGGGCCTCCCGCAGATAGGGATGCAGCTCCGTTTCATTTGGAATCCCCGGAACATGAAATGGCTCGAGAGCATCTTTCAAAATGACCCAAGGGCTGATGGTCGACGCGAATGATTTGGCGCAGAAAGGCCCCAAAGGCACCGCCTCCCATTGCTGTATGTCCCGAGCCGACCAATCATTCAAGCAAACAAAGCCGAAGATGTGTTTCTCTGCCTCATTCACATCAATCGGTTCACCCAGGTCATTGCCTTTGCATAGTAACGCCCCCAGCTCCAGCTCGATGTCCAATCGTCGGCATGGGCCAAAGCTGGGCCGGGTGTCGGACGGACTCTGCAAGAATTGTCCCAGAGGTCGGCGCACGTCGGTGCCCGACACGACCACCGACGACGCTCGTGAGTTGTAGGCCACAGGGAGGTGAAGGTAGTTGGGCTGCAAGGCTTTGGCGGGGTCCCGGAATATGCAACCACAATTGTACGCGTGGTTTTTGCCGGCAAAGAAATCGGTGTAGCCTCCAATCTTCACGGGTAAGTGCATCTTGACCTGGTCTTGCTGAAAGAGACAGGCACGTTGAGATTCGACGTTGTGTTTCAGCAAGGCCGGGAATGGAGTGTCCTCTGCAAAGACATCCTGCAAATATCGGCGAACCTTTCTATGGACATCCTGGCCCAGAGCGGCGAAGTCGTTGAGCGCAGGAGTTGAAAAGGTTGTAATTTGACTGGGGGTGAAGCCTTCAAGTCCAGTGAAGCCCTGATGATGCGCGAACTCGTGTAGATCCAGGACGAGGTTCCCAATAGCCACTGCTGCATGTCTCTCGCCAGTTCGTGGGTTCGTGATGATCCCAAATGGTATGTTGGCCAGCGAGAAATGTGACCCTTTGGGGATATCCAACCAACTGCTCGCTCCCATCTCTGCTGATCTGTCTCTTAGAGCACACTTGTCTGAAGACACCACATCCCTTCTTTTCCTCTCTTCATGTTTTATCGCTTGACACTCACATGTTGTCCTCGAGGCTCTGGCAACTGTGAAGCATTCAGGCGGGTTTCCCGGCGGATGTCATCCTCAATTCCTTTGACCACGGAAATGCTTCCGAAGTGCTGGACCACGCCATGATCCATCTCAGGCATAAGACCCCTCATATCACTGTAGATGACAAACACGCAAGTTTGGAACAGTTCCGTCAGGTGACATGTAGTTCTTCTACAACATCGAGAAAAGCGGTTCAAGTACGGAGCAATCTTGTGCTGCGGACGCATCTCAGCAATCATAATTCCAGACAAGTTGAACCGTCAAGATGCCATACACGACCTTTGAGATCCCAGAGAAATATACGTACCAGACTGGTTTCCTGGCCAATGTGGAGTGGGTGGCTTGAAGATATTGATACACCGACGCTAACTCCGTGCTTAGAACGGAGGCCATCTTGGGAGCACTGCCCATCGGCCAAAACTCACCGCAGAAATGCCCCTACGGCCTGTATGCAGAGAAGATCTCCGGCACTGCATTCACGGCGCCCCGGTGGGAAAACCAGCAGACATGGGTGTATCGCATCATCCCCTCGGCGTCTCATGCGACGTTTGCGCCTGTGTCTACGGACCAAAGTCTGGAGACCAGGTTCAATTACATTCCTGACCAACTTCGATGGGATCCCTTTGACGTCAACGCCGACGTGGACTGGATTCGCGGGCTGAACATGGTTGCTGGGGCCGGAGATCCTGCCTTGAAAAACGGCGTCGCATATTATATCTATGGTGCCACCCGGTCGATGGCCGACAAAACTGCTTTCTATGATGCGGACGGCGACATGCTGATCGTGCCGCAACAAGGGGCGCTCGACATCCAGACCGAGATGGGCCGGCTGCTTGTCCGACCGAACGAAATCTGTGTCTTACCCCGTGGGATCAGATACCGCGTGGATCTAGTGGATGAGCAGCCGATCAGGGGATATGCTCTCGAGATCTATAATGGCCACTTTCAGCTTCCCGAGCTGGGACCTATAGGATCCAATTGTTTGGCCAACGCCCGAGATTTTCAAATCCCCGTCGCCGCGTACAGCCACGACACCAAGTCGGACTGGCTGGTATACAACAAATTCCGGGGCCAACTCTTCCGGGCGAGCCAAACTCATACACCATTTGACGTGGTTGCGTGGGAAGGGAGATACTACCCTTACAAATACGATCTGGGTCGATTCAACACCATCGGCACCATCTCATACGATCACCCAGACCCGTCTTTAAACACTGTGCTCACCGCCACCTCCAATGCACATCCCGGCACCGCTATTGCGGACTTTGTCATTTTCCCGCCGCGTTGGCTCGTCGCCGAAGATACGTTCCGGCCCCCATCGTACCATCGGAATTGCATGAGCGAGTTCATGGGCCTGATACACGGATCTTATATCGCCAAGGAGGGTGGGAAAGGAGGCTTCCAAGCAGCCGGGGCCAGCCTCCACAATTGCATGAGCAGCCATGGCCCGGACAGGGCGGCCTTCGACAAAGCCTCGAACGAGGAGCTGGTGCCTGTCAAAGTTGGGATAGGAAGTATGGCTTTCATGTTCGAGAGCTGTTATATGGTTGGGATCACGGACTGGGGGTTGACCAAGTGCGCCAAACGACAGCCCGATTATTCCGAGGAGAGCTGGGGAGGATTGCAGGATCAATTCTGTCCGCCGCCTGAGCACCGCTGATGAAGTCGGATTAAGTGATTGATCGCTTGTAATAAGAGACGTGTATGCCAAGTGTATGCCAGCAAGATAACTTGCTCCGTAGCCTACGCCGAGGTGGAAGAAAGGTGGTTGTGGGGTCCCGGCTGGACGTCGCCATTTGCATCCGAGCACCGTAAAGGCTATAACCCTTAGCTATCTAGGGAGTGGTCCAGGCCTTAGAGCCAGGTCCTGTAGGCCTGGGAGCCGGCGTCCAGTTCTTTTAGCTTTTACCCAGCCATGAGGGCGCTGTGAGGCCTCTAGCGCCTTGGCACTGCTGCCTGCGTTTCCATCACAGTCATGACTGTCATTTCATAAGCTGCTCTAGAGACCATACAACACAATACAGCCCCTCCATCATATTCCCTTTGTCTTGACCATCAGCGCCGACTTCGCTACCTCGCCGTCTTTCATCACCTCATACCTCCCCACCATATGCTTGGTATTGCCTTGCACGCCGCCCAACTCGACGGCAAGGACTCTTCTGACTCCTCCTAGGGCTGCCCGCAGACGGTGATCTGCATCAACTCTCATATCAAGCATCGGTCCCAAGGTTGCATCTGTCGAAGAATGCTGCAAAGCGGACGGCGCAAGCGCGCCAGGGCGCTTCAGGCATGTGAGGTATGCCGGACCAGGAAAAACCGCTGCAGCGAGGACCAGCCGTGCACATATTGCGTGGGTAAGCGTTCGGTGGTCTTTGGCTTTCCTTGCATAGCTGGCTCACGCAAAGAATCAGATCATGGCTTAGAATGCACATATTCTCGTGTCCATCGCGACAGGAGACCACGATCACGGCAAGTGACCCTTCTTCGACTGTGCATGTACCTCTGGCCTGACCATCTACATACACAGACCTATCATGCAAATCGAGCCACAGAGGATGGATCCTGACTCTCTACGGCTCCATCAATCTCCCGTCATAGAATCCGAGCCGAACAACGTCGAGTCGTGGCCAAATGCCCTGAGCCACGCAGAGCCCGTCGAACGAACAGCTACCCGTCTTCTACCGACCAACGAGACGCGGAAGCAGCCTGCTTTGTCTTCTATGAATATGAACCGTGCCGGTTCGGTCTCGAGCACGCCACAAAGGGCGGCGTCGGACGTGATGGACACGAACCTGCACACCAGCAACCTCGAATTCTACGGATCATCATCCTCCGTGGCGTTCCTCCGTCACATGGAAATGTTATCAAACAGCCAGACCACCGACCCCGTCGGCGGACAGTCGAGGTGCTCGTTAGCCTCACTCCTGCACAACACCGAGTTCTGCCCCGACACGCCGCACGACCGGCAGGCGGCGCCAGAGGCCAGTACCAGCTCCGACCGATTCCACTTCCGTGTTGCGAGACGATTTTTGGACACCTACTTCTCCAACATCCACCACATCCAACCAATTTTCGATGAAGACGTCTTTCTGGGTCGTTGCGAGGACCTCTGGTTCAACTCGCCCGAAAAGCAACCGCTGTCTTTCGTGGCGCTTTACTATGCAACCTTGAGTCTGGGCAGCCTCGTCATGACTTTTGAAACCCCCGAGATTGCCGGAGCCGATCGTTTTACTTGGAGTCGCAGGCTGTTCAATCGAGCGCTCGCCATCGTGACACGGCTCGGCACGACGACGGACATCGAGATGGTCCAATGCTTCTACATGATGGTGAGGATTTCCGGTACATGCTTCGACGCTTCGAAACTAACACCAACCCCACTCAGAGCAAGATATATCAGCACGAACTCAACCCTCATGGTACGTGAGGCTGCGTTTTGTTCGACACATGGCCTGATATGGTTTGTTAGTGGCCTATCTATACTCCGGTCAAGCGGCCAGAACTTCATTGGCGATCGGAATCAATCGACGACCAATCAGCCCGGACGTCACTGACCCGAGAGCTTCGATGATGGCAGCGAAAACATGGTGGTACGTTACGCGAGACTTTGGACGTTCCGTTGATGATTCGCTGATGTGACCAGGGCTGTCTATTGTCTGGACATGTACGACAAAAAGCCACTCCCAGGAGTAGCCGAGCACTGACTTCCATCAAGACAGACCAGCTTTGCACTGGGCCGACCTGACAGCCTCGGGCCTGACGAATACCATACACAAGACCTTTCCCTCAAATCTGTGGGAAAAGCACGGTCGAACACCAACGCTCTAGACATTGTCCCCTGCATGGTGCATCTCTCGAGGATCATGCGACAAGTGGCACTCGCTCTGTACACGGTCCCCTGCGAGATGGACGAGAAGCTCCAGCGGGCACAGACCCTCGATGCCGGCTTATGTAGTTGGCACGAGCAGATCCCAGCCTACCTCCGCATCGACCACCACCAGGTTCCAGGCCAATCCCTCAGGCAAAGCGGTCGGGCCAGCCGCGCTAAGAAACAGTCCGTCGTGCTCCAGCTGCGTAAGTATCAAGACCAAACCCCCTTTTGCACGGAACAGGTGCCTTCTGACGGGTGTCTAGGCTACCTGAACCTGCGCATGATGGTCCACGCCGCATTCATGACCCAATCAGTCAGCGACGCATCAGCCGATGCCATGTCCGTGCGCGAGTGTCAGCGCAAGTGTCTAGAGGCCGCCGAAAGTACGATTGACCTCATATACAACACATTCTTGAGCGACCATTTCTTTCAGACGTGGTACGTACCAATTCTCCCCCCACCCTCCCCCCGCCCCCGGAGCTGTAGCTCAAGAGTTTGATGTCTTTTCATGTCTGAGCCTGTCCGTCGCTGATTCATCCTGATGCCAGGTGGTATAACGCCACGTATACGTTGTTTGCCGTCAGCATTCTGCTCGCCGCCGTCTTCCAACAACTGGCGACCAGCCAGCACGCGCTCGACAACCTCTTCGTCCACATTGACCGTGCCGTGCTGATCCTGCAAGCCATGGATGAGTGCCTGGTTGCCCGGACTGCGACCGCGATCATCAAGCGCTCGCTCGCTCGGGCGAAAAGGGCTCCGCAGCCCGCATTGGACGGAGCGCAGGGGCCGTCAACGCGTGGGGTGGATTTTGGCGACGGTGCACTGCTCCTGCCCACATCCTTTGAGCAGGCCGAAGGGCCCGGAGGCGTGGAACCGCTGTTGCAGCCGTATCCGACGGCGGGGGTTATCGAGGATGAGGAGACCATGGGCGATCTCGGTTGGCTCAACAGCTATCCCCTCGATGACGGCAAGCAGGCTTCATTCTGGACACGGTGGGCACAGGAGCTGGAATTTTTGGGAACATGATTGATTCATACTACAAATATAGCCTCTGTTTCTTGAGTCTTGCTTGCACTCAGGCTTCTCCCCCTTTAAGCACTCCCTATGATCATCTAGCACGCCTTCCTTCCTCCTTTTGAGCACGCTCTATTTAGAAGGGCGTCCTGCAGCCAGGGACACCACGATCGAGGATGGGTGTTCCGGTCCGGAGTATACGACGTGCTTTCCACGGTTGCGGTTCTCGCCGGCGCGGTACAGCTGCGGAAACTCCGGCAACGTCACCTCGTGGCCCTTGATTTCGAGCCGCATGGCTTCCCCCGGCTGGAAAACGATCCCTCCGGGCCACAGCGGAATGTCGACACACACGATCTGGCCCGGGGGAATCTTCTCCTCCTGGTCGTGGGCGTGGTAGGCCATGGCGGGCGCGAGCATCGCGCTTTGCTCGGCCGGGATGCTCGGGTCGGCGCCCAGCCGGCGATGCGAGGCGCGGAGTCGGCCGTTGGGGCCGAGGTACTTGAAGATGTTCAGGTCGGGGACGTCGTCGGGCGTGGTCCCGGCCGGGAGACTGTCGAGGGGGATGTTGAGGTGCTTCAAGGCCCGGCCGTGGGCGTCCAGCTTGCGCACAATCACGTAGACGTCGAGGTCATCCGTTTCGGCGCACGACACGTACAATTTGGCCTGGGAGAACCCGATCAGCTCGGTGTATCCGCCGAACGTGAAGGTGAAGTGCGCGCCGTCGTCGTCCCACGAGTCGGAGGTGTAGCTCGACGTCGACGGCTCGGGGGGCGGACCGCCTTCCTCGAGAGCGGCAGATTGACCGTTTAGGTAGAATGTTCGGTGCCGGACGTAGGTGGGTGGGTAGACAGGCTCCGGCCGGTCCACGACCGAAGGGATGTTGAAGCCGAGCAGGCTGTGCCGGACCCGGGGGGTGGACTCCCAGCCATTGGCTTTCCCGTAGAGGTAGCGGTCGAAGAACTTCTGGAGATCGTCGTTTGCCGACTTTTGATACAGGTCGTGCCACTCTTGCGTGTGGTGAATTCGAAGCCTGTCGGTATTATCAGGGGTATTCGTAGGAGCGACCACTTTGGGGGGGGGGACAAACTACTCACCATTTGTCTTTGGTGGATGAGAACAAAAAGCCCTTGATGGAGCCCAGAGTGTGTATGCCGCTGGAGAAACTGGCCAGGGCGTAGACGGGGACGTTGATTTGGGTCAGTTTGGCGCGTTTATCCGCCCAGTACTCGTTGAAGAGCGGATACTTGCGGATCATCGCGCCGAGATCTTCACGGCCATTCTTGCCTGGCATGTTGAAAAGGCCTTGTCAGCGTGGGAGGCCGGTGGAACAGCTTTACGGTCATGTCTTACCGCAGTAGCCTTCGCCCCGATAGTCTACAAATGAAGGGTTCGGAATGCCCCCTCGGCCGAGCATCTCGCAGTAGACGTCGGCCAAACCCTCCCAAGGAGCAATGGCCTTCAGATGAGGCGGTCTCTCGGCCGCGATGAACCTGGACGGTGTGTGAGCTCCATGAACCCGGGTGGCGCTATCAAGGCTGTGATCTACCACTGGGAGATTCCAAGCCACGAGTTGCCGGCAAAGGCAACGGCACCATTGCACCACGAGTGCGAAGCAATGGATTCGACGGCGTCGTAACCGTCTCGGCCTTCCTGGACCGTGGCACGCGGTTAGGATGGACGGTGACAGCTTGTAAGTTGGGGGGTTTATACTCACTTGTGTTCCTTGGGCAACCTGATCTCCTTCCGAGTCGAAGGTGCCGCGAACGTCAATGTTGACGATCGCATAGCCTCGTGGACACCATTCGGCGGGATCGGGAGCCTCGAACTTCTCGAGATCGCTTGTCCAGTCCTTGGGAATCCCAGCCCGCCAGGGGACACGATCCAGACTCTGGAAGCCTGCGGGGAGCTTAGGGGCTGATTTCCCAGCGATCAGGAACGGCTGAACGACGTACCATTCCCTTGTTTCCCGTACGGACTCCATGCCACAATGGCCGCGACGGGTGTGCTGTCCGAAGATGGAGGTCGGAAGACGTCCATATATATCTTGCACCCGTCTCGCAGAACAACGGGCACATCCCTTTCGAAAATCAGGTCACTGTCCAAGGGGCGCCGACCTGGCTCTTTGCGCCATCCTTTCGGAAGCACTTCTTTGGAGGGACCGAAAGCCTTCCAGCGTTTGCTGAAGTCGCGGTTGGCTGGCGTGAATGCGACTTCAATCCCCCCGTCGCAGAACTTGGTCGCCATGGCTAGAGGCGTGAAATCGTGGTGGTCGACTATCCGGCCTTATTTAGCCTCGTTGATGTGGCCTCGTGCTTCTCCTGGCATGTCGGCCTTTTCAACACCGATTACATACGTGAACGACAAGGAAAGTGCTTGGTAATTCTGAGCCGGCAGCACAGTCACCCAACAGTGGTGGTACCGGGAGGGAGCAGAATGCTTGGGAGGTTTCATCTCCACCCGCTTTGTGTAGGCGGAATTCCCGGCGGCATCAACATAGCCGCCGGCATGCTCGTAAACCGGTCAGCAACCTCGGACAGCATCGCCCCTGCTACGAGTGCAGAGGTTGCTAGCGAAAACCTAGCTTTCACGCGGCTGCGATGGTTCCCCCGACCACCTTCATCGGGGCATTCTGGGGCGTTGTGGTGGCTGGAAAAACTTACTTGGCAGTCTTAGATTCTCCTCGTCCATCTGGCGGCATTTCCGGTGGACCCCGGGGGAGTCTTACGAGCACGGGGAAAGGTCGAGGGACTTAAATAGAGATTTGTCAGAGACTGTGGTCTACGCAGTCACGACATTCTCTACCAGAAAGCGAGGTGCCAGAAGCATTAGCCGCCTTCTCGACATGGCTTTGGGGTTTACCAAGCACGAGGCGCCCGCACAGGTTGCCAGTGACGACGCTGACGAGAAATCCTGTCCAGCGGCGCAACAGGTGGAGATCGTCCATTCTCCAGAGACGAATCTCGACTACGACGAGGCTGACCAAGAGCCCATCCTCCACGCCCGGACTTGGATCGCGCTCGCGGCGATGGTCATGCTGAACATGGTGCAACTTATTGCGCTGAATGGCCCACCAGTATTTGTCAGTGAATGAGACGGTCCCTGTCGAGAAAAGAGAAAAGTCCCGTGCTAACCAAAATCCTCGTGCAGCTTGGAACGATCGCAGGGGAATTCGGTCAGCAGAATCTGCAGTCTTGGGTTCCCAATGCCCTTTCACTCGTCCAAGCGGTCCTTGGACCGGTGATATCTTCTGGGTCAGATCTGTTCCAGGCTCGCAAGACGTTGCTCGTCGGGTCGTCTCTCATATCAGTGGTCGGTGCTGCTATCGTCCCTCGGTCTCGATCTTTGTATCAGGTCATTGCCGGTCAAACATTGATTGGAGTTGGGTTCGCGTCGGTCCCACTGGCTTACTGCGTCCCGAGCGAGATCGTCCCCCGCAAATGGCGGCCAAGTAAGTAGCTCTATCGACGAGGATGGCAACCCGAGTTGACCCTGTCAAAGTGGTACAAGCTTGTATGCAGATTGGCGGCTTTGTAGGGGCCATGATCGCACCGGTCATCCTCGGCGCGTTTTTGCAAACGGACGGCGTAGGAGGATGGCGGAATTTCTATGTATAAGAGGACAGCATCCTGTTCTTTGATCCGCATGCTAACGTCCTTCACAGTGGGTACAAATGGGTCTTTGGGGATTGACCACCATTGGCATTTTCGTCGGCTACCGGCCTCCCAAGCGGCATACAAGGCTTGATCATCTTTCTGCATGGCAAAAGCTTGGCCGGATGGACTGGCCGGGTTCTTTCTTGGTCACCGTTGGTCTCACACTGTTCCTGACCGGCTTGAGTCTAGGAGGCGGTCTGTACGCCTGGACGAACGCAAGGGTATTGTCCACGCTCATCATCGGGGGTGTCTTCCTGGTCGCATTTGGTTTGTACGAGTGGCTCGGTACCAAAACCGGTATCTTCACCCACGAACTCTTCACGGGACCAAATGGGGCTGGCCGGACGGCGTGGATCTCTACCCTTCTCATGTTTATCGAAGGATTTGTCGGCGCCTCCTTCGTCATCTTCTATCCAGTCATGTGAGCTTCCCACCCTTTCTTCGGCCCTCCCCTTATTAACCACGAACGCCGATAGGACCGAGTCGCTCTTCACCACCGATCCCATGGAGGTGGTGGCCCGTCAGGAAGGTTTTTACGTCGGCTGTTTCCTCGGAAGTGCACTTTTTGGCTATCTTAGCACCAAGCTGCGCAGCGTGCGGGGGGGGATTGCTGCAGGATACCTCTTCTTGACTGGCGGGCTGGTCGGCTTCGCCACGATCCAACCCGGTGAATCGGTCAGTGCGATAGCGTTCGCCGTGCTCACAGGGCTGGGATTTGGGGTGATCCTGGCTCTGCTCGTCGCCGCTATCCAGCTTTGCACGCCGCATCATCTCATCGCGACTTCGACCGCCGTCCTCACGACAACTCGTGCTCTCGCTCTGACAGTCGGTGTCTCGGTGTACACGGCGGTCTTTACCGACTCCATCGGCAAGAAATTACCTGCCATGGTCGCCTCGGCCGCTGCCAAAACCGGGGTCCCCGCAAGCTCAGTCCCCGAGTTTGTACAGGCATTTCTTCGCAAAGACGGCGATGCGCTGGGCGAAATAGCTGGAGTGACGCCGTCAGTCCTCGCCGCCTGCGCCGCTGCGGCGAAGCAAGCATCGGCCGATTCCCTGCGCCTAGTCTTCATCATTGCGGCCCCGATATCAGCAGTCGCCGTGTTGTTGTGCTACTTCCTGGCCGACCTACGCACACTGATGGATTATCGTGTCGAAGCTCCCGTGGAAGAATTGCATGCTAAACAACACCATGGTGAAGACCATGGTCATAAAGCGGCATGAAAACTCCATTGTTCTTGGGCAAGCAGAGTCAAACTTTGTGAATAGCTCCCATCGCTGTTAGGAACGCACGACATAAGGAGGGAGGGGCGGACCTTTGGCTCCTTTTTGCTATTCCTCCGATTTATCCTCCTTGTTGATAGGCCAGCTAGTTAGTTGCAGCATTCTTCCCAGCATGCCAGCCCAAAGTGGGACAGAAGTTCCAAATGAAACCATGGTGAAGACGCCGCTTTATGTGAACAGGAGGATAGAGATCCCTCGCTGTTCTTGAACATGTGTGGTTTGATCTGCAACTTGAAGCGTAGGTGACCAGCTATGCGGTACACCCTAAAATCATCAGTGTGGAAGCAAGTAGGTTGATCAAGCATAAGGGATGTGTAGGTCTTTATTCTGGTGTGGTATGTCGCGATGCTTATCTGACGGGTTCCGGTGCCACTGCGCGTTTTCACGTGCCGAGTCTCAAGTCCATCTGTAACTGGGAAGGTTATCCGAAGGGTTGGCCAGACAGTGCCAAGAGGTGTACTGGGCCATACCCCCTATTGTACGATACCGTATTGTTTACATAGGCCTTCGTAACTATATAGCTGGGTCTTCCTGAAATTCATCATGTCCTCCAATTGAGTCACACATCTCGACCCCAGCTGAATTGTTTGTAATGGTTGTCAAGAGTGTATGTTAACAGTCTCAAACATGCCTAGATAGATACGCATTGCGATACTATTGGAAAGTAGCACTTGGTAGGGAAGTATTCTGATATGAAAGTATAGTTGATTTCTGAGCGCGAAGGAAGAGCATATGTGAAAAGTCAACATGACAAGCAGCAACGACATGGATGCCGAGGATCCCGCCATCCTCCTGATCAATGAAGTGACCACACAGCGAGTTACACCCCAGTTCCCAGAAGGGTTAACAAACGCCGGCTCCTGAGGACGCCAGCAGCAGAGTTGGTGCTACCTGACGGAGTTTTTGCTGGTGACACTGTAGATGTTGTCACAGTAGAGGAGCCGGCACTCTCGAGCGCCGTCGATCCTGAACCACCGTGCAACGTTGAATTCTGCTACTACTCCATCACGAACTGTACTACATCGGTATCGTATGTTGAGGGTGCAAGGTCGTGTACCATGTCGTTGCTGCCTGAATAATGGTAGCGATCGCCCCTGCCGCACTACGACCCCATGAGGCAGCTGTACTGGTTGCACGCGGTCGTATTCTTCCGTGGGAAACCCTGAACGGGAAGTTACCTAGCCAGGGATATTGCTCGACGCAGTTACAGTAGCTCTGCGACCAACTTGGATAAGATTTCTGAACGATGGTGATTACGCTTCGCAAAATCCTACACGTAACATTGTCAACTGGCACAAAGAGCCTGAAGAAGGTTACATCCGGATTGACATGGGAAACGAAAACGAGACCCAAAATTCACAGGTATCCTTGGATACGTCGAGAAACTAAAGGCGTCAACTGGACACAACCGGCCATGTCACTGATTCATGGAGATTTCCCTACAGGCAGGCGCTCCGGGCCGAAAAGGGTTCCAGCAAGCCAGGCTAGAATAGTCGAGCAACGAGCAACATGTCCCGGAAGATGGCCCCTCCAAAGACGTGAAACACCAAAATTCAAGGTGCCCCCTAAGCCGGAACTGGCATCTGAGAACGGGCATCGGGCGAGCGCGCCTTACTCGTATGGCTCGCCTAGTGCTCGAGGGCGCTCCCCCGTATGTAGTCTGCCAGGGGCTCCCACGAGGCTCTTCCGTGCTCGGCCGGGGCTCCTCGATGCTGCGTCACGTGTGCGATCAAAGCGGCCGCGCTCCCTCTCGCTGCCTTTGTTGAACGAAGATGGTAATGGACAAAGTAGAGTTCGGGGCATATATATATTTCTATTGTCTACCTACCTAGGTAGGTTCGGAGTACAGATATCAGGGAAAGGTCGACGGCTCCTTGATGATCGCCCAGAAAGAACGAGAATCATACCACTTCACGCTGGATCATAGACCGCTCAGCTTCTATGCTTGTTATGAACCCGGAGAGGCATGCCGCAGTTGGTGACAACAGAGTACGAGTCGAAAGTACCTCTATACCTTTATACCCTAGCCTTGGCACAGCCTCAGCCTTGTACGTACATAGTAACACGACCCGCTCCGGAAAATCGTCAAGAGGTCACCTTGGTCATCTCATCAATTTGGCCTTGCACTACACCGACGATCAGAGTACCATCACCCTGCTGTACCGCCAAGGCCCCGGACCCTATGAATCCCACATCCCCTCGCCCAACCCCAGCAACGCATCCTGCAATCCCTTCCGCGCTCGGACGCTCTCCTCGCGGTCCTCGCCGCGCAGTTTGGCGCTGTAGCACAGCTCCACCAGCGTCCTGAGTTCGTCGTACGTATACCCGACGTCCCGCTGGGAGGCCTTGCACTCGCGCACGAACGCGAGCACGCCCTCCGCGCCTGCGAGGAAGAGGTCAAAGTACCGGCCCGAGAACCTGAGGTGGCCGTCGTCGTCCTCATCGTCGTCTGAGACTCCTTGACCGCGACCTCCCGCTGCGCGCTCTTCGTTGGTAGTCGTCGCGCTCGAGTCGGACACGATGCCCAGCCCGGCTCCGACATCTCGGGGCGTGGGGACACTAGCGGCCCAGCTCGCGCGCCCCGCAGGCGCCGTGTTGGCCAAGAGGGCCCGCAAGTTCTGCTGGACGACCATGGCGTCGATGCGGATCCGCTCGGCGCCGTGGTCGTTCATGACGCCGATGCTGTCGGCCGCGACGACGAGGTAGCGGTCCACGAGGTGGGAGAGGCCGCGGAGGATGAAGGTCCGCTCCTTGGGCGGGAGGTACGTCGCGATGTTCGAGTCGAAGGCGATGAGGTCGTTGTTGAGTTCGAGGATAAGGGGCGAGGCAGACGATGGCGCCGCCGATAACACGTAAGGATACAGGCCCGAGTCCAAGGCAGGGGCCATACCGGCAGCCGAGTCGCGAGGATCGCTCGCGGAGGCGGGACTACCCACTCCGTCTGGTCCGCGTAGTGTCCGAGAGAGCTGATGGATGATTCCGCACCGGATGTCGACGTGCAGGGTGAGCAGGCTTGTCTGTGCTAGCGTGCGCAAGGCTTGCACGGTCTGGTCGAATGCAATGACCGTCTCGCTGCCCAGTGGTAGGTACACAGACAGTGGCGCGCCGGGATTGGAGTGCCTTTTGGTGCCTGGCGCGTTGAGTGTTGTGATCAGCGTCCATCGGCGGATTCCTTTCGCTTGAGAGGCCTTGCGTGCGTCGACAAGGCCGAAATGCGTGCTGTTCTCGACGTGGCGGAGCTGGTCCAGCGCCGAGGCGAGCCATTGCATACTGTTGTAGAGCAGCGACAGTTGATGGACGGATTTGGGGTCGGAGATGATGTCGTACGCGGACAGGGGAGCTGCTTTGGTAGCGGCGAGAAGGGCTTGGACTTCTTTCGCCGTAAGTTCTGACTTGGAAGCACCGTCACCGCCGGATTTGTGGTACTTCAGCAACTCTAATGCTGTATCGTGCACTTCCCCCGAGGATGCGAACGAAGCGGCTGCTTTCATGGCGAGCGTACTACCGTTTTGAGGCGACTCGGGGTTGGCCACGCGACTCACAAGTGCTTTGTAGAAACCATGACACTTGTCGTAGTACACGATCAGTTGGTCGATAATGACCTGAGTAAACATCTGATCCTGGGGAATGGCGCACAGCATGATGGAGAACGCGCGAACCAAGGCCATGAATGAAGCGGTCCCCTTGAAGATAGGATGGAATGCGTGTTTCGACCACTGCACGTCTTCAGAGAATGCTTCCAGGTCAATCATGGCCTGGGCGCAAAGCTCTGTGACGGCCTCTTCAAGCTGTGGATGGAAGACGTTGATCAGGAAGTCGTCGAGGAAAGATGTCAGTGTGCTCATGGGGATATGGGCTGTCGACGGGACAATGTCCTTGAGGCGCTGTAGGAATGTCAACGATGGCGGCAGGAGCGTCGTCATGTTGAATACTCCTGGCTCGATCAACAGCTTGTGTCCAGCCACTGTGTTGTCCTGTCCACTACGATCCGAAACTAGATCCGTGCCATCTCGTGCTCGACCTTTGCCGACCAAGCCAGGCACTGAGCTCTTGAGAATCTCATTCAGCTCGTCCTCCTCGGCTTTCATGGACTCGGATTTCTGGTCCATTTCGGACAGCTTAAACATCTTCTTGTTCTTGTCGCGCTGGGCGCGCGCAAACACATCGTTGGTGGCTGTTGAGTTCAACCCAGATCGCGCCGTGTTCTCGCCATCGGTTGCGAGGTAGTCATGTAATATCGATCGCATTTCCATCTGGTACAGTTTCCACAGCTCCTTGAAACCCGTTGTGTAGGTCTCAGGCTTCGCTACCTTCTCTCGAAGTGCGATACCAGCGATGACTTCGTGGAGCACTCGATGACTCTCGGCGATGGCCTCGAATTTCGAGTACAACGTCCAGAGAAAGTCGGACAGGACTTGAGCTCTGCCGTCATTTGTGTGAAGCGAAATGGCTTTCCGACTCGTTCTGTTGAGATGGCCTCTACGGTGACCAGGATACTTCGCGTCAATGTCGTGGTTCGTCTTCTCCACGACTTTGTACAGTTCCATAGGCATTCTTTGCTCGATCCTCGAAACTGCCTCATCGAGTTGACCGAGCTTGTTCAGGGACTCCAGAATCATGTGAACGTAGTAGAACGTGTCAGCTTCGGGGTTCTTGGTCGGATCCTCGACCATGGGTGATGCAAGGTCCAAGTCGTTCAGGTAATGGCTGAACGGTCGATCCCAAGCATTCACACCGGAGCTTAACATGGTGTCTTTGGGGTCTCGATCCTCGCCATTGGCTTTCTTGCCCTTCCACCGGTCTTTACAGTAGGGGCTTCTCAGGTACAGATGATCGTGCAACTCCTCAATGAGTATGTCCAGCAACGTGGTTTCCTGGTTAGCGAAATAGCTTCGCAGGTCAGCAATGGCGCCGATACCGTCGAGGTCGCTCTTGGTGATGCTCTTGAGACTGTCCATCAGGAGATCTACGGCTCCAAGGAACTTCTTTTCGCTTATCCTCTCTTCCAACTTGCCAGGGAGAGCTTTGAATGATTCGATAGTGGTCAGAGTTGCGAGCATGTCGTCGAGCTCACCACTTTGTTCGGCCAGTGACTTCACTTCAGGCCGCGCGCTCAGCATGCCGTCTTTGACGTTCATCAAGCCCAACTTCAGTTGCCTCACACGACTCTGACTCTCATTGATGGCGTTCTGGATCTTGTGATATGTTCCGACCGCGCTGTTGAAGTCGGCGTAGTGTTCGTTCACGACTGACTTCAGGCACTTTTGCAGGTCGGCATGTGTGTTTGAGAAATCCCCCTCTTTCTCCGCCAGCCCCAAAGAGCTGGGATCCATGAGCCTGAGAGCCACCTTGACTGGGACACAATCATCTCCTTCCATGTCCTTCCAGTTTCCTTGGATGTGGCGCATGACTTCTTCCATGCCTTTGACCGGTCGGCGAGGTGAATAATGCCTGTTGGCATTTTCGGGGGGAGGCAAGTTATTCTGCGTCGCATAACCGTTGGTGGGCGTCTGTTCATTCAGCCGGGGGAGACTCGGTTTTGCGGGCATGGTTGACGGAGGGGGCATTTGAGCTCGCTCCCGTATATCTCTCCTCTCTTGACTCCTGCTCTCATTGTAGGCTCTCTGATTCTCGTTGTAGGCTCGTTCTCGTCCCCGCAATGACGGCGGCGTTTGGTGCCTCTGGTCGTGGTCCTGGGGCTCTCTTTCTCTCCCGTAGCCATAGTCGTTCCGCGGTGGAGGAGCGGCATCAGCGTACCTGGGCCGCGGCAATCCCCCATAGGCTCCCAGGGGAGGTCCTGTACCCGATCCAGCCCTGGACGAGGGCATCGGGCTGGCGCCATCTATATCGCGTGTGTCGTAGGGATTCGACCTGCGCCTGCGCTCATGAGAGCCGAAACTGTTGACGGAGGCGGAGGACGCATTGTTCTGCGGGTTCGCATAAGGACCCGCGAAGCGACTACCGGCTACTGTATTCGAGGTACCGGTGGGTGCATAGGGGTTTGTCTCGTTGCTTGGGCGGTATGCTCCTTGCCCGCCGTTGACGGCATAGGGATTGTTACCGCTCATGCTGTCGGAAATCGAGGGGACGGGCCCCAGAGACTGGCATTTTCCACCGAGTCGTAGAAAGGAAGAACGCGCGACCTGCCGAGAACGAGTGCAATTGTGGCATATGAGACAGGAGGACCACCGTGAGACGTGCGGTGCAAGATGCAGTATGTGGTGACAAGCGACCGAGTCGAGGCTCCGCGTCTCCAACTGCGCCGCGACTCTCCACTAAGTATGTACAGTACTGTACGGGGTATGTAGCGAGCACCGACTGGACTATGGGGTATCTAACTCCTGTACGCATCTTTTCGTTCGTTTGTGTCCTCGTGAGCATCGTGTTCTATCTTCTTGTGCCACCTCAAGATCCCTGGTGTCCGTGGTCATGCGATGTATCCAAAGCCACTTCCCCTACACGCAATCCAAAAGTCCCTGACTACCTCATTTGTCTTCCGAGCTCCTCGCAATGCCTCAACCTGAGAGACAAACCGCTTCCGTTGTTCTAGCGTCGTAGCTTGGAGTGCCTTTTCGTTCATTACCCCAGCCTCTTCTTTAACTGCTGCCCTGAAGACTGCCTTGGTGAGCATCGGTTGCTTCTGCACGTATCGCTTCAGCGTCTCTGACAAGCTGTCGAGTTCGGATCGCGCACATTCTCCACCCAGTAGTCGCAGCAGCAGTGACAGGATGCGAGGACCAAATCGAGCTAAGACAGTGCCCACTCTTACGCCTGCATCGCCATCAAGTCCAGTCTCAGGCCCGCTAAAGTCAGCAAATGCTGCGAAGAATGCCGCTGCGGATCGTCGTGGCAGCGTGTCAGAATCTGTCATCACCATCAATCCTAGCTCCATAGCTACCGCGACCGTCTCTTGAGAGTCTTGTATCTCGAACCATAACTTCCCCCACTTACCGAAGCAGCGCCCCAAGAAGTCCAGCGATGCAGAAGGGAAACTGCTACTTGGCCCCTGGGCAGTCTGCTGGTGGATGGAGAGGATATGCTGCTGATGGGAGACCACAGCATACAACACGGCCCTCACACTTACTGGTATGTTTTCGGAACTCACCGAGGCCAGGTAGCTAGTGGCACACGCCATGGCGTTGTCGATGCTCGGATTGTCGACGCTGATAAACTCCATTATCAAGTCAAGCCCGACCGAGTCTGAGAACTTGAACGGCGATGGGTGCGTCTCGGTGAACCCTGATCTGATGAAGTCACAGCATGCATCGACGAAGACATGATCAATGTTGGACTGAACCTTTTGTAGCGTGGCATGGTAAATGCCCAGAACCTCCTGCTGCACATGTGCACCAGGCCCTTTCGTCCAGAACTCCGATGGGTTTGTGGTCGGTGCCTCCAGGTCGACTGGAACATCTGCAGGCGATCGCAAACCTTTGCCGATCGAGGCCAAGGTTTGTACAATGTCCGTGCAAACTCTCACCATGCCGTCTTTGTCTACGGTGCCATCGTCCGCACTTCTAAGGGTTTGCCCGATGGTAGCCAGAAGTTGTGTGAGTGGCTCAGTTTTCGCTTCGTCTCCAGGAAGCGCTTGGATGATCGCTGCAACAGCCGCAAAGATTCGGTGTCTCTCTGCTTCGGCGATATCTCCTATTGAGCCCAGGGTTCCCATGAACTGGGGCAGTCCTTCCCGAAGTATCACTCGATGCGAGTCGCAGAGCTTGAAAATTGCACGTGAAGCCGCAGTTGTTGACGCTTGGAGGTGTAGCGAGGAGAAGAGGAAATTGAGAATAGGGACGAGCCGGTCGGAATGCCGTTCGAGGTAAGTGACGTTCTCGGCGATGAAGTTGATTGCTGTCTGCAACGCCCGATCTGGAACATTACTAGATTGAAGCAGGTAACTCCAAGCAGGGCTGCCCAGTACGGTGGTGATCAGAAGATCGTACGTGTCCGCCTCTGAGGATATACAATCAAACAATGCGATCAGGCCGAACGTGCTGGCTTCAAAGGTACTCCATTCCGGTGGCGCTCCCTGTTGAACGACGGTATTGACGACTTCCTCGATCAATGCATTCCCCAGTATAGTAAAAGCTGACTGGAAGAAATCGTGCACGTCGTAGCGAAAGTCGCGAAACCTTGCCCGGTCATCCACATCCCAGTCTTGGGTCTCACTGGACATTTGCTCAGAGGGGATTCTGATCTTCAGAAGGCACGCCTCGCAGGCATCTGCTGTTAGGGTTTTGAGGAACTCCATTGCCGGGTCATTCACATCTTCCCAGTCCGTAGATCCTTCGGCGATCTCGGTGATTTTCTGGAGGACGATGTGGCAGACCGGGTCTTCTATGACGGCCACTCCGTCACAGCGAAGTAGCCGACCCATGATTTGAACTATCTCTGCCAACCCATGATCATGTAGATAGTCAGGCTTGGTGGTGTCAGCACGATTCATGATCGACTCCAAGAAATCGACATAGAGCAGAGCGTCAGGGATGAAGTCGCCTCGTACTAGCAAAGTCACCATTTCTGCGGCCATATTGGAGGACACGATGGTGGACGGGAAACCCGCAAGAGCTTGCTGTAGAAGTCTGGCCGATGAGTGCTCAAGAGAGATTAGCATCTGAAGGACGCTCCCGGTCATACCCGCCGTTTCCAGATAGTTACTGGCCGCAGAAATACATTGTATAGCGAGATCTTCGAGTCTTCGAGTCTCCGTACCGTTAGAATATCTGATCATGTTGGTCCAGTATGGTATTGCTTGAACAGCGAGGTGTAGCAATTCGACAGCTCTACCATCTTTTGACTCTTCCTCTACCTGGCGGTGATCGGGACCATTCGCTAACGCTGTAGCCCGGGACCCTGGGGCAAATGCTGCAAAGTACCTCAAGAGCTGTAACGCGTCAAGACTGTTAGCAGCCACGCGACTATTGAGCTTGCTGTCGTCCATTGTACTTGAAGTGCGATTGCTCAGATCCTCGGCGATCACCGTGGCAAGCAGCAGGACCCCTTTAAGTTGATGATTAGACAGGGTGTTGGAGCGAGTAAGCAACTGCTCGATTTCCGGTAAGCCTTCTTCAGGAACATAATGCCTGCCAATCATGCAGGCCAGGATATGCCTGAGTGGCAGTGTCCAACCCGAATCAGGTCGCACAAAGAAGGTGACGAGAGTAGAGACGAGCTTCTGCAACACAAATTTCGAATCTGGGAGAGTGATGAGACGTATGTAGTTGGTTACTAAAGCTTCGAGCAGGTAATTCCTCATCTGTTCGTCCCTGCCTAGACCATCATTGTCCCTGACCTACGGTTAGTTGGCTTCGAAGGCCAAGGAAACAGCCACACTTACCAATCCGCATTGATCTTGATGGTCAACGTCAATGCGCCATAGAACCGTACGATCGCCTCCCCATGGTGCAGCAGGTCGAGCCCGAGCTGCCACGCAGACTTCTCCCGCTGCAGTCGCTGAATCTGCGTCTGGATCACATTGATGTGCTGAGGGGATGACTGGTTTGCCGGATCATAAAGATCCCCTATCAGACGCTCCATTGTGCTCAAAAGACAGGATCGACCAGCACATGTCTGCTTAGAGCAGAGACTTAAAATGAAATGTTAAGGAAGTTTTCGTTCCAGAGTGGCCACGGCAATACAATCTTGCGCAGAACTGGCTGTCACTATGACAATCTTGCCTTGATATAAGCAGTGATTCCCGACGTCTAGACCCTTGGGTGAAAGATCGTACACAAAGCCGTCGATAGCCGATCGCTGTTTATGAGAGGCTCTGAACAGCTTGTAGACTGTTTGCTGTTCGTACAAAGGAATGAACTGGTTGGACCCCGCGATGGCTAGTTTGTCACTATCGCCGACCTCTGGTAAGTTGGATAAAGCAAGAACTGAAGACACAGAAAGAAAATGGAACGAAAAGGGTTGACCGCGACAAGGCTGAGATTCAGCCTCGTCGTAAATCGGGGTGGACGGGTGGATGCCGCTTCTCCCACAGTCGACTAAATGCCAGGCCAGCTAAACAAACAGATACAGGAACATGGCACATGTTCTGGCAGTGGCTGCCATAAGGTGATCGATCTCTGCTACATTTATTCTCTCGCCCCTCGAGACCACTTTCGATGCGCTGGTCGTTCTTACGCTTGCCATTCTCGCGACGTCGATATCCCGCCCGCAATCGGGAACTGATTTCCAGTTGCTCGCCCTTACAATCCGTCCGATCGTTCTCCTTCTCGAGTTCATTGCAAGCTGCAGACATGGAAAAGGTGGACACAAGTAAGCGGTTGGCCCAACTCCGCGAGCTGATGCGCGAGCACAAGGTGGATGTCTACATCGTGCCTTCAGAAGACAGCCACCAGTCGGAATACATTGCTCCGTGCGATGCGAGAAGAGCCTATATCTCTGGCTTCACGGGGTCCGCTGGTACCGCTGTCGTCACCCTCGAGAAAGCAGCTTTGGCCACAGACGGGCGGTATTTCAACCAGGCCTCTAAGCAGCTCGACGACAACTGGCACTTGCTGAAACAGGGCATGGAGGATGTTCCAACCTGGCAGGAATGGTAGGGATGATCTTCGCTTTGACCACGTACAGGGGCTGAAGCTGAAATTAGGACTACAGAGCAAGCAGAAGGCGGGAAGACAGTCGGGGTCGATCCCACCGTTATTACAGCCTCGGATGCTCGCAAGCTCAGCGAGACACTGAAAAAGAAATCACACGCGACCCTGGTCGGAATCTCCGAGAACCTGGTCGACAAGATCTGGGCAGACCGACCACCACGGCCGACGGAACAGGTAATTGTCCTGTCGGAAAAGTACTCGGGAAAGTCTTATCGAGAAAAGCTTGATGACCTGCGGAAGGACCTCAAGAAGAAGAAAGCCGCCGGGATGGTCGTATCCATGCTTGATGAGGTCGCCTGGCTATTCAACCTACGAGGTAACGATATCCCTTACAACCCGGTCTTCTTCTCCTATGCCGCCATCACACCCGACTCCGCCACCATCTACATTGACTCTTCCAAACTCGGTCCAGAAGTCAAGGAGCACTTGGAAGGCACGGTGACCATCAAGCCGTACGATGCGCTATTCTGCGATCTCACCACCATCGCCGAAGCCGCTGCCAGTGAATCTCAAGCCAACGGCGCCACCAAGAAGCCCCACTCTCCCAAGCTATTGTTGTCCAACAAGTCCTCATGGGCGCTCTATCTTGGCCTCGGCGGCGAAGACAAGGTCGAGGAGTCTAGGAGCCCCATCGCCGACGCCAAAGCCATCAAGAACGCCACAGAGCTGGAAGGCATGCGCCAATGCCACATTCGCGACGGCGCAGCCTTGTCCGAATACTTCGCCTGGCTAGAATCCGAACTCCAGAGCGGTTCATGGATTGACGAAGTCCAAGCCGCAGACAAACTGGAAGAGATCCGCTCCAAAGGCCAACACTTTGTAGGCCTGTCATTCGACACCATCTCCTCGACGGGCCCCAACGCCGCCGTCATCCACTACTCGCCCGAACGCGGCAATTGCTCGACCATCGACGCCAACCTGATCTACCTCTGCGACTCGGGCGCCCAATACCTCGACGGCACGACAGACACTACCCGCACGCTACACTTCGGCACGCCCTCAGAGATGGAAATCAAAGCCTACACTTTAGTCCTCAAGGGCGTGATTGCCCTCGACCGCGCCGTCTTCCCCAAAGGCACGACAGGGTTCGCCATCGACGCGTTCGCTCGCCAGCATCTCTGGCGCGAGGGCCTCGACTACCGCCACGGCACGGGCCACGGCGTCGGCTCGTACCTCAACGTGCACGAGGGCCCCATCGGCATCGGCACGCGCGCCGCCTACAGCGAGGTCTCGCTCTCCATCGGCAACGTCGTCTCCGACGAGCCGGGATACTACGAGGACGGCAACTTCGGCATCCGCATCGAGAACATGATCATGGCGCGCGAAGCCAAGACGAACCACAAGTTCGGCGACAAGCCCTGGATCGGGTTCGAGCATGTGACCATGGTGCCAATGTGCCGGAAGTTGATTGATCCGAAGCTACTGGACCCGGAGGAGAGGGAGTGGTTGAACAGTTACCACGCAGAGGTGTGGGAGAAGACGAGCGGATACTTTGAGGGAGATGAGCGGACGACGAAGTGGTTGAAGAGGGAGACTGCGCCCATTTGATCGGGATGTCGGCACCGCGGACCCCATGAGAGCCATGGTCATCCTGGTCTTGCTGGATGGGCTAGAAAGCCAAGGGGGTGCATTTTATGTGGCTGTCCCTTGGCTGTGGCATTGAGGTTGTTCCTCGATTTCCGGAAGCAGCGCAGGGTGCTCAGCATATCAAACGGTCAATGAGAGCAGTTCGGGTACCGATATTCTTGGTCTTAGAGCTCATCGACTAAGGATGCGATAGAAAACGCACAGCTAGACTGCTTAGTCAAGGTCGCAAAACCAAGTAATGATATGCCTGGCCAATCGAACCTTGTCGTCCTCATACACCTGCACATAGTCACTGCCCGTGGTCTTACTGAGGTCTCCTTCAGTAACGTCTAACACCGCTGCCGCTTACTGTGAGTCTCTTCCACTTGTGATACAACCTCTTCCTTTCTTGCGGGCTGGGAGGCGTATACCCTGGCCTGTATCTAATCCTGAGTTTATGGCGGGGATGGTATGACTCTTCACAGTTACACCTGTACTTGCGCTTGATCAGGACGAGGTGCGGTGGCGGCAGGCTTTCGTCCAACCACTGGTGCTTAGAACAGCTGACGTTTTCTGACATTTCGGCGGCTTGGTCTACGCTGGCTTTCCCACTGCGGCCTTCAGCGCTCGGCAGGACTCCAATGATCTTCCAGTTTCTCCTCTTTGGCTTTTGTCCAAGGTAGCCGTGAATAGCGCGCATCACTTCCGTGTGTGTTTGATAGCCACATGGCGATTTGGGAAGCAGGAGGCCCTCCGAGAGGTCAAGTGGCAGCTTGTCTTTACCCCCTAGGCGGATTTTGCCAGTAACTTTGTAGGACATTCCAGTTTGCTGGGGTTCATTGCCCGTAGGAGAACTTTGGTTGCTGCTGAGGTCTGTTGGTTGCTGGCGGAAGAAGGGGGATAAGGTAAGGGAGGGAAATCGTCTTGTAGGAGTGTTGGATGAGCTCGTTGGCTTGGAATGATCCTCTCGATATTCACATATCAGTAGTTTCTGCTCAGTAAGGGCGACTTTGCATCTTTCTCGCTCGAGGTTGCACTTGTCTGGATCCCAGACGTCCCTCCAGAGATCCGGGGGAGACCTGCCCAACGACATCCTGATTGACTTGTGCGGCATGGTATTGGTGTTGATATTGATGGATAATGGACCGCAAGCCAAAAGTGAGAAACTAGTGGTGAGAGCGGGTAGAGACAAGATCTTCAGAGTCGTGGAACGTGTATCAAAGGGGATTAAAGTAATGAGAAGAAGCCATGGTCGTCTCACGAAGGCAACCGCAACAGTCCTTCCTTCCGTGACGATAGTGGTTCCGACCTCCTTTTCCGAGCAAGGACCATCGGATGGGCTCGTCTTCTGGCCAAGTCCACGATCTGTCAACTGTCGTTCGTCAGAGGTCTCTACATACCGTCAGGCCTCCCATCTCATCTCGGCGAGGTTGAATGAGATACGCCTCATCGATATGTGGAGCGTGGACCCATGCCGAAGCAGCTTGCCCATCGAAGCTTTGACAGGTACAAAGCCAGGCAGAAGGTTTTGCAGGCTGATACTGGTACACCTGGCGAGACATGGTAAAGCCCTCACCTTTGGGTTATGCGTGTTGCTTGACATGTGGCTGGCCGTAGCTTGTTCTACGGCGGATTGATAGACTCTGGGTGGTAGTCGCGAACCAAATCTAGCCTAGCTCGAATCTCGACCTATAAAGCTTCAGCTTCGTTTTCATCCTCGTGTTGTTGAAGTTGGCAGCACCCTTGACGGACGACGCAGATATACCGAGTACGGAGGACGGAGTACCCATTCGCACATTGGTCACTGCCGGATTGGTCCATCACCACGGCCAAGTGCGACGGAGGCACTTCCGGAAATGTCATGCCAATACCTCTACTCGAGGACCAAGGAACGGCTGAGATGCCAAGAAGTCTTGTGAGGAGCACTTCCCCTGGCACTAGGCGGCTGATGATGGATCGGCGCCGAGTACCCACCGTTTCACAAAGCCCGCTGTGCTGTGCGTTGAAACCACAGGCCTGAAAGTGCTGAAGCCGAAGGCTGGGCATCTCGTATCGGACGTCTCCTGGCCTGTTGCCTGCGACATCACATCCATAATCCTTAGCAGCTTCGTTTTGATGTCCTTGATCAGGTCTCGCAGCTTCAGCCTTACCCTCCCACACCAACGCTGCTGCGTGGAAAGCGTCTCAAGAAGGATGGTGCGCGTGACAGCTCCTTCTTCCGTGATTGGGAATTCGAGCAGGGAAACTGCACAGGTTTTGCAATGCACACTGCCATTGGTGCGATCTGGAGTAGATCTGAGCTCGTCGAAGCACGAGACTGCCAGAACACTACATGAGCTGAGAGATGGAGGTAAGTTGCCAAGCTCGCCAGCAGTGCTTCCCAACGTGATGGGCTCATGAAACCGGATGACCCCGTGTTGGCAGCGTTTACATGCTCAGCGTGGCTGTTGCCCGACTTGAGGGCTGAAGCTGGGAAATTCTGGCTCAGTCTCAGCTATAAAGCCGAGTTCGAGCGGGTTGTAACCCAACTCTCTCCTTCCTCACGACTGTCTTAGTTTTCAACTTCCCAAAGTACAAACATTCTGTCTCCGTCATTGTGGATATCGACAGCTCCAGCACTTGGTGCGGTACGGGCACAAAAGCAACGCCGATTGCCTCTGACATCTCATTGAGAACCTTTAAAACCAAACCGACCATGGCTGCTCCAAAGGTGTTCAGCGTTCGGCCTGGCTCGAAGCAAGAAGCCATCCAACAGGCCCAGAAGTCTTTGGGTACCAACGCCATGGCGACGTTGACCGCAGACCAACTCAAGACGAAGCCGGGCGAGCCCAAGGGCGTGCCTGAGACCTCTGAACTCTCCTACACCTGCATCACCGAGATCGATCCCGAACAAGTTGCATCCATTGTTGTCGGATTGGACCGCACCATTCCTCGCTGGAAACCTGGCTCGGTCATCAACTACGCCACTTACGCAGACGGGTACCCGAACCAAGAAGACGCCATCTACGCCGCAAATGCGCTCATCGAAGCAGCAGACTCGTGGAACGCAGTTGACTTTGGCGTCCAGTTCAACTGGGTGCCGAATCTCGAGGATGCCGCCTTTGTCCTCGCCTACGGGAAAGACAAAGGCAGCGTGTTGGCCAGCGCTTACTTCCCAAACGCGGAACCCCTGAACACTGTCTGGGTGTATAGCTTTGCCTTTGACAAGGAGCCTAGAGTCGGGAGGGATGGTGTGACCAAGTTCAAGAACTACGAGATCATGAAGAACGTCTTCCAGCACGAGTTGGGCCATGTGCTGGGCTTGCGGCACGAGTTCGCCATCGAACGCGAGGGCGCGGGAGCTGTTCGACTGTTCTCAAAGGATCCCAACTCGGTCATGAGCTACTTGTTCCCGCCTGAGATTCAAGAGTCGGACAAAAAGGACTTGAGGGCGTTCTACGGCCTCCCACAGCTTGTGGACTTTGTTCCTGACAATTGAAACGGCACGCTGCGAAGACTCGGTAAGCAGGAGGGTGAGAAATCTGTAGCCAGGACAAAAGCGTCGGGTTCAAGCACCTAGGGATGTCACTCGTTGGTGTCTTTCACCCATCATACTGTAGCAAACATAGCAGTTGGCAACAATTCTATCATTGGTCCTCCCCTCGTATAGCATTTAATGACACCCACAAGATGCTTACCGCCGCGTAATACCTTCACACGCCCTGACACCCTGAGATTAGCGAATGAGGGCAGTGACAGAATGGAGACACGTCAGGCAGCGCTGAGCAGAAAGTTGGAGAAGGCTGATACTGTAAAGTTGTTGCAGGGAAATTAGCCGCTGCTTCAGGTCATGATCTTGATTCTCATCAATCGTCAACTATCAATACAATTCTGACTCGTGCACTTCATACAGCGTGTCCATGTTACTAGAATCATGTCTTTTATGGAGGCGGTGAGCCTGCGACCTCTGGTAACCCGATGTGAGCTCTGAGTAACCGCTTCTTCTCCGCTAAATTTGCACCCTGCGTAGGAATACCCAGTTGTTGTAGTACCGAATCCAGTTGTCTTCTTGCCATACGTTCGATTTCGAACGTGGTATGAGGGAAATGAAGGACAGCGGCACCGGTAGTAGCGTCAAGAAACGGTACAAGATTTTCGTTTTGACTTCGAAGGTATGTATTCTGAACGCGGGCTGCGTTATTATGATTCCTGTAGAATTAGTATAGTAATATGAAAATAAGTCGAACTGTACATACGACGCAGTAATTGTAGTTATAAGCTCTTGACGAACATCGATAACTTGCTGGCGGACATTTGCAATGTCTTGTCGTATTGCCCTCGTGTCTCCCGTCAACTGCGCCATTAGTGCACGGAGCTCGTCGAGAAGTTGCTGACCGCCGGCGAGTGCAGGTGTATTTGGTATCTTCAGTATCTCAGTAGCAAGGATGTTGAAGTTAGCCTGCGGACCAAAATCGATTTCGTCAGCCATCGTAATGGTGCGGGTAAGGGTGATTATCGTGACAGTGATTGTGGTGAGGGTAGAAGTGTTTGTTTTGGGTTCCCGGATGGGTGTGGGCGAAGGAAAGCGCGCCTCCAAAAGCGGCGGTGCTGGTTGCCAAATTGGGCGGGAAATTTCCCTGCAACCTCCGTTTGGGACTGTAACAAATTTTCTCGGCAAGAGGGACGGGAGGTAGAGCACCGCTCACTAAAAGCGCTGGAATTCCTCTAGGTGTGCAGGAGAATAGAGAGGGAGGAGGCCAGAGAGAAGACGGATTTCCGATCTTCCAGTCTTTCTCGGCTACTACGATGTCGCAGCCGGACGGATCGAGCAGCAAGAAGACTCTCCACGTCGCGTACTTGGGCCCCGAAGCTTCCTTCTCCCACCAAGCAGCCCTCGAAGTCTTTCCACCAACAACAGATCGAACAGTCGCTCTACATCCCCTGCCGTCCTTTTCAGCGATCTTTTCCGGCATTCAAAACTCGTCAGGGGCAGCAGCGGACGGAATAGGCTCAGAATCAGAATTAGAATCACAGTCTTTAGCCTCACCACCCGAGGATTCAATACATTATGACTACGCTCTCGTCCCCATTGAGAACAGCACCAACGGCTCCGTCGTGCAAGTCCTCGACCTGATCGCACAGTGCGGCCCCGTCGCGCCCGCGCTGTACCCCGACCTAGAAGTCTGCGCCGAGTACTATCTCCCTGTGCATCACTGCTTGTTTGTCTCACCCCGGTCTGCTTCTTCCTCTTCTTTCTCAACTTCAATATCCGCGCCGCGCACCTCGACTCAGGAAAGCACCACCACCGCCACCGCAAGCCACGATGGAGATCAACCACAACTAACACGGGCGATCCGCACGCTATACACCCACCCGCAAGTGTGGGGCCAATGCGCGCGCTTTCTGGCCACGCACTTCTCGCCCAAGGACGTCGAGCGGATTGATGTAGGGAGCACGTCGGCGGCCGCCCAGCTCGTGGCTCGTGACGCCTACTCGGCCACCACGTCCACGTCCGGTGGGCTCAACGCCGCGATCGCCTCGAAGCTGGCGGGCGAGAGGCACGCCCTGGTGTGTCTGGCGGAGAACATCGAGGACGAGCCGGGGCGGAACACGACGCGGTTCGTCGTCGTGCGGAACAGGCGGCGTGCGCGCCAGCCGTCACCTTCTAGAGACAACGATATCATCGACTTCGAGACCGTGGGGCAGAAAGAGGGCCAAAGCCAGACGCAGCCGCAGACGCACTCGCCTAGACGGCATAAATCGCTGATTACGTTCACCATCCCGCATACCAAGCCGGGCGCGTTGGCCGATGCGCTGGCCGTGTTCAAGAACTGCGGATTCAATCTCACGAGCATCGACACGCGGCCCTCGCGGAGACGGAACTGGCAGTATGTGTTTTTCGTGGAGTGCGAGGATGCGGACGCGTCCGTCCCCTCAGCAGGTACAGAGGGAGAGGGTAAAGTCATGGAGATGCTGGACGAGTTGAACAAGTTTACAGAGAGCTTGCGGTATCTAGGGAGATTCGTAGATCGTTTACCCGAGCAAGATGACGGCTGAGAAGATAGAGAGATGTTCAGATTGACGAGACCACCAAGGAGTGACTATCTGAGAACTGCTTAAGCAAACATACATGGCCTTGTGTGGTTGGGTTTTGATGACAGGGGCGGAGCGGCCTTGGGTCCTCTGCTCAGAGCCTCTGAGCCAGTGTTACCACTTGGTTGATGCACCAATAGACAAGAGCCATACTGACGAACCAAAAGCGAACAAAGTTGAGCTTGATGTTGAAAAGAGAGACCAGCTCGGTCGAAAACAAACAGGATCTGATCATGTTGGACAGCTTCAAAGCGTGGAAGCTTCAGACTTGATGGACGGCCATCTACCTATGTGGGCGACTAAAAGGTGTCGGCTGTGTGTCGATTTGCGGTATTGCTCCTTGGAGTGGTGCGTTGAGGCGGTCTTACATCAGACCTGAAGACTGGACTCCCGCAACCTGACCGGGATACTCGTTGAGATTCTCGGTGAGCTTGCGGACGGCCCAGACTTTCAAAGCCTAAACGCCGTCGCCGATTCAGACCATGACCATGTTACGCAAGTTGGAGCGTCCTGTAGGCAGAAAATGTTAGATGTCGCTGCAGTGCTGCTGAGCCAAACTTGGATCAAACTTACCATGACGAAGGTCGAGTTCTTGCCTTGCCGGCGGCTTTCCTGCTCGCTCAGCGTCGAGAAGGGCACTGTCCCTGGTGCTCAACTTGCCGAATTGCTTGAGGAGATGTGGCTTGGCGTTTCTGTCCACGTTATCGGCATATGTCCCTTGCGTTGATGGCTGGGATAGGGGTGCGTCATTTGGACGCCCAGTAGAGCGCGGAGCTGCATTCGAACTGCAGTCGAGAGCTTCGACTTCTTGTCGCTTCTTATGTGTAGATGTAAGCTCCTCGCACTCTACTGCGAGGTCGGTGGATTGTCAATCATCATAGAATTCGTCCTCGTCGTCAAGATCAGCCAACTGTTCGAAGTTGACCTTGTATCGCAAGATGGCGCCGATACCACCGAAGCCTTTCACGAATTGGTTGCCTTCGCTGGATCTGTCCGAAACAAATTCCAGCGTGGCGCCAAAATCCTTGTACTTCTCGGCGAGCCATTCTAGGAATGACCCTTGATCGACAACTTCCATCTCTTGACCGGTCTCTTTGTCCATGAACTCCTCACGGTTCTGCTCTTGAGCCTTTGTGGTGTGAAGAATCTTTTCGGTCCCATCCGAGGCCTTTAGTACCCAGCGGGTGACGTCGAGGTTCTCATAGACGATCAGTGTCTCACAAGCACCCAGTTCCAGTGCCTTCAAGGTATCTTCGACACCATAGCAGACTCGACCGCTGTCCTGGCTGATCTCCTCGAAGTACTTGCCGATGAGCTTCTTCTCTTGAATGAACTTGACATTACCAAGAGTTTCGGATGAGAGATCAATGGCCTGGTTGAAACCGTTCTCCCCACCGTATGAGACATCCACGACCTTGATGACCTTGCTTTGCAGACGAGCATCAAACATGTCGGATTGGTTCAGGTCGTTCTTGAAGTCTGCCGAACCAGCCAGGACAATCCCGGCAACATTGACCTTGTCGTTCGTGATGAAGTTCTGGACAGCCAGTTCTGCTACTTTGCGAACATAGTTGTGCCGCTTCTCTTCTCTTAGACGGGCGAAACGCAGAGCGGACTGACCACCACGACCGTGTTTCTTGGGCAGGTCCACGGAGAATTTGTGGACGACTTCTCTTGTATTGCCGCTGAGTGTCCCAAAGAGGGCACCGTTGCCATCCATGACGATAAAGCCGAATTTCTGGTCAGACTCGAGGAGCTCGCTCAAGGCTTCGGTATGGAATTTGTTGTCGCAGAGGTACAGCGAGGTATTGATAGGCTTGAAGGGTTCAAAATCGATGTTGATCTTCCGCTCTTTTCCCTCCGAGGTAATGATTTCACCGCAGTAGACGACCAAGCCATTTGGCGGGACCTTGGAGTACAGTTTGAGGCGCTGCTGGGTGGAAGTAATCGCCGACAGGACGGAGAGACGGTTGACCCGAGACTTGATGTTGGAGGCGGTGCCGAATTCTTCAGCTAACATTTTTGCCGCCCGAGAGACCTGGTCCTTTGGCGCTGCACCTGAGTTAGCAACTAGGGGAGTCAGAATGCTGCATGAGATTTTGCTTACGGATGATGAGAGAGATCATGGAGGTGCCATTGCCTCTGGCGGCCTCGAGACGTTTAATCAGTTTTTTGACCTTCCAGATCTCGATGTTTTTTTCTGCCTCGTTGGGCTGAGGGGCAGACATGGTTGCAGTGAAAGCACCACCAAAAGCGGCCTACTGGTCAACGGGAGGTGACCAAGATTCAGTGCCGACAAGGAAGAAGGGAGGAGGAGGGTAAAGGAGCGTTAAGAAGAACGGAATCTATGGAGGGCGGTGAAATTCGAGGTGACGTTCGAGTAAGAGTCAAATCGTGGACACGCTCAAGTGGGTTGAGTGGAAATGTGAGCGGGCTGTGAAATGCGGCCTAATTGACTTGCCAGTCACAATCCATTCTCAACCATGTCACGTTCCTCGCGCCGCGCCGTTATCAACTCGAACTCTGCGAAGCCCGCAGAAATTTCCCCGCCGCCACTTTTTGCTCTTGGAGATGGCAATGACATGCGACCTGGTTATCGTCGGCTAGTTAGATTTTCGGAAGATGAATCCATATGTGCCTCATCTAAAATTTCTCTTTTGTTCCTTTGAATCCTCCTTTCCTCAGTCCCCGTTTCTGCATGGGTTCGAGCTGCGGAGTTTTTCTGGGACGGTGCTCTCTCTCTCTTGGTGTTCTGTATAGCATAGCTCTCCGCAGGTGGAAGGTTTCCTGCAAGAGCTCAACCAGCCGCGAGCTACGTCACTTGTATATCTCCTACTTCCTTTAGGTGCCCAGCATGAGCCAGCGTAATAAGCAAGCTCCCTCCACCTGGGATGCGTACGAGCGTGGCCGAGCCTCCTCCTTTGGCTCTCTCGAATCGGTTCCCGAGAACGAACAGCAGAATCTGCTGTCCTCATCCACTCCCACAGCGCATCACATTCCGCCTATACAAGGAGATGAAGAAGATGGAGGCGCCTTGCGGCGGAGGTCTTCGTTCGGCAAGAGGTTCGACAGCATTCGGCACATGGGCGGACCGAACAGTATCGATAATTTCGCAAAGTCACTGCAAAGAGCTGCGGGGTTTCGAGAGATCACGCCTGTTAGGAGGAATTCGGTCACACTGTCAGAGTCAGAGCAAGAGGCGGGTCCAGCACGGTCGAGCCCGGAGCAGAGTACAACGGGCCACAACAGGTCGTTATTGAGACAGCAATTACGAGACTTTCGGTTTCAAGAGCCGAATGAATCCGCAGTGCAGGATGATCGCACGGCGGAGGCAGAAGACGCTACCGAAGAGTCCGCCCTGCTGCCAATGGCTAGCCGGCAGACAATGAAGTCGACAACCGGCTCGATTATTCCAGGCTCGTTGCTGCCCAGCGCGTTGGGGACCAGCTATGGCAGTATTTCTTCCAGACTCACCGCCGCCGCCCGGCAGAGAGCGTCCATCCTGATAATGGAGCAGGAGGAAGCCAGCCGTCGGGCAAGAGAGGAACCCGAGGAGTTCAAGGAGGAACCTCCACGACAAATCGAGCGAGAAGTACGAGCGGACGGAGAAGTCATCGACCGGACCGTTGGCGAGTCTACTGTGCCCATGACCATCTTCAACTCCACCAACGTCCTTATTGGCGTTGGGATTCTCGCTCTCCCGCTCGGTATCAGATACTCGGGCTGGGTCATAGGTCTTATCTTCTTGACTCTGGCCGCTTTCGGTACGTCCTACACTGCCAAGCTGCTAGCCAAATGCCTCGACACGAACACCGGCTCGACGACGTATGGAGACATCGCTTTTCTAGCGTTCGATACGTGGGGAAGAAACTTCGTCGAGACTTTGTTCATCCTAGAGCTGACGGCGGCCAATGTTGCCCTTATCATCCTCTTCGCTGACAGTATGAACTCGCTCATACCTGCTGTCGGTGTCACCGAGTGGAAGGCTATCGTTGCGATCGGTCTGATCCCGCTGAACTTCGTTCCCTTCAAGACACTTAGTGTCAGCAGCGTGATTGGCATTTTCTCGTGTCTTGGGATTGTCGCAATAGTCTTTGCCGACGGCCTCATCAAACCTCGAGCACCTGGCTCCCTGCGGGATGTGGCCAAAACATATGCTTTTCCCGAAGATTGGAGGACCATCCCGCTAAGTCTCGGTCTCTTCATGGCACCGTGGGGTGGCCACAGTGTGTTCCCTGCCATTTACAAGGACATGCGTCATCCACAGAAATACGGTCGTGCCCTGAAGTACACTTACATATTCACCTATGGCCTTGACTTGTCCATGGCCGTGTTAGGCTACCTCATGTTTGGCAACAATGTCCGTGACGAAGTGACCGCCAACATTCTGCGATCGACGGCCTATCCCCACGCTTTGTCGGTCGTCATCGTTATTCTCATTGCCATCATCCCCATCACGAAGATCCCTCTCTCGAACCGTCCAATGACGGATACCATCAACAAGAAGTTCTACCTTGATCTCCGTCAGATGGACCCCAAGGCGCGCATGCATAGCGAGAGATCATGGAAACACCGCCTCGCCCGTGGCTCCATCGCCGTCGTGGCCAACCTCATCCAACTCGGCATCTCGATTGGCTTTCCGGACTTTGACAGCATAATGGCGCTCATGGGGTCGGCACTGTGTTTCACCATTTGCATCATCCTCCCTGTAAGCTTTTATTTGAGGATTTTCAGCTCGGAGGGTAAAGAGATCTCACTGATGGAACGGATCCTCGACTGGGGACTGTTGATAGTTTGCGGTTCGCTGGCGGGTCTGGGGACTGTGTTTGCTATCTTGCCCAAGGATAAGATTGGGGCGGCGTGATGAATTGGGGAGCGCGAACTTGTTCTGAAGAAGTGAATGGAGTTATCTGGAGAGTAAGCCTACAGTCAAGCCAGAAGTGAGTAACATCGGAGGTACATATTGCATCATAACATGAACATACTTGATCAGGCATGCAGTCCCTTTGTGCGTTGACGACCTGTTACAGCCATGACAGTGGTATCGAGGGCAAGCACCCACCTATACAGGCTTCGTCACCCCTTTTTATCACTTTCACCCTCTCAAATCTCACTCTACAATCACATCTTGATTTGAAGACGGTATGGTGTAGCCGGTTCAGCACATCCTCACAAAAGCAGTGGCGCCTCTGGGAAGCCCTCAACCATAGCGCCAGCTGTGGTTGTCGCGTGGAACAGAGTACCGCGATAGAAAGTAGGTCCCTTGCCGAATAGAGAGGAAGTCCTTGGTTCAAATCCAAGTACCGTCAGGAGTTGGTCGTTCTTTTTGTTTGTGCAGTCCCACGAAGGCTTTTGTGAAGCTGGCGGACACTCGAAGTGCGAGTTGCTTGCTATTTTGCAGCGACAAACCAGCTGAGTCGTTCGGCCACTGTAAAGCTCTAAGCGTGTGCATTGCCGCCCTGGCGGTGTATTTCCTTTCCGGCGAAACACAAATAACGTCGCGGTCGATACACACAGCACTGCCGTATCCTCAAGGTAGATACATGTGAACCCCGTCCAACGTACCTGCTTACCCGTCTATCGACTCCCCGACCCTCCCATGGCAAACCCCCCAGGATTGTCTTTCAGGAATTGCACCTCCTCGGGCGTACTCTGCCTCCCAAGCACCTCGTTCCTGCTCGGAAACCGGCCAAACCGCATGATGACGTCGCGATGAGCCCTTGCGAAATTTAGGGAACTCGTCACGAATTTCGTCACCTCCTCCCGTTCGGTGGCGCTCAACTTGGTGCTACTGAGACAGCGCGCAGCCAACAGCTCAAACAGACTGACGCCTGCAATCTGGTGGATCAGGCTCTCCGCGTGCATCAAGGGCATATAGAAGAAGAGAGTCTGCAACTCGGTCAGGGTTTCTGGCGAGTGGTCGAATTCCCGTGCGACGCATTGGACCGCAACGTCCACGGCCTTGGCGTCCGACGCGTACGAGAGGTGCGAGCCGCGGTAGATGTTCCGGGGAAACTGGTCGAGCAGGATGATCAAAGCGAGGGAACCCAACGGTGTGGTGGTCCAGTTGTCGAGGCTGTCGTTCCGCGCCTGCTGGATCAGTGGTTCGAAATTCGTGCGGATTTCTTCGTCGACTTGGTCGCGGTTCGGTGGGCGGAACCATTTCTCCGTAATGCTGGCGTCAGGACTCGACGGCGTGAACCAGTACTCCAGGATGCGCGTGATGTCGGTTTGGTGCGCGGTTGAGATCTGTGGTGTTGCTGTTGCCGCTGCCATGTCGACCGACGCCGTCGCGTTGGTGGAATAGTAGAAGACAGGCGAGATGTACGATTGGAAGGCCGACTGGACTTGGAGCAGCTTTGCAGGTCGAAGACTTAGCCTTTGCCTTGCAGAAAGTGCAGATGCAGGAATACGCGTCGCTGTCGAAGGAGATGGAATATGCAGATGAGAGCGTACCCTTGTCAAGGCCTGGTCAAGTGCGGCCTTCATCCTTGAGCAGTCTCCGCCTTGTTATACTCTCTCGCGAGGCCACGCTGGCGAGATCAAATAGTACGAGTAGTCTCGCGTCGTGCCTCACTCGATTGATATATCGGAGTGCATGGTTTCCGAGGCAAGGTTGTCATTTGTAAGTGAAGCTGTACGCTTGATGGGACGCGGCTCGACGGTCGCGACGGCGACCGAGATCGGAAGAATACTGCGCCGGTGCCGAAGTTCATCACGTCATCCGATGCTTCGCTTCAGTTGACTCTTTGGGTGCGGCGGGGTCAACCCAAGTTCGGTCTTTTGAACTCTGCGATCTGCTGGGCCGCTCGAGGTGATGACAGGCTCAGACAGGTCACCCAGGAGTGGTAGAAAGCTGAGTCCAAGTTATCGCCTCAGCACGATATGCAATCAGACCGACAATGTTCGGCATCTTCATGCATGAGCCGGCGCGAGTAGCTGATCTCCAAGGACCTAATGGATCAGAACATGTTGGCCAATACGAGTACCACCAACGCGACCACCAGTCTTCATCTCCTCGAGGCTTCTCTTGTCGCTACTTATCAGAGCTGGAAACGTTGAGCCCCTTCGTGGTGAATAGACGCTTTGACAGATTATCCGTTAGCAGAGAAATGATGGGGATGCTGAATTCAAACCGTACCCTGGACCTACTGACAGATTGTTACGCTCGAAGTGCAGGTACAGCATAACCTTTTCCGCTCCAGGGAATCCACGCATGGATACATCCCTGATACAACAGTCACGCTGCCAGTATTCCATTGCGAATAGCACCTTCGACACTCCTGTGGATGGAAATCTAGTCTCTGTACCTACGATCGTCCGAGTCCCTCGTCCACCTTGGCCTGCAAGCAGGCTCTGTCCTGTCTCGACAATCCAGCCCCACGGTCCCCTTGATGTAGCCCATTCCGGATCTTTTAGATCCCGAAGGCCTGACACAGCACGATGACGAGGCATCAAACACAGTCTCGCTCGGCGCGGCGGCGCGTGCCACGGGTCTTTGGCGTGCAGAGGCAGCCGGCTTCGTCGCTTGGGCTGGCTGGATCCTAAGCCAGTGTCCCAAGTCGGGCTCGATGAAGCACGAATGTGAGGACTAGGACCAGGACACATATCCATCTCAGCCATCATGCCAAAGCTCGCGAAACGCGCATCGCTCACAATCCCATCCCAGCCATATTATTTCATCATTATCGGGAAATCGACTCGCCGTTGGGAGTGCACAGAACCATGTAAGTACTACGGTGAGACAATGTTGGCCCTCATGGGTAGTTGGTGATATTGGTAGATATGTTCAGGTATAAGGTAATCAGTGGGATTTTGTGGTAATGACCGTGGAGAAGTACAATCATATACAATGCTTGGTGGTTTCTGTTCTGCAAAACTCCTTTGGTCAGGCCTGAGCCATCAGCAGCAGTGTTGGCACAGTTCATGAGCCGAACAAGTCAAGGTCAAATCACATCAAATCCAGAACTCCGGCGCTTATGCAGACAACACGAACATCAGGGTCGCCGCCCTCTATCACTCTACAGTCCTTGGACATTTTTCTCGGACAATACTCCTTGTGTCATCATGTACATTTTGGCCTGCGCTGGGTCCCGCACAGCGCGTTCGGCTCACAAGTTGATGTCATGAAGCCAAACGGGCTGTTCGACGCGGTGGGAGAAGCGACTAGCTGCGAGAATCTCGACCATCTGCTGCTCGCTGACGATGAGCTCCTGCTTGGGCAAGAACCATCGGAGACCTTCACTGCAGGGAGGCGTGGTCAGGCTGCCCTTGTAGGTCCAGAACTCCTCGACGCCGCCTACTTCATCGATGGCAAGGCGCAGATTGACCTCCAGGCCCTCGAGCTGGGCGGTATCGTTGTAGTGGATCATCGGGCCGAGCTGCTTGATGAAGGCGGATTCTTGTGGGCCAACGGCGAGTCGAATACCGATCACGGCCGCTTCATGCTCTTCCGCGGTGACGTGGACCATGTGGATCTCCGCGCGACTGCGCTTGCCGTCGATGAGGTGCTCGGACGGTGCATGAATGTGCCAGCCGATGTTGAAGACTTCCTCGCCATCGAAGTTGAAGCTAGGGAGACCCGTGACATCGCCTTCCGGATGGTGAGGCGTCCAGGCTGGGGCGAATTGCCAGTTGAAGAAGTTGCCCGGGATCTTGACGGACTGGTAGCCCTCGAAATTCGGCTTGTGGAGGGTCGAAAGATCTTGTTGAGCGATATTGATGGGCGACTGATGTGTTCCAGATTGGCACAGAACATATTCTACTAGAGCGTCAGCAAGGTCTGTTTCAGCTACGAAGGCATTACACGACGTACCAGGGTTAATGGTCGCCCAGTCTGCAGAGACGTCGTAGTTCCAGTCTTTAGGCTCCCGGCCTTTGTCGACTCGGATTTGTCTTCGTCCCAGGTGAGGATGTGACTGGTAGTTGTCGTGCTTCGGGCAGCTCCAGGCTGTCGAGAAGAGAGCAGAAAGGAGAAAGAGCGAGGTAAGCATTTTGTCAAAAGAAGGGCAGATGCGGCTCGCTAAGACTTGAACGACTGATATCAAGTGATGGACGATAGGGAAATTGAAAGAATGATGGAAAAAATATCGCTGTGGAAGGAAAGGCGCTCTATACTGAAGGAAAGTTGATCGTCTGATATGTCGATCGCTCCTCGTGGGCGGGGACCATCACCTTTTATGTTCCGTTGGGGGAGGAAGCGTCGGCGAGGGGGAGTCAATCTCTCACAGCCGACTCGCTGAGGGTAGGAGGAGATGCCAAGTCGTTGCCTGTTCCAGTCCTGATATGCTTCAGCCCTGCTGAAACGCATGGCAAATACTGGTTTGTCTGCAGCGCTTGCGAAACCGATGTTCCCTTAGTGTAGGATGACAACAATACGGAGTAGTAGTACCGAATTTAGCGCACCGTCCAGGAACCCAGGCGCACTGCATCGCCAACCCCCGAACCGTCATGCATACGAGGTGTTCACGGCTGACGGGTCACAGCTCACAGCTCACAGGCCACAGCCTTCCGGTGCAAAGCCTCCGGGGAAAAGGACCACCAGATTGACCGCACCAAGGGCTCGGAGCATTGGCAATAATAGCGTTCGACGACAAGGCGGACAAGGCCATGCAAAGATCGTAAAAGCATGCGAAGCCGGCCTGGCACATATCTGGGCGCCGAGCGGTATCTGACAGCCAAGGCAACCGGAACGCTCCGCAGGGCCCGTAGGGGGATAGCGCAGCTCCAAATAGGAACAGCGAGGGCCTCCCAGCGGGCGCGTGGCTGGCAGCCGTTGCAACGGGATCTGCGGCTGGCGGAGAAAGGGGACGCTTCCAAGAATCTCCAAGACTCCTTTAGCTGTGGCGTCAGTCGTGATTGGGGGTGAGCGACGCTCTTGGCTGCACCAGACGCCCGAAGGGCCTAGACTTACTCGTGCAGTGACAAGCTCGACCATCAGCTTTGCCCAGCATCTCTCCGGGTCTGACCTGAGTCTGTTTCCGACAGAGATGAAGCAATTGCCCAGCAAAGGAGGTGCTCGGCGGGTGCTGCATCCATACAGTCACTGAGATTCATTGTCTTGCTGTCTCGCACTTGAAAAGAGCTATAAGGCCGGGTCGAGACTCCAGACTCGAGACCCGGGATCCAGGACTGCCGAAGCTGGTGTGAAAAGATCTTATCCCGAGGTCTGAAGAGATTGGAAAACCTCCGAACTCCTCAACGGCCTGTGTCGATCTTCAATAGTCGGACTAGAAGTGATTTGCGAATGCGGCGGGCCGGTTTCGCTTAACCATGAGCCATGCCTGTTGCGTGCTACTAGTAGCGACGGTAAGGTCGCCGGCTTGTGGCTGCACACCACGCCAAATACAAGCTGATATTCGCGTGGTGCCACGCACTGGGTAAGCACTGTGTACTTAATGCATATGGCGCGTACTTCGTACAGTAGCAGTCATCCTCTTCGGAGTCTTGGATGGCCTGGCATTTTGCTCAGCTCTTCTTCGATGCTCGCTGCTCTTCTCCGCGGCGCCTGAGGCCACCTCGCTGTGGCTGTGCCTGCCTTTCTTCGCCGGATCCTGTATCTACTCACAGGCCTTACTGGAGTCGCTTCCCGGGTTGGCGGAGGGAGGTAGGATTCGCTTGCGAAGGCAGCTCCGGCGCCGCGGTTGCGGCAGCAGCATTAGATAAGTGTTGAGTGATTGAGGCTAAGTGAGAATTGGTCCAGCTTAGGTCAAATACGCGCCGCAAGTCAGGAATGCATGTATTACATACTGTCAGCTTCGAGCGGTCACGGCGAGATGCTGAGAAACAGGCCCGTTTGCGTGGGCCGGGAATTGTCATGATGCTGCGTTCAAGCCTTATTCATCGTGGAAGCTTTGCACATGAGAGCGACTGAGACAGGCGGGCGATTGGAACGCATGGCAGGTATGGAGCATTGAGCATTGACTTAGGGATCCTGGGCAGCTCCTTTTGCGCACCGTTCATTCAACTGCATGAACGAGAGTCTCGAACTCTCCCAAGGCAAGCAGGAGCATGCTTGGGGGACTCTACCCATCATTGTCCGCCGGCATCCCGTGCATTGCTAGGCGCTCCATCCACCTTGTACTCGGCATCCTCCCTCCGACTCCCCCTTCCCATCTGACTTTGGGCGATTGACGCATTTGGCTTGTGCGTCTCCCCATTCTACCTGCTCGCCAAGTACCACAGCCAGCTTGTCGACAGCTGATACGGTGTTGGGGTCTTGGTCCACCGATCCACGATGTGGGTGTAGTCCTCGACTGCCTGTGTGTGTATCGCCTCGGATCCTGCCATGTGCTTGCTCTGCTTCTGGGGACGGTTGCACTTTCGCTCAAATTGCAAGCGATCTCTCATGCTGTTGGTGAGAATCTTGTCACTTCTCAGACGAGACTCTCTCGTGAGAGATCTGAATCGTGGCATCTCGCTTGATATCTGAGAAATCATTTCGGAGTCCTTCAGACTATCCCGGCGTTCCTTGACAACTCAGCCAAAGTAGAGTTCTTTTCGATTCCCGACGCCTTTGGTTGGTGACAATGCACCAGCCTCTGAACCTTTTTCGTTCTTGTCGAGACCTAGCAGCAGGGCGCGGTCTCTTCATCTTGCTACCACCGCTGCCGACTTTGCTTCGGAAAGGGAAATCGAAATACCGCGCTGTCAAGAGGTCGCGATGTTCACCTTCTTGGCGACAATCACGTCACGGACCCCAACTGACTCTCAGTTTTGTATCTCCCATTCCATCTCGTGTAAGCAGACTCCTTGACCAAGCCATACTCGCAGTCTGCTCGTACTTTCAATCTTGGTCTGGTCGGAGTCTCAACAACTGGATTCGACCCAACCAAAACTAGCTACCACTCGTGCCAGGACGCCCAGCTCCGCTTGCAGTCATGGCCCCCACTCTTGTTCTCATCCGCCACGCAGAGGCGCTGCACAACAAGACAAATGACCCTAGCATTCTAGATCCAGAGCTCTCGTCGCTTGGCATCCAGCAATGTGAAGCCCTGCGCAATGAGTTGAAGGAAAAGTTCCCGAAGCCCGTGGATGTCGAACTGATCGTAGTCAGCCCTATGCGAAGAACTCTGCAGACAGCTTCGATCGCGCTGGATTGGCTGATATCAGGAGGCGTGGAAGTCGAAGTCGATGCAGACTGGCAGGAAATCTACGACAAGCCATGCGACACTGGAAGTCCACTTTCCGATCTTGAGGCGGAATTTCCTGCCTTCGATTTCTCAATCGTCGACCCGGTCTACCCAAATAAGAGCTCGCCCGAGGGCAGACGATATGCTCATAATAGATCAGCCGTCCTGGCGCGCGCACAGACCGCTCTGGGCAAACTCTACGGTCGGCCGGAGAAGCTGATCATCGTGGTCTCGCATTCGAGTTTCATGCGGCTAGCCGTTAGCGGGACATGGTTTGCAAATGCCGACTATCGCATCTTTGAATTCAGCGAGCGAAAGAGCAAGGACGAACCATACCGCTTGACCGAGTGGGACTCCACGAGATCAAATGGTGGTGGAATGGGTCTCAGCTCGAAGGATCAAGTAGAGCTTGGGTCAGGAAATCTGCCACCCGATGCCGGTTCAGCAAGGTTGGAGAGCTAGATGGAAGAAGAAAGACAACGTCTTTCCCGAGCACTGATGCTTCATCCATGAGACCACCACACTCGATCAACACATTGGACCGACAAGCAAATTCGAATCTGCAGCAACTTTCGGTCTCTTCACAGTCGAAGGCACGGCGCCATGACACCCCACCACAGCCTTGACAGTCTCGGACCGTCATTGACAGGTGTACTTGCAGGAAGACCTCGCTCTCGCAAATGCACGTGTATGAGTTGTGTCTTTTGTCGCTCTTCTCGCCACCCCTTGAAGCAGCAACCGGCGACTGGGAACTATGGAAACAGCGTTTGCAGCATTATGTCCACGGGACCGAGAGCTCCCCAATGCGGTTTAGACAGCTTTCCTAGAAAGAGAGGATACACGACACGCAGGAAACTTCAGCGAGCCAACAACAATATAGACTCCCTTTCTCCCCTCTTGTCCCAACAGAGCTCGATCAGATCTCTATAGCAGCATCATGGCGTATACACATCCTTCTCAAGAAAGGTGGCCCATTGATAAAACCACCAAAGCTCCCCGTTCTGCAGCACGAAAAACAAGTCTCGACGTGATCGAGAGAAAATCAATGGGTACTTTCACAGGACAAGTGTCGGTGGATTTCGTGTTGACGAACGCAAACGCGACAATCCTGGACGTCAATTTCCAGCCCGGCTCGCGCACGAATTGATACGAGTGCTACAGCAGTCTTTCGTTGGGTTTGGTGATCAGGAGGAGACCCGAGAAAAAGACACAGTCGACAATATCATCTGATGTCCTCCCGGTGGCGTCTCATCATGCACGATTGGCAGCCGAGGTGCCGGTAATAGTTGCTGCTTGGGCTTTGATATCCTGATCCGGCGTGCTTGATATCAAGGTCTTGCCCTCCGCCTCTTGCACGCCTCTTATCTCTTTGGAACAAGGCATGCTCCCAGTTCCATTGCCTAGACACGGTTGAAGAGATCGTACCGTAAGGAGCACGGAGTATGTCTACCTCAATCCGTGATTGCAGGTACAATCCATGAGGCTGCGACTCCTGGATGCCAAGACATAGCAGGGTTCTGACACTGTCGCCTCTTTCTCTTTCCCACCACAATGAATGGCAGCTGCTCGTATCTTGATTTAACACCTCTAGTACAACGTTCTTTTCCCAGCAACGGCTTCTGAACCGGCAGTCGCTGATGAATCGGAAGCAATGTGCTTGCACAGGGCTCAATGACACAGGGGATGGTGCAATTAGTGGAAGACGAATGAGCGAAGTATCCCAAATCAGTTTAGCGTCGCTTCTGTCCTGGCCGCCTTATCGAGAACCTTCGACGACGACGTCGTCGACCGATCGCATGCTCCATGATCGAGCCGTACTGTGTACACATCTGATCTACTGCGGACTACGTCCCGACTCTAGAATAACAGGCACGATGTAACCACATGTTCCGTGGTCACCGTCAATTGGCTCGAGGTGCACAGTAGGTTGATTTAATAAGCCGCCGCCCCGAGGTCTGTTCATTTCACATATCTCAGTTTGTGGTCAGGCATCAACGCCGAAGGCTCCCACTAATCGCTCACTGCTTTCATCACTAGCTGAATAACGAGTCAGAGTTAACGATATCGCGGGAAATGGCTTCGGAGTATCTCTATCCCGCCAAACCCGCCCCTGCGCTGAATATCCCTCCTGGAGCCTCCGCCAAGGTCCGGATCATCAATTCCACCGCGACCATTCAGGCTCCCGTCGGGGTCTTCATGTATCCTGAGATACGCGGCCACGAACTTCTCCACGTGCCGGCATTCAGTTTTCTAGTGGAGCAACCCTCTTCAGGTCGGAAAATCCTCTTCGACCTGGGCTGTCGGAAGGACTGGCAGAATTTCCCGCCAGCAGTTCAGAAGGTCATTAACGGGCCCGGGTGGAAAGTCGACGTCCAGAAATCGGTATCCGAAATCTTGCAGGAGAATGGCGTTGATGTCGCGGCGGGCGCAATCGAGGCTATCGTCTGGAGTCATTGGCATTTCGACCATACAGGCGACCCCAGCCTTTTTCCGACCAGCACCGCTATTATCGCTGGACCGGGGATGAAGGAGGCCTTTCTGCCCGGATACCCGACAAATCCAGAGTCTCCTCTTCTAGAAAGCGACTTGAAGGGAAGAGAGCTCAGATCACTTGATTTCGAGAATTCACCTACACTCAAGATCGGTCAATTCCGGGCGATCGATTATTTCAATGACGGCTCGTTCTACCTGCTTGACGCACCGGGCCATGCAATTGGCCATGTTTGCGGGCTGGCCAGAGTGACCTCGAGTCTCGAGTGCGACAAGGAAGATACCTTTATCTTTATGGGGGCCGATGCTGCTCACCACGGCGGCGAGTTCCGGCCGTCAGAATATTTGCCGCTACCCAAATATATCCAGCCGTCGCCTTTCAGCCGCAAGTATCCCACTTCTTGCCCGGGTCACATTTTCGAGACGATACATCCGGGTGGGAAGGGGTCTGAGCCTTTTTACCGGCTCCAGGATCACGTACCACACAGCCTCGAACAAGCCGAGCAAAGTTGTAGCCACATGCAGGAGTTTGATGCCGCGGAAAATGTCTTTGTCATCATAGCCCACGATGCAACACTACTGGACGATCAGGTCGGGATTGAGTGGTTCCCAGATGGCACTCTCAGAAATTGGAAAGAGAAAGGTTGTAGCGAAAGAGCTCGCTGGGCTTTTCTCAAGGATTTCGCAGAAGCCGCTGGGGAGGCGGAGATGAACTCGCAAGCATCTCTCTGACAAGAGGGCGACATTCTCGCCCCCACTCGGACGAGTCCTTCTCTCATATCAGATTTCCGCTTATCATGACTATTTCCGTTCATCTCGCCTTCATGCCTCCAACATGCTGCTACATGTTATGCCAGTGACATTCCTCGCATTCACACAGGTCGTATCAGCAGGTGCATTGGTAGCAGAGTTGCTCAAATGGAAGTCCGTAAAGACCATGTTCGACCAAGGAGCTGGTGCCGAGCAATTGAGTGCGACGCCGACTTTCCTGCTGACGGTCCCGGACACGTCCGAGAAGTGTAGATTCTCGAACTCCAACGTACTCGTGTCACAATAATTGGCCTGGTCAGGTATCTTGAAGGAACATTCCTTGATGCAGACGGCTTGGCCGGTAATGTCAGTGGACAGGCCCGTGAGAGTCACATTCGAGCATATGAAGATGGTAAGCACGATAGGGCGGCCGAATTGGTTGCGGTGGCCGGCTGCATGTGTCATACAAGCCCGGCCGTTACCACTGATACCACCTCTTGTGCTAACTCCTTCTTGGCATAGAAGGAATCTCCACGAAGCAAACCAGACGAATCAATGTCAGATTGGGCATCCACGTGGTTTGAAGCCGAACAAGATCGATGACTCTCCCGAGATCAAACAATGACACAGCTGGCTACTATGCCGACCTCGTTCAAATCAAGTCATAGGGCTTAGGGAGAGGCGGGAGAAAGAAGTGATCAATAGAAGGTGAGCAAGGGAACTTTGCCAAGTTGCTTCATCAGGGCGGCGTCAACGCGAATCCTGAAACAGCTGTGCGGCCGGATATGTCGGTGATTACAGTTGCCAAGCCGCTCAAGGTGAAGAATGAGGAGTAAATCACGTGAATCGTCACCGCGGCCGCTTGGCTGTCTCCGAAATTCGCTTGTCCCTGCAGTGGACTTACTCGGTGCGCTGATCTAAAATTTGGATAGAAGCTCAGCTTTCCACGAGAGTGAGTCACGGTGCTCCGATCGCTTGAGACGACTCGCTATATTGCTTCATGAGGTAGCTTCAATCAGACTTACATACCGAGCTCACCTCGCCGCCATCATGGCGGGCAGGCGCAATCTTCTCTCTCTGGCCTACCGAGCCAGCAATCACTCAACTCGAACGCCAACCGGGACCTCATTTCTCGACTCGGTCCTCCCTGCATCCAGGAGATCAAAGAGCACATCCACTTCCGCTCTGGCATATAAGGCTCTCCACAGACGGTCACCCCTTCCTCTTCCCGTATCAGACACCTCTCCACAGTATGGCGCCGCAGCTGCCGTGTCGTCTATCCTGTACGAAACGCCGGTGGCTTCCACGGCGCCGCCCAAGAAGCACGTCTTGAACTGCCTGGTACAGAATGAGCCTGGTGTCTTGTCCCGCGTGTCCGGAATTCTGGCAGCGAGAGGTTTCAATATCGACTCTTTGGTCGTCTGCAACACTGAGGTCGAGGACCTTAGTCGAATGACCATCGTGTTGAAAGGCCAGGATGGCGTTGTTGAACAGGCCAGAAGACAACTGGAGGACTTGGTACCAGTATGGGCTGTGTTGGATTACACATCGGCTGCTTTGGTTCAGCGCGAACTGCTCCTCGCTAAAATCTCGATTCTGGGCCCTGAGGTCTATGAAGAGCTGATGGAGCACCATCGCGAGATGACCAGCCCCGAATCGGAACGTACTGCAGAAGATCTGGAGGACGCCGAGGAGAACGCGGACAAAAGGCTGCAGGAGCTAGAAGAGAACAAGCCCGAAGAATCCAGCCTCGTACAACGAGCCAAGGAAATGCTCGGCCAGGGTGACAGCTATCACCCTAGCCGACTTGCAGCCAGTCAAGCCCTCAGACATAAACATGAACATCTTGAGGCCATTACACATCTCACCCATCAGTTCGGCGGCAAAGTTCTGGATATCAGCACGAACAACTGCATCGTCGAAGTGTCAGTCTCCTGCCCCAAACCAACCATGTTGTATTCAATATGCTAACGCAATTGCAGCTCCGCGAAGCCTAGCCGTATCGACTCATTTATGAAGCTAATCGCCCCATTCGGCATTCTGGAGTCAACGAGAACGGGGTTGATGGCACTTCCCCGGTCACCCCTCTATGATCCGAATGAAGAGCTTGTGCGTGACGCTGACGACGTGGTGGATGCGAGCACCCTTCCCCCCGGTTAATCATCTCTCGACGGTTGTGAGGTAGCGGCAGGCGTCCCAAGGGCGGGGTTCTGTTGATTTGGGATATGTAGGCCTTCCAGATCACCTTACTGGTCCTCATGTAAACTGTGCTTTTCGAGAGCGGCGCCGCATTCGAAATCGAAATTCGTCCCGTGCGATCGCTCGTGTCTGCAACATGTAATTCAATCCATTCTACTTTCCTTCCGCTTGATCAAGGAGTGATGCCGCTGTCATGTTAGCCACTCCAAAGATCAGGGAAATCAAGATTTGCTATTAGAGCGTGCAAGGACGGTTCCTAAGCCAAAAGTACCTAGGCAATTGCAACACACACTTGTTCGAATGACTTTTGGAAGCGCCCTTGAAGCAGCTGACCATATTTGGGCCTTGTTGAGTTCGAAGGTCATCTAAGACGTCTGTCATTTTGTCCCAGTTAAGTGTAGGTGATGGAACTAGGGAAGTGGTTTCTGGCAGTGTAAAAGCAGCGTCACAGCCTTGCAATAGGCGAGGCCGGACAACCTTCGTCATGACTTCTCACTTTCTTCGGCATCAAGAGGACGACCACCAGATTGCCGAGCTATCTCAACTCGCTCTCCGATCCTAGGTGACCTCGCTGAAGATATGGCGTCGTATCTATCGAATCTGCCTTCTTTGGGGGAATTCTTCCCGCCAACCCCAAGAGCAGCCAAGTTGGCGCTCGATATCTTTCGACTGTACATCCCGGTAAGTACCAAAAGTAAGACGAAGTTCCTAGCCTTTCCACCCACCTATCGATGATGAACTTTGAGTCTGAAGAAGATACTTGTACCTGACAAATCTACCACAGGTCTCGATTGCGCAATGGACTCCTCTAGGTCGATTACAAGCGATGGGCAAAACATCATACGCTACTTCACGTTTTAATCTTCCTGGACGCTACGCCTGGGCTGCAGCGGAATTGGTCGGGCCCATAAACCTGATCTATATTTTGACAACTCTGCCTTCGAAGCTCAGACCTCCGCCAGAAGTGGCGACGAGATCCTTAGTGCTGGGCCTACCTATTCAGAACGTGATCTTGGCCTGCCTCTATCTTCTTCACTACGTCAACCGTGCTCTGGTCAGCCCGCTATACCTCAATCCAAGCATGTCACCCATCCACGTTTTCGTCACGATTTTTATGATGGTTTTTCAGTTTACGAACTCGACGAGCATTGCGACTTGGCTCGTATACTCGGTACTGGACGTCGAGGCGGGAAGTCGACCCATAGTCTCCTTCGGTTCGATCATTGGCGTCACAATGTTTCTGCTGGGTCTCGCAGGCAACATCTGGACAGAGACAAGGCTATATGAGATGCGACGGGGAGCAGCCCGGCGGAAGGCGAAGGCGGAGGGAAAAGCAGTCGTCACTTACGACAAAGTATATGTGATCCCACCAGTGGAGGGCTTCTTCAAGCACATCTTGTACCCGCACTACGTTCTGGAATGGTTGGAGTGGTCAGGATACTGGCTTCTCGGAGGGATATGGGGGCTCGGATGGGGCTCGAACAGCGCTGCATTCTGGTTTCTGGTGTGCGAGATCGCGACCATGCTCCCTCGTGCTGTTACCGGACGGAAGTGGTACGAGGCAAAGTTTGGCAAACGAGCTGTTGGAGGCCGAGCAGCAGCCATTCCTGGTCCGATCAAGATATGAATGGGTTGCACAGTTAGGTAGATTTTCTAACACGCAATGCCAGCCTAACTCCGTAAACCTCGGAAGGCAAACCGAAGATGTAACTGTTTTTGTCACATGGCGTGATGGGGAGGACGTCGGATACGCAGGAACAAGCCGAGGAAGGCCTGGCGTCCGTTGGTTCGCTGACCATTGCTGGGGGTTTAGTGGGCCAAAAAGGGCCTAATCCAGGCAGCGTAGTGGCCGCTTGGGCCCCCGGAGGACGACGTAGTACCTAACACAGTAAGCTCGAAGCGGTAGCCAAGGGATCAATCATCCCACCAGCCCGCCAAAACAAGCCTCCGTCACTCGGAGAGATTCACAATGTTTTTCGAACTTACTCAGACAGTCCGACCTGCTCACACTTTCTCACCGCTCTGACTTGGACTTCTCCAGTCTCTGCTTTTTCTTCTTTTCTGTCTTCTGTTCACCTCGTTCCTGTTCATCCTGAAGCCGTTCGAAAGGCTATCTTCACTGCTCTTCTCACCGTCTTCACAACGGTATCACAGACAACTGCGAAGATGGTTCAATCGTGAGTCAATCAATCCGCTGTTCTTCCCTCTGCAAATTCTGACACCTCCCCAGCTCCATCCTCGGTTTCCCTCGCATGGGGGTCAACCGTGACCTGAAGAAAGCCACCGAAGCATACTGGGCTGGCAAGCTCTCTCAGGACGAGCTTCTGGCGGAAGGGAAGAGACTTAGATTGGAGCACTGGAAAATCCAGAAAGATGCTGGCATCGACATCATCCCAAGCAATGACTTCGCCTTCTACGATCAGGTCCTCGACCACATCCAGCTCTTCGGCGTTGTCCCAGAGCGGTACACAAAGCACAACTTGGCTCCCATTGACGAGTACTTTGCCATGGGTCGAGGGCTGCAGAAGCCTGCCACCGACGGCTCTCCTGCTGTCGATGTGCCCTCCTTGGTACGTGTATGTTGACGCCTGCAAGACCTCCACTGACCTGTTCAGGAAATGGTGAAGTGGTTCGACTCAAACTACCACTACGTCAAGCCCACACTTCAAGACAACCAGACCTTCAAGTTGTCTTCAAAACCCAAGCCCGTCACCGAGTTCCTCGAAGCCAAGGAAGCTGGCATCAACACACGCCCGGTCCTTCTCGGACCCGTCTCCTTTCTTTCCCTGGGCAAGGCCGACCGTGGTCAGACCATTGAGCCAATCTCAGCCCTGGACAAGCTGCTGCCTCTTTACGAGGACCTCCTCAAGCAATTGAAGGATGCTGGTGCAGAGACTGTGCAGATTGATGAGCCCGTCCTGGTCTTCGATCTGCCCAAGCGTGTCAAGGAGGCGTTCAAGCCTGCCTATGAGAAGCTTGGTCGTCTGGGCAACAGTGCCCCCAAGATCATCCTGGCCACATACTTTGGTGACGTCGTTCACAACATCGATGTCCTCGAGTCCTTGAAGCACCTCTATGGCATCCACGTTGACCTGGTCCGCAACCCCGAGCAGCTCGAAACAGTGGCATCTGCGTTGGGCCCTCAACAGGTCTTATCAGCGGGTGTAGTTGATGGTCGAAACATCTGGAAGACCAACTTTAAGCACGCCATTGAGCTGGTCGAAAATGCCATCCAGAAACTAGGAAAGGACAGAGTCATTGTTGCCAGTTCTAGCTCTCTTTTGCACACCCCTCACACTCTTGCCAGCGAGAAGAAGCTCGATCCCGAGATTGCTGATTGGTTCAGCTTCGCTGTCGAGAAAGCCAAGGAGATCAGCATCATCGCCAAGGCAGTCACAGACGGCCCGGCGTCTGTTCGTGAGGCTCTCGAAGCCAATGCCAAATCGATGCAAGCTCGTGCTTCCTCAAGCCGAACAAACGACCAAGCCGTCAAGGAGCGACAGAGCAAGGTAAATGCGGAGATGCACAACCGCAAGTCACCTTTCCCTGAGCGGATTGCTCAGCAACAGAAGCGTCTGAATCTTCCAATGTTCCCTACCACGACCATCGGATCGTTCCCTCAAACCAAAGAAATCCGTATCCAGCGAAACAGGTTCACCAAGGGCGAGATCACCGCTGAGGAGTATGAGAAGTTCATTGAAAAGGAGATCCAGGATGTCATCAAGATTCAAGATGAGCTCGATCTCGACGTCTACGTACATGGTGAACCAGAACGCAACGACATGGTTCAATACTTCGGTGAGCGCCTGAATGGTTATGCCTTCACCACCAACGGCTGGGTTCAATCATACGGCTCCCGATGTGTCCGACCACCCATTGTGGTGGGCGACATTTCTCGACCTGCTCCGATGACAGTCAAAGAATCAAAGTACGCGGCTTCTATCTCGGGCAAACCAATGAAGGGCATGCTCACAGGCCCCATTACCTGTCTGAGATGGTCATTTCCTCGTGATGACGTCCATCAGTCCGTCCAAGCCCAACAATTGGCACTTGCTCTGCGCGATGAGGTTGTTGATCTTGAGAAGGCTGGCGTCTATGTCATCCAAGTCGACGAGCCTGCCCTGCGTGAGGGTCTTCCCCTTCGCACTGGCAAGGAACGACAAGACTACCTTAAGTGGGCTGTGGATGCCTTCCGCCTCTCCACCGCAGGCGTTGAGGACGGGACGCAGATCCACAGCCACTTCTGCTATTCCGAATTCCAGGACTTCTTCTACGCGATTGCAGCACTGGATGCTGATGTTCTCTCAATCGAGAACAGCAAGTCTGATGCTAAGCTTCTCAAAGTCTTCGTCGACGAGGCTTACCCACGTCATATTGGACCTGGTGTCTATGACATTCATTCTCCCCGTGTTCCTTCTGAGAAGGAAATCCACGACAGAATTGCCGAGATGTTGCAGTACTTGAAGCCGGAGCAATTGTGGATCGATCCCGATTGCGGTCTCAAGACTCGACAGTGGAAAGAGACCAAGGCTGCCTTGACCAACATGGTCAATGCGGCCAAGAGCTTCCGTTCCCAGTACGTCAAAGCCCAGTAAAGGCCATATAACAGGCTTCTGGGAATGGGTTGTGTTTTATGCTGGATCAGTCAACCTGATCCGGGCCGACGGCGTCACGGGGGTGTATGACCGAGATGAAATGGATGAACGACCAAAAGTGTTTTCAACATGATACCAATGTAGCGACGGAGGCTGGCAAAAGTCGATCTTAACATCGGCGTTTTCGGCTAGCTCTGAAATCAGACAGAGAGGGTGCGCAAGGAATGACCAGTTGGTCAGAGGGTAAGGGGATGAATACTGCCTCGTCCATGCTGGCGCTGTAGTCCATAATGAACAGACAGAATCAATGCCATGGGTTGTCTTTGTACGTTGTGTGTAGTGATGGCTCTGAAACTTGTCCTCCAGCAGCAGCAGTGGTGTATCTACACAGTCCACCGACGGACGAGCCTCGAGCACCATCTAAGCCCCTGGGAAAGCGGGGTGTGATCGTGCGGATATTAAAGCCAGCCTTGATCACACACATCTCCAGCCAAGTATCTACTGCAGCTTATGTCATGCTCATGTCAAGCCTTGCAGGCGTTCGTCCTAATCATGGTTTCTTCTGGAGCTTCATGTTGTCTCTGTCATTCGTCTCATGCGTTGTCAGAGCTTTTCGCACGAGGAGTGAAGGAAGGAGGCGTGCGACTGTTCCGAAAACTCGCCGCTTGGCATCTTCGACGAGGTCTTGAAGCCACAGGATGGTGAGTAATGACTACTCCTCAAGGAAGGTACAGAACTACCACGACGACTGCAGAGTGGACTGCGCATACGGTGACTGGACGCCAAACTGCTAACTATTGTGCGCCCTGGCCTCAACTTCCATGGCCTCGACACGCTGACCTCGAGGCCAGCGACAGTGCCTGGATTGATTGGACATCCTAGAGCCGGAGAGAGCGGCGCTGCTTTGGCAGCCATATGTCTTGCCGGTCGAAGAAGCCTTCCTCCGATCCTCGTCTGACACCGGGTCCTGGCTGCCGGTCCATTCCCGGCTGGTCGCAATGCCTAATCGCTGCTTCGAGATCCCCTTCTTGTCATCATCAGACTCCAGTGATGGTCCTTATGACAATCAAATCTTCTCAACCTACATCGACAGGAAGCCAAGCTGGACAGTGGACGACATTCTAAGCCCTAAGCAGAGCAGCCACTCGCAGACGGCCCTGGCAGACACAATTCAGACGTGGCTCTTCTTCGGCCTCATCCACGAAGCCTTCGGGCATCATGCACGACAGCGCGACTTTATTGATGTCGACCCAAGTGGTCAAGCCTTGGTGACAACGGCCCCCTTATGGCGGTTGTGTTACGATACGTTCCTGAGCTCTGCTCATCCTGAAGCAAGCAGTCGCAGCCACGAGCTCGAGAAGTCGATTGCCCTGGCTGCAGAGTTCGTGGGTCGGATACATTTGGGTTTGCAAGACATTGACGAGGAATTAGAGAAAGTTCTCTTCTCCGTCATGATCTTGTGCGATGCTCTGCAACTGTCCATCAACCCCAGCACATCGGTTCTTCCTAGCCGCCAATGGCCTCTATCAGATGTCTTGTTGGAGAACCACATGCGGTTGGTCGGATGGTGTCCCAGCGACATGCAGAAAGTGACCAAGATGCTCGACTTACATTCTCTCACCCTTGCAAGCAAGATACCTCCCCGAGATCCAGGCTCCCATGACAGATGCGACAGCGTCCGCTGCTATGCCAACGACGTTGTTTCCGGCGAATACCTACGGAAGCACCACAACTGCAACGGGTGCGAGGAGTTCGTGGCCGATCCTGTCGAGATCTGCGATATCCTTGACGACGGGCATCTGCCACTGATTGATCCCAGCCAGGGGAATGGTCCAAAGCTCAGGTTGAAAAGCACTGGTGAGGCCCCGAAGTACATCGCAATTTCACACGTATGGTCCGATGGGCTCGGTAACCCACACCGCAATGCGATCTACAGATGTCAGCTCAGCCGACTTCAGGATCTGGCCTGTTGTTTGTCACAGCCAGCGTTACCTCTCTGGTTAGACACCATCTCCTGCCCTCGCGACTATGAGCACATACGCGAAAGAGCCAGAAAGGCTTACGGTCAGGCGATCGCCTTCATGCGCAGGACATACCGCGATGCCGAAACTGTTTTGGTGCTTGACCACTCTCTCCTTGATGTGGATAGCAAGAACTTGACCCACCTCGGTATCCTGCTGCGCTTTGTCACTTGTGGGTGGACACGCCGATTGTGGACTTACCAGGAAGGCATACTGGCGAGGAAATTGCTTGTCCAGTTTGCCGATCGCGCCGTGGATATTGACGAGGTATACTCCAGATGGCAAGATTCCAGCAAGGCAATTTTCTACCCCAGCATCCGTGGAGCGTACAAAGAGCTGCGAATCTTATTGGATTCTGGTGATGACGACTATACCGAAAAGATCCTTCACAGGGTGTCTCGTCCGCTGCAGTTCCGCAAGACATCTGTTGCTTCCGACGAAGCGTTATGCCTGTCAACGCTGGCGAATCTGTCTCCTGAACGGGTAAAAAGAGTTTCCGAGAGTGAGAAGAACAAACGTATGGAGACGTTCTACAGCAATCTACCTACCATCAGCAAACAAATCATCTTTTGGCATGGGGATCGTCTCCAACAGATAGGCTTTCGGTGGGCACCGGCTTCGTTTCTCAACAACAGCAATCTCTATTTCAGAGATTGGGACCATGGCCCATCAGCAGAGTGTAACAAGGCCATGTTATCATGCTCTGGACTGTCTTTTGATTGTCCTGGAATACTACTGGGCAAGCTTAGCGGTGGCATACAATCATTCCTCGTGACAACTGGCCCAGACACATGGTATCATGTGAGCTGCCGGCAGTTTGACGGGCAGGAGGGTGTACCGTTTCGCATAGTGCCAGACCACAATATGCCCGATATCTCCTTGGCTCTTCTAAACCCTACCTCTTTCCAGGAAGACTTTTCTACTCCGGGATTTGAGACGCGGGTTTCCCTGATAGTGGCTATTGTCGCCGAAGAAGACGGCACATTGATTGCCCAGACACTATGTCCAGCTTTCGTCTTCCGCAAGGTCGGGATCGGGGCTGAACTGCCATTGGTTATGAAGACTTACCAGTTTTTCAGGAAATGTCTCCAGGATCCTGACACCCCTGAACGTGATTGCGATTCTGACTCAGAGCTCGACGTTGAGAATGCCTCGCTCCTCGAGGATGAGAGTCTCGTGGGCCAATACCAGGCGCGAGGTCGTGCTGCCGTCTTGGAGCACGTCCAGAGACCAGTATCCGCTCAGGGTGAGAATCTGCTGTGGGCTGGTACGACCATGTTGAATGGACGACTCTCTCTCGTACGCGAAGGTATGCATAGCATTTTCGAAGGCTCGGAAATCGCATCGAGACAAAGATGGTGCCTCGACTGAACCGTCCACCTGCATGGCCACGTTTGTCATCGACTCTCAGCTATACCTGCTCGCTAATCGCTACACTGATCGGCGTGGGAAAATATAAACAGGTATCAGGACAGCGTTGCCTGCGAACCTGCTACCTCTTATTCTCGGTGCTCTGCTTCCCTGTGCCGACCACATCTGGCGAGACTCATTCATGATCTTGAAAATACTTGGGAGCGAGGTGTTATCCTGGTCATTTGCGCAGGATAGCGCCGCTGCGCCCAATATGTTCGCAAGTACTCCGTAATCAAGGAGACATTTCCCGAGAAGTCAGGAATGAACCCATTTAAACTCAACTCGCGGACCCTTCTCTGAGACCGCCGATCTTCTGGTCTTGCCAGCGCTTGAGGATTGTGGAGATTGGAGCATGGTCAAGCGAGCACACGCAGAAAGTCCATTATCTTAAAAGGGGATAGCATCTGCTCTCCGCTCTTTCAGTCAACCTCCGCCTCGCATTCCCTGGCATCGCTTGACGTGATGTCCAATCACAACAGCGCCGACTATTCATGTTCTACCACAGTAGCATCTCTCCCCACCTGCGTCTTTTCTGGCCTGTGCGACCACCTTGTCGGACCTCGCGTCGAAGCAGAGGGGTCGCATCTTCCATGTCCTATGGAGATGGCGGCGGTCACAGTCGTGCATGTACCTGCCTCGCCAACCCTACAGAGATGATGAACGGCCCGCTTCCAGCATGGATACACATGAGGTCTACACATGTGCCGATCCTTCTCGAATCAGTGCAGCGAATGAGACTCCCTGCTCAAGATATGAGCAACCGCCAACAGAAGGCATCTCAGTGCGCCACAGTGATTCACCATGGGGAACTCCAACTTCTCTTCCTGGGGAAAACTCGTCTGGGGAATCTCCTTGGTTCCACCTCGCCAGCGCAGCCGATACCTGCATTTGGAAATCCATTCTCTGGGGAACACACCCGCTCTGTGGTCAGTGGATCGAGACCCATCCTATGACCCTGCTCATTGCCGACCGCGCCCCGCAAGGCTAAAGCGTCGTCTTTATATACAGCTAGCAGGCGACGCCCTTCTGCACCATCTTCCTCCAGAAAATTCCTGAAAGTGATCAATCTAGTCGCCAATCTAGGGCAGAAGAGCCAAGATTCAATACGAGAAGCTTGATTCCCTCTAGGAAGAGAAGTCACCATGGGTCTCGGGATTCTCGAAGACCGCCATCTGGATCATGTTCCGGGCACGGCCTTGCTTTCGGATATGGCGGATGCAGAGCATCATCAATTCCATGGTATGGAACCCTGAAGTGAAGGCCTGGCAGTGAAGGCCTGGCAGTGAAGATCGCGAACTAATCCTGATCAGGTCGTGATACTTCTGGACTCAAGCACGCAAAGGGAGGCAACTCCGACATTGTGCTCGTCCCTCAACCCAGCGAATCCCCAAGAGATCCGTTGAACTGGCCAACATGGAAGAAGGATCTCCTCCTCCTCATTATTAGCGTTGATACCAGTATTGTGGGTGCGTGGGGGCCTATGATCAGTCCTGGATTCGCGCAAATGGCCGAGGATTGGCACATGTCGTACAACACCCTCAATGGAGGGCTGGGCTGGGCCATCTTCGCTATCGGTATCTCCTGCTTCATCACCAATGGACTCTCGGTCAAGTACGGCCGTCGACCGGTCATGATCCTCGGAAACCTCCTCCTCTTCATTTCCTCGGTGTGGGGATACTTTGCAAACAGCTACCACTCATTGCTTGCAAGCCGCATTTTCGGCGCCATTGGCATGTCCCCCTTCGAAGTGCTTACCACCGCGATCATTGGAGACATCTACTTCGTACACGAGCGTGGTATCCGTCTTGCGTTCTGGGGCCTTTGCCTCAGCATTGGCGTTGGCGGCGGTAGCTGCATTTCTGGCTACATCATCCAAGACCTTGGGTGGAACTGGACCTACGGGATCTGTGCGATCTTGTATGGTGTGTTCATCATTTTGATTTTCCTGTTTGTGCCCGAGACGGTCTACAAGCGAGATCCCGCGTATAATCTCGACCTCGGCACGACGGATCATACATTCGAGACGCTCGAGGCGACAGAGCGCAAGGGCGAACATATGGAACACCTCGAGACGACCAAGACAGGCAGCAAGGTTGCGCATCGAGAAGTGCTGTACACGGGCGCAGACGAGAAGTCGTACACATTCTGGGAAGAGCTGCGTCCCTGGCGGGGCGCCGAGTCCGACGAGAACTTGCTGGCGATCATCGTCCGGCCGTTTGGCATGCTCTTGTTCCCTCAGGTGCTGTACGGATTCATTACGTACGGTCTCTCAACGTCGTGGCTGGTCGTGATGATCTCGGTGCTGGCGCAGCTTTTCACGGGTCCTCCTTACAACTTCACCGTTTCGGACGTCGGTCTCATCAGTATCGCGGCCCTGGTTGCTTCGTTGCTCGGCTTTGTCGCTGGGCCGATGAACGACTGGACCGTCAAGAAGCTTGCTCGCTGGAATGGAGGCATCTACGAGCCGGTAAGGTCTTTTAACTCCCCGATCTGCCCCGAAAGGATGCTGACTTGGATGCCTTGATCTAGGAGTTCCGACTTGCCCTCAACTTCCTGACCCTCATCCTCGGCGTGGTCGGTTTCTTTGGCTTTGGCGCCACGCTGGAGAACGAGGCACCCTGGGCTGGGCCCGTGGTGCTCTACGGCATCATCTACTTCTCCATGTCGTTCCTCAACATCGGCATCTACGGCTACATCACCGAATGCCACCGGAACAAGGCGCCCGAGGCGTTTGCGTCGCTCAACCTCCGGAACATTTACAGCTTTGGCATGAATTACTTCATCAGCGGTAAGTTGGGGATTCCCATCTCGTGAAGTGTCAAGCTAATCGCGTCCAACAGACTGGATCACCAAGCAGGGCCCGCTCGAAGTCTTCTCCATCATCGGCGGGCTCCATATCTTTATCTGCCTGCTAACCGTGCCGATGTGGATATACGGCAAGCGGTGCCGAAGCTTCACGGCCAGGAACCCCCTGTTCAGGAAGATACAGGAGTCTTGATGGCGAGTGGTGGACAACTCTGGTACGAATCCTTGGTAGGAAGGACCCGAATCTGCGCGCTCACGTCCCGATGGGGCGAGTCAGAAGGAGACGATCAGGAGCAGGTAGCTAGCTCGACTGGTTCCAGAGTAGATGGCATACAGTATCTTATCCGTGTCTTCGTATGCCGCATTGCTTGTTCTACCTCGTGCTCAGCCCCACGCTTACTTTTGCCCACGATCTGATACGCCTGTCCTCGATGCCCTCGGGCCTGACAGTGCGGGGTCGCCATTGTCCGAAAGGGCGTAAGCCGTACGGACGGGGTACAAAGTCACGAGAGTACATTAGATGACCCTATCCAAGTTGGCAACTACTGTGTGGGAAACCGTGTACGTCCAGGTAGGCCCGCCTCCTGCTGTGTCGACCGGTCGACGTCCTAGTGTCAGAGATTATTCGAGGGTCTTGGTTCCGCCTTCGACTGCTTCGACTGTCGCGGGTGGTCTGACTCTGTCTCCGTGCTCGGACTGACAACGCCTTTCTCCGCATTTCGAGGCAGCGGACCAAGAATAGCCCGATAGGAGTCTCGGTCTCTAATCGTGGAGTCAAGGCAGGGGAGAGAGAACAGAACTACAGGAGAATCAACGAGTGCTATCCCCGGCGACCGACTCGACATGGCGGAAGCGACGACGGCGTCAGGCAAGATGCGCGTGAAGCAGGTATGTGTCGTCCCGTGGTTGTTGTGCTGTAATTACATGAAATTCGACATTCAAAGGGGGAAAGGCGAAGCAGTACCCTCCTGTGAGACTCATGTTGCCGTGATCGCAGGTCTACACGTACCCGATCAAATCGCTGCGAGGCATCTCGTTGCCACGCCTGAGCGCCACGTACACGGGCTTCCCGCACGACCGCCGGTTCATGCTCTTCGACGTCACACAGGGCAAGAACATGCACATCGCCTACCACGTCGAGATGTGTCTTTTCACCACGGCCTTTGACGACGCCACCACACCCAGCGAAGTCGTCGTCACGTACACGAAGGACCACGTCTTTGACCAGCCCGAGAACAAGGTCAGCGCCGAACCACTGCACGTCTCGCTCGACCCGGCGACCGAAGGCCTGGATGAGGTCGACATCACGATGCATTCCAGCCCGGTCATCGGCTATGATATGGGCGAGCAGTACAATGCCTGGTTTTCCGAGCGTTTCGGCTACGAGGTCAAGTTGTTGTACATTGGCGGGAACAGCAGGAAGGTTCTGGGCAACGTGCCGCCCCACGTTGCGGCAGCGGCAGCGGCAGAGCAACAGTCTGGCAGCAGCTCGGGCTCGTGGCTGGGCAACATCACCTCGACGGCGACTTCGCTGCTCCGCAACGTCACCGTGGCCACTGGCGGCGAGTACCCAGGCGGAGGGGTGGACCAGGGCATCTCGTTCGCCGACGTCGCGCCGTACCTCGTCATCAGTACCACGTCGTGGGAGAACGCGCAGCGGCGCCTCGACTCCCCCTCCGAGGTCCTGGACATCTCCAAGTTCCGCCCCAACATCGTCGTCGAGGGCGCCGTGGCCGAGTTTGAAGAGGACTACTGGGCCGAGCTGGAGATTGGAGACGCCGACGCCGGGGCTGGGGCAAAGATCGTGCTCACGCAGAACTGTGCCCGGTGCAATAGTCTCAATGTCGACTACAGCACGGGCAAGGTCGGCGAGGGCGAGGCCGGCAAGATCCTGAAGAAGTTGCAGAGCGATCGCCGCGTCGACGCGGGGGCCAAGTGGTCGCCTGTGTTTGGCCGGTATGGGTTTCTGGCGAGGATTCCTGAGGGGAAAGAAGCGCCGGCTATCAAGGTCGGCGATGAGGTCAGGGTGGTCAAGCGGAACAAGGAGAGGACGAGGTTTGGTAAGTTAGGTCTTCACTCGCTGTGCCCATGTCCTTGCATTCCCATCCATCCATCGCCCGCCGTCGTGATCGGAGTCCGCAATGTGGCCGGAGCTGACTTGGCTGTATTCTGATAGAATGGCCCAATCTGAGCACCAATTGAAGAGATGAAATGATGATGGAAACGTGTCTTTGGCTGTGGGGGTTGTGTCTGTGGGTCTGCCTGTCTGTGCTCTGATACATACCTAGGTATCCTGTTCGGCTGGCGTCCTGTTGCCCGTCCAGCACTCGTGCTTCTCCAAGCCGGTCGTCCACCGATGTCTGCCTTGATGCATATACTCCTCGTATCCTGTTCCTGGGGAATCATGCATGCTTCTGTCCTGCGTCCCGTGCCCATGCAATAATTCTAATCCTGCCTCCCGTGTCCGTGCATATTCCGATTCTGCCTCCCGTGTCCATGCAATATTCTAATCCTGCCTCCCGTGTCCATGCAATATTCCAATGCGCACTGCACATTCTTGCCACTCTGTGATGCTCACCACGTCGATTCATTTCCCGCACCCAATGCACAGTCGTAACATGTTTCATGCATCATCCAAGCCCATGCTAAGTCATCACCTCGACGTCATTTCGTCCCCTGCGTAAACATTCCCCGAATACTGGCCTGCCCGCTCCCTCCCAGCCTGCCCTCGACGCCCTTTGGCACGTATCTACTCTCGGGCTGTCTCACACCCTTCTCGACACTGTCCACGACCCACTGCGCGGTAACGTATTTCACGCCCTTCCCCAAGCCACGCACGAGCTTGGCTTCCTTGTCGATCTTCCTGCTGGACAGCCCACCGCAAAGCTCGTTGCCCAGGATGACATGTGTGACCGTGCGGCGGCCGAGGGCTATCGAGGTATTGCCGCCGTGCTGCACAAAGAGATGCTTGAGTTGGTGGTCGGATATTAGCGGTGCGGTGGAGCCGTTCAGGTACATGCTGAGATTGCGGAAGATCTGGGGTGCCGTTTGAGAAGCTGATGGCGATGCAGAGGCGTCTTGTGTATTTGCTTGCTTGCCCGACGGGGGTAGGAGGTTTTCACGATCTGATACCGTATCCTCGTGCCGTCCGTCCATCAACTTCGATCGCTTGGTTTCGTGTTTCGAGTCTGTATTCGTGCTGCGCGCAACCAATCGCTTCCGGCTCCCGTTCAAAAGACCCCTGATATCCTGCAATCCTTCTTCCCTCAACCCTGGTGCCCCCACTTCCCAGTCTCCGTTCTCCTTGCGGCCATCCTGGTTGAAGTTCTCGCTCCCTGCTCCTACCAGGTCGGACACGTGCAAGTGTCCGCCACGCCCGGTGGCGTCTCTGAGCTGATGTGTAAGCTTATGTGTTCGTGAGTCGCGCCATGACGTGCTCCCTGACAGTCGGTTCTCTGCTCTTTGATGGCCCGTCGAGGAAGAATTGAACGGATCGAAGATCGTACGCGTTGGTGAAGGCAGAGGCGGATTTCTAGGGTGGTGAGTCGGCATCTTGTGGGATGGGCCACGATGATGCCCTCGCTGATTCCATCGAGCGTGAGTGTTCGTTCATTGTTCAGTTGTTGTCCAGGTGATGGGAATAATCCTGTAATGAACTTTGCGCTCCACAGAAACACGCAGCACATACTCCTTACATCCCCCACTACACGCACTCACGTGACTGCCTCGAGCGGCTCTATTCGGTCACGTGAGTTTTCTTTTGCCGTTGACTCCTCCCTGTTCCCTTCTCGTTGGCCCTTCACTTCACTCTCCTTCTCAAGTCTCCCATACTTATAACTTCTGAACTGTATCGATGTTGTTGCCGAGGATCGTCGTCGCTCACTCAAGGTGGTCTCAGAGCTTTTCTCCTGCTAGAGCAACACTACTAGCTGTGCGGTCGTCTTCTACCACACGGCACAGTGGTGGGTCGCAGATTGGAGCTGAAGGGTTGAGGCCGTGTGGCTTGAGCTGAAAATCCGTGTTCGCTCCTCGCTCCTCGGTTCGATGTCCCCGACATCCTTATTATGCCTTCTACGGCCGCGCGCCGATTCGAGGTCGTCGAAATGCCTGGCTACGTCGGGTGATATGTACCTGACGGATCGAGAACGGTTTCCTAATCTGGCCTAACTCGGTTGCTAGTCTGTCAAGCGTGCGTTGAAATGCTTTGCCATGTTGACAGCATATGTGTCGTGGAAGAAGGCGGGTGTACTACGCGCTGCATCGGAGACGGTCACCTGAAATGGATTCGCTCCCAGAATTCCCTGTCGTCGACGAGCATTTATAGTCCGCCCGGTGCAACTTAGTCGCGCGCCATGATTGTCTTCTCAATGACTCTTCCTCTTCTCTCTCCGACACAAGGATCTGCTCAAAATGCGGTCTCAAATCTGGACTGTGCCGCTGCTGGTCGCAAGCTTCCTCCTGGGAAGCGTGGGTGCAATGCGACGAGGCGGGATGCTCTCAGAAGCCGTCCGTCGAGAGCGTGAGATGCGAGCGGCAGCCCCAGCATTGAACCCAGTGCAGAATTTAGAAACACGTGCCGCCTCTCATCGATTCTACACCAACGATACCAAAGGTTTGGCTGTCTCAGGTAATCTGTGTGCTTCTTCAGACCGTGCTCACACTTCTCGATAGAATATTTCGTCGAGTCTCTGCCTGAAATGGACTTCGACCTAGGCGAGTTGTATTCGGGTGTGATCCCAATCGACGCGAACAACGCCTCCCGAGGACTGTTCTTTGTGTTTCAGCCTCGTGTCGGAGCACCGGTCGATGAGATTACCATCTGGTTGAATGGCGGGCCTGGTAAGCTGGTACTGTGTTCTCTTGAACTGGCACTGACCCTGCTAGGCTGCAGCTCCCTTGAAGGGTTTCTTCAGGAGAATGGCAAGTTTCAATGGGCCTGGGGCCAGTTCACGCCGACCATCAATCACTATTCTTGGGTTAACCTCACCAACATGCTATGGTAGATGACCTCAGAATTCCTATCTTCAAGTTCGCTGGCTAAACACATGTCGTCGATCATCAGGGTTGAATATCCCGTCGGTGTTGGGTTTTCCATCGGAGAGTCCCGTGCCACGACTGAAGAGGGAATCGCTGAAGAGTTCAACGACTTCTTTCTCAACTTCCAGATAATTTTCGGTATCTCAAAGTTCAAGATCTACGTCACCGGAGAAAGTTACGCAGGAAGATATGTCCCTTACATCGCGTCTGGCATGTTGGACAGGAACGATTCCACCCACTTCAATCTTTCTGGTAGCTGATGCTCACCACGCTGCGCATAGCTGAATATACTGACCGTGTCCAGGTGCGCTTACGTATAACCCTACTATTGGCGAGCTCTTGTGGGTCCAGAATCAAGCTGTGATATACCCTCTGCTTCAGCAAAACACCAACGTCATGGGATATAATAAGTCATTCATGGCTAAACTGGCGGCACTCGACAAATCCTGTGGCTATGCGGACTACCGAGAGACCTACTTCAAGTTCCCGCCTGCAAGGCTTCAACCTCCCAAGTACTTCAACTCCACCAGAGATGCAGACTGTGATATATGGCACACTGCATACTTCGCCGCATACGCAACCAACCCTTGCTTCAATCCCTACCTGATAAGCCTGCAATGTCCCCTCCAGGGAGACCCTCTGGGTTTTCCCAGCGATCTCATCTACAGCTATCCTGGGGTCCCAGTCTATTTCAACCGGACGGACGTCAAAAAGGCCATGCACGCGCCGATCGACCGAGAATGGTCGCTCTGCAACGGCAATCCGTTCCTCGGTCGTAAGGGTGGACCACAAAACCTTGGCGACCTGTCGGCCGATCCCATCCAACGTGTCCTGCCTCGTGTCATTGAAGCAACGCAACGAGTGCTTATATCCAACTCGGATCTTGACTTCGAGACCCCCACCGCCGGAACTCAGCTAGCGATCCAGAACATGACATGGGGCGGTAAGTTGGGATTCCAGACCAAGCCGTCCAAACTCATCACCATAACCGAGCCGGATCTTCAATACGAGGCCGTCTTCACCTCGAGCGGCTTTGACGACGTGGATGATCCTCAGGGGACGATGGGCGTGCAACATTTCGAGCGCGGCTTGATGTGGGCGGAGTAAGTCAGCTCCTTTGATTGATCAGAGTCGTGCATCTTGAACTAATCCGCTTTCCCGTCCAGGACGTACTACTGCGGTCACATGCAACCTCAGTTCCAGCCGCGGTCGTCCTACCGACACCTGCAGTGGTTGTTGGGCCATATCGACACGTTGTGATGGAGTTGCCTAAGTACGAGTCTGGACTGGTAATCTGAGTAATTTCGTTCTGCTAGTCAAAACTCTTAACTACATGCACTCTGCTTGTTCTCTATGTAAAGAATGTTCGGCGTAGCCTTGTCTGTAATACATCGATCGGAACCATGACCGCGCCAAGCCTTTTGGAGATGCGCAGAGGCGACTTTTTCTCGCATCATGTCGGATCCTTGAATCTCGAGCCGACGATGCTGGTGACTCCGATATCCCACGCATAGAAAGCTCAGAGTGCCACAAGGGCCAGAGACCCGTCCTTCACCTCGCTGCCAGGTGATTGATAGCTGGTCCCAGGCAATGAAGACGCCACTGGCGCCGTCCCGAAGTCTGTTGCGCTTCCTCCGATCTCAGTCCAACCTCGTCTTCGACTCGACTTCCCCTGCTGCAGCCGCTACGAGGGTACCCTGCCGACGAGTATCTACATCGGCTCCGAGAACGCGGCTCTCTTATCAATGGCGTCAGGCGCCGGCACGAGAACCCTGCAAAGCACTCCCGCCTCCGACGTACAGTTCTCCGCGGCCTGCGCAGTCTCGCAATGCAAGCACCGACAGTCGCAAGTCTGGCTTCTGGCGACGGTGGTGGTTCCGGCAGAGAGAGGCGGCCGCCCAGGCGTCGTCGAACAACGGCTACGACGAGACCTCTGAGCAGCTGTTCAACCTGTCGCGCGCGCTGTCTCGCAACAGCAGCGGCGCCGAACTCAAACTCCGCTGCACCGAGTTCGATGCCAACGGCTCCGTCACGATGGTCTCAGGCGAGTTCAGGAAATCAGAACTCATAGCAAAATACGGCCTGTTACCACGAGATCTCCGCAAGATCGATTCCTCTGTATTGCCGCACATCCTCGTCCGGCCGTCGGCCATCCTAATCAACCTCCTCCACCTCCGCGTGCTGATCCAGTCCGACCGGGTCCTCGTCTTCGACGCCTACGGCAGTACCGACTCCTACACGCAGTCGCTGTTCATGTACGACCTGGAAGGCAAACTGCGCCAGAAAGCCGACCCGCGGAACGGGTCCTACAACCTCCCCTACGAGCTGCGCGCGCTCGAAGCCGTGCTCATCTCCGTGACGTCGGGCCTCGAAGCCGAATTCGCGCTCGTCCGCGACCCCGTCACCCACATCCTTAGGGAGTTAGAAGAGGACATTGACCGCGACAAGCTGCGCCATCTCCTGATCCACAGCAAGAAGCTGGGCACGTTTGAGCAAAAGGCGCGCCTGGTCCGCGACGCCATCGACGACCTGCTCGAGGCCGACGACGACCTCGCGGCCATGTACCTCACCGAGCGCAAAGCCACGGGCAAACAACGAGCCGAGAATGACCACCAGGAAGTCGAGATGCTGCTGGAGTCGTACCACAAGATCTGCGACGAAATCGTCGAGATCAGCGGCAACCTGATCAGCAACATCCGCAACACGGAAGAGGTGGTCCGCGCGATCCTCGACGCCAACCGAAACCAACTCATGCTGCTCGAGATCAAGTTCAGTATCGGCACGCTGGGGCTCGCGGGGGGTACGCTCATCGCGGGCCTGTACGGGATGAACCTGAACAACTTCATCGAGGAGACGCAGTGGGGCTTCGGCAGCGTCAGCGTCGTCTGCTTCGGCCTCTCCTGGATCATCTGCATCTACGGCATGCGGAAGCTGCAAAAGGTCCAGAAGGTGCGCATGTGGGGCGAGGGCCTCGATCACAGTATCGGTTTTCGTCGAGGCGGCAGCGGTGGTCCTCCCAGCGGTACCGGTGCTGACCACGGCAAAATCGGGGGCCGAGGCAACTGGCGCAACGAGGCCCTCGAAAGCCATGCCCACCGCATCGGCAGGCTCAAGGGCGGCGGCCTCAACTTGGGCGGCAACGCGCATCCAGGCCGCGTGCTCTGGCCGGGCATGGAAGGTTTGGGCATGCACAGGTTGAACAATGCCGAAGCGGGCGGGGGCGTGGGTGCGGCCGGGAGCGAAAGCCGGCAACGACCTGCCCCAGACCAACCGCAACCGCGCATGACGATCCACGAGGATGTCGAGAACGTCGAGGACAAGATGAAGGCCGATGCGAAGAAGGAGAAGGGGCTAATCCCAAAGGAACCGGCAAAGAGTCATGGCCAGGGCCAGAAGAAGAAGTGAAAGAAATGAACTGCTCTCGACTCGGTCTTATCTCCCTCCGCCTCCTTGTACAACATACATGACAGTCTGATGATTTCAACGTACGTGGTGCACGGAGTACTTGGATCTGGCCGCCATATCTACACAGTTGGGGGCGCGCAGATTGTTATAGATGGGCTCTTCGCAGCGTTCGAGCGGTATGGGTGTTAACATGGGCATGTCATGGGCATTGGCGTTGGATTGACAGGCTACAGAAAATAGATTTCTGGTTGCACAAACACACAGTACGCACTCCGATCAGACTTCCTGTCGATTTGTCTTCGCTCAGCACTGATTCATAGACCAAGGTAATTAGAAGCAAGGCAGTTACCGATCCGCTCTGTCCGCCCTAACACATATGTACATACGCCCCTCGCTCGCTCTTCCGGTATAGTAAGATTTTGTGGCCCTTCGCTCAACTGCCCGCTTGCTGTCCTGTCCAATGCTGACGGCGCTTGTGCTTTGCCGCGTTTGTCTCATCTGGTCTCGTCCTTCTGGTCGTGCCTAGAATTGGGACCGGGCGTGCAGTGCTGTGCCGTGCCGTTCAACAGCTTTGACCTTGACCTTGACCATGACCTTGACCCTCTGCATTTCTACTGCTCGACCCTTGCCACTACACGGTTCTTTCACCATCTTACCCATCAGTCTGGACTGAACACCTCTCCATCCGACTCCTCTCCTCTTTTGGCGTGCCTGTGTTTACATCTACGTCGCATCTGCACCTGCATGCGAATTGCTCACCAATCGTCATCGTCGTCTTTTTCATCATCTAGATAGTGGAAATGTCAGTATGCAAACCGATACAAACACGCAGGCAACTAAAAAAAAGGAAAACTCACCGCTGCCACTAACTTTCTTCTTCCTCTGGCTTAATGCCGCGGCCAACGCACCTGCTAACCCACCCTGATCTCCTGCCGGCGTGGCAGGGGAAGCCGTCCCACCCGGCGGCGCAGGCGCACTACTCTCCGCACCAGGCACGAGCGCCGAACTTCGATCACGTTTCTCACTGTCCTGAACCTTGCGTAAGCCGCCACCAGCTTTACCACCGGATCCGCGAATGGCAGCGAGGAGCGAGTCGCGGCCGTCCGCTCCACCGGACGGAAGAGGCGGCGGTGCAGGACCGGAGCTGCCCGGTGGAGGAGGCGGAGGAGGTGGAGGCGGACCTCCTGAGCTGGGCATTGGAGGAGGCGGTGGTGGCGGTCCGCCAAAGGATGGCATGGGTGGTGGAGGTGGAGGGCCACCAAGGGATGGCATTGGAGGCGGAGGCGGCGGTGGTGGGCCAGCACCCGTGGGTGGAGGAGGAACTGCGCGAGTGTTGGGGGGCGGTAGAGGTGGAGCATTATTTCGAGCAGGAGGCGGAGGAGGCGGCGGCTGAGGAACGAAGAGGGCTGAATGAGATGGCGTCTGTCCTGCTTTGGGCGGCAGTGGTGGCGGCGGCCCGGGGGAAAGAGTGGGTGTCCCTCGACTGGGAGGTGGAGGGGGAACAGGACCACGACTCGGCGGAGGTGGAGGTGCTGAAGATTTTCGGTCGCCCGTAAAAGGTGGAGGGACCCTAAACAATCCACCTTGCGGCTGTTGTTCTTCTTCGATCGGCGTCTTCGGGGGACGAGGCGGAGGTGGAGGGCCTGGATTCGCCAGAGAGCCCGACGAGGCTCGACTTCGGCCTGAGGGATGGAGAGCTGGCCCTTCTTTCACGGCAAACTTGCCAGCGTCTGCAATAGGAGGCGGTGCACGGAATCTAGGCTGTGGGGTCGCAGGAGGGGATGGCGTTCGAGCAGGCGGAGACACTGATCTTGGTGGTGGTGGTGAAGCCTCGCGTCCTCCCACTGGTCGTCTTGATGGCGGGGGAGCCGGCGGAGGCCCTCGTCGACCGGAAGTAGTGCTACCTGTATTTTCGGGGCTGATTCTTGATGGTGGTGCTGGTGGAGGAGGTGGAGGAGGCGCTCTCGATCTCGTCTCAGCCACGTTCGGCAAGGCTGAAGCAATGCCGTTGGCCATTTCTTCTGCTTGTTTTTGTTGGACGTAGGCCTTGATGAAGTCGGCGTTTTGAGCTATTTGATCCTCAGTGATGCCCATTTGCAGGAGTTCGTCCAAGATAGGCCTCCACGACGGATCGGCGAGATCTATTCCCCCTGCGCTTTGTGGTCGACTGGCCGGTGCTGGACCGGGGCTGTAAATTGGCTGGGGAGCCATGGCCTGAGGCTGTAGGGACGCCGAGCTCTGTCTGTGGCGACCAAAGAAGTTGCCCACGCGACTGTGGTGTTTGTGAGTGCTGCCGGGCACGAAAACCTGGCCCCCTCCTGCGGACGAAGCAAAAGGTTGCGCCTTTGTGTTCTTGGAGGCATTTTTTTCCCGCTCGTCCATCTTCTTCTTGAACTGGCGCGCCTCTTTCTCGTCGACGAAGGATAAGCCTGCCAGACATTGCTCGAGTTCGAACGAGTGGAAAAAGGTCCTGTCCTGATTGTATTGGAAAGTGTCGTAGATCTCCTGATCCCATATCACGCCTCGGTTGGCGGGCGAGACGTCAACCAGTTTGATCCAGAATGTGTTTCCCACCAAGTCATTCGAAAGAACGGCAGCGCCCTGGAGGCCCGAGTATGTCCATCGACTGCGGTCGGGGTACGCGACGTACAGTCGAGCGACTGCGACAGCTTGGATTTTGTTGGATGCCTTGGGCACGGTCCGCTTGACGGTTTCCTTGTCGGCGTCAGTGAGGACCGAAGGCATGTTGGCGATTTCTCTCCCGACGCTAGCGGAGAGGCAGGCGGCAGGAGTGTTCTTGGGTCTGTTGCAGGAAGAATAAGACGGACAAAGTCAGGAACATGAAGTTGTGGAGTGATAGAATCGGGACAAGCACAAGGCAATCTCCAAAGGGCCGCTGCGGTCTAATTGGGGCCTGAGCCGCGTGGCTCTCGGGCTCGGGAAACCCTCGTTAGGGATGCCCATTGCGGGGCTTAGGCGTGAGGGCAGCCCCTGGTGAATCGAGCCTGTTCAATTGGAGGGACGTTAAGCATTCCGTCACCACACCCCACGTCGTGCGTCCCCAAACAAGAAGGCGTCATAACCACAAGTGAACAAGCGTATAAGGCAGATGCAATCACAGAGTGGTGAGAGTGGTGATACAAGTACATAAACGTCCCGATTTCATCTCTGATCTTTCGATTACCTTTCTCTCACACAATTCCGCACTACTACAAACCCACAATCATCGGTACCAAAATTACCGTAAACATGGCCACATCAGACAGCGCTCAAGACTCGATCTTCGACAAGGTCGCTAAAGAGTCCGACCACTCGACAGCCTCCAGCCACCCAACTCATCAGGGAAAGCAGGAACAGGCACACGCTTATGATCACCAGAGCAAGGGACCTCAGCTCTCAGACAGTGAGCATTCATCACCTAAAAGTCAATGCGACGAGCCATCACTAACATCAAATGCTTCCATAGATCTGCCCGAGGCAAAAGGCAAGGACGAACTCAAGGCCAAGGCGCAGGAGATGAACGATCACGTCAGCAAGTAGCTCACTTCCTCGATGATGCATAATGGGACGGACGGATCACAAAAGGCATTGATACACATACATATGCATGCGTGCCCAGGAATGGAAGGAATGGAATAAACCAGGATCAAGACAAAACAACGTGTTCATCTTCTCTCTGGTGCCAACGCTGCAAGATGCTTGCTTCTATTCCTTCTCTAACAGTGTTCCGCCATCGATCCGTCGCTATGCATCAAGCTGACAAGTTCGTGATCTGTATTCACTTCATGATCTCCTGGCTCGCTTCCCTGGCGGTTCGCCGTCCTTGGCTCGCTCTGTGCTTCGGTTCTCTGCCACTCGCTTATCATCGGCAAAAGCTTGATTCGGCCCTTCAAGCGCGGCTGTCGACTCGGTTGATATTGTGGAGTCACTGTCATGCGATACATCGGGCATGGTGATTGAAAGATAGACCAGATGACGACGGGCCTCCTCAGTCCCCTTATTGCCAGCTTGGGATTTCTGCAGCTTGGTGTCTTTATCTTCTTCACTGACCTGACCGTTCGCAAGTGGGCTTTCGTCTTCAACAGCATCCCCAGCAGACTGTAGTGACTTCTTCTCGTCCTGAGTAGCATCCTCCTTCTTGTCTTTCCCAATTTCCGGCATCTCACTGTAGTTCCACAGTGTTTTCAGATCGCCTTTCACCAACGCAGTGCCCCAGAGAGACCCCAGGACACCTGGGACGAGATACAGCAATGCCGGCTGAGCGTGTTGAGCCACCTGCATCACAACCACAGTAACAACCATGCCGACGACATAGCCGGTGATGGTAGCGTACAGATATGGTTTAGGGAATTGCTTCGCTCGCATCTCCTTGGCCCACAGCCGCGAACTGGTCCAGAATCGTTCGCCCCAGCCCCCCCTGGCGCTGGTATAGGTTGGTCGAGTGGTCTTTGTTATTTCTCCCTGCTTAGTCGTGTTGTTCTGTTGGAGGTAGTGCAAGTACAGGTCGAATCGCAGCGCAAAAGCCAACACCATCCCCGGAACGACAATGTCTCCCAGTCCAAGCATGGCCATTGTTCGCTTCTTAGCCAGACATTTGAGATATTCTTCCATTTCTGGCGATCCTTCAGGCGCGCCGACCGGCATCACGCAGCCATCAGGACGAGGGAACAGCAATTTGATCGGCACATCCAGCTTCGTGGCCACTGTGACCATCATTGGTGTGAAGAAGACAAAGTAGATGTCGTAGAAGAACAAAGCGCTGAGGATGAGTGTCCCGGTCCATGCTGTTGTTGGAGTCACATACTGCAAGGAGCCGTAGCAGAAGGAGAAGCCCAGGAAGTTGGTGAGAAACCAAGGTTTGCCAACGAAGGTGTGGTAGTACACGATGCTGCAGGAGAGCGTCAGGCTAAGCACATCAAGGAATTCGACTGGCGCCTTCAGGGTGATGAGTTTGTGAACGTGGAGCTCGAATCGTGCTTTCGTGTAAAGTAGCCGCCGAATCTCCCATATCCGTAGTGAAACGGCACTGGGAAGCGGTATCTGTCCCAGCGGTCCGGCTAATGGGGAGCCAGTGCTTTCTCCAGTCTCAGTCTTGAAGCATTTCGCCTGCTGGTCGGCTTTCCACAATAAACGGCGCCTGGAGAACTGACTGGGGAGCATAAAGGATCTCATGAGAGAAAATGCGTCCTTGAGAAACTTTGTGGCGAAGAAGAGACCAACTTGGGAGAAGTAGAGCCCGAGAGCCCAGTTCAACCAGGCGGGATCCTGGAGCCATTTCAGGATGAAGTAGAGCGATGCTAGTGTCCCGCCAGCGAGGACAGGGAACATTATGGCGTCCGAGGGAGTCAAGCTCTCGACTTGCGTTGATGACGTGTCGTCGCGGTCGTCTTCAGCGTCATCTCCGTTCTTCTTCGGTTTTCGTGGTGCGGCGGACGGTGGTCTCGTCAAAGATGCATGAGCGGCAGTGTAGATCGGGAAGATTGCCGACACAAGAAGATGGAGGTATGTGGGCAAGAGCGGTTGCATCATTTCGAAGTGATAGGCCACTTTGCCCATGAACTGAATGACAGGACCTGGTTCGGAAGCCATGTCGTCGTCGGTGGCGAAAGGTGGAGGAACGCGTCAGGGTAGCAGTGCTTGACAGATGGGACGGCCACCTTAAGTAGCTATCATAGCAAGGAGATTGATTTTATGGAGGTCATCAGTGAACCAGGCAGAAGACATGGAGGAACAAAGTGAGTGACCATCTAATTAAAGAAGACGACGACGATGAAGCCAGGCTGTCCTTGGCGAATCGTGATTGGTCGGATCCAGGAGGCTCTGCTTGAAGTGGCAGTGGCAAACATTGCGTATAATACAAAACTATCTCCGGGGAATATAGTAGGTAAGCAACCGTAACGAGCGGCTCTCAACCATCTTCTTCGCCCGTTCTGCCCAAGCGATCTCCTGCTTATGTTTGGGATAGAGCCGCAGCGTCTCGTACGCAATCCTCAACGGACAGGCAACACTTTTTGGTCCTTGATCCAACAGGCTGTCCTCCAATGCGTATTCTACCGACTGGAAGATGTTGCGGCACGGTGCGGCAAAGTCTGCTCGGTGGTCGAGAGGGGGAAAATTGAAGCGCGTGCTGACAGCATGTCCGTGCTCAACTTTGGCCGCTGCAGGGAAGTGCAATTCCAACTCGTCCAGGAGACGATAGAGCTGCCACATCCCATGCCACAGTATTACCTGGACGGCCCAGTAGATGATAACGGTATTGGCGATCGATAGGTTTGGGAAATGAAAGGCAACTGGAAAGAGCATGCCATCTTCAGAGTCACCATGAAGGTCTTTATTGTGCGCCAGCTCGGGCCAGGACAATGGTCCTTCATGGCATGCCTCCAGAGACTCATAGACTGACTGTAATTCTGAGTCCATCTCCCAGCACTTCCAGATAATCTCCGTCGCGAGCTGTATTTTACTACAAGGATCCAGAAACTCGAGCACCTCGCCCCGATTGCGAAGCTCAGGAGCACGGATGAGAAAGTCATAGATGCGGTCGTATGGCGTTTTGGGTAGTCTGCGCCACGGCACTTCCTGCCACAACGGGTCTCTCAGGAAAGAATATTCGCCTTGGTCCAATGCGTAAAGGATCTGCGTCTTTGTTAGGCAGTTGTTGCTGGATTCCTGTGCCCGGATGCTTACCTCTTGAATGCGCCAGTGGACAAACACCGCATGGCCCAAACCATCCACGTGTGCCTCGGGACCGCGGAGCTGGACAAGTCTGCGGCAACCTAGAGTGTGGCTGACATAGCCGTGTTTCGATTGGTTCGGACATTGGCTCATTTCATACATACCCAAGGCCACACAGGCAGTAAGAGTCTGTTCGTCGAGCATCAATGCAGGATCCCACAGCGCTAACTGCAGAACGTGGAGGGCACGCCGGTACAGCTTGAGGCTCTCGTAGCTTAGTCCTTCGTCGTGGTGGAGATCTCCCAATTTCGCTAGACACAGCGCCATCATTGAGATCTCTAATGCAGGAGTAATATGCGGAAGGCAGGGTATCTGTATTAACCAGATCCTTTGCTGCATGGGTCCGACTCGGGTCTTGGAGAGATGGCTATCCAGATACACTTTGAGAAGCTGCTGCCGAAGAACAGGATTGGCATCGACTTGTGCCCCTAGTGGAACGAGCGATTTTGTCGGGCCAAGGTGGGGTCCAGGGGATACTGCAGTGGTGACGGCCGAATTGAAGTCTGGATACCCGGCTCGGGAGTCTCCAGACTGTGCCCATCTATCAGACTCGAAATCCGCTTGTGCTGTGTCTTCTACCTTGTTCTCCTTAGGCGGCTGATGAGTGATGAAGATAGGGTACTTCCTGTATCCGACGCAGATTCGCTTTGACTTGAGACATTGAGCACAACTAGGCTTCTCCAATCCACACTATCATCGGTTACTGTCAGAGGGCGCCTCCTTGGCCAGTAGTGAGCAAAGGATCAGTACCGCTATCTTGCGCTTTCTGCAAGTGCCACACCCACGAGCTCTTGCTATTCCAACCATGATTGCCGATCAGGCATTGAGTGCTGCCCATGGATAGGCTTGGATGTCTTTGGCTGGCGACGAGAACAGGACAGGGAAGGAGAGGCTTGAATCTAACGAGGAGGAGCAGAAGGGCTTGGGAGAATTTAGGGCATTTTGCGAGAATGCGGAAATGCGTCTGCCTTCAAAGCGGTCGTTCATGGCCTGGAGGAGGTGGTGATGGTGCTTTTGCGGCGGAAAACGCCCTGTTAGCCTTGTGAAATCCGTGGCGTTTGACCATACCGCAATTGGTTCATTCGGCGAAGAATTCTGGATGCACATGAGCAGGTCTCCCAAACTCTGGTGTCCAGTGCCAATAAGATGTCGAGTCCCCACAATGACCGAAACTTGAAACAGCTACTGACCTATATCAACGCGCGGCACGGGTTTTCAGGACTCTCGCATGCAAAGAAGCGGTGCATACTAGCAGAAAGTCATCTATTTCCGCTTGAAATTGCTCATTGGAGATCTGGCCTCACGCAATAGCCCGAAGACGACAGTCAATTCTTAGTGGCATCTTGCTGAGTCCAATCTGATACAAGGTACCCAGACAAACCTTCAATGCCAGAACAGTGGAATCTCACAACACGATTCTGGTTGACCCGCATGGCGCGCCGGAGACTCGAAGGCAGGGCAGAGTAGCGGAGGAAGTGTTCTGTGTCAAACTTCAAAAGGACAGCCGGCAGAGCGAACTGTTCTCGATCGATAGATTGCAGCATATCTGATGCATTGGCGGTGACGAAAACTTTGAGAGGTATTCGACGCGAATATGGTTCAAAGTAACAAAGGGAAAGGAAAGAGACACGGTGTGACCAAAATAACTGGGGCACAGCACAATCCTCACCAAAATACACTGTTTCAATGGCTGCACAGAGCCATCCACAGTACAGATGGATAACTAATACTCGAGCATTGTGTTACTAAATACTTGTTTTATATATATGTGGAAACTTAAGATAGTTTCTCTCTCTTATAGGTAGTTATACTGAGAAGTTCTAAGCACTCTACTAATTATAGTGAGATTCTACGGTTTTACAGCGCTCGAGAAGATTTACAACAACACTACACTTGAAGGACTCGGAATGAAAGCTCAAAACTAGAGGGATAAGTAGTTTCATAATCTGCCTAAATACTGGTGTAATTATTTATTATCCATCTGTGTTGTGGATGTCTATGTGCTGCCATGAAAACAGTGTATTTTGGTGAGGATCGTGCTGTGCCCCAGTTATTTTGGTCACACCGTGAGAGAGCATTTTCTTTTGCCCTGTGAACCGTGGTCAAAGATGATGTAACACCCCACCGTAGATTTCACACGTGACAACGCGCGTCTACTGCGAACCATTATTCCCGAAAATGCGCTTCCTCGCATGTCCCGAAAGTGACCAGCGCATCTTTTCCCTCCTTTCTCGCACAAGAGCTGTTGCACCTAGCAATACGTAAGAAGAGTAGTCGCTCTTACTCTTCTTAATAAAAAATACAAGATACCAAACCAGTGCCATCAAGAATGTACAAACAGAGCGATTGAAGGCCCCGCTGACCCTTGGTTGTCGCACATCCCGATATGATTCTACGGTCATAATGCGACGAGCTTCATTGAGGGGCGCAGTGAGCATCACAGACCTCCGCTTCACTCTCCGCCGCGTGTTCGGCAAAGACGCGTTCAGACCGGTCCAGGAAGAAGTCATCACCGCGGTGGTTGCTGGCCACGATGTCTTTGTCTGCGCAGCCACCTCGTTTGGCAAATCGTTATGCTATCAATTGCCTGCCGTCGTCTCCTTGGGAGTCACTGTGGTAATCTCGCCTCTCCTGGCCTTGATGGAGAACCAGGTCCACGCAGCCAAAGCACTGGGCATTGCTGTCGAGATGATCAACGGCAGGACGCCGCTGACGGACAGGCGACGTATCGAGGCAGATCTGCTTTGCGGCCATCCGGAGACCAAGTTGCTGTATGTCACGCCCGAGCTCTGCGCGCTGGACCGGTTCCGCAACATCATCATGCAGATTCATCGCCAGGGCCAACTTGTACGGGTTGCCATTGATGAAGCACATTGCATCAGCGAATGGGGCCATGACTTCCGTCCAGCCTACAAAGAGCTGCTATGGTTGAAAACCAGCCTGAATTGCCCGTCTGTGCCAATGATGGCAGTGACTGCCACTGCCACGAAGCAAGTAAGAGATGATATCTTCAATTTTCTTGGTCTCGATAATGAGAAGACGAAATGCTTTTCAACATCAACGTCCCGGCCAAACATCCACTACGAGGTCCAGTACCTCTCCGAGTCGAATCCGAAAACCGGTGAAGACGACATGTTTCCGTACCTATTGTCCAAGCTGGAGTTTATGCATCGGAGACGAGTCGCACTGATCCGGCATCTTAGACAACGAGATCCATCCGCAACCATACCGTTAATTACCGGCATTGTTTACGTTACCATGCGTGCAACAGCAGATACGGTAGCCTCAAAGTTGACTGGTGTGAGCATAAGAGCAAGCGCCTACCATGCCGGCCTGGACCCAGACAAGCGCGAGAAGATTCAGAGATTGTTCGAGAGACACGCAAAAGCAGATCCACGGCTATTGCAGGTGGAAGACAACGATAGCATAGCTGCGTCTTTCAACATCATCTGTGCCACAACGGCCTTTGGTATGGGCATTGACGTTGCTTCTATCCGCTTCGTCATACACTACGGCCTTCCCAAGGGAATGGAGGCATTCGCACAAGAGTCGGGTCGAGCAGGACGGGACAACAAAGCCGCCTCCAGCATCATATTGTATACGCGGGAGGAGGCCACTCGTTGCCAATATCGCATGAGCTGCGAGGCAGCCAAGGATAAGAGCAAGGCCAAGACGGAGTCGAGGTTCGAATCGCTTAAGAGGATCGTCGAGTTCTGCGAAAACACTAGCACCTGTCGCCACGAACTGGTTAGTCGCTATTTCGGGGACAAGAAGGAGGCTGCCGAATGTTATTACGCTTGTGATGTGTGCAAAGAAGGGTCAGCAAAGTTGAGGCAACGGAAAGAAAAGGGGCTAGCAACAGAGGAGCAGGCCATCGAGTTCACCCAGAGAGAACCCATGAGATACGACGACTACGAATGACGACGGGGCAGGATTAGAGAGCATGATACCGGGCATTATGGCATAGACTGGAAATAATGCACAGATCAGAAGGTGCAGAGGGTTTCTAGATACTGGCTTAGCTCTCAGCTCTTGAGGTTGTAATAGCCGCCTCCAAACTCGACCAACCAGCCCTTCTCCACCTTGCTCAAATCCTTGATGTACACTTTGTCCCCTGTCTCCAATAACTCGTGGAAGATGACGTACTCTGCTTTCCTGTTGAACATGAGACTCGTCGGATGGGCATGCATCGTGACGTTTCCAGACACGGACTTGAACGATCCGTCGGGTTGCATTTTCGCGGCGTGCGAGAAATACCCCATTACCAGGCATTTGAGGATGTTTTGTGCCTTGTTCTGGTGTTGAGCGGCCGCAGGTGCGGACGGGTCGTCTCCTTTTGCGGCCCCAAGCTTCTCGAGATATCGCCACAGCTGTTTCCTGATACTCACTGCGCGCTGCATACTCTTGAAATTCAGGTGATGGTCATGGCACCATTTCGCCTCTTTCCTTCCCTTTGTCACAAATGCCTGGTAGACGTTCAACAGCGTGAGATGGTCGCCTTCTTCGGCGGCGAATTTCCGGCGCGAAGACTCCATGGCTTTCTTCTGGCCCTCGTGGTGGAACCAGATGTTACCTTGCAGGGAAGTCATTGCGGCGAGGGTAAGCATCTCGGCTTGGCAGTCGAATTGCGGTGAGGAGGAAGTCAGGAGGCATTTCGCCATCATGGGCGGGACGGCGCCCAGTTCGGCCATCCGCGTTCCCAGGGGAGAGGTGAGTTTCGCATAGTCGTCTACCGCACCGAGAGCGTAGAGGAGGTCGAACGCTCGGATGAGGAGTTGTGAGGGTGGAGGCGAGAGGAAGTCGAATCGTACAATGTTGTCGATCCCCAGGGCTTTGAGCTGGAGGACGACTGGGGCGAGGTTCGAGCGTTGGATTTCCGGGGTCGTCGTTGCGGGCAGGGAGGCGTAGAACTGCTGCGTGTACAGTCGGAAGCACTTCCCTGGTTGCGTTCGCCCTGCGCGGCCGGCTCGCTGGGTTGCAGAGGCTTTTGATGTGGAGAAAGGGGTCAGTGTCTCTATGTTTGTGTTTGGGTTGAATGCGCGCAGCTTGACAAAGCCGCAGTCGACGACATAGACGATGCCGTTGATTGTGACGGAGGCTTCCGCGATATTTGTACTGAGAATCACCTTTCGCGTGTTTTCTGCCGCTTCGGAAAAAACGTACATCTGGTCGTCGGTGCTGAGACCGGCATAGAGCGGAAGGGGTTGAAGCGCTTGAGCTTGTGGTGGTAGTGTTGATGCTAACTCGGAGAGCTTTTGTACGGCTGTTTCGATTTCCTCCCTCCCAGTGAGGAAGACGAGGATATCCCCTGGACCTTCCTGTTGATGGATAGTAAATGCTGTTTGCACGGCTTTCTCCACATAATTGTCAGTCGGCTGATCTAGATATAAGGTGTCGACGGCGTATGTCCGGCCCTCGATACTGACAATGCGGCACTGCTGCTGGTCATCAGGGGCCTCTGGATTGGCGAAGAAAGCTGCAAATTTTTCAACTTCGAGGGTTGCACTGCTGACAATAATTCTCAACTCTGGGCGGCGCTTCATGATTTTCTTCAGGAGGCCCAGAAGGATGTCCGAGCTCAACGATCTTTCGTGCGCCTCATCGATCATGATGACCGAGTATCTGGTCAGTAACGGGTCAACCAAAGCCTCCCGCAGCAGCATGCCATCGGTAAGAAACTTGATTCTGGTCTTGGCTGAAGTGACATCCTCGAAGCGGATCGAGTAGCCAACCTGTTCACCCACTTGACATCTCATCTCTTCGGCGACGCGGGCAGCGACTGTGGTGGCAGCGACCCTTCTTGGCTGGGAGATTGTCAAATACAATCTGGCTCTTTGTAAGGACCTGACTCACCTACCTGAGTGACCGCTATACATTTTCCACCGGAGCACCATCCTGCCTGTTCTAAGTACTGAGGGAGCTGGGTGGTCTTTCCACTGCCAGTTTGCCCAATAATCACCGTAACTGGATATGTCTCGATCGTGTACAGGAGACTAGCTTTGTGCCTGGAGATTGGAAGTAAGGCCGAGGGAGTGTACAAAGCAGGAATGAAGGACAGGTCAAAGTCGGCCATATTGCGTGTTCCCTCGATGGTTACCAGGCGCAATGGCACAAGTCCCTTGCGGAGAAATCGACATTGCACCGCCACAAATGACGCCGCATTCACCGACGTCATCGCAGCCACTGCGCCAAGCCACTGCGCCGCGTAAAGGACTCCCGACCCCACCGAGAAGCCGTGACCGCAGCTTCCCCCGAATGGAGACATGTGTTGTTTCGTATCCAGTAATCCAGCTGCCTGCAAGATTGCACAACCTTTCCATTGAATACGATTCTACCTCCCGAGTTGAACACCATCATCCAACATCGACATGGCAAGCAACACAGCGGTGAGTCCCTCTGCTTACACCTGGCAGGGCTTGTACTGACATGCGAAGTCATCGCCTGTATCTCCGTTGAAACCATCGGATGGACCCCCAGAGTCCCCGACCACTGCACGACCCCTGGATTTCGATAGCGATCAAGAGACGGGCACCGTAGAGACGACCAAGACCGAGATCCCGAAGCCACCTCCCAAGGACGAGGTTCCGCCTTCAAAACCACCTCGGCCAATATCTCAGCGCGAACAGGCAGAACTCACCTTGAAAGAAGCATTCCCTGCAATTGAAATTGGTGTCATTCGAGCAGTTCTTACCGCAAGTCGAGGCGATATTGAACCGGCTTTCAATGCGCTGCTTGGGATGAGCGACCCAGATTCACAAAGAGAGCCCGAACCTACACCTCCACCCAAACCTCCTCGACCGTCTCAACAATCTCCTGCATCCACGAAGCTCACTCAGCTAGAAGCCGATGAGTTATATGCGAGACAGCTGGCGCAGGAGTACAATGCTGGCGCACCGAGACAGCAACCAAGAGGCCGCCGTAGCTCCAGCGAAAGATACAACGAAAACCTGCCAGGCTCCCGGGTTGGACGGCCAGGAGCGAGCCCAAATCCTGATGATGTACCGTGGCGGAGTTTCATTGATGGTATAGCGCCCGGCTTACACTCAGACAAATACACGCTAATAGACGCTGTGACAGACGACCTCCCAGAGATCCGCGACAATATCCGGAAAGGGTTCGTTGAGACACAGAAGACGGTCAACAGCTGGATCAGCGCATTCAAGAAGAGAATCGACGGCGAGGACGATGACGACGTCGAATTTGGGCAGGCTCAGCCACCCCTGCCGGCTCGGCCGACACAACAATCACCTTTTACAGGTCGCCGGAGCGGCGAGATGCGTCGCAGTGCAGACCTCCAACGCTATGATGCGGACATGCAACCGATTGGCGACGACTTTTCCAAGCTGGAACTCCGAGAGGGTGACGCACCGCCACGGACATCAAGTCGACCAGTCGCGAATCCCAACCTGTTTAAGTCTCAAGGACTAGACCGTCGCCCCTCGCCAGGGACCAACCGGAAGGTGTCTTTCCAGGATGGCCCGCCCGAGGAGATCCGCGATATGTACAGCGCATCACCGAAACCAGCAGGTGCTGCAACCACCAAGTCGAGCAAATGGCAACCGCTACAAAGTGTTGATCCGAGCCCAGTAACGGATAACGATCCATTCAGTCTGGGCGATAGTGACGAGGAGAAGGATGCGAAGGTTATTACCTTGAAGGACGACGATGACAATGAGAAGAAGATTGAAGATAAGAAAGACGCCGAGCCAGCTACGACAGAAAGGACAGCTGCGGAATCCAAGTAAGACCATAGGAGAGTCATACCCCATGATGGCGGGAGTCAATTTAAAAGAATCGTCGACCTTTCGACCTTGGAGCGGCAGTGAAGCCGTTTACGATCTGGCCTGATCGAGCAAAATAGGCCTCTTAGATGAGCAAGAAATCCTTTTCAAGGATTGACCGCTAATCTGTGCTCACCATCTGCTATCTCCTTTCTGGACATCGCCGGCCTTGCCCGTGCTGCCGATGTTATCCATCATCCACTCGATCCTCTCCTGGATCAATCTTGTTCCTTCCTCCATGAATTCTGTCAACGGTGTGCGCCCAGCCTTCTCTTTCGCGTAGTCCTCGTACTTCCACAAGACGATCTGGTTGACGTTTAACCTGGTCATCCCCGCCGCCACGCACTGCTTGAAGATGTCGGCCGTGAACTCGTTGGTCCCGTGCATCACGAGGGTGACCCTCCCCTTGGCGGCCTCCTGGATGGACGCCAGCCTGGGAAAGTCCAAATGGATGTTTTCCACGCCATTATAGGGCCCGTGGACGTTCCCGATGGCCGGCGCCAGAAAGTCGATCCCCGTGTCGATGAACTGCAGCGCCTCGTCGGGCGTGGTCAGGATGCCCTCGAGATCGCCCGTGTCCTGCACGCCGGCCTCGCCGCCGTTGATGCGCCCCGGTTCGGCCTCGGTCGCGATCCCCAACCCGTGGCAGTAGGTGACCAGCTCCTTTGTGCGCGCCAGGTTCTCCGCCTTTTCGTAGTGCGACATGTCGACCATGATGCTGTCGAACTTGCCCGTGTGGGCGGCGCGCTTGATGGCCGCCTCGCTCTGCGCGTGGTCCAGGTGCAGCGACATGGGCACGGTGGCGCTGCGGCACACGTCCGCGGCCAGGTTCACCAGGTTGTCGTCGGCGTATTCCTGCGCCCAGGGGAACAGGAGGATCTGGCACGGCGAGTTCTTCGCCTCGGCGGCCTTGCGGCATGCGATGATGGCTTCGAGGTTGTAGCATACCACGCCGGGGACGCCGTAGCGGCCGGCCTCGGCGGCCTTGAGGATGCGCACGCTGATGTTTTGCGACAGGTCGGGCATGTTGATGGCTGATATGTTGACGGGGGTGGGTTGGAGGAGGAAGGAGTCGGTATCTCTGGGTCGTCGGCGCCGAAAGAGACTGTGATGATGCTTCTATTCTGTCTGCTCTAGCAGTGCAGTGTTGTTTTTGAGTATAGGTGTGAGGATCAGTATGAGTGTGTATATGGGAGTACAGAGTATAGTCAAGGCCAACGGAAGAAATGTTGAAGCTCAAAGGTCTATCCTCAATTGGCCGGGTCTTCGAAAATTCAACTCAACGCAATCAATGCCATACAGAAGGGCAAAATTCTCGGCTGCGTTCCGACACTGCAGGCCATCGCAGATGCCGTCAAGCAATCATCGTCGGCAACATGCCGTGCGTAGGCGGCCGCTCAAACAGTACCTAGGTAGGTATCCACCAGATTCCTCGTCGAAGGAAAAATGAATGCATCAGGGAAGAATGATGTCGTCGGCCTGTTCTCCGCATGAAGATGAGGGGCACAAGCACAGGGTTTGGCAGGGGTCATGGCGGGGTGCTGCGTGCTGTTTGTCCGGTGTCATTGTCGGCTATTGAACCTTAAGCATTTTGCCCCTGATTTTCGAGGTCGGCTTCATACACAGTACGTACGTCCACACGCAATCTCGAAACTAGGGACGCGTCCGATTCCATGGCTGAGAGCGGAGCTACTTCAACTTCTGCGCAGCCTGTGCTTCTGCTCACTCATCCTGATACCCTTACATCTCGTCCAGATTGCTGGATCTTCTTGATGTGGGCAAAGTATAACTATCCGGCATCCATCGGCTTTGACACCGAGGCCAAAACCAAGGCCGCGCAAATGCTAATAGGCAAAATGGCAATGCTGTGGTAAGTTGCGGTCGACTGTGTACCTGCTCTGAGAAAGCAGGAAGGCTTTTTGACGCAGAATGCTTCGGCCCTGTCTGCCTACGCAGGAGTACAGTACTCGTAGACGGCGTTCTCGACCGCCACCCGTGATGGACAAATTCGAACTAAACCTTTGGGTCGAATCTGGCAGTATCAGGAAATCGTTCAGCAAACAAAGGGCCATGCTTCGATGTTGTGCGCAGGACTCGGGTGTAGCTCCTCCCATCCACAGCCAGAGCCCTTGCCTCTCCCTCTCGGCTCAGCCTCGTCCGTCAATCCCCAGCTACGGTATCTACCACTATCCTACCCATGCCCCTTCTCCCCGCTTTTCGTGCCGATTTTCACCCTCTTATGCCAATTTCTCCTGCTCCTCCATATACTCGATATGCTCCCTCACCGACTGCTCGAAGCTGTCGGGCTTCTTGAACCCCAGCTTATAGGCCAGCGAGTTATCATACGTGACCGCCCAGGTATACAGGATCTTGGCGATGGGCTCGTCATGCTCCTCCCGAACGTACTGCAGCTTATCCTCGCCCCCGACCTTTGCCAGCGCGTCCATCATGTCCTGGATGGTCACGACGTGGCCGGGCGCGTTGATCACCCGCTTGTGCGAGGGCAGCGCGTCCGACGGCAAACTGAGACAGTAGACCAGATTGTGGATCAAGGTTTTAGGGGACGTGACGTGCGAAGGGAACGCCCGGTCCTTGACGGGCAGCACGCACTCCTTGCCCGCCAGCGGCTCGCGGATGATGCCCGAGATGAACGCCGACGCCGCGGGCGCGGGCTTGCCCGGCCGCACGGTCACGGTGGGGAAGCGGATGCAGAAGGCGTCGATGAAGCCCTTGCGCGTCATGTCGTTGATGAGGATCTCGCACATGAATTTCGCGGCCCCGTACGAGCCCTCGGGCGTGGGCAGCACATCTTCGGTGATCACAGCCGGTAAAGGCCGTCCGTAGACCGCGCCGCTGGACGAGTAGATGACGCGCAGGCCCGGGCGGACTTGGCGGATCGTCTCGAGCAGCAGGCGCGTCGATTCCAGGTTGACGCTCATGCCCAGGTCGAAGTTGGCTTCCGAACCGGCCGACATGATGCCGTGGAAGATGTACGCGGCGTCCAGGTCCGGCGTGACCACGCTTCGGTCCTTCAAGAGGTCCGCCTTGACGGTGGTGGCATTCTCGGGGTGTTTCGCCCCCTTGGGCACCGGCACGTCGAAGATGTCTGTCAACACCACTTTGTTGTCCGGGTTGGACAGCAGTTCTCGGGCGAGGAACTGCCCGATGAAGCCGCCGGCTCCTGTGATGAGGATTTTCATGCTGACAAGGGGGCGAGGTGAAAATGTCACGTTGTGCCTTCAGCTCTTTGTTCGTGCTTCGCTGCTGTTCCAGAGATTGGCGCCTTGTTGCTTAACTATAGTAGCTGTTGCTTGAATCCACGTGTGTTTGGTCTGCTGTTTCTTTGACTTGCTCAAAAATGGTTCCGATATATGAGACGCAATTCATGGGAGAAGGTGGATTGCTCATGATGAACACACGGGATTCCTGCCGTGCAGACGCTCGTGTTGTTCCATCCTGGCAAAAGTTACTCCGTCGCCGCGTGCCCGCAACTGTTCGTGCCTCCAGTTGGAGAAGGAGCTGGTCGGAGCGTCGGTGACTGACGCCGGTGTACTGTAGTGATGATGAGGGGGAACAAGCAAGAGGGGCGACAAAATCCTTGGAGTCGCTTCAGCCGATCTACGAGCGAGTGAGCTGTGAGCCCTGTTCCGTATGTAAATGAGTATTTCTCACCGGATGGTGGGACCGGTTCAAATGTTCTATTTTGTTGGAAACACCCAATGGTGGTCAAACAGGGATAAAAGCAAGAATCCTTCGTCCATCATTCAAAGTTTTGGTCATCGTCAATAAACACCGCCTCCTGATTCTTCCACCAGTCGCCGACGTCTGATAAATTTCCGGCACTTTTTCATTGCCGTCGTTATGCTTGTTTCCAACGCCGTCACACCGCACACCCGTCTCTCAGCCCGTGAACATATGGCCTTCTCTCGGGATCAAAGCCCCTTCCTTTCGTGGTAGCTGAGCGTATCGACCCGTTGTTGCCCTTGATGGTGGCCAGTCGATTGATCGACAGGAGGGCTGCGTGTAGTGTACAGTTTGCACCGTGTCGTATAGACTCAACCAGCCCCTTGGCTGACTGGCTTCCGATCATAGGCTTCCTTCTCCCCAGCATGCTTGCAGTATGCCCGTGCTGAGACTGAGCAAGTGGCGATCCCGCGCGGAGTTTCGCTGTTCTCACGCTCCACCCGGCTTGATCAGGGTCGTGGATCTCAGGATCGAGCTGGAGCCCGACGTGGATCGTTTGCTGGGAGGCTTGTGAGGGCAATGACCATCGATTCTTGCCGGCCGGTGATGAGCACGGCGGGAGAGGTGGCAGAGGCTTGGTCAGTGCAGTAGGTAGAGGCCAGTTCTCGGCCGCACCGTCTGCTTTCGGGGAATTCGAACCTTCTCCTGACACTGGTCCCTGACCATTTAGCGAAGGAGGAGCAGCGTCCTGCTCCCGAACCTGTACCAGAACAACCTTGCCGTCGCGATTTGACCCCAATGCAAATCGCCGGGTTCCTTGGCGGCCCATGTCCTTCCAGAATCCCCTTTCCGGCACAGTCGTATCGTCACCGCCAAACGCCGTTCCGATCGCCGCCGTTTCCGCTCTGGTCTCACCACCCCCGCTGCTTGACCCTCGCTTTTCCTCTTGATGGACATCCGAAGCAGTTCCCTCCGTGTCGCCACGTTGTCGCGAATACCTTGCAAGGCTGCCAATCGACCCAACCATGAACTGACGGAAAACGGGCTGGAGGGCCGGTGCGCTGGCCGCGAATATCCCAACGTAAAGTTCCACAATAGACCATATCCATACTTCCCACAGAAGCCATGTGAAGTCATACGTCTCATTCAACAGCCGGTACGTGAGGACGACCCTGACCAAACCCAAACCACATGCCAAGAACCCCAAGCCGAACAAGCTGTACAAGCCGAGCTTCTGCTTCGGCGGAAGCTCCAAGCTGAAAACCAGCAGAAGCGGTAGCAGCGTACTGTAAAAGTCACCCAATACACTTAGACCCACGGCCGCTGGGATAGATGCTCCCTCTTTCGCACAGTAGAAGTTGTGGGTAGCGGCCCATCCTGGATCGAAAGATTTCCAGTACGCGTCGACCGGACGACAGATGAGTAGAAGTGTGAATGTGAAGGCGACTAGGTATAGAACGTTGTAGACAATCCCCAACCACGTCGCAACCAGGAATCCCTTCTTGAATTTGACGCTTAGTCGCTGGTAAAACAGCAGCACACTGGTCTTGATTGCGGTGCCGGCAAGAACAAATAGCCACTCGCTGATCCAGACGTTGAGACGGTGCGGCGTCAACGTAGACGATGGCACGTCCCATATGTGTCGGCCGCTGAAGTATAGTTCGTTGCCGACCACAACCATCACGGACATGGCAACGCTGAATCCGAGTCCGACGACGACCAGGAGGTCATCCCATCCTGGTGCTCTAGTAATGACCAGACGCGAATATATCCGAGCAGAAACAATGATAATCCCGAGGCCGCTGAAGATGATACAGGCTTGCACCAAACCCGGCCCTCTGGTTTGGGGATCGACATAGTCTGGTTCTGGCCATGACGCAACGACTGAGGGAGGAGCTGCAACCTTTGTTAACATACACAAGTCGTGCTCATCGAGGATACTCACGATGCAGCGTATCCGCCATGTTGATATCTCCAGTCGGGCCTTCCAGACGGATCAAGGCTGAAGGTGAAAGTCAAGCCCAGTGATACAGATTCTGGTTCAGGGCACATTAGTATACGGAGGAGACAAGCGATAAGAGCACCGTCAGCTGCATGCCGTGTTGCAGCCCGTGCTGAGTAGGCCAGATAGAGTTCTCGTTTAGCAAGACGCTGACAGTTCGCAGATCCAGACGAAGCCACTATTGTCTCCCGACATTAAGACGCCCCGCATCTATCAGACTGACGGTTCCACCTGAAGTTGCTGTGCTTCCAACAGTATCAACTAGAGGATAGGCGCCTGCAGGAGGATTCTGGGGATCGGTTTGGATCATTCTGTCCGACCCCACAGTTCCTGTGCGACCGAGGGACGATTATTTTTCGACAAGTCCATCATGTATCAGTATATTCACCGGCGGTCTGAGGGTCATTGTACGCAGAGCCATCCGAGGTTTGGAAAGGATGGTGCTTGATAGACTTTGAGCTAGCAGTTGTGGAAGAAATCAGACTTTGGCTTCAGGGGGACAGAAATCTCCCCGCGATGGTTAGATGCCCTGGGGGACTGACTGGCGCAAAGTGTACTGTGGAAAGTGGCGTCGAGTTGTCAAGGATTGTCCTTGTACGTGCATGAACGTAGGGAAGGCGCGGGAAGACCCAGCTTGGTGGGAGGAGAAGGTACAGAATATCGTCGAAGGCTCAGCTTTATAAGAGGTACCTCTGCTGACGGGAGAGTGTCTGCGGCCGACATGAGGAAGTAGAAGTAGATTTTCGTCGACGCGACATGGTCGCTGCAATAAATTGCACTGCAGTTGAGCACGCGAGAACCCAACAGACTGTACGTACTTCCGTACTTGTGTCTACTTTTCGGTAGATCGACAGACGGGTTCCCTCAAGTCGAAGCTTAACTTTGACATGAAGCGGGTCAGATATTGACCATTTCCGGCACCTGCGTCGGTCTGCACGGAGACGCGCGCGCTAGAACCTGTTCGCGCAAGGTGTTCAACACGCGACGACGACTTCGAAATCGTCAGGCTTGCAAAGGCTGGGTAAAAGGACCGTGTCGATGTCTTTGGCCGTTGTCAATGACAGGTCCGTTCTCATGCTTGACGAAGGGAAGAGTGCGTGCACAGTTGTCAGTTGTAGGGATGAATTGAGTTGCAGATGAATTGAGTTTGAAATGCAGAAAGGCGCTCCGCAGAACTGGCACTCACGCCTCGCCGCTTCGGGAAACAAGCACAGTCATGAAGAAGAGAGCAGTCGCGCGAATGCATTTGCTGTACGTATGAGCTTGGACTGCTCCATGTGTCAAGAATCGTGTCAAGAATCACGTCCTCACTGCAACATGGTCGAATCCACTAATGCTTCCCTTGGGGTATTAGGCTGCTTGACCTAGAACCCACTGTGACGGTGGCATAGTTCACGTCTGTTTCGACTTGGTGTACTTCGTAGCGGCCTTTGTGCCATGGACCAGATGATTCTGACGAGTGCTCCGGAAAGTGTCACTACGCCCGCCCTACGCGACTCTTGTACCGAATGCAGACTCGTAGGCAGAGTAGGCAAGGCGCCGCAGAGGCTGAGCGGTGCCTGAGACCTCGAGAGCGTGCGACAGATGTGAGGTGTTTCTGAAACTTCGGCTTCGATTGCGGACCCGAACCGGCACCGCATGGTTGTCACGGTCTCGCTCATGACTGCGAAGCATATGCCCAGTAAAACATTGTTCCGAGATGGGTTGAAAATGCTGCAGAATTGGCAAACGCACGCCCTCATGTGGGAACACCGCAAGAAAGCGAAACGCATTTCGACCTAACAAGTGACTTCTGTACAAGATTGGGTGATTTCTGCTTCTGCGACAGTGACCAATATCAGACCATATTCGTGGCTGTTTCCACTCTGACGACAGTGTCGCGTCATTCTGAGCGTCCGTCCATTACCCTTCTGTCCCTCAATCAGCTCACAATTTCGCCACTGGCTGTGATGAGCCAACGGTGGTGATTTCATTGTACAATAGACTGATCAAGGCGAGTTAGCAAATTTCTGGGATAATAGGACCACATCAGCAAAGCATACCTTGTCAAGAAGTCGGCATAATCTTCGCCAGTCACTTGGCCCTCGAAGTACCGAGCAGCAAGATGATATTTGTTACCCTTGGGTGCCTTTGAAGACAGCTCGTCGGCCTGCTCCCTCAGTAGCCGGAGAGCATAAGCTTTGTCGACTGTTTGGCCCTCGGCAGTCTTCACGCCGTGTTTGACCCACTGCCACAATTGCGATCGTGACACTTCGGCCGTTGCAGCGTCCTCCATGAGGTAGTTAATGGGTACGCAACCGACGCCGCGCAGCCAGCCCTCCATGTATCCGAGACCAATATTGAGGTTCTTTCTGATGCCATCCTCTGTAACTGTGCCAGGCATGTTCATGTTGAGCAGATCGTTCTTGGTGACATTGACATCCTCACGGCGTTTGAAGAGTTGATTCGGCGTGGGCATATGCTCGTTGAAGACCTCGGAGGCAATAACCGCCAACGCAGGGTGAGCGACCCAGGTGCCGTCGTGGCCGGCGCGGACCTCGCGAAGTTTGTCTTGGCGGACACCGTCCATGGCCTTTTCGTTGGCCTCCGGGTTATCCTTGATGGGGATCTGAGCAGCCATGCCACCCATTGCATGCACGCCGCGGCGATGGCAGGTCTTGATGAGGAGCCGAACGTAGGCGTCCATGAAGGGGACGGTCATGGTGACGGCGGAGCGGTCGGGAAGGACAAAGTTGGGGTTTTGGCGGAACTTCTTGATCACCGAGAAAATGTAGTCCCAACGGCCGCAGTTGAGGCCGGCCGAATGGTCGCGGAGTTCGTAGATAATCTCGTCCATCTCAAATGCTGCAGTGATAGTCTCGATCAAAACAGTTCCTCGGATGGTGCCTCGAGGCATGCCAATATAGTCCTGAGACAAATTGAACACATCGTTCCATAGTCTCGCTTCCAGATGTGACTCCATCTTGGGAAGATAGTAGTATGGGCCTGTGCCGCGCTTGACCAATTCAAACGCATTGTGGAAGAAGTATAGACCAAAGTCGAACAATGAGCCGGAAATGGGCTCGCCGTCCACTGTAAAATGCTTCTCTTCCAGATGCCAGCCTCTGGGTCTGGCGATGAGTGTGGGCAGGACCCTGTCTGTGCGTAGTTTGTATTCTTTCTCTCCCTGCTTGAAGTCGACCTGCTTGCGAATGGCATCGTAGAGGTTAACTTGACCTGAGACTTGGTTGTCCCATGTCGGGGCTTGTGCATCTACAGGAAACGTCAGAAGCTGCGAAATCATCTTTGGTTTCGGAAGCTTACCTTCGAAGTCTGCCATATAAGTCCATACATTGCTGTTCAAGGCGTTGACAACCATCTTGCGGTCGGTGGCTTGTGGATTGTCAGATTGCGATCCGAATGCTTCGAGATTTCACCACTTACGTCCTGTAATTTCGGTGCGACGGTCCACCAAGCCCGGAGCAGGTGGAGCTCCTTTCCAGGCATCATTGTCGCGAATGTGCTTGGTTTCCGGCAGAAAATCGGGCAGGTTTCCCTTGTCAAGCTCCTGCTGACGGATCACTCGTCGCTGAAGCAAAGCTTTCCGGGTGCCGTTAAAGGTTCTGTGCAGGAGGGCCAGAAACGCGGTGGCCTCGGGCGATAGGATCTTGCGATATTCTGGCTTCACAGCTCCATTGATAGCTACGCCTTCGTTGATTTTCTCGATGCTCGCCATGATGAAGATTCGTAGAAATTTGGATAAAGATACAGCACAAATTGATAGTCGGGAGAGAGGATGGCTATTGTCAAGCAAAGGCAGTCGAGGAGACTGATATAATGATATACGTCAGAGCAGCTCCCAGCTCGAAAGCGTTAGAGCACATGTCCGCTCGACGAGATGTGCGCGAGGAGATGTTGCCGGTACCACATCATCCAATGACTGCTGGTCCTGTGGACTCCGGCGAACCCGCTAACGACCACAAGAGCTGGGGATGTGGATGAGATGAGCTCAAGAATCAGTTGACGACGCCCAGTCAGTGTGGGGTAAATGAAAGCCCAGACATCACTAAACGTCGCTGACGTCTGTCCCTTTTTTCCGAGAGTTGCCTCGAATCTGCGACAAGAAGTAGTCACAGTTAGCAATCCCCCATGTCCGGCGCCTTCTGCCGGCTGACTTGAGGGAGGGAGAGATGGTAATGCTGGAGGTGTTGAACGTGACCAGTACTGTGATACTGGGCTGCTACATTGGAACTTCTGGTCACGGACACGGCGGAGACATGCAACCAGCATTAACAAAGTGCCGAGGTTGAAGGCCCTTGCAAAATTGGAAGTCCAGCCGTTGCGCGGGATCTTCCATTGGCAAGGACAAGCGGCGAAGCCCGATTTGCTCCAACTTTCCGGTCATCTGTCGTCTACGGAGTACTGTGTACACAAATGGGTGACAGTACCCGCTGGATTGGGCACGAGCTCCGCAAACGAACTGAAACTGTGAAGCGACCGATATCATCCAGTCTCCAACGACACGAGTGCATCAGCTTCATGGCTTCTGTGGTTCCAGTGTGCACAGGCACAAGCTAGAAGAAGTTTTCATACATGCATAGGCTGTTCTCGATTGTCGCAGAAATCATGCCTTCTGTTCCGGTGTCAACCATCCCATGTGAGCTCAAGTATATTGCCATGCACCAGGACCAGGAGCATCCGCGGCCAGAGGATCGAAGCCAATACACTGAGATACATTGCCCAGTGGAACCGTTGCATTCTTCAGGTTGCCGAACACTTGGTAGATCCCTCTGCTTCGCGTTGGACAAGCCATGAAACCTGTGATCCCAAAAGGAGCTCCAATTGACATCAAAAGACGCCCAATGTATGCTCCGGGTGCCTTTGTATAAGTGAAGGGACATGAGACTGCTCCAGGTGGCATCGATATGCTATGAGCCTGGGTGTAGCCCAGCTCGCCCCTTGGGGTGACATAGATTTGCTGGCCGCCAGGAACAAGAACGCCCTTGATCGAGTTAGCCAGTTATGATGTGGCTGTCCGCAGACGTCGACTCACCATGCTGCAGACCGAAAGGACTGTGGTGTTGCCAGGCTGCGAATACCGGTTAGCATGCACTGATCTTGATGGACTGATATGGAACCTGTCAATGTTGCCACTAATAAGGCTGACTTACCGGGCAAGCATACTGATCCTCAACTTGCTCAGGGCAGTACGATATGGTGTTGCCGCCCAACCAGAAGCGCAGCCCTGCAGCATTCATTGGGAGGAGGTGGATCTCGGAGCCGCTCCGCGCGGCAGTGACGGTGAGCCACGACGTTGGCTGAGTGAGAGGCGTGGCGTAGGTCGTGGTCGAGCTTGTTGTGGTCGAAGTGAGTGTCGAAGCGAGTGTCGAAGCGATGACAGTTGCAGTCAGAGTACTCGTCACAGTGACAACGTCTCTGATTGCGAGTGGGTTATCATAGTCAGCTTGATGCTGGGGAGAGGCGTAAGCGACCGCAAGAAAGAGTGAGATGGTGAGGAGAAGAAGCGAGTGCAGCATGTTTGATGGGTGAGCCAGTGATTTGACAGGGTCAGAAGTGAGAGAGTGAGCGGCGTACAGTTCAGTGACGAGAACACAAAGAGGCTGTAGTGTGTTGAAGGGTATTTGAGAGAGAAATGAAGAAAGTCTGTACCTTCCTCAAATCACTTTTACGGGACCTCACAGCTGTATTCGTCACACCGAGTGCAGCTTCCCGTGGTTTGAGACGGCGCGCAAAGTCGATATCTGTGAAATATTTCCTTCTCGGCTGGTTCTTGTTATTGTTTTGATCGTGTTCAGAGACTTACAGATGGACGCATATGACCGTTACATGCTCGGCTTCACCTTTCAGCCACGCCGGCTCCCATGCACAGACATCGCAAGGCCTTGATTCAGCACCCATCGACTTCGTACAACATCCGGCCTTTTAGTTTGTCTGCACTTTGCTGGTCATTCCGACTCTGTGAAAATGGCTGCGGGCACCTACAGTTCCAATTGCATTGCCGTTGGGTCGCGCCTTGCTTATTGTCGACTACCTAATCGACTGGCTCCCACTGTTGTGCACTTTCAGTGGTCTGCCTTCGTCTTTGCTGATCCATAGGCTCTGACCCTCGATATCTCCGAGGAAGGCATCATGATTCCGCAGTCTATGGCAGGGTAAAATATTCTCTTCCGTTGTCTTGGTATAGAGAACGTCGTGGCAGACTGCTCCAGTCCGAATTCTTGCTTGGACAGCTGCTTGATTTTCAGATACACTTATGGGGATGTGTCCACCCCCCTCGCTGTTGCGCACTGTCATTTTTGATTATGCTGCAAGGGCTGTTCTTATGTAGAGAGGACCAGACTGGTCCCCCTGGCCGCATACGACGTGCAACCACAGCGGCTGGTCACCCAGGTAGCAGTCATCTTGAGATGAAATGTCGTCATGGACCCAGTGCCGCCTGCAAAGTCTCATGACACGGGTCCAGAATCCAAGTCGATCGCATCTCGACCCAGAACTTCGATGCGTCTCCGGTTATTTTGCCACCTGTCTTGTTGTTAGCAAGGAGATCTTGACAGAAGAGAACAAGGGCTAGCAGAAAGCTCTTGATAGAGACTCTGGAGCCGGGCATTCGATGTGGGAGGGACTCACTTAATCCATGACAATCCTTGCAGCAATGAGTCTGCCAGATCATCCAGCTTCACCTTACCAGCGTTTGCTGTTGGCTTGCTCTTGGATACTTTGTTGCAGCCGGATACAAATTCAGCCACGATCGGTTGCATCCCTTTTCCCACGCAGATGTTGGCGTCTGCTCCTTGGAGCATATTGCCCACGAGCCGAATTTTCGCTCTCTTCACCTCCTGTCCGACCAGCTTACGGGTGGACGGACGCACAAAGTCTCCAAGCCAATATCGATTTACCCGGGATGGCTGCATTGGCTCCACCCTCAACCGCATCTTTCGCTCCTCAATCATGGTCCGAAGAGACGCGTACAACATTCCCTCGAATACCCCCACCCGTATCGTCCATTCTTGAACCGACGACCCGCCGCCAGAGCGAAACCTTTGTCTCTCGATCAGAACATGATTTGGCTGATAAGTCTGCAGCATGTGGTTGATCAGCTCGTATGCGTGCAATGCATAGTCAGCAGGTTCAAACGACTCTTTCGAAGCCGAAGTCTCGCTTGAACTTTCGACGCGGAACGATAGGGGCACTGTACTTGTGGCATATAGTGACTGGGATACTGCTAGGCGACGCCATGATTGCAATGTGGGCTTCTGGTACTGCAGATATTCTGCCGAGTTTGTTGCCTGTAGTGGCGCTGTGATATGGGCAAACGCCAAGTTTCTGATACCCATATCAATGCTCAAGAGACTCAAGTCAGAGGGGTCGCTTCGGTCATTGCTTGCGACATTCGTCACTGCATGTCGAATACCCTCGATGCGTACAGCCTTGGTGCCGCTGCATGGTGCGCCAATTGCGATAGCAAGTCGATGTAGCTTAGCAATGGTGAGATTCTCGAGCCACGGCTTCACCGCGGACATTACAGGTGCATTCAACTACCAAAGGACCATTGGAGATTCACATGTCGAATGTGCAATTTCAAGGCAGTTCGTTGGAGACAATACGCCGAGAAGTCTGAACGCGCGATTTGGCCAAGACACGCGAACCGCGTCGCAAAACTCATTCGCCGAATTGCGTAAATTCTAAACAATCACGACAATTATCATTATTCCTTTTCTCCTTGCCACTTTATCAAACCACGGTCTGCTCGGGATGTTGTAGGCTCGAGGCTCTAGACGACGAGTACACCTCTATACCTTACTTTACCCTCTTCCAGCTTCTTCATGGCTTCATTGACGCCTTGCTTTGTCATGGGGAACTTCTCGATAACAGGCTTGATGTCGTGCTTCGCGCAGAACCTTAGCATCGCCTTGATTGATTGCGGATGCGCTCCTCCGCTCCCAATGATGCTATAACCATACAACACAAATGGGAGCGCGGGGACTGGAATCTTATCCATGCTGATGGTGAGCGGAAAGATCTTCGCGAATGGTGCAAGAATAGGAAGGTACCTGTCATTAGCACTTGCTCGATGAATCCAGTTTCTGTCGGACTTACAGAGCGAGATCAGGCAGCACCGAAGTCGTGATCAACAAACCATCCACAAGCTGTACCCCTTGGAGCTTCGTGACGCCCTTAGTAGCATAGAATTCGCTCGCGCCGAGCTGGAACGCCTCTTCTTTCTTCGATTGGGTTCCACTGAAGACCACGGCTTCCATACCCATCTTCGATGCCATTTGAATGGCGAGATGTCCCAAACCTCCAATCCCTACACAGTACACCATGTTACTTGACCGAAATCAACGCTTTGAACAGCACACTGACCTATGATACCGATGCGGTCGCCTGCCTTGAAGCCATGTTCATACAATGGGCCCCAGACAGCTTGTCGCAGAGGCGGTTAGCACGTCATCCCACGGATTCGGTGCTGGAGACAAGAAGGAGAAGGCTCACTGGCACCACCACACATCAATGGGCCTGCGGACTCGGAAGAGATTTCGTCGGGGATTTTGAATAGGGCCGTCACATCCCAAGCCACACCGCTACCGAAACAACCTTGGTCCAGGTTGGCGGTCCCGAATTGTTCGCTATTCTGACACTTGAAGTGCTGGCCTGAGGTCTAGGTTAGCTTCAACATTGCTCAACTCTGGCTACGGTCTTGATATGGCTGGCTCCGGAAATGGGTGGCACCAGATAGCGTGCTATTTGGGAAGATCATGCTGAGGAATAGGAGAAGATAAGCTCACTCACCGGTAAGACATGGCTTGCAGTATCCACAAAACCGCCTACGTTGGTGTCAGCATTCAAGAACTGCATCAAGACAGTATAAAGATCCGCAACGGCCAGCACCTGTCACGCGCTTTGCGTATCACTTACTGCATCCACTGCGGCCTCAGTTAGCCTGAATCGACACTAACAGAACAGGGGTGACACTGGAGCGCAAGGTCCTCTCAAGAGCGTGAGAGTACTCACACCCATACCAACACGATCACCAACTCTCAAATCCGATATCAGCTCGACAAGGCTTCCGACCTCCTTAATTATTCCCACGCCTTCGTGGCCAAGGCCTTGGTCTGCATGCTTGTAATGCTCATCCGTCTGCGTCCGTCAGTCGAAGCCTACGAGTAGCACCACTTGAGCACCTGGAAGGCTTACACCGCAAACACCACAATGCGACAGTTCGACGAGAGCCTGTGTTGGACCAACATCCCTGTGCCCTTTGGACTCCAGTATTTCTCCGGATTTTGAACCTTTGAACACAGTGAAGTCGATACCCATGGCTGGCTGTGCAAATTCTTCTCGGGGACGGTAGGCCGACGGCGGGAACTGGGATTGACTCTTGCAAGGTGCCTGAATCGAGCGAACATCTGTCTACGAGCGTGTTTATATTGCTTTTTCCTCTCTTTGGGATCTATTTACCATGGTGACAGGCGACCGAATGTTGCATGCGCCACCCACATCTTCGCTAATTGCCGCATTCGGCAAGAGGCTATGGATTGGCGAGTGGAGTCCAGGAACAAGCAGTTGGATTCTCTCCTGACTAAGCTGTTCGGCGGCTCTTCCACAGTTGTGCTGTTCGGAGCAGCTAGACCAGATGCCCTTCAAGGTAAATGCGATGTTCGAGCGGAACAATGTGGCTCGCAACCAGCTGTCATCACGGGAAGCGATCTGATTACTATTCATGCGGCTGTCTTGGGGATCCGACCCTAGTCTGCATCTACCTGAAAAAATCCAGCGCAATTTAGAGGAAGATTTGTGCAACTGCGGGTTGCTACAGTGAGCTGCTCAAGGAAAAGAGGATCGCTGCAACGGTGCCTCGCCATGACTCCCCGGAAGCTGAGACATCTCGACTGACAAGCGTCACAGCGAAACGCGTTGTCGAGATTGTGCTGAGACCAAATTCTGCGTCCTGCTGAGAAGGTCAGCACTTCTCTTGCACTTTTTGCAGCTCTTGCAAAGGAGGAATATCCTCAAGCATGCCAGGTTGCAATTTTCCCCACAATATGCCACAATCGGGCTTGTGTACAGAGCCCTGGACCTCTAAGGCTTGCGTTGGTGTGATGATATGATCACAGACAGTGTCAAACACCTCCGGCCGTAACTCCTCATCCAGGACCTGGCAGTCGTGAACAACAGCAACGCAAGGAACAGAGGAATTGACAACGTGGATACTGCTCAGCATGGCCCATTCGAGATCGAAGAAGCCGTGGCCTTTTCCGAATCGGATGCCAGCCTGATTGATCGCCCCGGTGCCCGTCACCATCAAATCCACACGAAGGTCAAGCTGTTGCATCTCGGCAAGTGTCAAATGTCTCCCAAGCCCTGGCTTCTCCATGGTGTCTAAGAGACTCGCAAGCTTTCTATCCTCTGCTGTCGTGATGATAGCCGGATCCAGCAACCAGAACCCCCTTCTAATAGCATAGGTGGTCACCAGTACTTTCTTGCCGTCCTGAAGAGCTCTCAACCGCAGTAGCTCAAGACAGTTGTCCGGGGTTATGAACACCACTTTGGCGTGAGTATAGCAAAGCAAAGAAGCGAGTCGCTCAATGGCAGCGTCAGATCCATGGAAATCTGCGATAAAGCTGGAGAAGTCAAAGTGGAACCTCGAGTCTGGAAAAGCGACCTCCCGCAGTCGTGGCCAGACCAGTTGTCGGATGCTGTCCTTGTGATCAGTCGCCATGGCTTCCCTTGTGGCTACTAAAGCGTGACCTTCTTTCGCTGGGCGATGCACCACAGGAAAACGATTCCCGCGGATGGACTGTGGTAGTCATCCATTTCTGACTCGCATCTGACATGGGAAACCGGCGAAGGCAGCGAGACCGGCAGAGCAACGAGTGTCTTCTCCGCACGCGCATCACGTCCATGTGGAGAATGATCCACTTTCCCATCCACCATGCCACCGTGGGACTCCATCCACGAGGAGTCCAGCACATCAAAATACTTTCAGGAAACAATGAGTTAAGCAGCTGCTAATCAGGCAGGTCGGATGTTTCCAGACAGAAATACGAGGTACTGTCGATCCCAGCAGGCAGCAAATGGTAGGTCTAAGCATGAGGCTTCTACGTATATGCTGTTGGGAAAAAGAAGTTGCAGCATCTGAGCCTCGAATATGTACACAGTTCGTTTCCACAAAGCACGATGGATCAACGCTGCCGATCTATCCATACCCGTCGACTTTGTCTCCTCTGAACAGCAGGCACAAGGCTTTTTCTCCACCCTTGGCACCCTTCTATACCGACGGAGGATCCATGTTAGCCAACGGTGTCCGCGATGAAAGAAACTTTCTCTCGAAATTGGCAGCACGCCGGTGACTGTCCGTTCATGTCTCTGCAAAGGGACTGGTAACGACCATGTGGATCTCTGACCTCGGCGATGATAAGAATACCCGCCACAACCGATATAAGCTGGTCGCGTGGGCTCCTACACGTTCCTCAGCCCTCGACCTCGCAATTCGTGGTGACAACATTGAACACTGGTGTCCCTCTGAGCAACGATGGGTGCCTTCATCACACTCCGTGGCCGTAGCCTTTACTGGCTGATGAAGTTTATCTGCGGTATTAGTTTTATGGTAAGCTTTGGCTTGCCAGCAGGCAATGCTGGTCACCTGGCTCTTCCGTGCCTGACTTGGCCATGATATTGACTTGATGGGCTCCTTAGATGTACGGTTATGACGCCGGGGTCTTGGGAGGCGTGCTCTTGCACAAGCCTTTTCTCGACGCTATCGACAACCCGACCGGAGAATGGGTGATTCCCTGGATCTCGAGCTCCTACTCCTTGTCGGCATGCATCACTTGCGCCATCGTGGCGACGTTTGCATTCAAAATCGGCCGGCGAGGGACCATTATCTTGGGCAACATCGCCGCTGTGGTCGGTTCGGTCATTCAGTCGACCGCTAACTCGGTGGCACAACTCACTGTAAGCAGTCGATGAGTCCCACGGCAATGTGCCTGCAGGACTGTTTCCGAGCTCTGCTGACTCTCTTTCTCATATAGGTCGGTCGAGTGATCACAGGCTTTGCTATCGGCTGCATTTCGAGCGCTGTCCCTACTTACCTTGCGGAGACCGGAGTTGAAATCGGCGACCGTGGCCCTGCCAATGCCTTCAACGCGATAATGCTGATATCCGGCGTCCCGTTGGCGTACTGGATCGACTATGGCTGTACCAAATCTAATGGACAATGGAGCTGGCGGGTGCCCATCGCGTTTCAATGCATATTTGCCATTATCGGCGGAGGCTGCATGTTCTTCCTCCCCGACACGCCCCGTTACTACTACGCCAAAAACCGGCATAGCGAAGGCGACGACGCACTGGAACGGCTGAATGATGCGGCAATTGACACTGAACAAGTCCAGCGGATCAAGCGAGAGATTCTGCTCGCCATCGAGGCAGAGGACGAAGCCGCGTCAAGCCTCCACTGGAGAATGTTCCTCACGTCGGGCATCATCGACCGCACACCGATGAAGATCATCCGAAGGCTGTGCATATGCTTCTGGCTCCCCATGATTAGGGAGTGGATGGGTAGCAGTTTAATGGCTTATTACAGTGAGTTACACCGGTCAGTTCGGTCCTGATGCTAACTGCCACAGGCTCCGTCATCCTCAGCAGAGTTGGCGCTCGGCCTTCCCTGGTCAGCCTCCTTGCTGGGGTGCTCAATATCTTCTTCGCTCTCGGCTGTGTACCGCTTTACTTTACCATTGAACGAGTCGGCCGCCGCTCTGTCCTCCTATACGGGGCGTGCGTTATGTCCGTCCTAATCCTCATCTTTACTGTGCTGCAGGCCGTCCCTGCGACGACTTCCATCCAATGGGCAGGGATCGGCATCATCTTCCTCTTTCTCTTTGTCTTCGGGTACGCGTGGCAGGGCTGCGTCTGGCTCTATTGCTCCGAGATCGCCCCGCTCGAATACCGACACATCGGTGGTGCTTTTACTGGGTTTGGTGAGTGGTTGATGACGTTCATCACGGTCTTTGCGGGACCTATCGGTCTGACCAATGTGGGCTGGAAGTTTTGGCTGTGGGTGCTCAGCGGGAATCTAGTGGCCATCGCCTTTGTTTTCTTCCTCTGCCCTGAGACGGGCGGGAAGACGTTGGAGCAGGTGGATTTCCTGTTCAGCAAGAGTGAGTTTGTGAGTGGAATGAAGAAGGCTGAGCAGGATGAAGAGGAAGGAGAGGAGAAGCGGATTGAGGAGCGGGTTGAATTGAAGGCATAGGGTGGTGGAAATGGCTATTACCCCTCTGGTTGGTAGCCCGGTCCATCAGAAAGTGCTGGTAGTACAAGGACCGCACGAGGTATCATCGAAGTCCACAGAGTCCTGGCAGGACCAGCTTTCGTAGAAAACTACTCGACTTCAATCGGATGATCGGGTAGCAACTCATCCTTGTCCTCAGGTAGAGCCGCTAGAGTGGCTCGTATCGCCACGTTCCAGACCTACATCGGCCCAGCAGACATTGACATTGGCGTTGTCATGCTGCAGACTTCCAGGCATTTGTTTGAGAACGTCGAACGCAACCCTGCCCATTCCCTGTGCAGTAGGTCAACAATGCCCAGGGAGAACGAACCATCACACCCATTCACCCTTTACCCCTTCGCTGCGCCAGTTCATGGCAGATTGACCATGATACTTGGGACACAACGTGGCTTGACTTGAACTGTTTCGGGCTTCTGATTGTAGGTACGCCGTGCAGTATGGAATTACTTACTGCGAGTATATCACCTCAGCCTGGTCGACTTGATCTCTGGATATGCTGACTCTCCTGATCGCTCCCTATCCTTCTGAATGGTTACCTCGCGACGCTGATTCCAGCCCGAGTCAAGCCCGTCGAAGTCTTCAGCCGTTTTTCGCCCATTGCTGCTCGGGGGTACTGTCCTTACCTCAAGCCCTAGGCTTCCTCGATAGTTCCTGGATTTGGGTTCACGGATGGGTCCAGCTGTAGCGTGCGAATGCTGTCTCCGATAAAGAGTCGATGAATGGTACCGTAAGATGACCGTCCCGGGTGCCCGGATCGTAGATATGGTAGACACGAAGGTATGTATGTAGGTACCTAATTACCTCCCTGTCAGGTCACCACGATCCAGCCCATTCCTGATCGAGTTTGACACATTCTGCACCGCCAGCAAAGTAAATAGGTGCAGGCGAAGAGGCCTGGTAAAGAGCGATCGTACCTGATGCCCAGGTAACCATCCACTCGTGGTTCAGCCGCGTGGAAACGACACACTGAGGGTGTCCATCGTCCGAAGACGAGGTTGAACGCGCCGTTTCGCCGACACGATTACCATCTATCGGGATATTGATTGATTGTCGGTGTCCTTGACGAAGAGCTTCATACTTTGCTTCTTGAGGGACGCAGTTCGAGCCCGCATCGGGCCGTAGTCTCTTTGCTGGTCCGTGGCGCAATGCATGTACAACCTCTGCGAACAGGAGATTCTGTCTGCCGTACAGTAGCTGAGGGGCGACTCAATCTCGCCGTTCGGACGGATGATTCAGGTTCGGGGTGGAGGAAGGACCACAACCCAGGGGACGGCTGGGTGATGTTCAATAGATGACACCGCAAGCCAACCATGGGGTGATTAGGCATTGCGCGGTCTCATATGCGCTCAGGGTGCGCTTGGAGACACTTCAAATTCTTCACTCGAACGGTCTGGAGCGGCCTGTGTACCATAGATCTGTGAATGATGGGCCGTTGACAAGGGATCATGGACGTTGATGTGTCTATATTCTGAAAGTCAAGGCCCAGTGACAGGGAAACGCCAGTATCATGGTAGGAGATCGAGCAGCACTGGTAATTACTTGGGTTGATCTCTCGCGTCTTGGTGGACTTGTGATGTATGAACATCAACATGAACAACCGATTACGATCGCTCGTCCGCATCCTCGTCGTTAGTCCTCAGCAAGCCCACGTACTTCCCTCTACCATCACAGTGACAGTGACGGTGACGGTGAGAGTGACGGCAACATTACGTGCCCACTGGGTACCGCGAATGATCGATTGACTGATTGACTGACTGACTGGCTGACGTCCCGAGGCTCACGGAGAGACGAGTTCGTGATATCGATCGTCTTCCTTGATGCCCCGCACTGGTGAACGATAGGCACCTACCTAGATAGATGTGTAATCTGTACATGTACTCCAACACGGCATATAATCACAAGCAACCTTTGGGTGACCTCTTCCATCTTGTATTCATGCTCTTGACCAAATCCCACGGACTCGGTCTCACAATCTCGCTGCCAGTTCGATCCCTCCCCATCTATCGGAAGCCGAGGCAACCGTCCTCACAGCCATTCCGTGTCAACGGCAGGAGGATGTCAGCACAGTTTCCCCCACCTCAGCTCAAGGCCGCGGCCGAGGAAGTCGCCGCGTTGCTCAAATCGCGCGGCGAGACCGTCTGTGTGGCCGAGACGGCGGCAGGCGGGCTGATCAGCGCGGCGCTGCTCGCCACGCCGGGCGCGAGCAAGATATACCGTGGTGTGCGTGTTCTTCCCCACTCTGCAAGACCTCTCTGTCTACCTAGATGGAGGACTCGATCGATGTCCAGTGACATGCTGCGACGGTAGGCCTCAGCGTACAGTGGATAATAGGCTAACGGATTCTGATACATATGCTAGGGCTTGACGCTGTATACTTTGGAATCCCGCATCGCGTTCGCCGGCTGGACGCATCGGGACATTGATGTCTATGATGGGCCGACGCCAACATTGGTCGAAGGACTGGCGCGCAGTGTCAGGGATAAGTTGGACGCGACGTATTGCATCGGCGAGGTATGTCCCGTGTTATGTTCCCTGTGCTACTCGTGTGAGAGATTTGAAATGACATGTTGCTGTACGAGGACATGCCAACTGACGGGATTACATGATTCTGGTGTCTAGTCCGGTACGTACATGTCTGTGTCTGTGTCTGTGTCACGCGGGACCGCTATGTTCCCTGTCTAGCAGGATATGTGTGTTGACCGCCAGTGCATGGCATTAATAACAGGCACTGCTGGCCCAACCGCGTCGGGTGAAAAGCCCAATAGACAGCCGTGAGCATTCCCCCTTGTCCTCGTCCTCCTCGGCGTCTTTGTCCACCTCTTGGTCGTCAACCCCGGGAGAAAGACCCGTGCTCCGGCTTCCTCTGCCTGAAAGCTAAAAGCGCAAATCAACTGACGCGCTGAAAACAGGTCATACGTGGCACTCGCGGTGGCGAGCCAGAACGATAGGACGAGCAAGGAATTGAACACGGGGCTAGGCAACGACAGGCAGGCAAACATGGTGGCTTTTGCGGTTGAGGCACTCCATCTGGCCAGAGACTTCATCGAGGGAACCAGCAATGGAGGGAAGCTGTAAGGAAGAGAAGGACAGAGAAAGATCATGAATCCAACCTTTGTGCAGCGCGGTGTGGTGTGGTGCATTGTGGTGCCGTGCCTTGCAATACCAACGCTGTGTCTGCAGACGATCCTAACGGTTCTGTTCGTATTCCCAGAATCGTATCTTGTGGTCGTGATCTCGAACTCCCGTTCTCCGTCTTGTGCGGTGCGTGGCCTTGAGCAGGACCGCGACTTGAGCGCCAGGTTCTCCTGCATCTGCATCAGCATCAACACCAAGCTCAGTCGGCATCGGCTTTCCGAAAGTGTCGGTCCACGTGCATGACGGTCAGTTTCACCCAGAAACTCGACTCCGGCTCGGGGAGAACAAGTAGACTTTTCGGATGCGATCTACCTCGACGTGCTCATCTGGCAGGGAACGGGAAGAAATGAAGGGGCGGAGTGGACAGATCACATCTCATCACATTTCTTTTCAGTTCAGTTCAGTCCAGTCATTTTGGTGGCGCATTCTCTCTCAATCCCTGCCTGCGTGTCTGTGATGGATCATGTTGCGCCTGTGTAACCACACCAACCCCCCACGATCCACAACGCCATGCGACAAATCGCACCAGCAATCGCAATCGCGAGTGCAAATCGACCTGTCAATCTCAGGTCATCACATTGACCTGACGGTTTCGCAGGCCACGAGACCAAAGGCGTGCTCCGTGTCAGAAGAGAACATCTCCGAGGGCCAGCACAAGCCTCCATGCATGGTTCTTTGGGTAACCATAGTGGCGGTGGTGACGGTGACAGCGACAGCGCTGCTTGGTGGCTTATCAGGCCGACGTTCGAGGAATCTGTATCCGAAGATCTTCCCCCAAAACTTCGGATGTTATTTTGGCGGTAAGCAAGGGAAAAAGCCTTGTGGCGAACCACCAGCCTTAAGGAACGCATGACCGGGCACCAGAGACTCAGGGATTCGAGACGAGCCGTGGATTTCACCTTGTCAGCATCTCACGCCGCAGGGAACTTTATGCGCGACGATCATCTATCAAGACACCCCTCTCTAATTTGGCGGTGCGGCCTGTCCCACAACCACGTCGAGTTCTTGTAGTGGGGGACTCTCGACCTCACCTTCAAATAATGCTACTTCACACATGATTGAGTTTAGCCACGGTGATTCCGCCAATGTGATACCTAGCGGACGGTGGACTCGCAGGGTGCTTAGGCCGGGATGTTGTAGACTTGAGCGGCGTTGCGAAGACAAGAGCTGTCAGGGTTGGACTTTCATGGTAGCTGCTGGCGAGATTAGGCGAAAGCGATGTGAGGGATGTTCGTCAACTCAAGGCGAGGATTGCGACACTGCGACATTGCGCGTCCGCCATCACCTTTATCGATTGGGTCAATTGCGCCGATATACGCCGTATTGTGTTCGTAGCCCTGTCCTTGCGGCGATCACTCACCAAAGCCCGCTGCGGCTGCCGTTGCTGTCGCCGCCAGTGGCAAGTATCTTTCCCGTGACACGCACGAAAATACTGTACAGTAGCCGGACGACAAGGACCATGCATGTCAATGAGAATGCCGGTGCCGCTACAGTCGGTGCAAGCATTTATCCCTGCGGCAGCGCACAGAGTGAGGCGACAGGCGGGTCTGATGCGTGGCCTCGCATGCATTTTGGCAGAATGGGGAAATCGAAAGGATCATCATCGTCCTTTGTGCAATGTGTTTTCCTTTTGACAGGCACGTTTGTCTGGCATGGGCCGCGTGTCGACTCGACGGTACTGATGCAGTTGCAGTTGCAGTGGCGGTCACTGTCGCCGACGGGGTGTATGAGTATCGGATATCGCATATCGTGCCTCTAGATGCCTGTCACCAGGTGCTTTGCTCGTCTAGCTGCTCTTCCTGTCTTCGCCTTGGTCCTTGTGATGCCCTCCGTGCAGACCCGCGCTTCGCCGTTTGTCAATCTCCCACGCTGGCGATTTTCGCCCGGACGCGGATTTGCGCGGGCTAATTGGCGCAATGGCTCCCCCCGGGTGTATGGAGGTTTCAGGTTTATTGTTTGATCTTCCTCGCTAGAGGCTGCAAGGATGAGGAATCCAATGAGTGCACGTCGCTTTTTGCACGCGACCGCCATGGACCAGCGGTTGCGGTCGCGTAGGGCGAGCAGATGCGAAAACAGTACTGGGTCCGGTGTCAGTAATAGGGTAGTCAGCGGACTCAGGAGTGAGTGGTACCTCTCAGTTGACCTGCTCGTTTGGTGAAATGGAGACTGTGGACAAAGTACCTACGGTACCGAGTATCCTTACCGAGGACTTCGTCTTCGTCTGCGTCTCTTTTCCGCTCCAAGCTGGCGGTGCTAGTGGTGTCGGTTGCAGCTGGCCAGCTTACGGTACACTGCACATCCCACGCTGATTTCCTGGCCGGCAGCACTGCCCTTCTGGGGACCCGAAAGTCGCACCATCTGCTTTCGTGGATGTCGCACAGCTTCCCACGTGGCGGCGGCTCCGGAGGGAGCAGCATTTACTCCGGACACAGTACTGAGTACGTACAGTGTCACGACAAATACATTGTGAGTTTTGGTAAGATCTAACGATTGTTTTTGTGTCCTGGGCACCAACGGAAGAATGGCACTCCCTCGAGTCAGCTCGACAGGGAGCAATCACAATGAGCTCCTGTGCCGGAGCGTCCCCGTGCGTGCTTGTTTGTGCTGCTCTTGCCTCTGGACTCCGGAAAAGGGGACGAGTGAATGTCAGGATTGAAGCTTTGCTGGGAGAGCATTATCGTACAGTAATCACCCCAGTACGGCGTAGACATGTCCTGGCTACGAGTACTCCGTACTGTGTAGTTTGACACGACTCCTTGACGGCGCCACACCTACAGCAAAATCATTGCGGACATGCCGTGGAGTTGCTCGAGCGATACAGTATTTCTCAGATTTCTCAGAGTCAAAGAATCATGCCGATTCCGTGATACGTACTGAGTACCAAGTGCGCAGGAAACTGTATACCCCTACTCCGGTGCTGGATACGCCCCAAAACACGCTATCCACAATTTCGCATCGCATCAAGTCTGGCTTCGCTTTTGTGTCACTACTGTGTTAAATATAAGTACTTCTTAGCGGGATGATTGGGTGGTGGGCGAGTTCAGCCTGTGAAGAATATGCGAGCTACGCCTGACCTTCGTAGAGACACCAATCGTACTTGGATTTGCAGCTCACTATTATTGCGCTGTGCACTGACTAAGGCAAGCTGAGTCGTTTCGCTTTGCAAGCGGCCTTCCTTGTCTCTGCTATCTGACAGGCTAACCTACCGTCACATCCGCCAAGAATGGTGGCTGCTGACGGGATGCTGAGAGCTGAGAGAGCCACTCTGAGTTCGAGTACCGGATCGAGGACAAATTGTCCGCCACGTTTTCTACCTTTCGGGGATGCCTTCGAATCATACTATGCAAGTGCTTGTACCGTGACTCGTCCCAGGGAGAGCACGTCTTGGACTCAATTCCGTGCCCGCCCACCGCCCAGGAGCTAGTGAACGGCCCCTGTTGTGTAGACCGAGTATTCTATTCCCCTCTTGGACATCTGGAGAGGCACAAGTCGAGCTGGTATGATGCCATCGCTCTTCTTTACTTGCTGGAGGTCCACGTTCGCTTTGGCTACTAGGAGTCGAAATCCAGGACCACGGCCCTGGGTCTCAAGCCGACACATCCCCCGCAAGTCTGTGATTCTCGTCCAATCATACAGCCGACACAAGCCGCCATTGACAATTCTTCAGCGCAGCCAGGGGTTTCGACGATTTTCACCTTCGCCAGTCTTAGCGAATGCCGTCAGAGCCAGGCATCGACCTGATAGAGGAGACTGGCTGCCCGTTTTGGTCACTACTCAGTACGGGCAAGTTCAAGGATAGCACCCTTTGATGGTTCGGGATTCGCAGGCCGACGCACAGCCTGCTGGCCAATCCTCCTTGATTTGGTGCTTACTGCCAGGACATGACGATCTGGTGATGGGAAAGGTGTCGTGAAAACTGGATTCTAGGGATGCCGCCTTGACAATTCCGTCTGGCTGCTCCTCCTTCTGCTGCAGTCAGTGGGCACATTTGACCACAGACCACACGGTTGTCATCATTGTCAGGTACGAATGGCTCTTCTGGTCTTCAGTACTGCGTACGGGAGCTACGAGTACGTAATCATGGCTCGGTGCAACCTTGCCAACCGTGTGTGAAATTACTTGGGCCATAGTGGGATGTGGAGCTTCATCATGCTGTGTCCTGTGCACTCTAGCACGGCGGATGAGGCACTCTTTTAGATCGAAGAAGACATCTGGAATGATCCAGAAGCCGGCTCAATCTTCTAGAGAAATAAATGGGGTGCGGTGATTGTCCTTTTCAGGAACATCGACCGTTTGCGGAAAGGAGATTTGACTCGGACTCACTTGTGGGATGCAGAAGGTGGCTAGGTGATGACGGCCCTACGTGAGAGGCTTGAGTCTACAAAAGGCCTCCTGATGATTTGGCAAGGTTTCTCAACCTGAGACATTTGTTGATTGTTCTCCGTACTGCGATGGTCCACCAACTCCCTTGATCAAAGTTTGGTGTCCTGGGTAGCTTTTTCAGCCTCGCGATCGAAGCGAGGCGCCTGACAGGGATGGACCATCCG